TTTATCCAAATCACCTTATACTTTCCCTCGGAATATTCTTATATAAATATATATAAACATATACATATATATATTCATCGAACAAACCATACATGATTTGTTGGCCATGATTTCAACCATTCAATTGCTCCTTTAACAAGTACACACACACTACACACTACACACTACACTCACAAGAAACCCACCAATCAGAAAAGACCAAAGAGCACTCGATCGATTTTCATCTTGCATCTATCTCATTACCCTTGATACCTTCTCTTACTTATACTTCTCATTATATAAAAAGACTCACCGTGACCGCCACTTTGGAGAGGACTTTTGTATTTTTTGTTTTTCCTCACACCTTGGGAATTGGAATACGGAGCTTTGCAAATCATTTCACAAATCACTCCCTTCTTTTCATTGGGAGATTAAAGATATTGGAATAAATTCACATTTCTGTTGATACTTTCATAAAGTTACCTTCAAATTTGGGACTTCACTTTTAAGATTCTTTTGTCCAGATTGAATTTGTATTGGTGAATACTTTTGCCTTTGGAAGTTCAACTGATAAAGTCTAAAGTCCCTTGGTCTGGCTTTATATCTTCCCTTTATTCCTGCTTCTTCCTCTACAACAACCACTCCAATACTACAGCTCAACTCTTCGATTCAGGATACCTCTTCCGCAGCCTCCTCAATTCTCATTCTTGCTTTCGCAGTACATTCTCCACAACCAACCAGTACGTATAGCTTCCCTCATCACAGCTCCGCGCCTTCGACCGTTGTTGCAGATGGATACTGACAATTTTTCCAGCCACAAACTTTCCCCAAAACCATCATCAAGACCCATATTATCTTTGACACAATGGCCGTTCCTACCTACTGCAGTCATTCTTTCAATGTGCTCAAGTCAGAGTCTACTCTAATCCAGTGGATCTGCTCCATGTGCCACTCGGGACCTCATTGGTTTATCTACGAGTGCAAATATTGCAAGCTCAAGACATGTCGCAACTGTTCGATGAAGGCATAAGAGCATCTTATGTACCCTTCCCCGCGTTGAGTGCCTCGTCAAGTCTAGATCTTCTTCTGTGGAAATTTGTCATGGTTTTCGTGGGGTGTGGGGGACAATTGGTGAATGATCCTTTGGTAAGATTTCCTCGTATTCTTCCTTTTCTCCCCTCGTTCCCTTCTTCATTCTCCCCTCGCTTTTGCCATGTTCCATGTGGCAAAAAATTACGTAATGGCTTCCTGTCAAATCACAAATTCATGTTTGTTTTATCAAAATATACATCGAATTTGTGGATGGTGTTGTCGGTGCGGTGAAGGAAATCCTCTTTGCCTAGGCGTTTGATATCAAAAAGAAAAAAGTTATTAAAGACAGCCACTGACTACATGGATGGTAGTATCCGAAAAATGTCTCATCTATTTTGCTCTCGTGTTACGATTTGCCCCCCCAGGAATCAAAATATGATAAGAATGTGGCCACCTGCATGCATTTCATGCAGGGACACCATAAGCTTGCCGATTTATTGATTATTGGTCAACTACAGACATTCAATTCTTTGCAACGTTCCCCTTTCTCAAACACCACGAAAATTCACAACCGAAGCTCCTTTATTATCAAAAAACATTCATTGTCGAAGGATCTACCACGGCTATCACTCGATTGCGACAATTGTATTGATACGACTTTTCAATTTTTTATTTGCTCCTTGTTTTCCACGCCTACGAATTTCCTTTCTCATCTCGCATTGCTTTAACGATATTGAAAACTGCGCCTATTTTGTGCCACTCCCGTCTTTAATGTCAACGAATCTTACGAATACAGCATCGCATATCTGCAGCCCTATCTTGCTTGCAACTTGCGAGATTTTCAACGCAAACTTATGGTACCAGGCCAAACCGCGACATTCTACCTTCAAGATATTCCCCGGCATCAATCACGCATACAGAATACTCACAAACCAAGAAAAAAGAAAGAAAAAAAACTTGTCTTGTACTACAACCTTGTTTCAACATATTCTTCTTCTTTCATACCTACCTACTGTGGTCTAGATTGTTTTCTTTTCTCTTCTCTTGCAAGTTTTCCTTGATTCATCAATTCGCCTCTCCTTTACCTTCACCTTTTGTCTGTCTATCTTATCTTCTTCACTCTACTTTTCATGTATTTGTGTATCTTTCTTTCTTTCTCTCTTTTTGGTGCAGTGGTGTAAGGCTATGGACGGATGGGGATGGGGATGGGGATGATTGGTTATGGAGGTGTTAGTGGTGTCTAAGAATCTTTTTACGAGAGGGGATGTACGGATGTATGGATGGATGGATGGATGGGTGGGTGGGTGGGTGGGTGGCTTTTGTGAGAATGGTTTTATCGCAAGAAATTAGGAATGGGTGGTTGTCTGTCTGGATTTTTTCTTTACGCATGTGTTTTTTTGCTTGTCAATGGTGTTGGATGGGTTGGGAATAAATGGTCTGATTGTTTGTTTGATTATTGGGTTGTTTGGTTGATTGTTGGATCATTTCATTGTTTGTGTTACAATGTGTCTGCTTGCTGGTTTGGTTCAAGCATGATCGATGGATGGTTAGATAGATGAATTGATTTCGGTTTTTATTTGATCGTGTGGTTTTTTTGTGCCTATTTTGATTATGGTGATAATAGTGGTGATAGCTTTATGGTGGTTATTGTAATGAGAGAACTTCTCATCCCTCTATCTATAGATTATAAAGCTTTACCTTGGAATATACAAGATTTGAGATTAGATGTAATATAAAATGAGCTGCGATATATGAATATTAGAATCTAGTCTAAAGGTTCAGAGGTTTAGAAGTTTAGAGGTCTGAAAGTTCAGAATACCTAGACAGATTTTTCGTCCTGCGGGTTGGATGGTTGACCTGTTGGTTCGCTAGTCCATTGGCTAGCTTGATTTGAGATCTATTTCCTGACAGTGATGAAAGGCTGTGTTTTTGGCTCTGTTTGGGTGTGTTTACGTACCTCCTTGAGATATTTTTGGAAAAGAAGAAGGATAGATGCAGATAGAAGGAGATGAACTTGGGCATGATATCGTATACCGGTGAACGGGATAGGAATGGTTCGTTTCGGTTATATGTAGCTGTGTATGCTATGCATGATATTGCATGGACAGCTAATTTGATTCTCGGATGGTGTATATGTTTGTTTGTTTGTGTATGTGCTGTATGTGTGTCGGAGATGATGGTGAAGTGATGATGGAGTGGTTCGTGGTATACGTATGAATTTATGTGGCTTTCTATTTAGGGTTAGGTTGTACAATGTTAGTAGGATATCGATGTGCGAATTGCTCTAGGGATTTTCTATGAGATTGAGAATGAGAATAGAAATGAGCAGATTAACAGCTGAGGGCGTACAAATTTCAATGCATGAATATAGGTTTACATATGCATCTATCTGTATATGCATATCATTCGTTGTCGTTGTGTTTAAGGCGGAACGAACGATCGGTAGTTAGTTAACGCTGATGAGGTTTGTAGGTTTGTGTAGAAACGATGCAATGGTTTGTGGTTTGCGGTTTGCAGTTTGTATTGCACTGCATATCTATTCATGAATAATGGACAAAGCATAATGAGCCTTGAATTTGTGAGCTCGAGTAAAGATTATCACTTCACCTGTTTTGTCTATAGGGCGAAATAGAATATAGTAGATAGATAGGGATAGATATAGAAATTCTAGATCTCTAAAGCTAGCAGTGTAAGTCAATACTTCACTTATGATTATCTACTTAACTTGTATTACCCAAATAATAATACCAGGTAGCTAGTCTTACAATAACATCACAGATTTAAACACAAACCCAAACGCTCATCCAGGTCCAGGAAATAGTGAAATAGTGAAATAAAGTATACACCAAAGATCACCAGATCCATTAATTGGGAATCTTACCCATCAATCGTTCTCCCATTCATTCATTCACCCATCAACATCTCCAAAGTACCAACTGCATAGCATAGGTAATAGGTAGGATAGCATAGCAAAGGAAACTTTCAAGTTACACCCGGCCCACTGCGAGAACTTCGTCACACATTACACATGACACAGTACACATTACTCCCTGTGATTCCATTACACATCACACAGTACACATTACTCCCTGTGATTCCATCACACATCACACATCACACATCACACATTACACATTACACACAAATACCTACTGTACACAACATGAAGAAATTTAAATGCATATATATGGGCTGTATATGTTGTGCTCGCCGTAGCGAGTGCGAATATGCATGCATGGATAGGGCTAGCGAGTAGGCTAGGGGTACGCGCATGCATTACACTAGGCTTTTGAAGGGTTTATTTTCGGGGGGTTCATTTGGGTAGGGCTGGAGTTGCCAGTTTTGGGCTGGGGTGGGTTTGCAGATGGTTTGCTGGTTGTGGGTTTGGTTTGATGTGTTTGCTGCGGTGTGCAATGTGGTGTGACGTGGATGGGGTGATTAACGGGGAGAAGGAGTGAGGAATGGAGGATGAATTGGAGTTCGAAGATCGGTTGATGTTTATGTTGGTGTGACGGAAGCTTGGAAGGAAGGAAGAAGGGAGGGCTGATGACAGGTTTCCTGCATGTAGATTCCTATCCACTACCACTAGAATCGAAGTAACCATTAGGCTAGCGCAGAAGTGTCTTAAGATGCTATATGAGATAGAATGAAGAAATCCAACAGTAACTAAGTAGGTAAGTTTACCAAAACAAATGCCAGAATGGAAAAACAGATCGTAATTATGCTATAGTGAATACTTCTTCGAATTTCATTCTATACCCGTCTAAAATGTCATTGAAGAAATAATACAATTAATCTAATGTCACCTTTGTATTATCTTAGTATTGAGTGAGTATAGCAGTCATGTATTATTTTACATTAACCTCCACTAAACTGATAAATTCCTCTCTATATCTCCATTTTATCCAATTCTCTTTGTTTTCTCTCCCTTCTTATTACACCCTATGTCCCATCATCCTACTGATTAATGAATAGTACTTAGAGAGCTAAAGAAAAACTGCTCATAAAATGCTTATAAGGTTATTTCATTCTATTGCTTTGGCATCTCAGGGTATCTTATATATGTAATCTCCACTCCAAATACTCAAACAAATATCTCTCTCCCTTTCTGTGAATAGACTTCCAAACTCCCCTTACCACTAATGTATCATTACATCCTGCAGTATGAAGTATAAAAGAAACTACAATAGATACAAAAACAATTTATCCCAATTCTCCCTTTCGCCCTTAACTAAACCCACCAAAGATTCCCAACAATCCTATCGTATAGGTGATTCCATCCACAGCTCCTCCTGATTAGCCAACATCATTTCCTTAACCCAAGAATCCGTCTGCCTCTTATCACTCATTTCAAAAACCTGCGTACATCTATGCATAGATTTCCGACTAGATTTATCGACATCAGTCTCTTTGTGAAAATTCGAAGCAATTTGCATTTCTTGGAATTGTTGATAATACATTGGATAATGCATTTCGTATGGATATGGTTGCGGTGGTGCTTGATGATTGTATTGGTTTTGTCCTTGAGCAGCTTGTTGACGTCGTTTCCATAGTTTGTAGATGGGGACGCATCCGGCGATGAGAAGAACTATTGCGATGCCGATACCTATTCCTATTCCTATAGCGAGATTGAGGGAGAAAGATTCGGGTGTTTTATTGTTGCTAAGGTTGGGTTGTGGTGATGATGCTGATTGTGTATTTGAGTCCGTTGCTGCTATAGGTGCTGAGGTGATTTCTGAGGTAGTGGTCGAGCTTGTGAGATTTGTTGATGTGATTAATGGCGGGGTAGAGGTTGTAATTTGACTGTTGACTGTATCCATGTTTCAAAATGACTTCAAGATGCTCTTCAATACGAGTCTAGAATTTGATCCAGGAATTAAGGGAAAATCAAGAGTGAATATATGAAGATTAGGTTAAATGGGCTTGGTCAACGAGAAAGAGAGTACAATTCTCAGCAGACAAGAAAGGCAAAAAGAGACAGAGACAAGAGAATCTTTTCAGAGTTAGGGAATCGTATTAGCCGACTTCATATGAATGAAGGACTACTTCTAGGAAGTGTATGATGGATTACACCAAGGTTGTGGACCATAATCCACCATTACGGCGCGTATTGATGGGTGCATTCCTTACCTCATCCAAGAGTGGAGAATGAGAAACATGAACAAGAATTTAAGATAGGAAGAGTGTTGAGTAGTGCCATATAATTTATTAACCAGGTCGTCGCAAAGCTTTATGAAGACCTACCCGGTAGATTGTTGCTTTGGGCGGAGCTTAAGAATAAATAAGGCTGACTATAACTATTTCATTGCTTCTATCATATGATGCATAGTCTTCCCACTACGAGCTCTTTGTTGGAACGTCAACTCACTTGAGAATAGAGAAGCCTAGGCCAGTCGCTTGCAGGATGGACCTGAGCTTGGATGGAGAATTCCACTCGTTGAATAGAGGAAGGCGCGAAGAAGGCAACGATGGCACATAGGATTTTCGCCAATGTATCTTATATAACCTTAGTTTTGATATCGTAGGCCAAGTAAAAGCTTTGACCTCTTCATCAATCAAAATTCAAGTCTCGAAGGAATGACGAAGTGGACCTACCTAATCCAAATCCTTCTAGCCGCGCGCTTCAAACGACAAAGGCAGAGGCCTCAGATGGTAATAAATTCTAGCAAAGGCTTGGGAATGGACGTCGAAAGTGGCGTTCCTAGAATCTGGTATAATATATACTCTCCCCCTCTCCCCAAGTGTAATGGTTCTTGCAATTGGACTTGTTAAGTGGGATTGTCGAAGCATTGCGATATATGAATATGAGCACAGGTACCCGCAGATTTACAACGGCACTTCCTATCCGATATCATCCAGACGATAGATTGATATAACTATCTGCAAGAGGCTTACTCATCACCTTCAACACTGAAGGTTTCTACTCCGCGGATATAATGGATATACCTAATTATGATGTAGTCATCAAGTATCCAGGCCCTAACAAGGCTACATTATTGACGGCACAGCAAGGAAACGTGCAAGAATTTCAACTGAAGATCCAATAGGATCGAGATGATATGGCATGCTTGAAGCATGCTTGAAGCATGGCCACCATCTAGTGAAGCTGATCTTGATTCTTCCGAACCCCCAAATAAAAGGGACAATGTCGTTGCGTAATGTGAAACGCTCCAGCAAGTCACACATTTGAAGAGTGGCAGTGAATGACGATAGGCGTAGAGCGACACGTGAAGGATGAATCTTAATTTCCACCTAAGTAGATATTTATAGAGCCTGTACAAATAGCCAGGTGGTAATTATTAATCAAGAATATTCATTTCCAACCGGCAGCCTCCGAGGTTCAATATCGAGTCGCATCAACTTGGTTCATAGCAACCTCAGTATGGCTTAATCCATCCACATGCACTTCCCATGGACTATTTCAATACGCAAGCATAGATAGGCACATTGCATCGAGGTCAGATATCTCTACGCTGACTCAGTATATCCGCCACCTCATTCACTTCAAAGTTAATCTCGTGAACATGAGAACTCAACTTGAAGACCAACATGCACGTATGAATTCCATACTCTCATACTGCAATACACCATAACATAACCTCGCCCAAAAGTATGAATATAACATAGCCAGCCATACAAAAGCCGACAACTCCAGCTCAATTTCCCAAGATTCCAAGACCCTAAAAATAACCATACCAACCACCCAACCTATAAAAATGAGGCTCGTGATCCCGCGACAATGAACCAAAACCAAATGAGCAATACCTATGCCGCAGTAATTTCCCACGAATAACGCTAATAGGTCAATAATAATAAACACGAATATCAACAACTATATAATTCACTTTTTCACTAGCGACATATCACACCGTGATCCGGCTTTTGTTTATAAACTTCTGAAAAATCTGCCCAGCCATCTTCCTTTTCTCTTTCTTTCTTTCTTTCTTTTCAACCTCCACCTCCACCTTAATCTAAATTCTCAATCTCAATCTCACCTCACCTTCGTTTATCAATCCACCCATAGCAAAAAAAAGAAAACGCAAACTCAACATCCTTCACACACTCCCACATCTCAAAAACATCCTAATCAATATGTCCATCACTCAAAAATTCCAAACCATGTTCGCGCTTCTCTTCCTCTTCCTCGCGTTCATGGTCTCCGTCAGCGCACACGACGAGAGCCTCGATCAAGTTGTTCGTGATATCGCATGGGCAACGGAATCAACCACTTGTAGTAAGTCCTTCATTATCCTCGAGCTCAACATCACGAGTCAATAATAAAATTAAAAAGAAAACTAACAAGCCCGTCTATCCTAGCCGATGCCAAAACCGAAACTCTCGTTCCTACTGTTCTACCCGCCACTTCTGCTTCTGCTTCTGCTTCATATTCACATGAAACATTAGTCCCCATCACTCTTCCATCCACCACCTCCTCTACCCTCGTATCCATCTCCACTTCCACCTCATCTCCCACAACCTCAATCCCAACTTCACCACTCCTCCCCCTCACCACAGCAATCAGCCTAACCACCACACAAACCAGCACCCAAACCACCAGTTCCCTCGTCATCCTCTCTCCACTCCCCAGCTCCAGTTCCCCCACCGCAGTCTCCAGCTACGTCTCTGCATCAAGCGAGCAATCCGGCACATACACCAATAGCACCAATAGCATCCCCTATACAATTCCCTCTACAATCCTCACCACCACAACTTCTCCACTAACCACTACATCCAAGGCGTCCGCTACGAGCTCCACTCCCGCTAGCAGCACCAGCGCCAGCAGTACAGCCGTGCAAACCGGTGGAGCAATGGATGCTAATGTCCTTTCGGGTGGATTAATGGTTGCTGCATTTGCAGCTGCGTATTTTCTTTAATTAAAGACCTCACTAAAAGGAAAGGCGCTACTCTGCACGCTGCACCTTGTAAATTGGGAGGATATCCATTCAAAGCTTTTTTCTTTTCTTTTACCTACCTACATTTGTAGTAAGACTTCCGGGGCGGTGGAGAAGGAATTAATACCAATCGAAAGCAACAGCAACAAGTAGCCGGGAAGTCATAAAATCAAAAATACAAATCAGTATTGCGTTAGGGATTCCTGCCTGTCTGCCTGCCTGCCTGTCTACCTTCCGTATGTAATGCGTCGGGAACAAAAAGATCCTAACGTATCGTATCGTATCATATGAGAACAAAGAGTACCTAGGTACCGATAAATATCTCCATCCTACCTTCCTTCAATACCTATCTATCCATATGTATCCCAATCCCCGTCCGCGCATTAGATTACTTTACTTTAGTTCTCTAATAACAAATAAACAACAGCTTTGTTTTATTTAAAAGTGGTCCATACCATACCTAGGTATCATATCGCATCAGATTAATCGGTGTAACCTTCCAAGCGTCTCAAATGTGAAGCTCAAATCTGAATCTCAAACATGAAATAAATGGCTTCCCTCAAACTTCCGAGGCTGTGGTGAATCTGACAATAGATTTGATTACATACATGAAAATTATTCTGCTAATGACCTCGGGACTGACAGATGGCATCAGCATCTTACACCTCAAAGAGTAAAACCTTTCCACCTTTCCACCTTTCCACGCCTGAATATAATGTTCAACTCTATCCCATTTAAAACAAATATATCCCTCAGAGAAGTACATTTTAGTACCTAAAATCAATCATTATCCATGCATCTCGTACCCAATGCCGCTAAAGATCAAAAAAAGCCCAAAATCATTCTTCCATATCGCGCCAGGGCATCAATCGTACATAGTATACCTAATAATATAAATTCACATCATCGTCGCTCCGGACTAATGCGACCCTCCATCATTTCCACCAACTCCGAGACTTTTCCTTTAGGTTTAACCCGCCCTTTACTTGCCCCACTTTCAGCACTCTCCGTCCTGGCCAGATTCGTACTATCCTCTTTGCTCAAGATTACGCTAGGATGTCGACTTAGACTACCGCTTGCACTCGCGACTCTGCTTCTTCCTCCCATGCTTCCTCCTTCACTCAGATCCTCACGAACATCATGATTAACGACTCGTAATCTCTCTTTCGGCACCGTAAACATGACTTGTACTACTCGATCCTCAATTGCTCTTTCTATATCCCATTCATCATCATCTTCGTCAATTCCATTTACCAACCCCGTGGCTTCGCTACCCCTTACACCTTGTATATTTGGCCGATCACCATTCATAAATGAATTAGATCTCCCACGCTTAGTACCAGGTTTCTCACTATCCTCCCAATCGCCTCTACCCTGCTTTCTCCTCCATAAAGTTGCACCAGCACTCACCGTCCTTCTAGGAGGGTTATCAAGGCGGATTGGAAGAGGACTTGGCTCTCGATTTGTGAGGGTGGGTTCAACGGCGGTATCACCATCGGGTCTGAAGACTTTCCGTAAACTTCCCAGCCATCCACGTTTATTACCAATGCCAATTGGTTTATTCTTCGATGGGCTACCAATATAGTCGTCGGCTGTTCTAGTGGGCGTTCTCGGAGGTGACTTCGAAGGGGGTGTAGTAGGGGAAGGGGGTCCCCGATCTGCAAATTGTTCTGGACGAGGGAGTAGAGTGACTGCTTGTGCTTGCAGAATAGGGAAGCTGGAATGAGTATGTGTAGTGGAGAAAGTCGAGGCAGTATTTTCACTGCCAGAGCTTCCAGGAGGCTTACTTTGAGCGTTTGGCGTTTCAGGGCTGTCGGGTGTCGGACTCAACGCAGCGTTTCCTGAAGTAATTGTATTCATGGCGTATGTTAAATAGCCCCGGAGGGAGTTTGATCTTGTGGTTTGAGAACCAGATCTTGTGGCTTGGGAACCAGATCCTGAGCGACTTATTGTAGCAGCTGAGGGGGCCATGCTTTGTTCACTGATATTACTGGCTGTCCGACCACTGTCCTCGGAAATTTCTCCCGAAACAGAGGCTGGACCAGTCGCCGTGATCAAATTTGCACGTCGAGAGGGAGAAATCCTGCCCATAGTAGAATGAGACCTGGCTTTGGCATGAAGAAGGGCATCCGCAGCTGCCCAATCCGCAACCCATGCTTCAATCTCACGTTCACGTTCTTGGGCAGGGGAGTCCGAAACGGGTGTAGTGGCACTACGGTTGTTTCGTTGTGCAGGTGCCAAAAGATTATAATTCTGAGGAGGCGAATCGTGGAAGGGATCCGTTCGTGTGGGGCCATAGTAAGTTTCAGCTTCCCCAAGTGGAAGAGCAACACCTACTTCAATAGGAGAGATTACGTCAGCATCTTCATCTGCTTCATATATTGGATGTATCGGCCCAGCTGCACCGAAACTAGTTGCTCTAATATTTCCGCCCGTTAAGCCCGGGTCGAATGTTAAAGCAGGCTGATACAGACCACGAGCATTTCGTAAAGGTTTCCTAGGTGTTTGTCGAGGGATGAGAGTTGGAGAACCACCTCCCCCTGAGCCGTATTCACCAGTATGCAAGCTTTGGTAGCCGCCCGTCGCGTCTCCTGAATCATAATACTGTTCATGACGATCTAAATAATCACGAGTGTGAGACATCTCTTGTGGACCCGGGTATGCAGTGGCCGCATTGTAACTAAGCGATCGTAGGTCCCTTTCCCTCGCCTCATGTCTCTTTTCTTTGCGTTTTCTTCTCCAGCAAATCAAATACCAACCAACTCCTACGATGACAGCAACAAGCGCAGATATTCCTATGCCGAGTCCTATGCCAAGACCAACTTCCGAAGAATCCGAGGATGACGAAGAAGTACTACGAGAAGCAGATGAGGCGTATGTCGGATTGGTGTAATTTGATGACCAAGTTGAGCTTGTAGCATTAAAGAACATGGGCTGAATAGTGGTGTCTAGAGCTCTTTTCGCATTGCCGGAGGCTGTAATGTTGAACCCACCCAATACCATCATCACATTTCCAGGAAGCATTGCTGCACCGTGTCCATAAAAGCCATCTCCGGAAGGCTGATCCGCAGGCACCGACCATCTCCATTGTCCGCCTCCTCCATAGCCAGTCCCAAGTTCTAATATAGCAAGCTGCGGATCAGCGGCTTGGTTAACGTTCCCAACCCATCCACCGAGAATTATAACTTTAGATCCATCCTCTGTTAGTATTGCTGTGTGACCCGAACGACTATCAACGCTGGTTACTGAGCTTTTAACAATCAGTTTTGTGTTGGAACTCTCTGTTGAAGATGGTGGATTGACTGTAACAAAGCTCCAATTCTCCTCGGGAAGACTCCAAATGGCAACTTGGCTCATGTTGATAAATGCGCTCTTGGTATGCCCACCCAAAAGTATGAAATTTTGTGTCTGGGTCATGATCCCCGAGCTATTTGAGTAAGACGGGGTCAGGGGAGTAGTAGTGAACCCTGCGTCAGCGATGGGAGCTCCTCTATTAGCGGCGAAATCCAGATTGTACAAATTTGCAGATTCGGGTGATATTCGCATCATATGGTTCGAGTAATTAGCATTTGATTGCCATGTCGATACATTCGCCGAAGAACTGGGACACATGCCACCATATATGTATATATCCGTATCTGTAGCATTTGCGTTGACAAATGTGGAGAACTGGAATCCTCCCGACAAGAATTGCGCGCCCGCAAGACCTGCAGAGGAGGCATCACTCGCAATAGTTGTTGTCTCATTCGCCCATGTCCCATTTCCAGGAGCCCTATCGCCAGGTGTATAAGTCCATAGCTCAGTGCTGGCAGGTTCCGAGCAAGAGCCAGTGAGTAATGAGATATCACCGTACGTCCCGATAGTGGGTATAAAAGCGGTATTATTGTCGAGGAACGAAAGATTAGGTGCAAATGGTTCTAATGTGAGATTTGAAGCGAATAGAGTCGAAGATATATTAAGGAATAAAAATTCCGGTCGAGTGTCTGATTCGGAAGCGACGAGGAAAATAAATGCGATATCGTTGTTTCGGCTCGCGCTTGATGGAAGAAGGATCGTAGTAGGATTATATGGCAACGTCTGTGCATTGGCAATAGCTATGAGAATTACCGATGTCCAGAGGACAGAGAACAAATCGGTTCTCATACTGAATTTGAAAATGGGAAGGAAGGTAATGATATGCTGGCTGAGGCTAGGCTGTTTTTCGACGCTGATCACATAATTATCGCCAGTGAGATTATAAATATCTCCGATTGAAAGTGGAGAGCACAGCTCGGCACTGATTCTCCTCGAACTCTCTTGCCAGTCAGATTCGATTGGAATTAGGTATGTAACGGTTTAATTTGGTATCGATCGCGATTGAACAGAGCACACACATCTGCATGAAAGATTTAGTGTGACCCAGTATCAAACCTGGTGGACCTCCGATGATAAACACTAGATCCAGATCAGCTAATGGTCAATGATTGTTAGTATTCCTGTTCGTTGGCATAGTGATAACCGTGATTAGTAGCCGCAAGCACACATAAGATTTACTTGCATGTGAAAAGATCATTGTGAATAATCAATTCATCGCGATGAGATACTAATATATCTTCACAGACTAACAACAATTGCCTGATGCCTTGTACACGATATCAATTGGGTTATACCATAATCAACTGCATAGATTTCTCATTCGAACTCGTTCGTTGATGCGGATTCTTGGTTGAATTGTTTTGAAGTGGTGATGAAGGGGTTCTGTGCCTCGGCTCCAATTTTACGCCTTAGTCTTTTTCGGCGCCTCATCCTCATTTAGTGAGGGGTTATATATTATTGCATACAGTAGTACCATTTGCTTGTCAATAGTAAGTTCCGCTGCACATCATCATCATCCTGACGTCAATCTTTCCAGCATGATAGATATATCAATCCTCCTTACAGTTTGCATGATGCGAATCCGTGATACACCACATAGCTTGCCATTATCAATCCGCGCAATAAAGCAGATATGCCAGCCTGCACACTCCGTCTCCTTTCTCTCGCCGTTGCTATCCCTGAATTCCTTTCAGCACTCTCAAAAACTTCAGTCACTCCCCTCACAATTGGCAGGGTTGTGCGCTGGATTGTCCTTCCAACATCGATATCAATTGACCCACTTCTTGCACGTAACATTCATTGGGATATCTTGATGATCCTGCCAAATACCGATGTCCTTCCATCCTCACTTCAAAATCTTATTATCCATCAATGGCAGGTTACAGCAGGAGTACCTTCAAGATTAATTCAAGATTTCACATCAAAGAATGAGAAACTACTTAAGTCTCAACCGGAAGATATACCACCTCTCACAGGAAGGTTAAACGAGCACAGCACGACATCTTCAGCACAGGCTCTTGAGCTCTCCCCTCCATTACTAGAATGGATTAAAACATTCAGCAAGCAAGAAGGACGAGGCGCAGTTTCTATGCTTAATCTTCTAGCATTTCAACCTGGACTCAAAGAACAATACTTAAAGTATGGAGTGGAATTTGCGAAATCGATCGGGTCTAAACGAGGTGGTGTTGCGAAAATTGTTGGAACTGTGATACATGAAGGAAATTCGGAAGAAGGAAGTGAATGGGACGAGGTTGCGTTGGCACATTATCCGAGTATTGAACATTTTGCAGATATGTTAGCCAGTGAAGACTATCAGGAGGTAAATCACAAGTACAGGGTGGGAAGTTTGAAGGATACTTTTATTCTTTGCACAACGGAATTGAATTTGCCTACATGGAACAAGAGCGAGTCGAGACTGTAGAGGGCGAAGAGTGGTACGAAATTGCATCATTGGCAAGCTATAATTATAGATATGAGCTGTTCTTCCGTTCCAAGATCCCCAGAAGCAATCTTGGCCATCTTTCACTGCTAAGACAATGCAATAGACCCGAAAGCTTAAATCCGTTATTATGTATGCAAGGTCTTTATAAGCAGTAGTTTCTCCTACATCGAGCTCGATGCGCCTAAGTAGTTCCAGCTAGAGTTCTGACAAACCTGTCCTCCCTGGCACTTGCTATACTTGTTACACAAAAAATTCCGCCCTAAGAATCAGGCGCCATTAAACGTCGCATTCTCCATGATAGTATCATGTAAAGGATGTAGCCGAACAACAGCACTACTGAAACGAAAGGTGTATATGGTCGAGCTAGAAAGCTATTGTGTGCTGGGTTACCGCGACTGTTTCTGGAGTGAGAGACGCTTAATTTGTGCTGCATCTGGCGCGGAGCACTGGGTAGCATCAAAGATAAAGCTCCTCTTCTTGTTATGATTGGCATCGCTGACGGTGTTGCCGCTGGACCAAGCCAAAGTTTAGGCCGTTGATTTATCTTCTGGCTTCGAATGAGTTCGGGGTCGTTCTGCGCTTGGATAGGCGACTGATGAAAGTAAGAACTCTATTGGTTCTTTGGAATTCATCATGGGATGCCTTCGTAATACCTTGTGGTGGTGTCTCGTAGCTTAACCTACTGATAAGACCTCCAAAACAATTCTACTTAGAATTTGAATATCCACCACTAGACTCCAGGTATTCCCGGACTACACAGAGTATTTGCCGTCAAACGTCAAAGAACATACTGAGCTCCTCGATGAACAGCTGCTTAGTTCTCTGGTTTTTCCAAACGGAGAGTAAAGTTACAAGTAGCAGTTAACGTGTTTGCACTATACTGCTGAACTAGTATAAACTTGCAAGCTATCCGAACACTGTAGCAGCATGGTATTGAAAAAGGCCCTATAAATCAAAACTAGTCACTTGCCTCGTCTGTGCTGTATTCTTGGGGCTATTCCTTAGAACAAAGCGCTGGCTTATGAGTAACAAACGGTTTTTAATCGCGTGATACACGGTCATAATTTTGCCTTCCTCGCGTTGTCACGTGCTAAAAGATGTTCACCGCTTTGGGCGAACTAGCGGAAGATTATTTAACCTTAAGATGACTAGCGCCTTCGTAATTATGTTAGTCTGCTGAATAAGTTGCTGATGCAATAATCTCATCAGCATCAAAAATCAATCCAAAATCCACAATCCACAATCACCTAGACCAACTGCTATCAGTAAGTAGAAAATCATTATCAAAGAAGTATATCTGAAATCAATAAGTAATCATTTCCTCATCTTCACGTAACGTACATTCCAGAAGACTTTAAAAAGTCTATAAATGAAGCTCCTCATTCTCATAACCTCCATTTTCATTGCATCAATTTCAATACTATTCTACAGTAGCAATAGTCAACTATCACAGTTCTTTCAATTCTTCACAACCAACAGAATAATCACCGCAATTAACACAGACTCAATTGCCACCCAATCTTCTATGAGCACTACATCTGCCATCAAATCAACCATGTCAAAAGCACTTTCGCACGCCAAGATTACCCCTCGCAAGTCATCGGCTCGAGGTCATGCTGATCATGGCTGGCTTAATAGTTACCATACATTCAGTTTTGCAAATTACTATGATGCTCAATTTCAGAGCTTTGGAAGTCTGCGAGTCCTTAACGAAGATCGTGTAGCTGGTGGCACAGGATTCCCTACGCACCCTCATCGCGATGCTGAAATCTTCAGTTATATTCTCAGTGGAGAATTGACTCACAGGGATAGTATGATTAAGAAGGGAGCAGAGGGGGCTGAAGGAGATGATTTTTATAGAATGAAAAGAGGAGATGTTCAGTTCACAACTGGTGGAAGTGGTATGATTGTCTTCTTGCTCCAAAAGAATTGGATAATGCTAATGAGTATCTTACAGGAATCGCACATTCAGAACAAAATGAATCAAAGGAAGAGGTCCACTTCCTTCAAATATGGGCCCTTCCTTGGGCTAGATCTCTCACTCCACGATACCATACAAAATCCTTCTCTGAAGACGCCAAGCGATCTGCATTCTTACCAATTCTCTCACCATTGAAAGCTGGACCTAATGCGTCTGCAGAAGAGGAAAAAGCAGCCGAACCAACGCTGCCAAATACCATACCTATACATGCCGATTTTGTCATGGCTGCTGGGATCATTGGAGTGGACAAGAGATTTAAATGGACTGTTGGTGGAGAGGCAACAAAAAGCGCTGAAAACAGAAAAGTCTATATACATGTTCCTATGACTAAGGGTGGCAATGCAAAGATCAGATTAGACGGCAGAGAAGGAGCTGTGCTATCTGAGGGTGATGGTGCATTTATTGAAGGAGTCAAGGCAGGGGATGTTTTAAGTGTTGAAAGCATCGGAGAGGCTGAGGCGGAAGTTATCGTTTTGGACAGCGATTAGATGTTTCTGATTGTTGGAATTTTGGCTTTTAGATCGATACCTACCCTAGTATTTAGCACTTATTGTAACTTTTAAACCTTTAAAATCGAAACTCATGATGGCGTACAAAGTGAGTGTCACTTTGCTACAGATTTGCCTGCGATGTCACAATCGAGAATAGCAAACATGGCAAGATATCACTACGCCCTGATATCCAAATTGTAAAATTATGACAGGATGACGAAAATGGATTCACGAGAATAACCAGACGAACTCGAAAGAAAAATCTCCTCTCTTTTTTGCCCATAGCCTACTTCTAGTTGAAATGGTATCTATAGTAATAGCCACTTAATTCATACAAGCTGGGGAGTACCTACCTAGTATGTTTATATACTCGCCCCATATTGTCTAAAAAATTCTAAACATTAATGGAAAAGCTAGGGTATATACCAGGCAACTAGTCCGCGGTGTTGCGGCTGAAGGTTGTATGTGGGGATCTGAGTGCTGCATTGGAGTAGGATAGAAACTGGAGTTATTATATCTGAAGCAGAAGATTCAGATGATGGGGCTTTGGACACAGGGTTTCAGTTTTTAAATTCTTCTCTGGTTGGGTATAGAAGATTTCAGATTTGCTAATAATTATCTTCTAAGTTCTATTGTGTTTAGTATTCTCCTTCTCTTCCGTCTCGTCTCGTCTCCGAGAGGATTGCAAGATTATATACACTGTAGATAACCATCCTTTCATGAAATCTCGAAGTATTAGAATATCTAATCAGGAGGAGAATATCCAATCAGGAGGAGAATATCCAGGAAACCAATTAGTTGAAGACGATCCCATTGGCGATCTTTATTTATGAGAATCTTCCATGGATGTGAGATATACATATTGTTACGAAGGTAATCTTATTAACCGGGATCTCCATTCATTTGACTCGAGCCACTTGACGAGAGTTAAGAACAAGGGATATAAGCCAGTTACATAGTAAAGTTTTATCTTCAACAACCTTCCAAAGACTTTGAGGCTTAAGAATTCTATTTGTACGATATGAAGCCATTTACTCAGTTGGTAGTCTTACATAAAATCCGGGATTTCTCCTTCGATATATGAAGATTATAGTCCTGTGGGGATCACTCAGTGCGATTAATTCGTGAGTGTTAAGCGATCAGGATTCAGGATGACTCAATCCGATCTCGACGCACGAGGTGAGATTCCTTCCAAAATCCTCTGTCAAGTGCTGAAAATACAAGGGGCTTGGTATAGAACTATGCATCAATATTGAAATGTTGCGTCAATATACTGGAAATCAACGGGCTGGCCGCGACTCAGATTGGGGTTCATTTAATGGGCTAATTGTAAGTCAGGGAGGGTTAAGGGGATCCGAAAACGTGGGATGATTAGCAAGGCATGCATTCAATTTCGTAATTATCTCGGAGTCACTATAGAGGATCATAACGTATCATATGGGTATTATTTCAGGGCTGCGGCTGAGTAAAATGATGAAAATTTACAAAATAGCTGAAAGTATAGGTGGGAAGATATTTTGAATATCTCGATACAATAGGGGAGCGTGTGATATTGCAGCCACTGGGTTTGGTTTGAGCCATAGCTTATTAGAGCTTCAAATATGTTTTCTGCTCTGATTCAAACCCTCACTTCTGATTAGCCTTCAGGCTCCTCTTCTCGATATCTAATTCCAGAGAAGTCTCCTAAAAAGTGGTATTTTGGACCGACCAAGACGAGCTTCTTCGTCTTGGAGAATCTTCCACGTAACAGGCAACCCCCCACCATTCAAGAAATATTTCATCTTCTTCTCCATCAGTACTACCGGCCTAGGCTACAACGTTCCTTGCGATGCCTATGTCAAATCTGTGCCTGATTTTCTGTTGCAGAATAAAATCCGCAAATCCATAATTCGAAATAGATCATCAGTTCGTATTTCATACCAGAATTCATTTATTCTGCTGCAGATGGTGCATATCCGAACGATCGGAATGTCGAAAAAGGAAGCATAGATTCGGCGGTTTTGAATACGGATGAAGTACTCGTTCCTAAGAGGATATTTAATGTCGATATGGGGGATATGGAAGATTGACCATTTTGTCAATGAGTAATATTGAGTCGTAGTTGAAAAGAGCAGGAAAGTTACACATTCATTTATTTATCACCATTAAACAGGCCCCCAGGAAATTAGAAGTTTATGAGATGGTTCGCGATACTGATGAAGATGGGGATGCAAATAGATCTGCTACGTTTTCAAGCTAAGAAATTTGGTCGTTGGGAGGCGTGAAAAGTGATATTGAATTATTCGTTGCGGAATACACGAAGGACGTTGATGACTAGATAAAGAGAATCACTGTTATTCTGGGCTATTCAGGCAATGATTCGAATGATTGCGATCTACAGATGTTCCCTGCTCAGCCGACCAAGTTTAAAGAAGCAACTTGGGAAGCAGCAAGCGCTCGCAGACTCTGAATGAGAAGAAATCGAAAACAGAGCCGAGGAAGAAGGCAAACAAGAACTTGGGAAAGGAAAAGAAGGACACGGGAGTTGACGATCCAAAAACGCCCGTCAATAGTGCAGTAAATGAAGATGATTATTTCAAACACCGTCTATATTTTCGCAAACCGAATTCAATCTTCCTGAAATTGGATACAAACTCAGCCGAGCCGATAAACGCTTCATAAACGCAAGCGATAAATGCATGACCCATGGGCCAAATTCTCTTCTTACACTCAGATGTTAAATCTCCTTCCAGTCCTAGAGGAAAGAAGTCAAAGTACAAAATCGAAGGCACGTTAAGGGAAGTGACAAAAATCCTTGATTCTGACGTTTTCCTATCTAATGGTCGTGAACGATACCTCTAGACGATACCTGCTGTACCAATAGCGGCGACGAAAAAGAAATTAACACATCACTTGCTATATGGTACACTCGTATAACAATGCCAGATTTTGTTTGGTGCGCCTGGATTTATCAAGTTCGACAGAATGAGTTAATTCTTAGTGTAGTCTTGATGTGCAGCCTGGTACGATGACTGGTGATGCTAATTGTGCTAGATTAAAAGGTGTGATATCGCTGAAGTGTACAAAAAGAGATTGAACTTTGCAAGAACTTGTATTGAGGAAAATGTCGTTTTATGAACGATCTTTGGGAAGCCTTGTCCAGAGATGTAGAAGGACTTGGTGCATACTATTATCATTATTTTTATTTTGAACAGCATGTTTGTGAACAAGATAGTTCTGGGGTGCCAGAAAAAGCAAAAAGAATTTACCAGAATTTGACACATCTGTGAGAACTCATAAATACTGGTGGAAAGGTACATTCAATTCCTCACGTTGATAATGTACCACTATTCTCAGTTAGATCTTAAGGTGAGCTGACAAGGACATACATAGATCTCTTACTTCAATCGAGCAAAAGAGGCCTAGAAAAGTCAGAGGACTCGTCGGCATCCTCAAATTGCTCGGGGCTAAATTTCCTGGAGAAATGAACGATAATAATTCTAGTGCCTAGATTTGGGGTACGATTTCTCGGACAGGTATTAGATCGAATCACGGATTAATGGGAGATCCCTGCTGTCCAGACTCTTCGATCACTGTTCACAACTGTGGGTTTTGATTTAGCCCGGAATTCGATTCGAGCACCAACGAGACCTTGATCAAACTTTTAACAAGAACTTCAGTTGAGGATTGTGTGGTCGCTATTGTTGCAGATCAAGAAAAAAGGTGTCAGATATACAAAATATGCCCTCACCTAAGCGCTAGGGCAGACTTAGCAGGCAACCTCTTTCCACCCGCGATATTTTGTCTTTGGCATTGTACCGAGAATACACTATCCCCATTGATGAAGTTGCTCACTGACAGGAGTTTCCGGTGTGAGCTTTTCAGCCTTCCATGCAGAGGGTCCAATTAACGCTCTTTGTCGATTGCTTGATGAGGTGGCCATCATGACCCATGATGTCTCAACATCCAATTTGGCGGTTCAATAAATTCAAGGCAACTCTCCCCACAGGGCAACAGAGCGCCAGCTGCTATAGAAGTTCACATCTTTCATCCAATTTTTGAGGAAGGAACCAGAGATTACCGTTTTCACGGAGAATGAGGATGCAAAAACTCTCGCTCTGGATCCATCAGCTCAAGCCCCCACCTTTGGCGAAAATCCAGAGCAATGCCATATGCTCGACTTTTTTTAAGGTAGCAATATAAACCTCATCATAGACGAATGGGTTTTTTGCCATGATTACATGCGCTGAGAGAGCAGAATGGTTTCCATGTCAATTGGAATAAGGATCCACGCACCGTTACTATAGACGCAAAATACTGACAGTCGATATTGGCTTCAAACACATAGTACTCGAACCTGGCCGGGCTCCTGGCTCACTGGGGGAACTATATGAGAACAAGAAAACAGAACTGTGCCTCACCGTGAATGTGTTAGTCCAAGAACGGGGATTTCGACAGTGTGCAGCCCGGAGATCAAAACCGGGATTGAATAATGATCTGGATCACGAAGGTTCCAATAACAAAAAGCTCAACAATTTTCTCTTCAAACGAGGAGCACTTATTGGCGCTGAACTTGTCCAAACACTTTCACTGATATCTGGAGCGGGAGATTGGATGGAAAGTTGATTGATACTATTCTCCAGCAGGTACCGAAAGGACGGAGAGTTGTAATCATGAATGAGGATTTGTTGTCAGCTCATGTTTTTGAGTGGTATCCCGGTCCATATGTCCTAATAGGTAGGTAAATTTTGACACAGATCCTCCTTGATGACATAATGTGTAAGATCTTACGTGGGATTGGTACCTTGACCAATAGCATTTCCCTGTACAGGACCCACCGGCTCGGCCCGGTGCACTAACTCCTCAATGGTGGGATGCGAGCATGAACATTTGAAATAGCTGTTAGGGTACGTGGTTCCGATCACGATAGTTCCTACGGACGTGAGTAGCATTTAGCCTGAGAAAGATGTTGCACATATCATAATAGGACACGAATTGCCTAAAGATAACCCCACCATCCATTTATCTACACGGCTGAGGTTCTGTTTCGGTCTTTTGTTCCAAGCCTAAAATGCCACGAATTACGAGGCCGTCGAATTAGAATGGCGAATATAAGCTTAATTTGAATCCCCTGGAGCTCCCAACTGTTGGGTGCTTCCCCCACTAAATCGAATGCAACACTGATTTGTCGGTCTATATCCGAAGCTGGGATATTTATATTGCCGCCCTATACATCCCTTATCCTGGGCTCATGCATGTTCTTGGGTGCCATACCCATGGCACCAAGCTCAACATAAGCGCCAGCTTCGCACTCAAATGCCAAAACTTTCAGATACTTTAAATGTCTAGACCGTTCAGAGAAATGAGTATTGGCTCGAAGCTTGACTCCTCACTCCAAAGAAAAAAACATTCAGCAAGCCTTCTGAGTTTGGACTTAACGAGCACACATTTCCAAGTGTAAAAAAGGAACTACCCCGAAGAGCCAGAAGGCTGACGTATCAAGCTATAATATAACTGGTGTCAAAATACTCAGCTATCATGGTCGAGGTTGTCTCAATCATCATCGCCGTTGTTTCTCTGCTCGGCTCGCTCGCAGCAGCAGGTTTCACGGGATGGATCTCATACTACTTGGACCAAGCCAAACAGCGCAAAGCCACGAAGGCTCTAATCCACAAATATCGAGACCCTCTGACACTCGCCGCATACGATCTCCAATCTCGAATCTGGGGCCTTGTTAATAGGTTGCTTGACTATTATGATGATGAAGAGAAGCAAGAAAATATCTATGTTTACACTGCCTTTTTGATTGGACAATATCTTTCATGGACATATATCCTTCGCCGACAAGCACAATTCATGCAATTTTCGACGGAGCAAAAAAACCAGCAACTCAATAAGATCCTGGACGCCGTTACGGAGCACTTTAGCCTGGACAGATATGAAGGGGAGGCTTCATTCATGCTCTGGCGTGGACAGCAGATGGCCATCGGCGAAATAATGACAAAAGAGGAAGAAGGTCAGCTCTACTGCATGGGGTTCGCAGCGTTCTCGAAGAAATACCACGGTGATCCCGAATTCAAAAAGTGGTTCGCACCTATCGAGAGAGGTGTCAATCTACTTGTAGCTGCACGCAAGCGACACGATCCTGCTGCGACTTATAGACTACGTCGATTGCAACATCTTATGATTGATTTGGTTACTCTTCTGGAATTTCATCGTGCGACAAATGAACCAGACAAACAAATGAAGGTAGATGCTGCTCCAGAATGCAAGTGCGACAACTGCCCAGGGCCTCGCGTGGCAAATCCAGATGAGAAGCTACCAGTGTAATGAGCTAGAAGTCGAGAAAGCGATGATTGATGGAGTCTCCTTCTGGCTTTGAAGAAATGGGGATGTATGGAGATTTGGACTAGCGGCATCTTCACAAAAGTCTTGCCATTCGGAGGATGATTTCGTTCAACTGTTGGATGCGTGTCATATGGGATAGCATTGGGATAGGATGCTGACAGTGATTTACATTGAGAGACTCGATGTAAGTCAGTACGAATTATGAATATATGGGCTATTTCCGCTGTGCCACGGGCTTCGAGGCGTTGGCAGTTAGGGAGTGATTTACCCCGAAATAATGAGATGGATCGCAACCAAAATACAATAGTATAGAAATCGCATAGATATCCATGTATCACTAGATATTATGGTAATGATTCAATGTTGATGCCAAAATTCTTTTCATGAAAACGGAAAGTGTGATGTGCAGAAGGATAGAACAGCAGATGCTTAGAAGGGTCAACGGGCCAACGGAACACACTGGCCAACTGAACGGTCTAGCCTAATCAAATCAATGTTCAGTTGACAGATCACTAATGGTCCCTTCAATGGAACCTTAACCTTTGAGACTTCCCCCACCCCCATCAAACTTAATAGCCATGACAATTAACTACGAAAATTAATGCATCAATGCATCATTATAAGTCTAAGTACATTTCACACTACATTTCTTGTGCTGCGATCAAGTATATTTCATCAATAAAGATGTATCACGAGTTAGCATTTGATTTGATCTGGCTTTTTTACTTTTCAGAGTTGTTTGTAAGAGCACATGTTGGTATTAATTACTTTATTCCCCTGGAATAACCCGTCGCAGAAAGAAGATAGCGCATCGGCATCTTGACAAGACGGCGACGGCGTAGTAGCAAATATTTCTGTATGTTTAGCATCTACCATCGGTGGAAACATAGACGATCTTGGACTATGCATTCTGGGTGCGAAGATTTTTCAAGACCTTCACCTTGGAAAGAGCCTTTTCAGTATCAAGTACAACAATCTTAAAAACACCTCTTCGGCGACAGTTCGCCCTACAAGCTCAGAAATTTCGTGCCACACTTGGCCGAGCTTAAAAATAGATTCGATATAATTTTACCACAAGAAGTCTGATTTTGATAAGATCTTACAATCTCCATTTTTCAAGAGATCAATTTAGATTAAGTCATGCACGAGTTTTGGATGTAATAATGGAAATTCCATTCAAACGATCCTCTAGTGAAGCTTGTAATTCCTGCCAAACAAGCACAAATTCCACAGATTTTCATTTTTACATGAAAGCTTTGAATTATATGCCGATCACATCTACGTCACTTTGATCGATAGGAGTCTTCGAATGAGTACCTAAGCTGTGCTATCCTTATCAGCGAGAAGCTGACAATGTTGATACTGCGGGGCCGGTCTCCTGTCCCTTCATTTCACGCTCAATCCGTATCAGATGGATCGTTGGCTAGAACCTCACAACATTTCCCTTGTTCAGGCGGAATTTCGCTTCAAAAAGCATTTTACATAGTGCAAAGAGTTTGGCGCAGACTTGAAAATTCGGGTGCTCGAATCAGGAAAGATCCGTATTGTTGATCTTGGTATTAATCATGCGTTGACTGTTACATCTCAGCAGACTTGCGAAACCTAAGTCAACTAAGACTGATAGATTTTTGATTGAAGAACGATCTATAGTTGGCGATACAGGACGCATTATCCACGCACTTTTTGAAATGAAACAACATACTGAAGCTGGGTCAGGCCGTTATGGAAAATATTTGGGGCTTTGGGGAAGGTTTTAGTAGCCTAGGAAACCTCTCTTTTCCCATGCGTAGGCTTACAGAGAGCGGGTTACCATTTCTCTAGTTTGACGCATGCATCTGCATCGTAACCCCTGTTAGATCAGCGGCCAGCTAAGATGTACCGTAACGAATCAATGATATTCAAATTATAAAACCCTCAAACACGAGTGGATGGAAACAGCACCTCCTTTATGATTGTTATAATATACAGATACTGGTCCCTGGACTCTCCTTATTTTCGCTTATGGCATGTAGTATGAGCTCTAATAATTTACCATCAAACATATGGTCCTAATCTCCATATGATCCGCGTACTCTTTATTCTGGAAGATGTCCGTTTGTGTAGTTGCGATGCAGTTTTTTTCTGAATTAAAAGTTTCTTCGAGTGCTAGCTTGCCCCACCTTTCCCGCATTCACACTTATGCGCTACAACAGCTTCATCTCCACCTACGAAATATCGTAAGGTTACTCCGCATCAACCTAAATTCTTACATGTCCACAATTGTTTATGCTTACTTTCGTTATGGTATTTAGTACGTAGGCAGAGACCATGGCGCTGAAGTAGGTCTTCTCGTTCATCCTTCCGACAAATATGCATCCTGTTCAACGCCAATGGCTTTTTTTACTGCTCATTTCTGCTATAACATTCAATATCATCATACAAGTAGAGGCAGCACACTCCACTCAAGGATTAGTTGAGCTCTTGAAACGGAGACTACCTGCTCATGTAAATGACTTCCAGTTCAAAATACGAAGTAACCATACATTGGGGGCGATGAATGATGAATATGCTGTATCTCAAACATCCACGGGAATTATTCTTGTAGAAGGGAATTCATTAAGTGCTCTTGCTACCGGGTACGTCTCTTCGACTGACTTTTTGTCCGCAATTTTCAGCTTATGAAGATAGGTTACGTAAATACTTCACAGACGTTCTGCATGTGGATATCTGGTGGTATATTGGTTCGCAGCTCCACCTTGCTCCTAAAGAATTCCCACCTTTAAATTCGACACTGAGAGGATCAAGTATTGTACCATGGCGATATCATTTCAACACTGGTAAGCGCATTGTCCTTCTAGAAGCGCCTTCCATTAATGATTGCATGCCACACAATGTTTTGGTTACTAAACAGATGCTAATAAATACTTCGTAGTCACATTCTCTTATACAACCGCCTTTTGGACCTGGGATGATTGGGAACTCCAACTAGACTGGATGTCCCTTCACGGCATAAACCTCTCTCTCGCCTGGGTAGGGTATGAAAAAACATTACTTTCCACCCTCCTCACCCTCGGCCTCACCACCCATGAAATTCTTTCATTTTTCTCCGGTCCGGCCTTTCAAGCCTGGAATCGATTCGGTAATATCCAAAGATCTTGGGGCGGAAGCCTCCCAATCTCTTGGATAGAAGAACAGCACCTTCTTCAAAACAAAATTGTACAGCGAATGGTAGAACTAGGTATTACACCTGTTTTACCCGCTTTCACTGGTTTCGTGCCAAGCGCATTGAGAAGTGTAGCGCCTTATGCAAATATAATTAACGGAAGTGACTGGGGCAATATTTTCCCAGTCGAATACTCAAATGATACATTTCTCTACCCTACCGATCCTCTTTTCACCACGCTTCAACATACATTCCTCAGTTTTCAATCCGAATATTATGGAAACGTTACGCATATCTACACACTAGATCAATATAACGAAAACAATCCCGCATCCGGAGATCTCTCATATCTAAGAAACGTATCACGTGGAACTTACGAATCTCTCCAATCCTTTGACCCAAATGCCGTCTGGATGTTACAAGGTTGGCTTTTCTACTCTCTTTCATCATTCTGGACACAAGATAGGATCGAAGCTTATATCGGTGGTGTCCCCAAAAATGAAAGCATGTTAATCCTGGACCTCTTCTCCGAATCTTTTCCACAATGGGAAAGGACGCATCATTATTATGGGAAACCGTGGATCTGGTGTCAATTACATGATTATGGCGGTACTTTAGGTTTATACGGTCAGATTTACAATGTTACGAATTCGTCGATTGGAGCGTTTCGGGAATCGGAGAAGATGGTGGGAATGGGGAATACAATGGAAGGGCAAGAGGGCAATGGGTTAATGTATGAGTTGCTTTTGGATCAGGCTTGGAAGAACGACCCTATTGATACTGAGGATTACTTTAAGTCTTGGGTGAAAAAACGATATCATATTAAAGGGCAGAAGAAGCAGTTACCGGGAGAAATATACGAAGCTTGGGATATCCTCCGAACGACAGCTTATAACAACACAAACTTAACTCTCTCCGACAGTGTACCAAAATCCTTGCACGAAATGCAACCTAATATCACGGAAAATCATGGAAGATTGGGACAATCTTCAAGTATCGATCTTTATAATCCAAATTATCTATTCAGAGCCTGGGAATTGCTTTTTAATGCATCAGTATTGGTACCGGAATTATGGGAAGATGAGGGATGGAAATTCGATGTGGTGGATGTTACAAGACAGGTTCTCGCAGAGAGATTTAAGTTGGCGTATGTGGAACTGATAGAGAGATATAAGAAGGGTGCTGATATTTCCGGTAATGGTGATATTTTACTTGGGATACTGAAGAGCTTGGATGATTTGCTATCTACATCACCTCATTTCAGATTAGACACTTGGGTAAATGCTGCAGTCTCTTCTGCACCACTCTCTTCCTCTACAAATTCCTCATTCTCCTCAATCGATAACTCCTCGTTGCCCTCCAGTTCCTCCCCATCGATGTTAACATCAAATCTCACACAAACCCAAAAATTCTTCGTCTACAACGCGATCAACCAGATTACGATCTGGGGACCTACAGGACAGATTGATGATTATGCATCTAAGAGTTGGGGAGGTCTTGTACGTGGGTATTATTTGCCGAGATGGCAGATGTTTTTGGAGTATATTGGTCAAGTGCGGTTTGGAGAGTTTAACGCCACGGAACTAAAAGAAAGGTTGGATAGTTTTGAGCTGGGATGGCAGTTGAGCGGTGGTATAGATGGTTTGGAAGGGGAGGGTGTCCGGGAGAAGTTGAAAGAATTGGTTGGGGAGTTGGTGGAAAGTTTGAAGCTGCGGGGAGTTCGGGAAGTGTGAGCGAGTCGTTTCCTGGAACAAAGCTATGTGCTATAAAATATTGGTTCAGGTGTCTTGATATGACTTTCGGGGCTATCAGTTCTAGCAGACTCCTGTACATTGCATGATGCAAGTAAGATATATTGGTACTTTCCAGAGCACTGTTTCCTTGAATTGTGGGTGCTAGTTAGGCTTACCGAGCATAGGTGTGTTCTTCACGATGACATCTCGGTTCTCGTCAATGTAGTAAGTATCTTTACCGTATATATACAGAATTACAAAGACCTCGGGAGTAAAAGATAAAGAGTTGTAGTGTGATAAAAAAGTGAAAATTTACCATAGCAGTCCAAAAGGGTTATAGCTGTAAGTATGAAGAGGGTTATCTTATTGTTAAAGCTACGATTCCTGATTATAAGACCCATAATCATACTATACTTGCCATATTGAGCCTAACACCCTTTTGATTTTTCTTCGAGACCTTGATATTTTAGCGTGCTGTGGGCTTGCAGCAGCTGCACATCCCCCACCATCCTACCCCACAACCTTCCACATCTTTCATTATCACCACAAAAATCCCATGGCTGGCTTGAACATCGTGAAAACAAATCATTTCACCGTGTAGATGTTTCCTCATAGTTACTGAGATTTACCTTTTCATAGTAACACCGATCTCTATTTGCACATATTATCTTACAGTTTACCATTTGAACAACCTTAAGCCTACGCAGAAAATACCAGCAGCAGCTCTAACGCAAAGGAACGAACCTGCCGAGTAATCTTATTCGCAACCAGAAACTTTTGGGTCAATTGGCATATTTGGTCCATATTAAGTACGTCTGATACGCCTTCTCACTGTATATTAATGCTTCTATCAATCTTGAACCTGAGCAGAAAAGCTTACACATGAATACAGCAGCACATCAAAGCTCGGATCGAAGACAGGCCGGACAATACGGAACGACCAACATTTTCGAACATTACCCCTCATCCTCTCGCCATGAGGAATAAGAAGACACCTCAATCAGGCCTGCTTGTATCCTATGATGTTAATAAGCCTCAAACTCTCCACAAAAAACTCCCAAAACCCCAGGAACAGGTGGACTTACCACAAGAAGTCCTCCGCATCATTTGCTCCTACGTCGACGCGGACGAATTACCCAACCTAAGACTTGTCTCGATCGCCTTCAGCAATGCAGCGGCAGTTCACATGTTTAGAACCATGGATTTTGGTTTTACTGCATCATCATTTGAATGTATCTTGAATGTCGCACGCAGTACCAAGCTTCAACACCATGTTTTGAAGCTCGGATATAACGCTAAATGGATGAGCACTTGGCCAATAAGTTGGGAGCCAGAGTGTCTTGAATACCACTTCTCTCATCAGCGTGAATTAAAGGAAGCTTTGAAAAAACTAGTGAATCTCAACGCTATCGAGTTTCGTCCTCTGCACCAAGATCCACAAAATACATTGGAGAACCGCCGCGTCACATATCGAAGAATATTTGATCCATTTTGGAAGTTTCTGACATCGTCACTTAGTCACGTATCGAATCTAAGATCGATCATAGCAGCTAATTCTTTCCCATACGAAGGCGAAAGTCTCGAAGAGCTCTCTACCGAGGAGATTAAGGCACTGGGACGTTTACAAAATTTGACTCTTGGGCTTGATACTCACTTCGGCCGACGACTCCCCAATCTCCTATGTTACATGTCGAATCTCAGGTCACTTGAACTAAGGGAGCTGGTTGATCTTGGAGAGAGAGATTTCTCTGAATTGGTCAGTCCAAGTACGAAATTTCGTTCACTTGTTTCCCTCAAGCTTGATGGATTCAACTTAAATGAGCGCTATTTCAAACATTTTTTACTTGAAAATGCACACTCTCTACGCTCACTCTCACTCCGAAACTTGAAACTTGAAATCACGGAGAAAGAATTTGATACTGAGGACTATTATAAATGCAATCAATGGATCCGAATGTTCTTTTTCTTTAGCCAATCAATGCGTTTAAAGAATATTGAATTGCATGGACAGCTCCGCACGTCACTATCAGGAACTTGGTTTATACAAGATTTCGTGGAGGGGGATAAATTATATGCAGAGCCCAATTTGATGTTACAGCTTACGAACTTTATTACACATACTGAAGGTTCATCATTTCCTTTACCACATCCAGATGAAGACCTCAGAAACATCGATTTCAGAGGATATGGTGTCACTCGTGGCTTATTTTGGGTTAAAATCCTCAAGAGGAAGGGAAGCATTAGGTTATTACGAAAAAAACCACACAAACCATCTGTGTTCAACGGCTACTTGCACTGGGAGCAACCGGGATTCGGAAATTTGGCCGTTCAGAATGACGTTGAACTAGATGGCTCCCTATATAATCAAGAGGAACATGCAGCGGATCCGGAGGATGAAGTCGTGGTGGAAATAGAAGACATCGCAGCTCAAGCAAGCGCGTTTGAGCGGGCAAAGGCTTACTTTCTTGCCAACAGAGAGTCATGGACCGACGAGGAGAAAGTTGCAATGGCTTTCTTGGTGGATGCAGATCCAATGAGCTTTGATGTGGAAAGTCCTGCTCCTTTCAATTCACCGACGAATTTGAACCTATTTTAGTACCGGATCTGCATACGGCTTTTGTGTATAAAAATAGGGCAGCTATTTTTGTTATTATTAAAACAACAACTTTTGTTATTTCTTCTGATTAATTTTCATTTTTGTAATTATTAGCTCATCTTCGATGTCTAGGATATATTTTAATAGGAAAGAAGAAGGATTTCTTTAGTTGAACTTGGACTTATCAATATGGATTGGAAAATTATGATCATAAATTTCTTCTTTACTTCTTCTCTAGATACAAAGATAAAGTTAGGACACTAGAAGGAGTGAGCAGGATGGTTGTAGACATTATTTCGAGGTTTCGCAGAGTATGATGAGTTAAGATGATGAGAACTTGATAGAATAATATAATATAAAAAATATTTTTATTAAATTAAAATTAATAAATTCAAAATACTTGATATAAAAATAGCAACTATATTTAGTATTTTTTTAGTGAATGATTTTAATTTATTATAATTTATTATATAAATATTTATTTATTTAAATCTATCTATCTATAATCAACTTACAAATCCAAAGCATAATACAGAGTATATTACATTATAGAATTTACATCCTACATCCATCTACATAACGAGTTGTGTACTATAGCTACCTCGTTGCACAGATACATACATACATACATACATACATACATATACATATACATATAAATGATGTTGAAAATTTCCACATTAAGATTCAACGCTAGACTAGACTGACTAGACTACTACATCGCTAGCTCAACTAGTGACACACTAGTAACCCACTAGCTCCTCGCTTAAAATTTGTTTCTCTCCTCCCTGTAGAACCTTGTTCCGACCACAACGAACACATCGATTCCTTGAATTTTACATACATGTCCTGATACCTTGAACCCCGTTTACCGTATCCTAATTGCTTCTGCAGATCCGCATATCTCAATATCAATGCTAATGTCAATCTCGAATCTCCCGTCTCGAAAATGCCTCGGATTTCAGGAAACTATAATGACAGATGTAGATGAATCGTCGGTAGTTGTTGTTGGGGAATTGGAAGAATTAGTTTGCGCTGTTGTATGCGTATCCATATTCGCATCTGCGATTGTCTTATATCCGAATTCGGAGTCTGCGACTAAGGCGCCGAGGGACGACGAGGAGGAGGAGGGGTTTAATGAAGAATTGGATAGTGCTTCTTCATAGTTCTGATTTGCATTTGTCTTTGGATTGATATTGCAAATGATGGGAAGATTAATATTGTGCATTTCCGCATTCTCCTGTGTAAAATTCACGCGTGGGTCGTTTAATGTGCTTGTGGGATTTATATCTGATGCACATAGGTAAGAGGATGGGGACCAACAGTTTGAATTGGTATTTGAGGAGTTTTGGGAAGAGGAGGCGGAATTGATCAATAGAGAGTTGAAATGTGAATGATTGGTGGATGTAGAGCAGATAGATCCATAACCGCTATCGAGACTTTCTTGACGTAATCGTGGGGCAATTTTGATGGAACTACTTCTTCTTTGGAGATTTTGTGAGTTTTGTTTGTTGATTGACATTGGAGAAGATTGGGAGTTTGGCGAGTTTGCTACTGAGGTTGATATGGTTAACGAGGTGGGGACGGTCGGTCCTTCTTGGTGGCTTTGGAATGGTGATGTGGGTGAGGAGGTTAGGGGTGATGACATGGATTGAGTCGCTTGAGCTGCGGAGTATGGAGACTGGAAAGACGCTTCGCTGTGGTTGGAATTTGTAAGACCGGCGGTAGGAATCGATGCGGAAGGTTCTTGAAAGGAGGATACGAAATGGTGCCAGTTTATGCTTTGGAGCTGCTGCCCCGAATGTTGCCTGGGATTTTCAGGCAACTGTGTTTGCTGTGTCAGAGGTGAATTTTGACAAAAGCTATATGGAGCTGTCTCATCACAATCTGTCAAACCGGAAGAGATATAACAGGAATCCTCTGCGGCAGTCGCATTCGCCGCATCAGTATTTTCATGTCCCATCACCACCTCATTTGCTAGCGCGGAACCCTGGGTCTTCAAGCCCATCGCATCGGAATCCTGCCAAAACGGCACTGCCTCACCACCTCCATCTAATCCTACATCCCCCAAGACCCCCTCTCCCAACCTCGCACTTCTACACTTCTCCACCAATTTCCACGCCTCAACCCCCATATCCCCACTCTCTAACATTCCCCTACAAGCCTCCTCCCTCCTCTCCCAATTCGCCACAAACCTCCTAATAACTCCATCACCACATCCTTCCCCAACCATGCCATTACAAACCGCAATTAATTCCAATAATTCCTTCCGGCTGTCCTCGAGCTGTTTTTTCGTAGCACGTAATTCCGAAACATAGTGATCGTATTTCGCTTGATCAGCAGCCATTTCTGCTTTTTTCTTAAGACGGCATTTTCGCGCTGCGCGTCGGTTTTTCTCAAGGTATTTTTCTCGTACTACGAGGGTTTCCGCCGGGGTGAGGACTTTTTTCGCACGCGGACGACGCTTCTTTTTCGGGCAGAGAGGTGCGCTAACGGTGGAAAGGGAAGAAGGGTTTTCTTTTAAATTGGTAGAAGAATTGACTTTTTCTTTTTCGGAGGCCTGTTGGGGTTTTATTCGCGAGGTTGGTGAATGGGCTTTTTCCATAGTGAATGGAGTATCTTTTGATGGTACTTTGGGGCCATTGTTAAGTTGAAGAGCAGAAGAATGGGAATTATCGATCGGAATTGAATTCTCGGAGACATTTGTAATTAAACTGTTCTGGTTCGCATTTGGCATCGTCGGAAAACCGGTATTGGCATCTGCCCTAAAATCCTTCATCGCAACGCCCGGGCTTCCACCGAGTTGGTTTTGCTGTTTCTCATTTGCGAGAATATCCGGAATATCTATGATATCGTCGAAGATCCTCAAGAAAGAATCGTCCGTAAAATTGAGATCCGCACCAAAAGCCTAGAGATGTTCAAAACCTAGGGACTTGCGGGCTTGAATATCCACATTTGTGGGATTGAAGCTATTTTGGGCTTTCTTACCTGATCATTTACCACATTGTTAAATGCGTCCCAATGTGGTTGTCCTTTCTCTAACCCCGGTGTGGAGAAGAAATTTGGTGATATATTGTTGCTTGTGCATTGCATCAGTTTGAGCGCATCCTCGGTGAGAAACTCGTCCAATTTGAGCTGGCCAGGATGACGGTCGTCGAATTTAGTTTGATTCATCACCGCAGATGCCCAATTTCTTGCTGACCGAGTCTGAATAATATACTGTGATCAGAAGCAATTAGTAGCTACTCGAGTTGAAGTAATCGCGAGAGGAACCAACCTATTGGGCTGAATTAGGTGATGTGAGAATCAGGTACGCAGTAAGGTGTGGTAAGATTGAACTGCCATGAAAAGGTACCATACCTGTTGGACTAATATGGTAGGAGAGGGTCTTTCGAAAGTTGTTTGCAGAAAAATATTCCGTTAAAATGGATATTAAAACAAATCAGGTAACATATCGACAGGAAAGATGGCTATGCCTTAATATTTGTGAGGTAGTAGTAAAACATAAGTGAGTACGCAGCAAAAGTAAAGGAGGGGCAATCAATACAGCAAAGCATTTATATACACACTTTCCTCCATAAAGCAATCAAAAACGCCGCCATGACATCACGCCACTACATGCAAATAGCCCATAATTCCTCTGGACATCGCCGGTTTTGAAATCAAGCTTTCGCTATATATCCCCGCATTTTGCAAATCGAAATAACTGATTGGGAAAACGTTGGATGGATTGATGCAAATATCAAGTTCTTTTATGCAAGCCAATGATGCATTCGTATTTCGATGTGGTAGGATAGGTCCGGTGGCGATATCCAATCATTGAATTCTTCTCCCCCTTACCTTGCCTTTGTTCTGTTTCAGCAGCAGTGACAAGCACATGTAAAATTTCAAGGGCCCTGCTACAAAAAGAAAAGTCTAGCATATTTTTATAGACCACAAAAGTCTTATCTTCTTATCTTTTGTAACAACAAACAACCGTTGAAGTTTTCGAGTTACACTGCGGAGCGAGCTTCAAAAAGTCTAGCATGCGAGCTGGACAACGAAAATGAGTTTTGAGCAACAAACAAGCAATTGGGAAAATCTCCACATTAGAGTTCTGATCTCTCGATGCTCCTAAATTTTGTAGAGGAATGGTACAAAGAGTTCAGATGACAATCTCCATCTTATCCGTCCTTTCGTGAATATTGAATTATGTTTCGATATATTGCTGTTCTATTTGCTCTGCCTTTCACTGCATATAAAGCACTCCAGCCCAGGTTACAATCTCATACGGCTTTCTTGCTTAGCGTCCAAGCTTTGAGCCCATCGCGCAATTCAATATTCCATTCCACTGTCAAATTCGTCATACTGAGTGAAGATGGCAGAAAAACTTGATATAAATACACTTACAATAGGAAGAGCATCTTCTGCCGAGAAGTTTCCATGGTGGCGAATATGTAACTAGAACTTGAATGTAGTAGAAAATCGCCAACCTACAAATTCTACCATCCCAGATGTGCAGCTTCAAATCTCGATCATTCGAAAATTTCCCTTTATCAAAAGAAAAGTTGCATTCGGCCCATGCCTCAAGGCACCGAAGCATAAACAGATAACAACAAAAAACCTCTCCTTTGTTCTGAATATTAGCCGACAATTCACCAACTCTCACAGAACAAAAAGATAAGAGTTCGTTCTCATGACATGGCAATCAATTTCACCATTCAAATTGACCCGAAATCTGCAAAATGCCATGGTATCCTTAACTATCTCATCTGATGGCATGCATCCTTTCCTGTGGCTCTACTTACCAATAATTTGACCCCTTGCACCCCTCTTTCCAAGATTCAAAATTACATGCCGCCAAAAAATTGGCGAATGCAAAAGATCTTTGTTCTTTGTGACCTCCGTATTTCTGGAACCAATTGAAATTCATCTGCCCCTTCGAACTTAAGGCGGTGAGACAACTTTAGACATCTAGAACAATCAACCGATGATTTTCCAAGCGAAAATTATCGGAAGCATCTCCGCACTCCGAATGTGATCTATTATTGATCAATGGCAATATGTAGTGGGAGGTCAGTCCACAATTCGCTGCTCGAGATACTTCCGCGTAATTCAACTGGCTATTTCCTTTTTCGTAACTCCAGCCAGGTTTGCGCTATTCCTTCTACACGGAAGCTATAATAGAATTCTTTGAATACGTTCTGTTCTATATTAGTGTCATTTATCGCCACACGAATTGCGTTTCGAGGTACGCTCACGATTAGACCTAAGATCTCTTTCGCAAAAAGCACCGTATCACTGTATATTTGTATTACGAAGGATATAATCGTTAGTCATTATGGTCGACCCGAGATGCGTAATTGGCCATTGAATTAGGCTCGTGCTTAATTGGGTGGGACAAATAAAGAGATATGCCATAGAGCGAGCAGAAAACGCTCCTCTCAACAACTAACTAATGCAAAAAAGGCACCGCGGGCCGGTAGAACAAGGTGTGGCTTCCAGTAAAGGCTAGCCCAGTCGCTGGAAGTAGTACGTATGGCTCAGGCCTTTGGGGATGTCTCCGAGGAGGAGGAAACCGGAAATAAAAAGCAGTATGACATGCGAGTTGCGGAAGAAATTTCAATATTGGCTAGTCCTGATTTCCATCATCCATGCCAAGACACTATCATAAAACGTAAAACTTTGATGACGATTAGGGGAAAATAGAACGGACGGGCACTGAATGCGGGTGAATATTGGAGCGGCCCACTGCTTCATATGCTACAGTACGGGTTGGTAATAAGTGACCGGACAAGGAAAACTGAAGGATTCAAACGTGACATCGTGGGGTTTGCACTAAGATTAGAGTGACAAGAAGTTTCTTTAGCTTTGCATTCTCATGACCCTTCGCCGCAATGTAAGAACATGGGAGTATACTCTTGACAATGTGGTGCAAATACAAATGACGCATGCGGTGGAGAAGACATTCGCTACCTCCCACATCTTAGTACATCGCACATTTCTGGTTCGAGATGATAGACCAAAAACGCGCTTCGCATCTTGCTTCACATCTTGCTTCACATCTTGCTTTACGGGCCAAGCTGGCACAGCTGTCTACCCATGCCTTTGTTGCCGCGCAGCCCCTAGCTTTAATATGCAGGTTCAATACCTGACCTCCCCACTTATGTTCTATGACCAAAACATACCTCTTTCCTCCTTATTCAGGCTAATGGATCGACTAATGATAAATCAAAATAGGGAAGTCATACAGAATCCACCTTTGAGGGAAAATTCTCTACGCAAAAAAGAAAATGAGAAATGTAACAGTAAAAATCGAATTGCGTATAGTGAGTGATCTTTTATATGACAGATCGAGCGAGGTCTTATCGCGTATATTTATCCATAATCCTTCAAAACCTGGTGATGGCTTTTGTGATGGGGTTTAGAAACGATTTGTTACCCAATGGTTTGGAGATGGCAAAGCTTTAGAGACAAGGCTATGTGAATTACGCATGATCCGGAGAGTAGATAGGCTCATATGGTGGAGGCACGTGAAGAAATAACGTAAGGGAAGGAATGTTCTAGAAAAACATTGATACTGGTGTCTGTTTGTTCTCAACTCTCGAATGAGCTATAAAGAGATTTCTGCTACAATCGCCGCTTGCATATTGAATCGCTAATTTTCGGAAGAGGTAACGGCTGTATTATCACCAGTAAGCTATGATACCTATTGAGGGTTTGTCATATCTATATCTCGTGAGGTTTACTTGACATTCCCATTTTTAAAATATGAAGTGAGTCCTCAACGATGATTAGATATTGAAGCCACAGTCAAGTTTGAATGGACTCATCCTGAGGAGATTACAAAGATCTTTCAAAAGGAAAATCGCATTTCTCTCAATTTCCTGACCGCAATCAAATCAAGGCATACTTCTAGCAGAGTCTGATTTTCCAATCATGGTAGTTGTTTCCTGAAATGGAGTGCTGCGTGTTGGGAGGTGGGTCCAAACGAGAATTTCGCAAGCGTGGGCGCTTTTCGTACCAGCCATGCCATTAACTTTAGTGGAATGGCTGTCTACAACCCCTACAAATCAAGGAAGTTAAAGAGCCCATAAGACTGTAAACAAGTTTAAGCCATTTTCTTCTTTCTCCTTATTAAGGACAGCCGTGGTGTTACCATACGAAGAATCCAGATTGCCAAGTGAACGTACACTAAATGGGAGCCTCCAGTGTGCTTCACCATCTGAATTCGAACTCCAAACACATATTATAGTGTCTTGGGACGTCTTTGAATTATGCTAGTGGTGTAGTTCGGCCGTCGTCGGTCGTTCACTTCAATAGTGAATGATCAACAGTCAAATGGTAATTCGTGGTTCGCAACTGAAATCGTGGAGTCGCATATCGTGGGTCGAAGATTAGTGCAAGGCTCAAACACTTTGAATCATAACTCAACCTTCGTCCATAGAGAGCTTTTACTGGTTGAAGCTCGTAGAGTAGTACATCCCATCGCGGTGTAGCGGAGCAGGGCCGCCCATCATCTTTGAAACTCCTCTCCTGGGTTTTCGTTTACCCCTCAAGCGTTATGGAAACTCCCAAAGCATGATCCACGACCTTAAAAATATTTGTCATTAGACACCATTTATAAGAAGGATCTCTCTAATTTTGAAACCAACATCGAATATTTGATGTTGTAGATGGCTGACTCTTGAGTGGCAATACGCATTAGCGCTTGAATCATATGAGGATCAGGAGAGGTATTCAGGAGTTGATAGTCTTTCAGAGATTGTGGGGAGAGAAAAAATTAAAATACTCTTCGATGCACTCTTCGATATACTCTTTGGTGTCCTAGGCTTTCAGCTCCTGAGGATGGAAGAGAAACAAGTAGTTGACCATTCGAGTTTTGTTGTGTTGTACGGAGTATTGGTCCAAGCTTCTTGGCAAGTAGCCGTGGCTTAGGTAATTAAGGTTAAGGCTAAATCGGCTTCTCTTGAGTCTTGACCAATTAAAAGTGGCTAGATTCTTCGCCTTGTTCTTCATTTATTGATGCTCGAGTTTCTACTCGACTTGTCATTCTTTCTTTCCTTTTGGCTTCATTGAATGAGGTTACTCGATTGTATAGGAATAGGAATAGTATAGGAATAAGGAGGACTAAGATATCAATCTCGATAGGTATAAATACGATACGATCGAGGCATCCTACAAACCAGAGAAATGGGTGGTGGTTCTAATGCTACTCTGTCTGGGCACATACATGCACATACATCTTGGCTAAGGTTCTTTAACGTAATCGTGGCCTCTTGCTTCACCATCACCAGTAACAAATGCATTAGTTATCGAAGCCATATCTCAATATTATTTCTTAATTATCAATGATATTTGGTTTATCGCAATAACGTCTCATCATGATGCGCTTACAGGTCCGTCGCATTGTGGTCGTCGCCATCATTTTCAGCGCGACAATTGCATACATTCTGTACTCTCAAACCAATTATGTCACGTGGCCTCACACTGAGCCGGATGATTCAGTTATTCATGAACCATCATGGGATTCACCCCCCAAGACAAATCCCGAGTTAAAGGTACCAGATTCAAGTTCATCAATCCCACCATCAGATGATGAAATGCAACAGGATGCTGCTGCTTCATCAAATCCCTCATCGAATAATGAAGTAGGGACTACACAGACTGACGAGGCTCCCATCAAGGAAAATGAACACAAACAACCAGATGAGAAAATCCCTGATATCGATACTGATCAGGATTCCAAACTTCTTTCCGATGCAACCTCAACGCCGGTGCCCATTGTACCACCTGTTACGTGCCCAAGTTACGCAGAGATTCAGATGGTGAAACAAGATCCATTATCTGAAGGACATAGGAAATTTCCTTATTCTCGTCCTGCACCAGAATGCCGAACGTTCAATCTCCCTTCATTAGAAAAGCTCATTGAACAGATGAAAACAATTATCAAGGATCCCGATCTTTTCCGGCTTTTCGAGAACAGTTATCCAAATACTTTGGATACCACAATTAAATGGAGGGGATATGCAAACCAGATTGACCCTGTTACCAAAAACGAGACAGCCACAGATGAAGAGCTCACATTTGTCATCACTGGTGATATCGATGCAATGTGGTTACGGGATTCAGCATCTCAAATTTATTCATATCTTCCATTGCTCGAAGCGTCTGACAATCGAGATTCCCTTGCAAGTCTATGGCGAGGACTTATCAATCTTCACGCAAGATATATTATCATCTCACCATACTGTCATAGTTTCCAGCCCCCGCCAGAGTCTGGTCTCCAACTCCAACACAACGGAGCATATACTCAAAACCATCCCATTCCACCTTATGATCCCAAGAAAGTCTTCGACTGTAAATGGGAACTTGATTCCCTAGCCTCCTTCCTCCAAGTTTCTACGGCCTATTATCAACGAACAAACGACCTATCATTCTTCCAGAAATATTCTTGGATTGACGCTGTGTCCGCAGCCGTAGACGCTGCTGGTGCAATGAGACTCGGTACTTATTCACCAGAAGGCAAAGTCCAAAAGTCCGCATGGTCATTCACCGGCTGGACAAATCGTGGCAGCGAAACACTAACAAATGACGGTTTGGGTAACCCTACCAAACAAAATGGGATGGTAAGAAGTGCATTCCGTCCTTCAGACGATGCATGCATATACCAACTATTTGTTCCCGGAAACATGATGTGGGCAAAATATCTCGAAGGAGCATCTCTTATTATGGAAAAATTGGACGGCAAAAAGGCTGCTAATCTCACCACATCCATGCGAGAACAAGCATTCGGAATCCGGAAAGCCATAGATCGCGATGCTATAACTCATCATCGTCAGTTTGGCGATATATACGCCTATGAAATTGACGGCTATGGCGGCCATAATCTCATGGATGATGCTAATATCCCATCGCTACTCGCCATTCCACTATGGGATTACGAAAATTCTTCATTCCCACTACCAGAGCTATTCGAAAGCGATGGGCAACAAGGAGGGAAGAAAATCCAAATCGATCACGCAAAAGTGTACAACAACACTCGAAACTTTGTCCTAAGTCAAGAAAATCCCTATTTCATGCAAGGTCCCGCCATCGCCGCAGTCGGAGGTCCCCATCTAGGTCCAGGAAAAAGCTGGCCCATGGCCGCCATAGTCCGCGCTCTTACAGCCTTGGAAACGGCATCGAAATCAGGAAAAGGAATCGCAATTGTGGAAAAGGAAGTAGTAGATCAGCTTATGATGGTACTAGATAGTACAGGTGGAACGGGAGTTATCCACGAGAGTGTCAATGCGTGGAATTCGAAGGATTGGACACGAGCTTGGTTTGGATGGGCGAATGGACTTTTTGGGGAATTGGTCATGAGGATTTCGAGGGAGGATCAGAAGGCTGGGAATGCAGGTGCAGGCTTGTTGGGGAGAAGTTGGCAGAAGGAGAAGGTGGAGGAGAAGGAGGGGCGTGCTAGTGGGAATGCGTAGTGTCTTTGTCTTGATATACGTATAGTGAGGATTGAAAATTGGATGGTTATGGTTGGCGTTTGCTAGGATTGGGATATGGGTTATATGATAGGATAGGTAGTTCTGATGTATCAGTGAATATATAAGACTTTGGATCATCAGCAAAATTGAATATTAAGTTATATCGATACCTAGATATATAATTGTATCTCTGATATACTAATCTTACATCTCATAAGCTATATGCTGCAAGATCTTACCTGCATCTATAAATTATAATTAAACACACCAAAGACAATAGATTAACATTCCTAACTACCTACAGAGTATCAGTATATTATCTTCCCTTTTAATCTTTAATCTTCTCTCGCCATTTTCTTCTCACTTCATTTTCATGATTCACTTGTGAAATATCTTTTTTGGGTAAAGTAGAATAAAATAAAATAAAATAATCTAGTATACATCTACCAATTCCCTAAAACTCAATTTATCTGATATATTATAATCGCATTCTTATTCATAAATAAATATTTTTCATAAGATTTTGGGGATTCGTGGATTATAGGGTTTGAGATTGGGATTGGGATTAGGAGAGAAAATTTGTGAGATTATTAATCTTAGGTGTGGATTTTATGGATGTTATGGATTCTTGGTGTTGGGGAATGGTTTATGTGTGATTTGTAGGAAGGAAGGAAGAAGTAGAAAAGTAGAAAAGTAGAAAAGTAGAAAAGTAGAAAAGTAGAAAAGTAGAAAAGTAGAAAAGTAGAAAAATTAAATGAGGGATGAATGATGAAGAAGAGGGAAGGAAGTAAGAGAAGGGAAGATATGTATGTATTATTGCAACATTTATGATTTCATGATAGATGACCGTATAATCTCGATACCTTAGCCTCTTTCAATGGAAGGTAGGATCTTAGCTAAAGTAAGACTTTCTATAGGTACTAAAAGGGAAGCAATCACATAGGTACTAAATCCACTGGTTACTCTAATGTAGTAAGACTATTTAGTACTTACTATGCATCTTGCACCCCTTCGTATAACTAAAAGTATGGTATAGTTCATTTGTATAGTAAATATTATAACACCAAGCTAACGAGCAGTTATAACAACCCACCAACCCATACCTAAGAGATCAAGCATAAAAATCTATATTTGATCATGATTATTATACATATACGCGATTCATATATCTTCAAATCGAAGAATCAAGTTAATTACTCATTCATATTTATATATCCCCATGTCCTCACATAATAAATCCACGCTTTTTATTTCGAAATATAATGATGAGCTGAAAGAATTAAGTCTCTTATAAGATTAAATGTCTTCTGATTTACTCATTCTTACTTAGTTAATTTACGAAAAACCTATCTTAAGGGAATAGTCAAATATAACTGCTTAACGAATTGAGAAATTTTGAGAATAAAAGGAGGGTCGGATAGCAGAAATTCTAGATGGTGTTTAGTTATAGGTGTACTTTTGAGAATCTTGATGATGGTTAAATTCCCGAGAATGGGAGTTAGGATGAGTTTTAGGCTGAAGTGAGAACATATCAAATACTTCCCTGCCACTAAAATTCAAGGTCTGATGAGTTCGTCTTGATATTCATATCTGATAGCTCGAAAATCATATCAATAGAACGAATCCTTGTTCTAAGAAAAGGGTGTGAATAACAGATGAAACTAGCAGATGTAAAGAAAGAAAGTTAATCAAAATGCCTTATCTTTGCATCCCACAACTCCAGGTTCCTTCCTCATCCCATCCCATTCCTGCTCCTCATTGCCCGTTCTTCCTGATACCTTTCGCGTTCTTTTTCTCTCTATTTGCCTTTTCCATAGCCCTCTTAGCATCCTTATACTGCCCCATCCTTTCACTCCCCAACGGACTATATCTCCTCCCATCAGCCGCCTCTTTCAACAACGGCAATTGAATAATCGCTGAGAAAGTATCAAACACTTTTTGAATAGGTTTATTATGTCTAACGGCAACAGCTGCAAATGGAAAGGTATCTTGACTGGTCTGGGCTATGTCTATAATCCTGGTCATGGGTTAGTTGGTTGGGATAGATGTAAAAGACTGGGTGAGAAACTTACAGATTTGGTGGGTGATTCGATGAGGTCATCTGTTGTCTCGAAGTTTGTGGCGTCGGTCTTGGCAGGGAAGGTAATGCTGCGTTTGGTGTGTAACAAGTGACAGATTTTGCTTGTTGAGGTATGGTTGAGTGGAGGGCTCGTGCGTCGTTAATCCCATCATTGCATGTTTTATTTTGACGTTCACCAAGAGATATAGATGAAGAGGCTCGGTTATTATCTGTCGAAGATTGCCATGCAGGTATCCTATAAAGAGAAGGTCTACGGCGTACATCTGCTGCACTTGCGTGAGAAGGAGGTAGAGATGGAGACGGAGACGGAGAGATGTTTCTGGTAGGTGCAAGAGCGGCTACCGATTTTGGATTTCTCATGGGCTTTGCTGAACCCATAGAGGAGGATTGGGAAGGTTGCATGCCTGTGATGGATGCAGGCAACTTTTCAGGTATAGGAGATGGTTCAGAAATTCGTTCTTCCTGCATCGGAGGATATGTACATGGCGTCCATGAGGATTGAATTTCACGTGGTATTGATTTCGGTGATACCAATTCTTGAGCGAATCTCTGATTCTGGAAGTTCCGGATTGACATATTTTGTGGGTTGGGCCAACGAGATTCGCCATTACCGCGATGGTATTTGCAGTGCCACTCCGGATGGCTCTTAACACCAGGGAGCATATCTCTATGTGGCCGTCTAGAGGGTAGATAACCGGAAGGTTTCCAGGAAAATTCTTGCCAACCAGCTGTAATGGGATACTGTGGCGGCAGAGGTAGCGGTACTCCACCAAAGGTAATTGGGACATTTGGATCTTCCAAAAAGTCCAAAAACGCAGTATGGTCCGAAACAGAAACATATTCTGCATGAGAAGGAAATGATTTTGCCCTTGATTGATACGTGGATGTCGGAGATACGTATGGCGACACATGATTCGAATATTTGTATGAATTTTCCTCGTGCTTTCGTTTCTTGGTATAAGCTTGCTCTGGGGCTGTGGAGACGGTCGATTTTGAATAATAATAAGGTGATGTAGGTGAAGGCGGCGGAGGCATGGATTTAGCGTACCAGGGTGGTGGAATTTTGAACGGTATGGTTTGAGATATATGCGAAGGAGATGACTCAGATAACTTCGATTGAAGAACGTTCAGGGGCTGACAGAAAGAGCCAGATGTAGTAGTGGGGTATAACCTGTGGAGTGATCGACATCTGCTCATATTTATATCATCAAGGTTAGGACCGGGGCTAAGCAAGGGAACCATAGCTGTGGATTTATCTGGCGACAGATGAGTAACTGAAATTTTGGCGCTTGAGATAGGACTAGTCATGTCGATATGAGTGCTCTGTGGAGGAAATTCCAGCCTAGTATATCTTTGTTTAGCATGACTTCATGAGAGCAAGATTTTGCCACACCTTCTGCGCCTTTTCTTCCTACGCCGAGGGACTGAAAACACAAATTCTACTTCATCATCTGCATGTTCCGTGGCTGGATTTTCTGTTGGGACTCTCTCTGGCACTTGAGTAGTATCAATACTTATAACAGGTTGAGAAACATCCATTCGGGACGAGCTGTCTATCTGAGGTAGTGGGATACTTTGGGGTCCTGAAATGGGAGCAGTTTGTGGTGATACTTGCAAAGTATCACTTGATACATCAACATGTTTAGCCGCAGTCATCATGGATAGTGGGCAGGAAGCAAAAAGTGAAGAAGTATAGAAAAAGAGGAACTGCTGGGAATACAAAAATTGAGACGTAAAGTAGGTAAAGACACAAAGGTTGATACAGAGATTTATCATCTTTATTGTACCATCTTACCGTGTTTGACATTAGCATACATAATGAGGATGAAGGAATTGGCACCTTTTACCTGCAGTAATCTTCAAACAATGAAAGATATAATGGAAAATTACCTTCTGCTTGGATATGCATTTTGTTTTGACCTTTTGTGTGTTTCCAAGGACATACCATTGTCATTTGGCAGATTTGAAAAAGAGAAGAACCATTCATAAACATAAGAAAATAGATGCATAGTATCTGAAAAAAGAAAGGGGTAGTAGTAGCAATAGTAGTAGTAAATTCATAATCGATTTGATTTAACTATAGCTAAGGCTACAGAAAGGGAGATGAAAAGGCTTGCGATTGTGAAGTTTATCTATTTGCTTCCAAGAGCTTGATCTATATATCAAGCTACATATCAAGATCTACATATAAATTCATGAACAAATGATAAGCTTACTAGAGACTAGAGGTGAATTTAAAAGCTACAGCCAACTGTTGAGCCACCAGAAAACTACTAGTTACACTTGCCACACTTCAATGTCAACCGAAGTTTAACCGAAACAAATAACGATAAAGCTCCCACTATCTCCATATCATATTACATCAAATCAAATCAAATCAAACAAATGAACAAACAGACAGACAGAAGACAGAAGGCAGAATTCGATTATCACACAATATAGTAGCATTGCTCCTTTACTTGTTGACTCTTTGGCAAAACCTTAAAGATGGCTATGGACAACCATAATCCTCTACTTTCAATACAGAAGTCTTCTGATTCTGGCCTCCAGATAGCTCTACATCCTCTTGTTCTTCTCACAATCTCAGATTATATCACAAGACATACTCTGCGGCAACAAACTGGGCCTGTTGTAGGAGCATTGCTGGGTCAACAAAATGGTCGTGAAATTACTATTGAGCATGCATTCGAGTGCCTACTTGAAGCGACAGCGGAAAATGAAGTAAAGTTATCACCAAGCTGGTTTGAGGCAAGATTACTGCAGAGTATGTACATCCTGTTTCTGGGGGCGATATTCGAATACTGACCTTTCACAGTGAAGGATGTTCACAAAGTCCCTCCTCTTGACCTTGTTGGCTGGTACACCATAATTCCTAGCTCTGGACCACAACCTATCCACCTACCCATTCATCGACAAATCCTCTCTACATACAATGAGTCTGCTATTCTACTTGGGTTTCATCCTGAGGAAGTGCTTGGTGGCGCGGCTGGTGGGAAGTTACCTCTCACAATATACGAAAGCAATTATGAGGCAGAGGAAAGCAGTGGGGAAACTGGCGAGGATAAGGAAATGAAGGACGAAGAATCACAACTCAAGCTCAGATTTAAGGAACTTCCATTTACTGTCGAGACTGGCGAAGCAGAGATGATCAGTGTTGACTTCGTGGCCCGTGGTGGAGGAAATGCTACAGCTGTAGATGGTACCAGCAAGAAAGTTGCGCCCGCAGAAGGTAAGGGCAAAGGCAAGGCAACGTCCGAAGACACGATTCGCTCAGAAATCCCGAAACGCGACGAGGGCAGTTTATCACGCGAAGACGAAGAACAGCTCGCTTCCCTAACTGCGAAGGCGAACGCTATCAAGATGCTACAATCTCGAATCAATCTGGTTGCCGCTTATCTCCAAAATCTCCCACCCTCCTACGTATCTGACGGAGTTGCTTCAGAATCCGATATCGAATCTGGAAAGTACGCACCGGTCAACCACTCGATTCTCCGCTCTATTCAAGCCCTCCTCGGTCGTCTCAGTGTACTCATACCCGCCAACAGTCAAGGTTTTGAACACGAACTCATCTCTGAAAAGAACGATGTCAGCCTTATCTCCCTCCTCAGCGAGCTCACAAAATCAGCGCATGATATCAGAGAGACAGGAAAGAAGTTCGCCATTGTGGAGAATGGAAAGATGAACAGGATGATGAAGCAGGACCGTGGCATGAGTTGGGGCGATCAGAGCCATCCAATGCGAGATGTAATGAATGTTGGAGATCTTCTTATGTGATAGTGTTGTCTTGTTATCTTTGAGCGATTTTTACGGCGCATTTTTGGTTTGGGCGTATGGAGAGGAGGCATGCAGGCGTGCAAGTGGTGCGCGATTTACATCGTGAAGAAAAAGGCAACTGGCGTACTTTGCATGTGGCATTTTTGATATCATGAGAATGGGGTCACGAATGAACGAAAAATAGATAAGCAACGATTATCTGGCATGACATAAATTTGAGATTTCCGCTTTCGTATTTTATCTTGCTAGACAGCATTGAAAATTATTTCTACAATGGATTGTTGCACAATCCTGTGCTCTACTTTTTGGGCAATGCGGTCTTACGATGGTGAATCTCGCACGACATGTAACGCATCATTTGACTTCATGTAAACCGAACTCGACATACTAAATATGTAAGTTGAGTGGAAGAGCGATATTAGTATCATCTCGATCAAGCATACTACCTGCACCCCAAGCCAGCATCAAGAGCTATTTCTGACTCGAGCTATTCTTGATTGTAACGTGTGATGTGGAGGTGAATACCAGGAGGATGTGCCTAGGTAGTCTCAAGGTCGTTTAGCTTTGGGATTTACTGCCAAATGTGAAATTAGTAAATAGACATCAAGATGGTATGGTCCGATGGTTAAAAGATGGTAGAGTATATATGTAATACAAGGAAATGTAAGAGGAAAAACTAGAATAGATTTATTAAATGGGAATAACTAATTAATCATCTCCAAACACCACCTAGCACACTAAGTCTACCTCAAAATGGAAGCACAGCTCTACTTCCATTCCATCTCCGGTTCGTCTACAACAAACACCGAATCGATCCACGGGCAACATTCCAAACCCTATCTTCGGCTTATATATGAAAAATGAATAACGAAATCGTATACGTAAGGAACCCATTACTCCCACACTCATACCCAATCTTCTTCAAACTCCTCTCCAACTCCTCTCAAATTCCTCTCAAACTCCTCTCAAACTCCTCCATCTATCTTTAAACCTCAATCACCACCTTCAAAACCAGATTTCCCTGCTCATCCATCGTCTTCCCCGCCAACTCAAACGCATCCTTCGCATTTCCCAACCCGCTAAACCGATGCGTAACCATATGATCCAAGCTCGGCAATCCTCCTTTCCGCCCACTAGCACCCAGCATTCTAATGCCAACCGGATACGTATTTGCATATCTGAATACCCCTAGAATATCTACTTCGCGGAGATGCGCCGCCGAGAGAGGAAGTGTTTGGATGGGTGTTCCCATACCTACCATTATTACTTTGCCGCCCGGTTTGGTGCTGTAGATGGCGGTTTGCATGCAGATTTCCTTGCCGGTGCATTCGAAAGTTATATCTGCGCCTTCGTGGTCGGCTTCTCCGAGAATGTCATCTCTGGATGCGATGGCGAGAATATCACATGCGCTGGCTTTTGCAAAATTGAGATGATCGGAGATGGTGGTGTATGAAGCGAGAGGTGTTGTAGTGCCGGAGATAGATGGTGTGGAGGTTCCAGATGAGGAGTTTGTAGATGGAGCGGTGGAATTGGTGCCGGAAGGTGGAATCACGTAGCCGTGTGTGGCGAATCCGTGCTCTAGGGCGTATTGAACGCGGTTGGCGGATATGTCGGTTATGGTCACAATGGGGCAGCCGGATTGACGAGCCATGGCTGCGACGAGTAGACCTACTGTTCCAGCCTAGATGAGATGTTAGTAAAGTGGAGCACATAGCAGAGGAGAAATTGAAAAATTTATCGATATGACGTTGCGGAAGTATCAGCCGGTAGAGGAACTTACTCCGATTACGACAGCCGTAGATCCAGGTGTAGGAGCAGCTCGATTCAAGGAATGTATGGCCACCGAAAGTGGTTCGAGAAGTGCAGCAGCATCGAAGGAGATATGATCAGGAAGTCTAGCAAAGTATCAGTAAAGCTGTTTGTCATAGGCACAGACTAAAAGAACATACTTATGACACCAAACAGCTGGATGATTGATCCTCTCTTGCAGCGTCCCCTGAAAATGGGGCACACTCTTCGCACTACTCCTAAACCTCATCTTCTTACACAAATTGTATCTCCCTTTCCTGCAGATATCACATTGACCACATGATATCCCCACCTCAAGGGCAACTCTGTCGCCAATGGAAAAGCCATTAACTTGTGGCCCGATTCCTACAACCACACCTGAAGCTTCATGACCAAGAGATAGAGGTGCACAGGCACATAAATCGCCATTGGCAAATTTCTTGTAGTAGCTCACATCTGAGCCGCATATACCGGTCGATTTGATCTGAACTTGGAGTTCTCCGACAAGAGGTTCGGCGATATTGCGAACTTCCTAGAATTCAAAGTCAGTTAGGACTCTTCTGATATATGTGCTGAGAAGGAAGGTGGGATGAAATTCTCTTACCAATCTCACATCTCGTATCCCGTGGAGAACACTACTGAGAATGGTAGAATCCTTAGTCGCGTGGGACGCGGCCTCCACTTCCATCACATTTTCATTGTAAGCCGGCGCCATTCTGAATCACTGTGTAGGATATCAAAGATATGAGGTAACAAAAATGTCTTAGTGCTTTGACAAGAAAGCAAAGTGTGGGGGGTTGACAAATTCTTGTCTTTGCCCACTGCCCCAAAGTGAACCCCCAAACTTATATCGTTTATCTTCCTCCCCTGGACAGGGATTGGCGCTCTCATTGTCAGGTCAGGCAGCTTGTAGCTATCTACAGTATCAGGATTGATTTTGATTGCGAGGTATCTATCATGCAAATACCTAATCTATCATGTTGCTATCCATCGCGCAGTGTACTTAGTGACAAATCATTGGAGTATTGCGAAAATGCATATAGCGCATGCATCTGTACTATGCAGACGCAGGCGCGGAAGCACACCATAATTTTGTTAACTTTGTGCTTTCTCGGACTCGGACCTTTCAGCGCTGTGTGAGGGTACTTCGCGATTGGAGTGGAGTATACTTCATTTTGATGTATATTCCATTAGTGAAGATCCTAAGAAGATCGGATGGTGTGTAACGGCAAATGAAAGATGCAACACTGCCGGGCATTTGGCTTCAGCCGGAACGTTCAAGATGCCTCTATGGCTAGGAAAACTTCCGAGCCCCTCAATTAACACTTATCTCAAGTAAATGATACATTGCCAATCCTTTGCGTCTGCCTGTCGACTGCAGCGCACATCATTGAAGTGACAATTAGTACATATGAACTAATGTACTGATACAATGCCGGATATAGAACTATGGGAGGCATGGATCCGATAAGACGGCTAATTCATCCGAACTCATAAATCCCGTCGACTGCACGAGAAGAGTGGAGAATTTGTATGGAGCACTGAGTTTCTCGTGATTGATCGTAACCAAAACTCGAATGTTTGACAATCATTCTGCTCCGTACCCCAGATATTCTTCACACCTTGGTAAATTAAAATCGGGGTACTGTTCTACCAATGCAGGAGCTCTTGTCAATCGTCGATGTACCCATTGACCGTTTAATGATAGATTTATTGTGACGAAAAAAGTCGACAGAGATTTTGGTTGCATAAATGGCGTGTTCCTTTAATTCATGGAGTTTAGTAAGGCTTTAAGATTCGAATGGCATGATACTGATAGGGAATTCAAAAGAGGCGATATTTTTATTTTCCTGCCGATAAGAGAGCCAAGATGTGATACGAAGTTCGTCATGGCGCACATACTGGGTATTTTTTTCGCATTTTCTCATACTTGTTACTTGTTAGAAGATGCCCACTTTCACGCAGGAGTGAGGTGGCAATAGCGAATTGAGTAGCAGCGAATAAATGCTTAATTCGATTTGCAAATGAGAAAGTAGCCGGAGACGATCCAGATTTTTCAAATACTTGGATACAAACGTAAGAAAGAGCTAGATGGCTTGATTATTCGTTTATGTCCCTCCTCGGAAGAACACGGCCCGTATGCCTGATGTTGTGGAGAAATGTGTTCTTCCTCCACAGCGTTGCATTCTATTCCGGGTGGCATATTGGTGTTTTGATCCTACTGGAGAATGAATGATATGATGGAGAGTTGATCGTAACCTTTTGATCGTGAATAGTATTTTCGTGACGTGGCTACAGCTGCGCTGCATGTGAAAAGGAAGAAGAGCCTGCAGAAATCAGATATGTGACACAATATCTATATCAAATTATTCATGAAGCTTGTGCTACACATTACTAGAGCACAAAGAAGGGAACCTACATTTCAAATGGTGTTACGAACCAAAGGCCTGGTTCGGATTGATTATGGGCTTGGTCATCCGTTTCCAAGGTAATGTAATCGCCTGGATTAGCGAAATTTTGTATATGCATTTATCCGGAGACCCTGGAAACTTTTCGAGGGTCTAGCGAGGCTGCGGCTCAGTGATATATATGCAATGGTGCATATTGAACTGAGAAAAGCAAGCATCTAGTTTAGCGGTGAGCAGACCTACCTGTCCACTTTAGAGGCACCAAAACGAATTCATTAAATATTCTCAAGTACTGTTAAAAGGTGCCAGTAGCTGAACGGATAAAGTCGCACAAGGATTATTGTATTGCATACACACTGTGCTGCTTTGCATGAACGATACAGATTTTGGGTTGTACAAAGCGTCTGACAAGTGCCCTTTTCTCGGATCATATACCGGAAAAGTCCTTGCCCGGAAAATTTTCTGCAATAGGCCTTTTCATAGAACATTAGCCAACCTCGAGGCTGCATTCCTCGCATCAACTCTGTCCTCGTCATCTTCCTCTTTTAAACCCGGCAATCCACCAGTGCTGCCACTGAGCGACCTGTCACGACCCACACCCTCTTCTTCGCCATTTGCGCCTTCGGGAGTGGACATGAAACTGCCTGAGATACTCCGGTTAAGTCCATCGGGGCGTCTTGGAACACCAGACCACGAATCACCTTTTGGTCCTTGACTAGCTGCAAGACTGGCTCTCCTTGCTGCTGGGTGTGCTTCTCTACCCAACCGGCTAAGTCCACCAGAGGCATCGATCGCTCGTATGTCTGGTCTAATGCTTTCTAAGGTCGCCAATGTCCGTCGCTCCGCCTCAATCTCACGAATCACATATTCTCGAATGCTTAGTCTTAAATCAGTAGCAGTTCGAGCGAACCATCTTCGTTTTTCAAGCAATAAATTTGCTGTAACGCGTTGGGTTTTATTGTGAAGATAAGCTTCATTGCTGCGTGCCTCATCGAGAGCTGATATGGCCTCATCAACTTTTTCCCTTCTGACAGATGAGCTGGCCTTTAAGCGGTCTGCGGCATTAAGTTTGCTTCGAGTCAATTGCTGAGCCTGTAATAATTCACGCAGAAGAATATGCCGATTCGTAAGAGTCTCCTTGACGATGAATGCATCTTGAGAGTGATACTGAAGTGGATCACCAAATGTTGTAGCTTCAGCAGTGCCTTGTGCTGCATGGAAATCGCCCGTACTTTGAATTGTCTTTCCAAGCTTCCGGTATGCATTAGCTAGGCCTTGGTGAGGCTCTTGGATATTCATTGCACCCAATTTGACACCGAAATCGGACTCCGCTAGACCAAGACCTATATACAAATTAGAAGCTGGATACTATACAATCATGTGACAACTTGTACCTCGTCTTGCTTTGACCAGCTTGTCTACCTTGTGGCCCGCATCCATTGTACCGAGGTAGAAGAGCTTCACTACTGGCCTGGCGTCTTGTAATTCTGGTGTATCGTCCGGTGGAGGAGCAAATTGTTTGATGACCCTTCGACGAACGCCAGTAGCGGGCTGCTTTCTCTTCAACATTGGGCTGTATCCAAAATCACTCTCAACAAACAAAACCATCTCGTCATCCCTCATTAATACCTCATTAGAACAAACATAATTGAGCCATCTCTGGAGAGAAGCTTTAACCCGCGCTTCGTCCTCATCAGTACCAGCACCGGCAGATGTCAAGGCGGGAGGAACTGCGGGAACTATAGCTTCCGGATTCGACGATATTAAATGATCTGCTAATTTGATGAATTCAGAATGCGTTCGTCGAACATCACGAAATTGTGTCGTTCTAAATTTCGGAAGATTGGTCTAAACAATGCGGTTAGCCCAATACCACAACTGCATGTTTTCTTGGTTGATGACTTACGTGTACATCGAATCGCAAGATAGGATCTTTCCTCCCGGTGCGCTCCAGTCCAGTGATCTTTGCTTGCAACTTGTAATTTGGTGCGGATGCATGATGTCCTTGTCGCGCAGCAGAATGGTGATATCTATGAGGTTCGGATCTATGTTGACCCGCTGGATACTGCTGTTGCTGAGCCGTTTGCTGTTGATACTGTTGCCCCACGCCTTGTTGTGTCTCGGCGTCACTTTGAGTTGATCCAGCAGTATCAGGCCTGCGACTTTCAACATCAGAGACGCCAGCACTGCTGTCTGGCCGGTTAAAACCTCCTGCTCCGATCACATCCTCCTGTGGATAGCTTGCACCGCCGCTTTGATCTGGGTTGTATGGAGTCGGCGATACGATATCTCTCGAAGGAAATGTGCTGGTTCTTGGAGCTTGCGGTGAGCTAGTAGGAGAAGATCCCCATGGAGAAGCTCCAGCAGGATTATCGGCATCGTTGATCGAGGCAGAGTAATCCATGATGATGGACGGCGCGAGGTTTGAGTGTATAAGACAGTAAGCTAGAGACAATTGGATAGGAACGGAGCAATTATGTGTTCAAGAGGGAGTTTTGCTTTCAAACTAGACCATCTGGGTATTTCATAAATTCGTGAGAAACAAGTAGAAGATATCAAATCAAGCAATCAATCGAAGTTGACTTGAGCTTCTGTAGTGGTAGGCATAAACAAGAGTTCCAAGGTTCGGCCGCTTCAGTCTGGCCTATTGTTCCGCCCCGTGCTTCTCAAAGTTATCCAACCTCAGGCAATAATTACTAATCCATCATTCTCCTCGGTAAGTCCTCTCAAAGTACAAAGAGTTTTTATATCCCCAAATTTTTGAGGGGATGGTGTTACTTGTATCAAACAGAGGCTGTCGAGTATGGCATCGATACTTGACACAAGTCATTCGACCTTGTTTGACTAAGCCTAGTCAATGGAATGCGTTCGTTCGCTATAATTCACAACAAACCGAAAGTCATGATGCATTAACAGAAACAACTCGAAATATCGGTATCATAGCTCACATCGATGCGGTAAGTTCCAATTGTCACTTGTATTACTTGCCCCTAATTTCAGAAGGGCAAAACCACTACCACAGAGCGTATGCTCTATTACAGTGGCTATACTCGACGCATAGGAGGTATGATTGCTGCGGTCACATGATTATCACGAATAGAGTCTGATGGTCTGTTAGACGTTGATGATGGCTCCACTGTCACTGACTTCCTTCCCGCCGAAAGGGCCAGGGGCATAACTATTCAGTCGGCAGCTGTGACCATGCACTGGCCTCCCGTGGCCGAAAATAGTATATCCTCGGAATTGGCCCAGCCGTCCCGATCACAGGTATCACATACCATTAATCTAATTGATACTCCGGGCCATGCAGATTTTACATTCGAGGTTCTTCGTTCCTTGAGAATTCTTGATGGAGCCGTGTGTATTCTTGATGGTGTGGCAGGGGTAGAAGCTCAAACCGAGAAAGTATGGAAACAGGCAAACAATTACAGCATTCCCAGAATTGCTTTCGTCAATAAGCTTGATCGTGAGGGAGCTGCCTTTGCAAGAACGGTCCAAGAAATCGGATCAAGACTTCGAGGTTGGCCTGCTGTTTGTCAGATCCCGTGGTGGGAAGGCGGCAAGGGCAGGTTTACGGGAGTTGGCGATGCAGTTAACCTTTGTGCTCTGAAATGGGAAGAAGGTGGTGACGGTAAATCGATTCAACATTTCACTCTTCACCAGCTGCAGAAAGATGAACCAAAGTTTGCTGACGAGGTCGTCAAGGCACGAGCTGCACTCGTAGAGGCATTGTGCGAATTTGACGAAGGACTCCTTGAAACCTGGTTGGAATGTGATGATGATAGTCTACTCATATCACCAGATGACATCATTAAGAGCTTACGGAAATGTGTTCTTGACGGTTCTGGTAAACTCATACCCGTCTTTGCTGGAGCAAGTTTCAGGAACATTGGAGTTCAACCGCTTCTTGATGCAATCAACAATCTCCTACCCAACCCTACCGAGAGGCCCGAGCCAGAAGTACGATTAGGCAGCATGCGCGGTAGTTTGACCCAGCTTCTACAAGGAAAGCTAGACCTCGCCGCAGCACAAGAGAGACAGATCTCTAAGAAATCTAGCCCTCGAACTTCTCTTATCACCCAGCTCGAAGCTTGTGCGCTTGCTTTCAAGGTAGTTAATGATCCACGACGAGGTGTACTAGTCTATATCAGGGTATACTCCGGCACAGTCAAGCGAAACACTGCCTTGTGGAATACGAATCTTCATGTTTCTGAAAGAGCGCAGAGACTTTTACAAATGTACGCATCTGATGCTGTAGAAATACAAAGTATTCCAGCTGGTCAGATTGGTGTTATTGCCGGTTTAAAACATGCTCGTACGGGCGATACCTTATTGTCTTACACAGGAGCTCATTCAAAAAACGGTCCGCCAGCACCACTGAACATTCTCCAACTACGCCCGATCGATGTCCCTCCACCAGTCTTTTTTGCCGCAATAGAACCGCACAGCCTAAGCGAAGAGAAAAATGTAGCCGAAATTTTACAACTCTTGTTGAGAGAAGACCCGAGTCTTCATGTCAATGTCGATGAAGAGTCTGGTCAAATGCAGCTGAGCGGTATGGGTGAGCTGCATCTGGAAATCGCCAGAGATCGACTCGTGAATGATTTCAAGGCCAAGGCAACCATGGGCAACATTGAAATCGGCTATCGTGAATGTGTTTTGTCTCCTACATCAACTCATAGGTACATTTTTGATCGTGAGGTTGCTGGGAAAAAAGGGAAGGCAGGGTGCGAAGCTAGTATTAGTCCGGATGAGCAGCCGCTAGAAGACTCTGACCATACTATGCATATCGATGGAAACACAATCACAATCCGAATTCCAAAACCTGCTAAGAATGATGGAGGCGATGGAATCCTGATACTGCCTTCCGACATGACTCTCGCCGAGGTCCATACCGCATTGCTTAATGGGGCTGTCGCGGGTCTAGCCCGTGGCCCACGTCGCGCATTCCCGCTCCATTCTGCGCATGTGCTGCTAAAGTTCGATACCATCGAAGATGTTTTTGGATCTGACACTACTTCTGCTGCATTGTCTTCTGCATCGAGGCATGCTGTACAAGCTGGTCTCAAGGAAGCTTTCCAGGCAAACTCTATTGGACTAATGGAGCCTGTCATGAATGTAGTTATCAGCTGCGACGAATCATCTCTCGGTGCAATTGTCCATGATCTCTCCTCTGCTCGCGGTGGCCACGTACTATCACTCGAAAATGATAATGAGGTAGAAGATTCAGATGGCGAGCTGCCTCCGGTTGATATATCCAGAGTTTACACTCCTCCAGATCCATTCGCCTCAGGAACCAGCACTGATCCATCAGGACCTGGCCAGCAGCGTCAAATTACCGCCAGAGTACCATTGAAGGAGATGGTTGGGTATTTGAAGCATTTGAGGAGTATGACTGGTGGTAGAGGAACATTTATTATGAGTGTTGATAGATTTGAAAGACTCTCTGGACCAAGAGAAAAAGCTTTGTAGCTTGGCCATAGACTGTAATGCTAGGGTTGGAATAATATCCTTTGTGTGTTTGGAGTTTTTTTTACCTCCAAAGCCGGGGAGATTTTAGTAATTCGGAGGACTCAACAGAACTTCATGTTCGCGTTCGATATCTTGTTCGTGCTACCCCATTCAAGCTCTGTTTTTCTGGCTCGCCGACCTGTAATTACCGAGTTCATTAGTTGAAAATACTATTTAACAGACTAGAAGCACACTCTGAAGCGAGTATTCGTTATTTTAAGAGCTTTTAGAGGCATTAAGATAGCCGTATTACAATGCTCTAGTCTGAAATGTTCACAGTAGACTTCCTGGTTCACTCTCAATATTCGCGATATCCCATACGACATAAGACTACTGGTATCTTCTTCAACTGTACGCACATATATGTTTCAATCATCGTGACTCCCTTGATTCCTGCCAGCTCTAAATTAGTTGGGCGCCGCAATACCCGCAGTAGCTCTAGGTCTAGACTCATCTCGACTTTAACATAAATATTTGTTGCACATCTATCCAATCTCTAAATTGACGTCACAAAAAGGGAAGAGCCAGTGTATACCCATATATCATACCACTGGGTCAGATCTGCAGAGTAGTCTCTGCTATACCGGTCCAGCTATAATAAAAATGATAATACACTTAGTATTAAAGCATTTTCGGATTCACCACACCACAACCCCAATTCAGCCATGTTGTCACATTTGCAGCAAGCGGCGCAAAACTTTCCTCACAAGGTCCATCCATTCCCAAATATTTATAAAAGCTTGCTTCCACCTTTTTGATCTCCTTTTTTCTTCTTCAGGCCTTCCGCGCTCTGTGGTGAGTGCAAAGTATATGAGCGAGGCCGCGTTGCCAAATATTTCGAATGTTTTGAAACTTTTAATAGTAATGATTTGATTTACAAGTGAGTGCGGTAGCATATGGTATGATTATGCTTACTTGCCGCACTGTCTGCGCAATAGGCAATGCAAAACGCTGGATACCTACTTAAGCTTTGGATTTTCTACAACTAATCAATCCCCATCTTCAAACATTCTTCCATGTCTACGCAAAATCGATTTAAGAAAGGAATGAAATATACAGAACCTATGATTCTTGAAATTCTTGACTCTGACATGGAGGATAGTAGGGGGTATTCACCAGCTGCGGACGCTAGTGTGAAAAGGTACGTTCGCAACACAATTTGGAGTGAGGGATTTAATAAATCTGAAATAGCTCGCATAACACTTCAGCTAATGGACAAGGCTCTCATACGCCGGACCTAGAAGCAAAATGGCAGGCCTCAATCCCGTCGGTAATGCTCCACCCACTCAGTCCCAACAGGAAGAGCAAAAGAGTGAGTTCAAATATTTCAAGATATATAATCTATAGCTTACATTTAATAGGTTCCAGTATTAAGCCAGTACGTCTCCCAGTCTTTTCTCCGTTATGACAGATGCTCCTCCGCCCAAACGACAAATGTCCTTCCCTCCAATCACACCGTGGATTACGAGACATGATACCTACAAGGAGGTGCAGAAACAGTTATCGCCGTATGGCCTAGGGCCTGACGATGGACGAGTCGCCAGTGATAAGTGGCTTCCCTTCAGCGTCCAATCTAAGATCTTGACGCGGGTTCAAATCGTTTTAGAAGAAGCTTTGTTCGAGTTTTTAAATACAAATTTTACGCACGTGTGCGAAGAAAATGGATGGGAGGAGATGGGCGAGGCTGAGTGAGTATTTGTTTTTCATTTTGCACTATGCAGCATGTGCTGACATTAGGTTAAAAAGGTTGATCGACATCGCTGTTTCAATCATGATCCAGCTTGATGGAGATAAGGATCGCTTTAGTAGTCTCCTTGATGGAGAGATATATGATCATAGTTCCGAAACACTCCGGTGTCTTCTTTTAAAGATCTCCCAGATCCGACACTGTGCTGTTCACCGCACGAAAAAAATTCCAGTCATCACACTAGAACTTATGGTGCGTGGTGCAGTATACGTTACCTCGTATATACAGGACAAGAAACGAACTGAAATTCTAGATAGTATCTGCAGGCCACTTGAACCTCTGTCCTTCAATCTAGAGGCTAGGTTTGGGGAAAGATTAGCCAAAAAAGCACAGAGAAATCTAGAGAGAATTAACAATAAGGTACAGCAGTTACAGGAACTTTTGAAGGAGGAAGAAGTCAGACAGGCAGTGGCTAATATGGAAATGGAAATTATTCAGAGACAGGATGAGGGAATCTATGACGGTGGGCTGGAGTCTTTGAAGAAGGCTTTGTAAAGTTGCAGGCATCCTGGGTGAGAATAAGATGGTTTTAAAGGGACCTATTTTGAGTAGCGTTGCGTTTGATGACGTCACATAATATCTATATATTCTACAAACATATTACGAGTTAATATAGATTCTAATTCTTATAATGCTAAACAATTTCAAAGTATAAGTACTTATTGACTACCAAGCCACTCCACCATATTAACCTCTCAGCGAGACTATTGCAAAACAAACGGAGATGAAAAGCCATAAGATGGTGACTAATTGAATATCTCAAACATCATCGCCCTTTATTTACCTGTAAAATTTAGATGGGATCGATACACCCTACAGTCCTAATAATGAATATCTCCACCAAAATAAGCCAAGCACACATGATTTTAATTGAAACCCAAAAGTCTATCAGTGCAAGTATATTGTTACAAAAGTCCAAAACACCTTGCGCAGCGTGTCTAGTCACCAAAATCCCCATTTACTAGTGACCGCCGTGCGCCAAGCCACCAGTCCCTTGGCTCACTCATCTTTTAGGATGACGACCATCCAACAAGGATCCCCGCCATCGTTCAACATCCAACCTCTCAATACAATCTCAAGTTCCACAGCACTGTATCATCAAATCATTCTGCATATTCAAAAACACCTACGAAATTTAATGACGTTCCAGTTCCTCAAAACCGAGGAATGTAGACTTTAGATTAGTCCTACGGAAAAAATGAAAACGTGTTTTAATATTAATTACTCATTCCTTTATTCAAAAATGATCATTTGCGCTCGCAGACACGCGCGCATAAGGCTGACAATGAAACTCGCCCGTTTGCTGATCTTGGCGGCGCAGCCCAGCTGATTAAGACTTGAGAAGGGATAATGAAGTAAGGGATATGAAGAATGCTTTTAATTGTTTGAAGTTTTTACTTTTTGTTTGCTCTACCCATCATCATCATCATCATCATCATCATCATCATCATTTTTAATGTTTGTTAACCAATATGTTGTATCAACTTTATATTCCCATCTTGTTTTCTCTCATCACATCAGTATCGGCTTATTGGATACAATTCTACTCCGAGCCCAGATGCGGCAGTAAAGAGATTCTTCGTTCTTGGAGCGGATCAACAAGTCGAGGATGTCAGACACGGTTTTCCAAGCCGGCCACTTCGGCGCTCGTCACCAATATCGGAACGTCGGATGACAATACAGTTGTAGTGTTTTACACCTCCCAAGACTGTAATCCTGAAACTGCCATTGTGCGAGTAGAAAAGGGATGTGTTGGGATTGAAAGCGCGAACCTTGGGATTAAATATCAGTCGTTTAATGTTGTTCGGACTTTTGAATCGGCCGGGCTCACGCCGATTTCGAAGAATGCGTTTACGTATCAACACGGTGGAATTGCGCTTTATAAAGGTACGAAGTATAGGTGGTTAAGGCAGGATGATGGGTCGTTTCGAGGGGTTGTCCCCGAGGAATGGGATGATGCTGTCCTTAAGCAGAGAGGTATTACTGATTCGGTGGGTTGACGGGACGGTTGTGTTAATTGGAATCAATACCATGTGATGAAGCTAGGAATCCTCGACGCGATGCCCCGAAGCTTGTTTTAGCACAGACCAAGCTTGTATTCGATGAGCATTACCTTAGGTAAAAGGAGAGCTATCGGGGTGTTGGAGACATTGCTATAGTTTTCGACGTCGAACGGGAATTATGAATCCTTCATGCGTATCTGAGCGCTAAGAAAAAGGGGCAAATAACGCAAAACTTCCCCTCACCGAGAAAAGCATGCGACCATGCAAGAGCCTCTTTGACGGAATGTAATGATGGGCAAGGATCATCAAATTATCCATCTGCAAATGCTTGAAGACATCAAAGAAATTGGCATGCACAATATTTGTCGATCGGGTAATGTTCGAGATACTTACGAACGACGTCATCAGCGACAGTTGCATAGATTTATGCATATATGACGATATTCAAGCTGAGAGATTGTTGGACGTTTGGTGATTGAAGTGAAGTAGGAGCATTGTTGAATAACCAATCGCACTTGCGTCAAGAATTGGCCATCAGCTCAAGGCGGGAGACGACTAACACCGAAAGAGGGTTATTACTCGTGGGAAACAACTTTGCTTTACAGCCGGCGTTCTGGGTCTTAGGGAGAACGCCGAATCAGGTGTATATCGCATTTTGTCATAAAGACTCATCAAATCTGTGAATCTGCGAACAAAGATTCGCGTCTAAATCCAATGTGGTAAATACAGACAAATTAAAGATCTTTTGTCTTCCTATATACACCATAACTCCAAATGCTATGCAATGTGATTCAAGGTCTCCTTTTACCAATCATCGTCGTCACTTTCTACATTGGCCAGCTTCGAACCTCGAATGCCACCCTTCTCTTGACGCTCTTCTTCTTCATCCTCTGCGTCACGTCTCCGCTTCGTAACTCTCATATCATTGTCTTTGATAGCTCCAATTTCGATCAAAAGCTTATCAATCTCTGCCATTCCTACGCGTAGACCCCCCATTGTCATCAGTGTAACCACTTGTTTAACGATGTCTCCTTTGTTGTACACCAGTATTGTAGGACAATTCCTATCTGGATATCCCTCAATGGCCATGTCACCCCTCATTTCGCAGAACTTCACCTCCCCGAACTCTGCAGCTGCTCTTCTCCACAACTCTGTCAAAACCCTACTCTCCACGTTCGTGCCCAACCCGCTTGTGAGATTGACCAATACTGGCGAATCTTGGCTAGCATCGGTTACCTCTCTCTGATAGTCAGGCTTCGATAATGGATATACAGCGCCGTGCTTGGCTTTCTTCGATATTGACGATAATTCTGCCATTCGTTGTTTTTTATACTGTTCGAGGAATGCATCGTCCTCTTCATCCTCGAGAGCATCGAGCTCATCAAGGTCCTTGCCTTCAAGTCGGTTCTCATGCGCAAGACGTCGTGCTTCCAAAATAGCTTCCTCGATAAGGGGTGTGGGGGAAGGAGGTTTCTCGGGGATTATCCCCTTTGCTCGCAGAATATCATTCCATTCCGTATCTGCATTTGGATCGTCTATTGGAACATTAATTCTCTGGTCCATAGGAGCTGCCATGATTGTGAAAGTTGGCGTTGTTTTTGAGGAGTTACTGTATCATTGTGATATCAGAAGGTGTAAGGCTTCGAGATATTTGTGTCTAGAATCCACAATCTGCAGGCTGAGCTAGTCAAAGCAGCCTTGATAATTTTGGAGGGGCAAGGTAATCAATCTTATTAGTCGGAGCAAACAAGGCCCAAAACACCGATCCACTTAAAAAAAAAGCACGGCCTTATTTTGCATGTGTCAAAATTATGCTTTCTCACGTGATCTAGCTCGGTTAAATTTTTGGCACACTCTAGGGTTTTCATAGATTTGCTCAATTTTCTCCGCTCTTGATAGTTACAAGTTTTCGATCCATCGACAACACTGACATTTGCTCTCTACGTCTAAGAACGACATTACGACAAAAGACCGTCAGGCCAAAATTTAAATAAAAATTTCGATCACAATCCGACAAGATGGTAAGGAATTCCTTCAATCAATTATTCCCCACATCAAGGCATCGAGCACGGAAGGAGGATAGGAGGTGGAATTGTTCAGTGGGCATACGACAGCATACAACAATGACGAGGAGGAGAACAAAAGCTCAAAATGGAATTGAAAACTGTTATGCGGTCGCTATTGGGTTGGATTGGATTGCTAAAATGGATGGATTGATGGATATCGATGGTTTAGATGATTAATATTTGATAAGAATAATGGCTGACCAGGTTTTGCCACTATAGGTTCTCGCAATCGATCTCCTCAACCCATCCCCAGCTGCTGAGGCACGCAAGCACAAGCTCAAGGTATGCGACAACACTTTTTAATGAATTCTCGATTCGGTGTAAAATTGGCGGAAGCTAATAATTTTTGCCGCTTTAGCAACTTGTCCCAGCCCCAAGATCCTTCTTCATGGATGTCAAATGCCCAGGATGCTTCACCATCACCACCGTCTTCAGCCACGCCCAAACCGTTGTCATCTGCGCTGGATGCTCAACTGTTCTCTGCCAACCAACAGGTGGTAAGGCTCGTTTGACTGAGGGCTGCTCGTTCAGAAGAAAGTAGATCAGATATATCAGCGCTACTTTCTTTTCCGCTTCGTCTTTTCGGTTAATGGCAATGGCTTGATGAGGGTATACATATGGATCTAGTTTTCGATACGCAATTTGACGGATAGAAGATGGACCTCACCCAAAATTCCTTGCGAAAGATCGTGGCAACAAGCAGCAAAGGGGCGTTTGGGATAATCCGGATATCTTGCATCAAATCAAAAACGATTCCCTCAAAATGATTTATTTTTCTTGTGTACAGGACGTTTGTGATATGATTGATCGCGAACGTAAATACCTACATTGGTGGATATGAACGGCAGGAAATACGGTTCTACGAATATTTTACGATGACAGAACGACCTGGACTTGGTGAAGACTCGGAGCGTTTCTTGAGGACGCTGCGTATTCACAATGGATTTAAAAGTTGTGCTATATCAATTAACGATGATTTAAAATGCCCTTTCCCATGCCCATTCCGTGAAGATTTATGGACGCTGTTGGCTGTGCTATGTTCGTACAAGAAGCTCTCGCAAGCGCGTGTGTTCAGTTTAGCGTTTTCTGACCTACCATTCTTCTCAATACTCCGTCCAGATATGCCAAAATGATATGCCGAGACTGTACTCCTTAGCTTGACATTAAACAAGGCCTCCATAAAATATATAGGAATCACTTGTCCAGATCCGTTCATTCTCGTCTAAAATATACATCATCATTTCTATTACAATCGGCGACAATACATGGAGATTTAGCTGCCAATTCATAGTTCCAGCTCGTTAACCGTTCTATAAGAGATTCTTAGAAATGTTTAGAAGCGAATCTTTACATGGGTGATTTATTCTGAACGTCTTTACCGCGAGATTTAATTATCATCATGTCCAAATTGCAGTGGATATATCAGCACATCTGCATGAGGCGGGAAGTCCTGCCACTTGACAAGCCCAGTTTAACTTGGCTATGGTGGTCTGGGAACCGGAGGATATGGCACCGCCGCCCAATTACTGAAAAGCCACCGAGCTCATACTGGAACTTATTGGTGAGGTATCGAGGGGTAGATAGCATTTTACTAAAGATTTGAGAAAGGTTTCACAATGATGTTTCTATTGATGTCAACATCTTTTTGTCAGAAATTGATTCAGACGACAAATGCATTATATGCACTACATCAACTTGGTCAACGCGATTGAAGCCGCCATATATTAGCAATAACTTCAATTTTACAATAATTGAACCATTAATCGTATGCATTGACGACACTTTCGCTAGTCTAAAATCCGTTCCTTCACCGTTACATTATTCCATTCATCGAGATTTATTTCAAACTGAACTGAATCTGTTTTAAATTTTAATCATTCTCGTAATCGTATTCTTACCGTTCAGCTGTCCATGCCATATATCAAGGATAGTCAACTCCATGGAAAGTGCGCTCTTCCCGAAAGAATTCGTAGTCTCTGTTGTTGATATTCTCGGCCTGTGTTCTTCAGTTTGGGGTGACTACATATTTTGTTATGGGTATAGCTGCCCTTACCTCAGATATGGTTGTAAGCTTGGATTTCCTCCGCCTTTCAGCGAGTTTTGTTGGGAAAGTTAGAAAGTTTTTGTTTGTGTGATGGACATCAGCGCCTGCGGTAGCGGTAGAGATGTAAAGAAGGATAAACGAGAAAAGAATCCAATAGTTGTTCAGATGTCTACTTATTCTCTGAGCGCGGTCATGTACTCATCGCCGCTCTAGCTGATGGTCACTTGTATGTTTACTGAGGTTATGCAGAAGTTAGATATTTGGGAGCTTGGTCAATAAGGACAGCCTCGCATTAAGATACAGCTGCAAACTGCATGAGCAAGCCTAATTCTGATGTTCTGCTAGTAGAGCTTCAGCCCTAGATCATTGGTCGAAAGCTGTGTTCTATCCTTAAATACCATAGAATAATCTTACATCGCAGAAACGGTACATCCGATATTGGTTTCAGTTGTGTAAAGCAGCTATACCGACTAAATTTTGGAAAAGGCTGCAGAAATTATGGTTCTTATTTACAGATTTGCAAACACCACTTCCCCAGTCGAGGCAACGGGTTCTAGTCCTTAAAACCAAGATTGTGAGGTAGAAGTCTTCATGGTATATTCATGAAAATTCAGAGAAGCATAATAGCATACAAGAACAGTTGTTTGTTTAACTATTAAATAAAGATGTACGTACTAGCCGCCAGGAAGCAGCTTTGAATAAACATTCTCTAGTGTGAAACAATCGAGTCCTAGTTTACTATATTTTATAGACGCGATGTGCAAATCAATTCCTAGTCAAAATCTCAGGTGACAATGCCGATCGTCAAAAAGCCAGCGCTATACTGGGCGAAGGAAGCGTCTCAGAATTTTTGGATACTGCGGATTAATAAACCGGAGCATGTTTACTGTCTCCCATACCGTATTGAGGACCCCATGGTAATGTCTTTGACGTGTAAGCAAAATTGAAGCATCGAGACCCACAGCGGACAACAGACTTCTTGTTTCTTGTTCGAAAGAAGATAGTCTACAAAAAGCATGCACGTATTCTATTCTTGAAAGTCCAGAATCTTCTCAATCTTGCTAAGGCTTGAGGTATCTCTAACCTCACTATAGGATAAAAGTGATTCATAGTTACCTTGAATAAGGGATGTTGGCGTCGCGAGGAAAGCATGAAGTACGAAGACGCCATGAACACCTGTAAAATTACACAATTAACATACACACAAATCCATACAGGATCTTTCATATGACAGGATAATGCGGGAAGCATATGAGTATTGTATGTCATTGTGATGGGAATACATCATTTCATCCACAGCTTATGTGCGTTATTTTGTGTTGCCCGAGTCCATCCTTGTTTCATCACCATCCTCATCATTCCTACTGTATCTCCGTAATCAGCGCCATAGTTTACAGTATATGTTTCTTTGACATCCAGACGCATCGTGTCCATCCCCGCGGCGAGTTAAGATACATCATCTAGAGCTGCAGATGGCTTCGATTTTCGATTTCGTCCCCTCGATCTTACCCTCCTTGATACGTAATCAGGATCAGAAAGATCGAGCTTATCTTCCACTAGAATATCGAGTTATTAATAATTGCCTGTGGAACAAAATCTGGAGAAAAAATTGCTGTAACTCACAAGCAGGCGACAGACCGGAGTTTCTCACTCAGCACTTTGGATTTTCTCGGCAGAAAGTAGCGCAAAGCGTTTATTCAATACAGAATTTGGTGAGAAATGAGCAGTCGTGAATAAAAGTTCTGCAGCTTTAAAGATAGTCTCTAGTCTCATTTGGTGCAAATGCAATGATACCTCCTGTTTGGCAATCAGATATTCGAAAAGATTTCGTCTCCGGTTGAAAATCCTTTGATTTTGCCGCGCGTCGGAGAAATCTGGATGAAGATATATTTTCTGTTTAGCCCATTTCACTTATCTCAAAAAAAAAATTTATCCAGTAGTGATCTAAATATCGAGCCGATCATTGTGAAATGGTTCACAACTTTTGCATTCATGTTGCCTGACTCCATCTTTGGTGCTTTGGCTGTTCAAGGATGAAAGGAGATACAATCAACACATTTTAATTTCATTCCAATTCCGGAGTTCTAAGAATTAGTTGTCAGAGCCCAAAGTTCTCGCTTGCATACAAAGCTTCAAGTTATTATATGCCTCAGTCCGGACGCTATACTCTTCTACGTGGATGTTGGTCAAGATGAGTCCACAACCTTGTATCATTACTTGAGGTTTCTCCGTATCAATTGTTGGGATCCAATCGAGAGTAATTCACGATTTGATTGTAGTTATAAATCACAAGGTGCAAAATAACGTTTTTCAGATTAGTTCTCCACTGAGTTTGTGCCAAAACTTCCCTTCAAACCACAGAAGTAAACGTGGAACATAAATGTAAATCTGGTGAAACGACAAATATCTGGAAGATAAGCAAGTACTTTTGATCTAAGCGTATCGTACATATATTGCGGCTATATTGACCCTATACTTGCATTATGCTGGTTCTCCTTTTGCATCTCGCTTAGCGAAGTGGTTACATGTAAAGTCATGTTAAAGTTGAGAGAGCGACAGTGAGGTACTGACACCAAGAAGCTTCCCGTATGGTATCGTAAGATGCATTTTGCCGTGTTATTTTGGTCTTATAATCATTTTCGAAACATCACACACCTCTAACCGCTGATTAGTAGCTATATAACAACATACTTTTTTATAAGAACACTAATGAATTTTATAATCCGAGCCATCTTCTTGTCTGAAAGGATTCCCAATAATAATCCAGTACTTTGATTGGCAGAAAAATAGAATGAGAAGTGGAGCCTCACGAAGGAAGCAGGTGAATGATTCGGACAATGCGCACATGAGACGATGATCACGTGGTTATGGGAAGCTAGTGATAATACTACACAATCGAGGATTATCTCATACATTCCAATGTTATTGATCAGAGTTCACGCACACTGTACATTCTTTTTTCCAATCACCGACTTCGTGAAGGTCCTGCACACAACGTTCCACAAGCGCATCCCGTAGTCCTCGTGATCGAACTGGATGTGCTCTTCTTGATGGGGGATTTAGTCCCGAGCGACAGATATTTTCCTATCGGTAGATTTCTCAATGCCTCCTTGTCCTCGTCTTTATCGCGGTTAAGGCGGCCAGCCTCGTAATAACAGGCGCAATCATCACAGGCAGGGTGAGTGCACTCAGGCCCCTGTATCCTTATCTCGTTCGTGCTCTGGCTATCTCCATCTATGATATCGATTGCCTTCATGATAAATTGCATCTTTTCAATCTCATCGATCTTTTGTATCGGGATAGTCAAATCCCGTGAAGTGACTGCTGACAGGCTTTCTTCCACTATTTTCTGCCAAATTTGTTGAAGAGATGAAAACCCATCCTGAATTCTTTGAAGAACTACCTTCGGTGTATATAGAGTCCCTGGGATGTCATCTACCCCTTCTATCTTATTTTTGGCTTCCATAATTTCGTCCAGATGGTTCGCAGGGCAGAATTGTCCTTCGACTGCTCCTCCTTTGCTATTTACCCTTTCAATGTGACTATCCTCTATTTTCGAATGATACTGAGTGTAGTAAACGATATCATTATAAGCCTTGCAGAAAACTCCATGAAACAATATTATCCTTTCAATCTCGCGTTTGTGGAGCTTTGTCGCGTCAACAATAAATCTATCTCCCGAGGCCAATTCTTCGGGGCTGAAGACCTGGATAGGCCTATCCCCATCTGCTATTAAATCGTTAGTTTAAACATTTTTCTAGTTTAATGAACATGTATGAAGAGACTACATGCCATCATCATCCGAATCAAGGGGACCCTCTTTCTTGCTGCACCAATCTGAAACATCGTTTTCCTCGAACTTTGATATTCCTTTCCCCTTACTTTCCGTCTTCCCATCGAGTCTGTGAATGTAAAAACATCAGCTACTTTTCAAGTAAGAAGTGAAAGCCTTACTTACGTTTGACCTTTACCTGGAAGAGATTCTGTGACCTTCTCTGCGGTACACTTCCAGTCCATAATGGTTGGTAACTTCTTACTAGCCATTACAGACTTCTTTTTCATTAGTTTGGTTCGTGTCTTATGGATGGTCAACTTCGACTGCAGCTGCAGTTTCCTTGTGCACTTTATTCCCCGTGGGGCCTTTTTCATCTTTAACTCCGCTCCTTTTATACTGCTATTTCGAGTAACTCACGTTTGCCGCGAGTAAGATTCATGGACCGAGTAAAAGTCTATGACCAAATATCGAGAAGGAGGTTGGTAAAGACTTGAAGAATATTCTCTCACAGCAAACGAGATTCGAAAAAGGCTCGTGAAACATCAACAAAGATCAGATATTTTCAGTCATAGTATTTGTTATTTCACAGAAAGTTTTTCCACAAATTACGGCACAGTAAGAGTGTATAATGGCCAAAAGGTGCGGTAACAGTCTACAATGAGCGGGATGCAATGTTTGTCAAATCTGGCGAGACGGGTAGACGGGTAGACGCATTAAAATTAATGCTTGCACCGCTGCAGGCTGCCATGTTGATCATTTTGACAAGTGCCGGGGCTTCGCCAAATGCCGGTATATTCGGCTCATGGGTATAGGGGAGCTGTCCCGCATGTTCTGTTCACCACAACAAGGCTAATTATGGTAGACTAGCGAAATGCGAACTAACGTGACCCGCATGATTAGAGCATGAATTTCTAGTGAACCTTGAAGAATTGACAGATAGGAACGATTAGTTTGGTGTGATTAACTCCTCATTACGTACTTCACGTGATATCAGCATACACCCTTGCGCTGCATATGCACTGAATAAGCAAAAGATGGCTAGCTGTAGGTGGGGCTATGTATGTTTTCGGGTACTACATAAATGCAAGCATTCCCCACTCATACATTTCTTTCTTCTTCGGCTAACCCGAGTAAAGATGACCTGATAAGGTTGAGGATGAAGGTGGTTACATGGTTCCAAATGAATCGACGATTAACCTTATGTAAGAATAAAACGACTTTGGTAGTCACTCCGAGATGTGTCGATGAGAATTTTGCCTTTAAGCCCGCGGAAATGGTACGTCAAACTCGAATCTTTCAGTAGTTATTGAATGAATCATTGATTCCCAAGTGCTGGGAGCTTACTTTGTCAATGTTTGACGAAGCAATCATGGAATCATGCGTCAATGTCCTGGTGAATGGAACCAATCGATAGTGCTCCGCATGACTGATGGAACATGGGCTGGTATCTCGTATTGGTTGAGGAAAACAAGGAGACGCATCGTAGTTCATGCATGTAGTTATAGCTCAGACGCGATAGCATTACCTTGCAAACATGTTGCAATCTCCATAGGCCGTACAGTAAAGAAAATGATAATGGCAGTTAATCATCGCATCCTGCTTTTGTGGAGGGAGTCGTATGCCGAATATGAGCATAAGGAAGGCCCTGATTGCGAAGGGTTTGAAATATACGAATTTCGCAGCTGTCTTTGGATACAATGTATCGAAAGAGTCGCTTATAGGAAAGCATAGGGGCGCGTCAAAAATATTATTTGGAAGAGTTTGGATCTGGAGGAGATTGAATTGCTTCTGGGCTGGTGTGCGAAGTTCAATTGCTTTATTTGAGGTTATGGAATAGATGGTGGTTTTGGGGAGATTCGTGAAGATGTGCTGAGAACACCGAACCGCTTAGTACGGAGCTGTGAAATCAAGGGGACTGAGGTCCGGTCGAAAAGTTGTTTTTAGATTTGATCTAAGGTGATTTCCTTTCCCCTTGTTGATATTGGCAAGGTGCCACGTTATTTATGAGCTCCATCTCTTTTCTACTCGAATTATCTATCAACGGTCCTGCCTTTATCATTTCAATCAACCCAAGCCGCCTGAACCAGTCTTGAATTTGTTTTCGTTTCACTCGAAAACCATTCCTTGATACCCATGATAGCTTCTTTTAGTATAAATACCTTCATAACAGAATATTATGAATACTCAAGCTTTTCATTCATCTCATCGTAGATCACTATTGCTGCTGTCTTCTTGTCTTGTATTGAGGTTTCCTTATCTGCAATATTGATTGTCAAGGATATCCCTTATGCCATCATATGAACCTTATTCTTCTCAACTCATCCTTCCTATTATCACTCTACTGTCATGTCCATATCTTCTACACTCAGAATTTTATCACCTAATGTTCGTCAAAAGAACGAAAAGCAAGCAACGGTACCATCGCAAGCCAATGAGCTGATGGAATCAGAACCATGATTTCCAGTGACCATACGAATCATGAATATTAATTAATCAAGGGAAAAGTCCTGTATCAACACATCAAAAGTAACAATCAAGCAGAGACTATTGGCCAGAATTCAACCCAAATATCTTGAATGGCCATAATGCTAGAAATCGAGAGGTTGGGTATTCTGACGAGAGACAATAAGTCTTGATAGTGGACAGCTGCATTAAGTTTGGAACGGTCGATAGTATGTATATAGAAGTAGTACGCCGGAAGATTGAAAGAATAAAGGTTACTCCCGGGTAGTTTTGAAATCGAACTTACCAACATGTAGAAGTCTAAGTTTTGAAGCAGGATGAAGACATTGATTGCTTCATTGGGGTTTCCAGATGTTCCCCGACGACGAATTCATAATATTTTACTAGAGCATAATTTCCTATACCCAATATACGGTCGTTATGGGTCTCGAAGCTGTATAAATCAAGTAGAAAAGAAAAATGAATTTCCGTGTCTACATAGTCACATGAACCCATCATACTGACCGCTGTTCTAAACTCCAACAAACTTAGAATAGGTGTGCTGTATCTACGTATCAACTGATATATCCTGCTAGATCACCGACCTCATTCTTCGCGGCACTGCAACACTTTTTTTCCAGATTCTAGGTAGAGTTCTCGTCTAGGACTCTCAAGCTCTGTGCTGATATATTTGGGATGAATCTGATTAGAAGTCAGAAAATCTAAAAATGCACTGCATTCATCCGAAAACTACTCATTTTCGAATACCTGTGCGCTAGTAGGCGCTCATCGTACTGTACATCTGATTTAGATTTTTCACCTTCGCTATCAAAAGTCTCTGCATAATTTGGTTTTTTGAAAATGCACTTTGCTTCGAAGACTCTGCCTGCTTTAATCCTCGAGGAATCATAAGAACTCGGATAAAATTAACAAACAACAAATTTCATCAATGCCAAATACGTAAGAATCAACCGATTCGATTTCCTTCCCTTTTGCTTTCACTAGATATTACTCTTGTATCTGGAGCATTTTATTAGACACTTTTATATAGAAGTAGTTTAACAACTTTTCATGATTACAGGACTAAGTGATCTAGTTGCAGCAGGATTTGAACTCTAAGAGGTGAACAATGAACAAATACTCGTACTACACGTCTTTTGAATTTTCCACCACTGGTGAACCACTACACAAAATAAAGCATCTTAACAGTTGACATACTATCAATACATAACCTCTGATTAAGTTAAGACTTACAACCATACTCTCATAAATTTCAACCACAATCCCTCCCCTCCTCTCAAGCTCATCATTCAAACCAAGAACCATCAAATAAGCACCAATCACCAATCAACAATTTCAATAAGTGACCTCCTCCATAAAAAGATATCAAAACGAAGCCTTTTCCAAAACGTCATCAAAACAAAACTAACCCACCAAGAATTCAAACTTAAAACCTCCCAAGCGAAAATCATCTAACTCTCTTTGCCCCCTTTCGAGAGACACATTTCACCTATCCGCTCAGCACCCATAATCAATGAACATCCCCACCAAGAACTATAATATCATATTTCAACCAACAATACATAAAGAAAGCTATAACAACCACTAGATAGATATATCTATTATTCCAAGGCAAGACGACAAGGCATAGTAGTTAAGGTACACAAATATAACTACAAGTTCCCAACTATTCATCAACCCAGCCATCCATCATCAGGCCAGCCCTGTGAAACATCCGAGAAAAACCTCTATAACATACCTTCCTATAGCTTATACCCTTACAACCTCCTCTATCCTCTCACCAACCTCAGTCTCAGTCTCTCAGAGCATAATACCATCGAAACCCTTTAATCCAGCCCTAAAACTAATCTTGCAATACCTTGATACTTTCTTACTCTTATAACCATTCATCTCCTCCATCTCCTCCATCTCCTCCATCTCCTCCATCTCCCCATCTCTCCATCTCCCATCTTATATACCATTCCACTCCTCATCCCTAACTCCAACCTGAACTTCCATTCAAAAAGTTTTCATCCTCACCATAATCCTATATCACCCCAAATCCCAATCCCAATATCCATTCCCGCCTCATATCCCTCATATCCCCTCATCCCTCCCTCTCAAAACCCCTCCACTCAAACCATTCCACCACATACATACACACCCTTATACAGTAACAACCAACTCCAACCACACAACTCCACCTACCCATACATAAACTTCTAACTCCCATTACCTCCCATTAACACCCATTAACTCTCATCTATCCACCAAAAATATCCTTTGTAAGCATAAAACATATATAAAACGTACATAAAAACATATACAAAAACAAAAGAATCCAATCTCTCTCTCACATATATTAAATTTGCATTTTTTTTCTGTTTCTATTCTAAGATCTTTGCATATATCATTCGTTCGATACGTCTATTTCCAATAGGAACAACCCCCCTTCCCCAGTACCCTTACTGGACCACGTTCAATCTCACTACTTACTCTACGTCACACCTTACACCTCATACATACAACCTCAAACCTTACATCTCGCTTCACATCAATGTCACATCACATCACATTAAATCAATACATCATAAAGTATAATCGAGTATTAGTTTGTTTCATGTTTCATTTTGACTATTCTAGTAACCTATAGCAATATACCCATCTAACGAAGTACGAACGATACCCAACCAAAGTTTGGTTCTTCTCTAACGTGTAGGCGTGTGCTTCAGTATAGGTACTCCGAACATGTCCGATCAGTAACTTGTATGCGAGCTTTAACAATTTCTGACCTCTACCACTTCACTTCCCCATGTCTTGCTCTCTTAACATTAGTTACCCATCCATTCCACCATGAAACACAACTAAGTTTTTTTTTTTAAAATGAAATGACAATCAACAAATAAAGAGACCTCCCCAGAAGCTGCTCTTCCCATGTGTGGTCACCCCTGTAGCCTCCGAAAAGTATTTCATCTCGATTGTGTAATATTATCCCCGAAGATAGTTGTCAAAAGAAATGCAACGTCCCTCCAGATTGATATCTCGAGTATCAATCACCCCTCATTACCACATCACTCTCAAACCCCTCTTCCACACATAGTCCGAATATCATTCAATGAAAAGCAACGCAACAGAAAAGAATGTAAAATATCCATTTGAAAACAAAAACATCTCTGGAAAAAACAATGGACTTGTCAATACAACGCAATGAATTGAAGCATGCATGTTTGACTTTGTGCCTTGTACTCGCTTGTTTCGGGATCATGACGGATTTGTTAGATGACCAAAAAATAACCTTTGAAGTGATAAATCTGATGATTTAGGGTTGTCGTGATACTTCAAAAAGAATAAATTATGTCATCGACATGCCGTTCGATTATTTGGAGTCCCAATGACGTTGCCCACCAAATGATCATTCCATGGGAATAATCAAATGTGAGTCAGAAGTCATGATGAAAACCAAAGTGCTCGAGCCATTAGGAAAGCCAGTAATCGATCCTTGAAAACTAAAAAAGAAAGCGGTCCATAAAGAGATAGTTGTTGGAGTGAAAATCGAGCCAAATTCAAGAATGTGTCAATAAACAAGTCTTGTTATGGTCAACGATGTTTGTTTGTTGGGATTGATCCAGTCTCACGTAGCCGAATGTCGAGTAACGAAAAACAAATCTACGAGAGTCGATTCATTCCGGCATTTCAGAGACCATTGCCTGGTGGAGGTGGACCGGCAGAACGTAGGCTGTTTTAATAACTAAAGCGTCAGCCGTCTATTAGCGTAATGTCCTCTTCGCGGCCAGCGCTATCGGAGCCAAACGCGGAGAAGAAAAATGGTTTCTGTGCAAAAGGCAAATTCGAAGACGGGGTAACTTACTAGTGACCTGTTCCTTCTGGAGCTTGTCCCTGTTGCTGAATTGGAGTAACAGTCTTGCGTTGTCTACCGGCATTGTTTCCAGCAGTTGCTTGAGCGCTGGTTTGAACCTCAGCTGATGCCTTCTCTCCCTCTTGTGGCTTGATTTGTTGCTGAGCGTTCTTTTGGTACTTGTAGACAGTCCAGTCAAAGACGTAGTCATATTGGAAACCTTCACGAACGAAAAGATCACGGAAAATCTTTCGGAGGTAAGAGTAATCTGGCTTGTCATCGAATCGAAGAGAACGGGTATAGTTGAGATAGATGGCGAACTCATTAGGGAATCCACGGCAAAGGACTTCGGTAGGAGTAGTCATCTTCTTCTCCATGATACGGTCATACTTCTGCTTCTTGGTAGCAGCCTTAAGACCTTGCCATGGAAGAGAACCACGACAGAAGTAAAGCATGACATATCCCAAGGATTCCATGTCATCACGACGGGATTGCTCTGTAACGAATGAATTAGCATGGATGGCAGTAGCAGAAGAAAGGGCAGTACATACCGACACCAAGATGAGTGTTGATGGAGGCATAACGAGCAGTACCGGTCAAGTTCTTGTTCTCACGGTATGGGATGTGGAAGTGAGTCTTTGGGTCTCTGTACTTCTTGGCCAAACCAAAATCGATCACATTTACTTGGTTACCACGCTTCCCAATGCCCATGAGAAAATTATCAGGTTTGATATCACGATGGATGAAGGATTTGGCGTGAATGTACTCGATCCGGGAGATGAGTTGATCCGCGAGAAGAAGGACCGTCTTCAAGGAGAACTTGCGGTTGCAGAAGTTGAAGAGATCTTCCAAACTGGGACCGAGAAGATCAAGAACCATGGCATTGTAATCACATTCTGTACCGAACCAGCGAACGAAAGGAATGCCAACACCACCAGCTAAGGACTTATAGACACGAGCCTCGTATTCGAGTTGAGGATGCTTAGCCTTGACAGACTCAAGCTTGATAGCAATCTCTTCACCGGAGATGATGTTGGTGCCAAGGTAGATATCACCAAAAGAACCACTACCAATCTTTCGGCCAATGCGGTATTTATTGCCGACGCGAAGATCCTGTGAAGAGATGAAAGATTAGCAATTGTTATAGCGACGAAGCGAGTAATTGTAAATAGGAATGATGAAAGAGTATAAGCATGTGCTACCCTGTAACAAGACTGTGATGAATATCCAAAGTGAGGGATTATCATGAACCATTTTCCGATTCCAGCCGCACAGGTAGAAAATGATGAAAATAACAAGAATGTGTATATGAAGGGCTGGAAAATGGGAGTATAAACCAGAGGGGATGTTTTTGGCTTAGCACCCACCATAGTAGTCATCTTGAAGTTGAACTATGGACTCAGTGTACCGGGTTTCCGATACCAGAGTCGAGGAGGATGTAGGATGATTGTTGAAGAGCGTAGGGTAGTCAACGTTGAGGACCAGCCGACTTTAATGAATTAAAGAAGGAGTGGTGGTGGTGGTGGTGGTGGTGAGGTTGAAAGGTCGAAAGAGAAAACTGGAAGAACAGACACTAAATGGGAAGAAGTCGTGTCAGTTGTAGTTTGGATTTGATATGATAAGTGATTTTTTTTGTATTGGAAAAGAAGGAAGCGGTGTGTGGGAGGAGATGGGGATAGATTTCAGAGAAAGAAGGAAATAAGCGGCTAACGCGAATACAGTACAACACGAAACAGCGGCGGATTAATCGAATGATCAAAGTGAATAATGAGAAGGAAATGAAATGGAGGGAAGTGAATGATTTATTGATCAAGATGGGATGTTGAATGATATTCCAATATCATATCATATCATATCATATCTATCATCCCACACGGTATGGATGTGTGTGTACGTACCTATTTGATGCTGTTGATCCTATGGAAGGATGAAGGGTATGTATTGGTATGAGTGATTTGATGTGGTTGTAGAGATGTAAAAGGAAAAAGAGTTTCAAGGTTTTGGTTGCCGACCGTAGTAATAATAAGTAGGGCAGGTAAAACGGGAGGGATGAATTCGTGGCCTCGTTTGGCTGGCTCGGAAGGCGTGAATATGCCCTTGGAGTTTAGTATTTGTATGATTTATGTGTATGATAGATATAGTATGGTGGTATTGAGAAGTCGAGAGAAGAGAACATAAAAGGGAATAAAACTTCGATCTCTGAGAAAGTTCTCATCGAATAATCCAATCCAATCCAATTCTCATACTTCTTCTTATTCTTCTTATTCTTCTTAATGCTTTCAGATTTCGGCGGGGGGATGGATGGTGATTAAAATGTCAAAGCCTCAAGATAAAAGAGGGGAGAGGGATTTTTTGATAATAAGGAAGGTTTGAGTCAATAAGAGTTAGATAAAGCTTAGAAAGCAACCTTTTCTTACCCAGGTACTTACCTACCAGGTACCTACCATCTACCTACGTCCTTACTATATCTATCTATCTATTCATTGTAAAAATCCAAATCTCATTGAAAATCTACGAATCCGAGAATCTTAAAATGGCAATAACCACCGAATGACCCAACCAAATCCAAAGAATCACTTCACGAATCAACCAAAAGACCACGGACTAAAACCTGTGGGAAGAGAATGAAAAAATGAAAAAATGAAAAATTGTCAGCTGGTGCTATAAATGGTTTAGATGTAAGATGCTTTGATCAAAATGTATCCGGATATGGTAAAGATCATTGATGTGAGCATCTAGTTTCATCCTGGGCATTTACTATTGATAGGTAGGCATTTGAAGAATCAAGTCATCTCATCAATCCACTATCCACGTACTAGACACAGTGCGTGCTCGGTATCAGAAATGGGGTCTATGGACATCTTGCAATCTGTGCTGAGATTACCAATTCAATGCAGCGACAACACCAGAGAAGGGAACAGGATTGAAGCTCATGCTTTCGGTGTGAGAAGTGAAAAGTAAGATATAGGAAGGACAGAACCCTTTCTTCAACATAAGCATAAGTTCAAATGCAAGCTCAAGCTCGAACTCGAACTCAAACTCAAACTCAAACTCAAACTCAAACTCACTCGGACTCAATATAGAGAGTAAGCTACAGACGGTATAAACATGAGTACATTCACACATATGCATGTCAAGGTTAATTAATGTCTTTCATTCCAATAGTAAGACTTGATATGAATTTGATTTTCTCCCCGCAAGAAAGAAGCCTGTCTCCCTCACAGATCAACAGAGCATCCATTCTCAACAAATCAATAACCAATATGACTGTGAGACAGTCTTGTCTTCGTATTATGCATAGTATATCCTCAATCAATCCTGTTCATTTTCCTCTTGTGCCAATTTTCATTAGTGCACAAGTGCTATGTTGCCTCATCATTCCTCTCATTGATATTGTGTATTGCACGCATAGCAGATACATCAAATATGATGAATGAAGGTTGACAAGTGTTTGTATGCATACTACATATCTAGTCCTAATCCAACGCCGCTTAACAAATCCACCACTCTATAGAGTGCTGTACAGTCTGTAGCTAGGGATTCCCCACCAACTCCTTCCTTCACAACAACCATCCCTTCACAAAACAACAAAGCCTAACCCAAGGGACAAGAAACGAGAAAGCCTAAAAGAGGGGCACAAACCCTCACGACCAAAAAAGGCTCAATCCGCTTCCAAAAAAAAACCAGACCAGAGCATGCAAAGAAGTCCAAGACTACACCAAAAATCAAAGCAGCTGACTTATTTACCTACATAAACTTGATGAACCCGTCTCCATAGATAACATCAAGAGAAGAAGGCAACAAACAATTCATCCATCATCCATCATCCATCATCCATCATCTTGTAGACTCATACGAGGTACTCCATATAATCTCGTACAATCAATCATCTTGGACCTTCCAGATCCTGTCACCGAGCGATGGAATAATAAATTAGACGGAGAATTCTAGGGCGAGCCTTGTCTTTTCTTTTCTTGGCTTGGTAGGTAGGTATTGTTAGATCTTGGTATGGTATGGTATGTACGGTACGGTACGGTACGGTATGGTGTGAAATAACTTCTGCAGCTGAAGAGTGCTATGTACGATGTATGTATGTAAGGTGTGTAAGGTGTGTAAGGTCCTGCCATAACATCACAAGATCAATTGATTGATCGGTGAGGAACAACAGGAATAGCTATGTGGGCTGAAAACTCACAGGAGTTGTCTTTTGCCTCCCTCATTCATGGTCTATATACGCCGCCGCCCCTCATCCACCCTTTCATCAATTAATAAATCAATAATCATTCAAATTCAAATTCAAATTCAAATTCAATCAAGCATTCAATAAAATCAAATCAATCAATTACTTACTCATCACTATCCTACTTATCATTCTTTTCTACCCTTAGATATGATCACTACTTATCAATTCTCAATTCTTAACCCCTCACTCAATATATCAAGACTAACCTCTCATCATTCACACATTCTATCGCCCCAAGACCCAAAAAAAGAAACCCCTCATTTATAAATAACTAAATAAATACCCATCTAGTACCAGTACCTACACAATAACTCATAAAATGAACCCATGATATTATAAAAATGAACCCATAAAAATAAAAATAAATATCTCTATATATACAATACATACTCTACTCCATACAAAGGTAAGATCATCGACTGTGCACCTACCTATCTAAAAGAACCATCACCCACCACCACTCACCACAAATTCCCCACAGACACCCACGCGGAGTATATATATATATATATAGAGCACCCACACTTTCCTATTCATTGTATTGCGAATCATCATCTGGTGATCTCGGAGTATTTTATGATTGGATGATTGGATCTGTGTTAGATTAGATCTACAGAGCACTAGAGTATAATAAAGATTATCAGATTTTGAGGTTTGGATTTCGAGTTGTGAGGGTTTTATAATTAATTAATTAACTTGTGATTGATTTCATTAGTGTTGATTTAAATTAATAGTTTTTTTTAAAACTTTGAGAGATTAAAAGTATTAAAAAGAAATTAAGTAAAAAAGAGATTGAGAGATTGATTGATTGATTGATTGATAAATCAAGGGCCTGCGCCCCCCCGGACCTCTGGCTTTTTGAGAAAGTCTAGTAAAAATTTAAGTTTTAAAAGGTTTATAATAAATTTAAATGTTGAATATATATATTAGAATACAGATAGAATATCGGTTTGTTTTTGATAATTGAAAATTAAATTTATTTATTTAAAAATAATATTTATAATAATAATATTATTTATAATAATAATATTATTTATAAGAATTATTATTATTATTATTATTATTATTATTATTATTATTATTATTATTATTATTATTATTATTATTATTATTATTATTATTATTATTATAAGTTGAATTGAATAAATAAAATTGAATTGAATGAGTAGAGTTGAACTGAATGATTTCAATTGAATAATCTCAATAAAGTTGAAAAAAACTCCAAGTCAGATTTATTTAAGATTATAAGATTTATATCAAGCTTTTTGTTAGATTATTTACCGGGGTATTTACTAGGGTATTTTAAACCAATCATATTGTTAGGATCGTGACTTATTTAAACAAGTTTCTCATTTTCTATCATTCATTAAATAAATCTTATATACAATAAGATTATACTATTGACAAGTTGATAATTATAAATTTTGTTTCCTTTATAAATGATATATTATAATATAATCTAATTTAGTTTTCTTTTTCAATTCCTTTTTATAATATACTATCAGGATGTATATATCTCGATTTATTACTTTTACAATATATTTCTTTTTCTCTTTCTTTTTCTTTTTCTCTTTCTTTTTCTCTTTCTCTTCCTCTTCTTCCTCCTCCTCCTCCTCCTCTTCTCTTCTCTTCAAATAAACAATTTTAAAATTATCTAAACTTCTTTCTTCAATTAAAATCACTAACAGATCGATTATCCACACTTATAACTTATACTAATATAAAGATCTATCAATGAATGATTTTTAATTATTAATATCAATATCAATATCAATATCAATATTAATATTATTTTATTTTTATTTATATTATATTAATATATCTTAAAGATTATTAATATATTTTATATCCTAAAGATTATCTATTAATAGGATTCTTTTAATATGATTTGATATAAAATAATATAAATAAAATAAAATAAAATATTCATCAATCCTCCCAAACTCAAACTCAAAATAATTCTAGATACCGAATTCCAGATTCCAGGCTCTGAGTTCAGTTCTGGGTTCTCATAACAAAAGAAAGATCTGAGTTCAATAACTCCGTCATAGATTCAGATTCAGATTCATAATATACCGGTAATTCTATACTTGAATCGGGAATCTTTAATCGATACCTATTACTCATCACTCATCACTCATCACTCATCACTCATCACTCATCACTCATCACTCATCACTCATCACTCATCACATATCATACAAACAATCACAACATAAATCTCATCAAACAAACTTATAAACTCAAGATAGAACAAAAAGTAAAATCCTTATGAAATCTTTACTCTTCTCATTGACATCTCTCTATGAACCCTATCCATATGTTTCCTTATCTCTTCTCCTATCCATTCTCAACTCTTCCATATCTTCCCTCACTCCCACCATCCATCCCCATATCTGCATCACCTTTTCCACCTTCCATCTACCATCTCACATACACAAACTCTTATACTGACTCCATCACTCCATAAAATAAAACTTATACTACATTATCAAGTTCATCATGCCAATTCCAATTCCAATTCCAATTCTGATTCTGATTCCGATTCCAAAAGCGCAAACAAACAAACAAATTTTAATCACAAGTAGCAGCAGTATTAAGCCGCAATGAGTCTTACCATCTGCTCTAGAACCTGCCTCGCCTCATACCACCCATATTAGACACACCTTCTTAACTCAATCACCCCAGGGAGAATACATCTCTCGTCTCCTTCTCACCAGACAATGTATAACTTTCCCTCACAACATTCTCATCACTCATCAGATCTGCTTCCGATGAGACTCGGAAAATCATCATCCACCACTTTAAAGGAGAAAATTCTTGCAGTGCAATGCCATGTGCAACCCAACAAAATCCCATCATATGATAAAAGAAAGTTGACTCTGTGAGATAATGCACCACAGCGCCATTGCAAAGAAGAGAAGAATTGCAAAACACATCGAAACGCAAAACGATGCAAGTATGACGTTTGCCCCTTTCCCTTCCTCCATTTCCATGAAAAGAAAAACCCACAAGCAAGCGAATTATATGCAAGAAGCAACATTGTTTAGATTGCACAACAATAAACAGCAAACCCGGAAAGGAAAAGGGTAGCCTGGCCACCCTGAGATACAATTTGCTTTAATCTCTTCCTCTCCATTCGGTATCTTTATCTTATTCCCTATCCTCATAAATTCATTAAAATGTGGTGGCCATCTCGAATTCTTTTCCATGTATGTATGTAATTCGATACCCATCCCAAACCATTTTCGCAAGCAAGCAATCCAAAATAATTAAACAAGTATTTCCATCCGCAATATGAATCCTCAAGGCCACTGCTACAATATTAAAGCATGTTGGCTTGATTCGGGCTCGATGCACCAGCATTAGCATCCTTTCTACCGCCAGTAGGACTCATGATTCTTTCTGAGCCGGTAAAGCTTCCAGTTCTCGATCTAGCTTCTTGCTCTTCGACTTCTAATCGTTTTCTCCAATCTGCAAGACCAACACTTATATGGGGAGTATTCTCGGCGTCGGATTTGCCGGTCGTAGGACGCTCGTCGTCTTCACCGAAATTACTGAGCCTGTAGTTTTTGTTCGTTTCTTTCCATTGCGTTCTTAGTGTTTCTAACTCGGAGGCAAGACTGTCCAAGGCCAAGCTATTGCGGTTATCATTAGCGCCACCATACATCGATGATTCAGATACTGATTCGTGACCGATCGAATTTCGTTCATGTGTAGTGTGAACTGGGGCTCCGACAATACTATCGACATTGCGTGATTGACGACGGTAATTGTCAACTGATGATTCGACCTGATCAAGTAATAAGGAAACCTTCTCTTCGGCATCTTGAGCACGCTTTTCCAGTTGAGCGTTTTCTTCTTGTAATTGACCAAGCTCATGTCGTGCTTGTTCACTAGTAGATGCCAATTGCTTTTTCAATTCTTCGTGGCTCCGCATCAAGTCAGAGTGACTATTCTGAGCGTCTTGTAATTCCTTTTGAACATCTGCCAACTCCTTGTGCATTTGCGCAGCGGATGAATTGATCTCAGACTGAAGTGTTTCGATTTGACCAACCAAGCCAGCACGTTCGCTTTCCCAACTCGTAGGTGATCTTGATGCCGCAGACCTCTCATCGGCAGCTGTGAGCTGTTCCTTTAATCGTGTATTATCTTGCTTGTATCTAGACAATTCGTCCTTCATTCGCTTTAGCATTTTTTCAGTACCCTTGACATAATGCACGGCAGATTGGTAGTCATTTTCAAGCTGACTCAATTTTTCGCGATAAGCACTTTCTGCTTCTTGCTCTCGGTTCTCAAAAGCTTCCTTAATTTCTTGATGTGCATGCATGCTAGCCGCAAGTTGCTGCTCAAGCTCGCGGAGACGTGCCATATCAGGTGTGTTCGAACCAGATTGAGGACTAGATAATCCTCGATTCCTTGACGCACCAACAGGACTGATACCACGCTCACCTAAAATATCCTTCAAGGTATTGTGCTGAACACTGACCGCATTGGTCTCCAGCTGTTGATTAGCAAGCTGATGTTTCATATCAGAGTTAGCAGCTTGGAGTGATTGTGTTTCACGCATGGATGCTTGAAGTTGCTTTCGAATAGACATGCCCTCCCGACTAGCCTGCTCTTGATAAGCCTCCAATCCAGCGATGCGCTCCTCGGCACTTCGAAGCTTATCTGAAGCAGTATTCGCTGCAGCTTGGTATTTCCTAACCAAAGCATTTGAAGCTTGCACTTGTGCCTCGAGGGCCAAAACGCGATCATCTCTTGCAGAATCACTCGGCGCGATGTTTCTAGCTGCCGAGACTCTATCAAGACCAGACATCACAGCCTGCTTGTGAGTTCGAGCCTCATTTGCGTGTTGCTCAGCTAGTTCTTCAGCATCTTGCAAGCGTCGGGTGATGGACTCTAATTCTGAAGTACGGTTCTCGTGCTCAGCCCTAAGCTTGGAGAGCTTTTCTTCGACAGTCTGGCGTATTGTACGTTCCTCGTCGAGTTTCCGCTCCAAGAGATTCTTCATGTCAGCCGTTGATGTCATGGCTTCCCGAAGAGATTCGAATGTCTCGCTATGGTCCTGCGCTGCTTCCATTACCTCCTTATGTCGTGCTTCTAATTCATCCTTCTCGGCTTGAATGAGTTGTGCGGTCGCCACAGCTTCAGCACAAATAATCGCCTCTTCCCTAGCTTGAACCTCCAATTCGTGCAATTCTGCTTTGAGAAGCTCAACCTCGGAGGAGTTTTGTTGTTTGTATGCTTGTAACTCCGTCATCCGTGCCTGTGTTAAATTCGCGGTATCTTCAGCAAGTTGTCTTCCACGCTTTTCGGCTTCGAGCTCAGCTGTGAGACTATCCACCTTGTTCTTGAGGTCTCGTTGCGATGCTAAAGCGGTAGCCAATTTTCTACTGATATCCGAAGATCGATTAATTGACATAGCTTCGATGTCTCTATTTTCGCTGTCAGGTTGTGGTGTACTGCTTTGACTCCCGGCATGTGCAGCAAGTTTTGCTTTGTGATACACTGCTTCATTGATAGCGGCATCTCGTTGTTTTTCGACTTCGGCAATTTGTTTTGCTGCAAGAACCGCTTGCTTGTCAATCGAGCCCTGAACATTAGCAAGCTCCGCTTTCATTGCTAAAAGAGCCTCAATGAGTGGCTTATCGTCATCATCGAAGGACTCTGCAGCTTTCTGGTCCAGCATGGAGTTGCTTGAAGGATTGGGTGTGTATCCAGCTTTTCGTGCAAGTTCAAGCTCCGAAGCATACCAGGCGTTTCTATTTTTAGCAGCATCCAACTCTTTGAGTAATGTCACAGTTTGGGAATTTCTCGTTGAACTTCTTCGACTGACAGAGTTACTCGCTTGTCTTGTAGGTGGGGGCGGCGATGCCTGACGACTTGTAACATTTCTCAAAGAAATGTCCGTATTGCTATCTACTGAATTTTGACCACGGGGCTGTCGCTGTTTCGACGAAGCTCTTGAACTCGTACTACCTGCTTGCTGAGCACTAGAATCTTGCCTGCTTATCGATTTTGAAGTTTGCTGAGATTGTCGCGCATCAGAATCTTGCATTGGTATCGAATTGGCAATTTGCTGTGATTGTGATTGTGGTGGTGGTGGAGATTGAGGTGGAATTCCAGCTTGCATTGTTTGAGGGGGAGTTTGATTTTGCGATAGTGGCTGTTGCTGCTGTGGAGCATTCTGGAGCGGAGGACGTGGACCACTAGTGATTGGACTCTCCCGAGCCTGGGGACCTTCCTCCTGTGAAGGCGAAAGCGCTCGTTGAGCCAATGCTATATTTTCCGATCTGGGATTTCGCATAGAGGTATCTATAGCAGGACCAAAGCGATTATCAGGTCTTCCTTGTCCTGGAGGACCTTGAGGATTTGGATGACCTTGCGGACCTGGTGGGCCCTGAGAATTTGGATGACCTTGCGGACCTGGTGGACCCTGAGAATTTGGATGACCTTGCGGACCTGGTGGGCCCTGAGAATTTGGATGGACTTGCGGACCTGGTGGACCCTGTGCACCCTGCGGACCCCTGGACCCTCTACCATTGGGCCCAGCATTGGGACCTCGAGGATTAGGTACTTGCTGTTGTGGTGGTGGGCCAGGTTGAGGTTGTGCCGCCGATGATGCTCTCGGTAATTTCGACCCAGCTTGTGGACCTTGAGGTTGAGCCGAGCCTGGGGCGATACCATTTGAATCATTGCCGTTCACATTGGGCTGTCCAGCACTTCGATTGATGGGGCCCTCTCTAGGTGGACCATTACCTTTCTTTGGTTCTGGCAACGCGGAGATATCTCTAGAGCCCATGTTTCGTGGATGCAAACCACTCTTCTCACCTCCACTTGGACGTCTACCTCCAGGCACACGTTCATTCACAGCAGTTTGCTGAGATTGTTGTGATGTCTGCTGGTCATTTGGGTATCGAATTTTGCTTGTGTCGAGGACGTAGACAGTTGAGAGATCTTGAGCCTCACGAGTTGCTGTGCTTGGCTCCCCAGCAAGGACAATAATTTGTTTGCCGTATGCTGTCATACTGTGTCCGGAACGTGGAGAGGGCGAAGGTCCCATATTTTGGAAAGTATACCAACGCCTCGATGAGATTCTGAATGCTGCTAAATCACCTAAATCTGCACCTTCTTCAGTTCGACCACCAAAGATATACATTACATCATCGACAATTGCGGCAGCATGGCCTTCTCGAGGAGCCGGAATATACCCAATGCAATCAAGTTGAGTCCATGCATTAGTGATTGGATCGTAGCACCAAACATCGTTAAACCATTGAAGACCGTTGGTTCCTCCAAATCTGGAACAATTAGTACTGCTCGGGACTATTGACCATCTCAATGTTGAAAACTTACAGGAAAAGTTTTTCATTAAAAGTTACAACAGAGTGGTTTGTCCTGGCTGGGGGTATTTGTCCTACGGATGGTCCACCTTCATCACTGTTTTGTATAAGCATTTCCCATCTGTTTGTAGGAATCTGCAATTGATTCAAATCAAAGGCAACAAGATCATTCATGAAATATCCCTCCACTTGGCCACCAAAGACATAAATTTTCGAGCCCAAAATATTTAAAGAGTGCCCATATCTTCCTGCCGGCCTCGGTCCTGCTGGTACAGCTCTTGACCATTGCCTTGTAGCTGATGATTCTTTAGCATGATTCTCGTATGCGTGAGGATTGACCTACAAGTATTCAATAAATATAAAGTTTCATCTAGGACGTCAGAATCCTCCATCTTGGTATCTCCTCCATACACAATAAATGCATTTCCCACCAGTAAACTTGCATGTCCAACTCTTGGTCCTGGACCCTCAGCTGTCGTGCCCAATGGGTAACATGCCATATTTGCACCCGCTTCTACCATCCATAGATCCCCTTTTACTGTTGAGCTGTTGATGAGACCTCCCATGAGGTATATCTCACCCTCTTTCGAGGCCATGGAATTGACAGCGGCGCCATAACGAGGAAAGGGAGGAGGATGATTAGTTGTATATGTGATTCTTCTTTGCGACCACGGGTATAACGACGAATTGGGGTTTGAATTCATTGATTGTACTGGAGGTGGCGCGCCGTTGCGCAGCTACATTAAACAACATCAGTTAGTATTTGAATCCCCATCTCAGCAATGGGAAATGCGGTTTGCGACATTCACAAGATATTGCCAATCACTTACCGCGATGTCTTGCGCTTGCTCTGGATTGGGTCCTCGTCGAGCGTTTAACTGTTCGGGGCTTGGCGTAGTTGGATTGCCTCCTTGCAGACCTTGCAGGGAAGTAATGGAATTATTGACACTGCTCGAAGGGGTCGTCGTCCTCTCTGCCTGTTGCGGCATACGTCCATTCGCATTTTGAAGGGATGATTGCTGCGAACCAGGTACACCATTCCCGCCATCCCTCAAAGCCTGAGCCTTGTCTGCATTCTTTTTACTCTTGAAGAGGAATGCCATCGTGCCATTCGAGGCCAAGTACTTTCACTTCTTTTCCCAATGCCGGCGCAAGAGGGTAAGTGTTCTAGACGGAAATAACGAATTGCTTTACCAACGAATGCTGTTTATGTCGGGAGAATCGAGGTTGTTAAACTCGATCGGATAGTCTCAGGAAAAGGAAAAGGGATTAAGTCTGAGCCAAAGTCCAGGGTTCTTGCTGTTTAGAAATGGCTGGGATTGAGAACTGAATGTCCATTCAGTTTCTTTGGTTGATTTATTATTTTATTGAAAGTTTTTCTATAAGTAAACAAAATGAAGAAATAGTAAACAATCGAATAAAATTGGAGAGATTTGCAGTGCAGAATGGGATTATTTAAAAAAGTAATAAAGTTTGGTATATTATTATAGTTATTTAGTTGTCAAGAAAATAAGGGAGGTTGATGATGAGGATGAGGATGAGGATGAGGATGAGGATGAGATGTGAGATTGATGGGTTCTCTACCTACTACTCCAAGACAAGACAACCTTTTGGGTGAATTATTGGGAGTGAGTGAGTGAGTGAGTGAGTGAGTGAGTGAGAGAGTGATGGAAATGGAAATGGAATCACGGTCGATCCTCAAAATTATTTACCGTTCTGGTCTGCACTTTTATCGCTTGACCTTGACCTTGAGCTTTCTTGACTTTTGGGCCGCCAGCCTACTGATTTTTCGATCGGAGATAGTAACCTTTAGTATCTTTGTGTTGCTCACCAACCACGAAATATCTTCTACGAAAATACCCCGTACAATATGGTAATACGCCTTGTTTTATCTTCCAAGTACCTGAGAACCACAATTTTGGAATGAGATATACCAGGGGGGAGGATCCAATCCCTTCTAATGTGAACAGATTTAGAAAATTACGTACGGCGTGTATACATACGAATCGATGCCTATTGCCCCATATTGACATGGAAGAAAAGTGTATTCTCATTTCTGCTAAGAAAGATGGAAAGTAAAGGGGGCAAAGGGAAGGGGAACGGGTGCTGCTAATCTCACAAATCAACAATGTCTTGAAGCCAAAAAAAAGGATGAAAATCTAAAGAAGATGAATCAAAAGTACCAAGATCTGCAGTTTCTCTGTATGTATGTGCTACTTATATCATATATGTATATATGTATGTACCTTACTGCCTTTGAATGTTACTAAAGCTTCTGTGACATATCTTCTTTCTTTCTTTCCTTTCTTCAATTTTGTAAGGATTTCCGTCGTTCATGTTCATTGATCGATCGAATTTATTAGTTCCATCCAGCCATTTCGATGTTCTTACCCCTGATTCTGGAGCATTGCCCCTTCATTTCTGTTCAACCGTAATTTATAGGTAGGGCTACAATGTATTTTATCTATTTAAATACCAAGGCCCTTGCTCTTGGGTGTTGGTGGAACTTACTCGAACACCTAGCCAGAGACAACGGTTTGTTTTTCCTTTTGCCTGAAGTAGCGTAACCTTACTCGATATCTTTCTTCACTTATCATTCTTCTTATTCTTCTCATTCTTCTCGAACAATTGATGGAATTTAGAGGGTCCATATGGAAGGGGTTAAAAATTGCAATAACAGTAGTAAGTCGCATGTCGACACCCGTCTGAATCGCATGTAGCAACGCCTCCAAAAGTGATCATCTAATCACTGTCCCGGATTAGCAGTGCGTCGGGTTTTGATTGTTGCATTATTGCTCGGTCGACTACATCTACTCTCCTATAGGTCCAATTATGACTGTGCGCTCGATCTAGAAATGTCCGGCTGCATGCTGTCACATTTTCTACCTCCTCAATCCACAAATGGAAAAGGGACAGAGATCTGGGCTATATAAACATACGAAGTTGGTGATATCGATGGAAACACGAGATCGATTTAGAGGTCCTTCTATTTATTCAAGCTGAGAGGATCCGGGAGAACGGTTACATCCTCACCAATATCAGTGCCTCTAACCATCTTTCGTCTGATACTTTGGGGGAGGAAGCGGATTCGACATATCATTGGTATATTGATTTGGGGGTTCACAATTCTAGCGGCTAAAATCCAACAGATCCTTCGAAACTGTTTGACATATGACCTACATATTGGATACAGTTACATCAATCCTATGGTAACTGGTAATGTAATCCTCCAAGGATACCTCCTGGAACGAGGCAATGTGCCTACCTAGTGGTATATAAATGACTTTGAGCCTTTGAAGTTTGCAGACCGAAAACTCTAGTAGGTAGCGATCAGATCTCCTTACGCATCTGAAAAGAGTCCGGTCACAATCTTGCATGAAATTGCGAATGCACGACCAGAATTGATGCAGTGGATGCAGGTGTCGACAGTAGTGTAGTCTAGTAGCTTAGGGGAATTGAAAGTTAAAAAGTTGGGCAAGTTGGGAATGCAGCACAACATTGCAGTAGGTTGATGGAGCGGTCAAGTAAGCTTGTCCTTGGAACAGTCTTGGAAGTTGGAGCATTCCAGCTGTATGTACGGAGTACTCTGTACATACTGTACTTGTACTGTACATGTATATACATGTACATATGTAATAGGGCCCCCGCGAAGGGCTTGGTCAGCCACTCTCGCCACACTGTGGCGTCGACGTCGGCATTGAATATTGAAAGCGGCCGGGATCTATCGATTATGCTAACTAACACTAATTTGTGAGGCGGTCATAACCCATATCATCATTGGAGCTCGTGACATCCACCTAGCAATTTCGAAGGTGTAATTTGTAATTGGGAGAGTGAGTTGTAAAATACCTGAGGTACGTTAGGTATGTTATGTACATTATTCACATTCACATACACATTCACAAATTCAAATAGATATTATATTTTACATTCACTTTGAAATATATACGAGTAATTTAGCTCCAATTGGAATTGACTATCAAACCTCGTGGTATCGTATAATTCACCCATTTGTATGTTAGCTTTTGTAATCATTATGATCCTGTTGACCCCTATGAATTGCGGGTTTTAGTTTTTTGATATGAATTCAAGCTTATTTACCTAAAGGTCATCAATTTATCTTAGAGTACATCCACCAACTTGTTGCGAAGCTGTACCGATACCTGGACCGCCCTCTCGACCGCCTCGATTTATTCCTTTTCCTGACTTCCAACTGCCCAATGAGCGTTTGATTTTTTGAAGAAGGGTAAACTTCCCCGTCCAAGACCATGACAGCAGTTGCAGTTCAACATGGAGCTCCCCGCCAACAATACAATCCACACCGATCAAATGCCTCTCCGAATTTAATTTCACCTTCTGGCCCACAACCTCAGCCTCAAAGTTATACCTCCGCCACTGGGCCGAATTCAAGAGAACTGCAAAACTCCACCCCCGGCACATTAGCGACGATGAATTCGAGGCATACTGTGAGCAATGATCCAGTCCAGCCTGTCAACGGCGCAGATGCTAGATATGCATATGCGCAGGCGAATTCAGGTCGCATCCATACCACAACGCAGAATGGATCAACACCAGCAAGCACGCGGCCGACTACTTCGGCTGGAGCTACGGCAGAATCATCACAAGACGACTCTGAGCCAGATAGAACACGGCGCAGGCCGGCCGCGTTACTTCAAAGATCAAGGAGTGATTTTGGCCCGATGGCGGAAGATACAAATGCAGATATGGAAGACGATATACAAGATTGGGGAGAAAGACATGGATTCGGAACTAACTATGCATCCGAAGAGTATGTTTCGCAACTAGCAAATGTAAGTCGCTCTTTCCTTCAATAGTGATATCTCGGTCCGACATTAGTCTTTCACACCTTCAAAATTTCCCTTTGTACACACTCGTCAAATTTTTGGTACAAGCAAATTTTATACAATGGATCTTTTATTGCATACTTCTCTGTTCAAAGCATGGGTGATTATTTTGACATTTGGAGGTTAAGTTACTCCTCCTGTATTGAAAGCTTCGATTTCTTCGCAACTAGCCCAGATGGAGATCAGACAGGTGCAGAATGTCTCAGTGAGACATATGAATCCATGCCTGCAGTCTCAAAAGGCTGCGTCGCACTTCGTCGAGCGCATTACCACCGCCTGAAACATTCATTGAGCTGGGCACCTGGAGTTGTCTATGTGGACATGGGCTCAGAGATAACTACTGACATGATACAAAAGAACTGGTATATGTACTTTACGGATAAACGACACGAAACGACGGGCAACCCTAAGTCATTGGGATATGAACTTCAGGATTGGCGGATGAAGGATCGTCTAAAGACAGTTTCTGCAGCGTTGGCAATATGCCTAAACATTGGAGTCGAACCACCCGATCAATTAAAGACTACACCCGGTGCAAAATTGGAGGCTTGGCAGGATCCCACACACCCTCCTGTCCAAAAAGCTTTGGAAACGATTGGAAAATCTTTACAAGCCCAATACGAGACATTGGCCATTCGAACGAGATACAAGCAATATTTGGACCCATCGGTAGAGGAGACGAAGAAGTTCTGCATATCACTCCGTCGAAATGCCAAAGAGGAGCGCGTTCTCTTCCACTACAATGGCCATGGAGTTCCAAAACCGACCTCATCTGGCGAAATTTGGGTATTCAACAAAAACTACACTCAGTACATTCCTGTCTCGTTGTATGATTTACAAACTTGGTTGCAAGCACCTACATTCTTCGTTTGGGACTGTTCGGATTCAGGTAACATACTAAGTAACTTCCATCGATTTGTTGAGAAGCATGAGCAGGAAGAGCTTGAGAATTCGAAGAAAGATCCAAACTATATAATTACGAACTATAAACCTTACATCCACCTGGCAGCATGTGGCGTAAAGGAAAATTTACCCACAAATCCTCTGCTTCCTGCTGATGTCTTTACATCATGTCTGACTACACCTATCGAAATGGCATTATGGTTTTTCGTTCTTCAGAACCCACTTCCATCTCAAATCACACCAGAGCGAGCCAAAAAGCTTCCTGGTAGGCTACAAGAGAGACGAACTCCTTTAGGGGAGTTGAATTGGATATTTACAGCAATCACGGATACCATAGCTTGGACTACCCTTCCTAGGCCTTTGTTCAGAAAGTTCTTCAGACAAGATTTGATGGTTGCAGCTCTATTCAGAAACTTCCTGTTATCCCAGAGGATTATGTCGGCCTATGGATGCCACCCACAATCATATCCGGAGCTTCCGGACACTCATCAACATCCTCTTTGGGAAAGTTGGGATTTGGCAGTGGAAATGGCCTTGGCACAATTACCATCGCTAGAGAAGAAGGAGGCGGGGCAACTTCCAGACTATGAATTTCAGAATTCCAGTTTCTTCACAGAGCAGCTTACGGCATTTGAGGTTTACCTGACCCAAGGTGCTGTAACCCACAAAGCTCCCGATCAGCTTCCAGTAGTTCTTCAGGTACTTCTTAGCCAGCAACATCGAGTACGGGCCTTGATACTACTAGGAAGGTTTCTTGACATGGGTCCCTGGGCAGTAAACCTCGCTTTGAGCATAGGCATCTTCCCATATGTTTTGAAGTTGCTGCAATCGGCGGCAGCAGAGTTGAAGCCTGTAATGGTGTTCATCTGGACTCGTGTTCTGGCTGTTGACCTCACATGTCAACAAGATCTGTTGAAAGATAGTGGCTACAACTACTTTTCGAGTATACTTAAACCAAGTGAAGGGCTCCCAGTGGTAGATAGCCTTGAGCATAAAGCTATGTGTGCCTTCATCCTTGCCATGCTTTGCAATGGATACAAGCAAGGGCAAAATGTCTGCAATCAAACAGATATCATGACTTACTGTTTAACACATTTGCAGAATGCAGACAATCCACTTTTGCGTCAGTGGGCGTGCCTATGCATTAGTCAACTCTGGAATGATCTTCCAGAAGCAAAATGGCGAGGCATCAGAGAGAATGCGCCCGCGAAGTTGTCTAGTCTGGTTCGTGATGTGGTTTGCGAAGTTAGAGCCGCCATGTTATATGCCATGACAACTTTCTTGGGAATCCCTGATCTGACAGACGAAGTTGCCCGGAACGAGGAGTCAATATCCTGGACTGTTATTGAAATGGCAAATGATGGGAATGCCATGGTCCGCAAAGAACTTCTAGTCTATTTCTCCAAGCTTATACATCGATATGAGAGCAAGTTTTGGGTAGTTGCATTCGAGCAACTGCAAGAAGAACGAGAGTACCGACAACACCCCCCCGTCGACGATGGGAATGATCATAAAATGGGGCTCCATTATGCGAGTATGGAAAACAGAAATAAGGACGGTACTATCAAAGCCACAGCTCAGGGCTTATCACACAATTCTATCTTTGCCGTGGTTTGGAAACATGTTCTTATTATGACAATCGATCCCCATCCTGAAGTCCAGCGCAATGCAACCATTATCGTGGATTGTGTTCATACATCGCTCCTTCAATCACCTGTTGGAGTAGCAGCACGAAATCTGTTTGACGATATAAATCGACTTTCAGCGAGACCAAAGGCTTCAAAACAACATGTCTCCGAGCAGAGGCCAAGCACACCAACGAGGCAAGATACCTTATCAAGTACAAATGCTAGCCAGCAAGGTTTACTCAAAAGAACAGCTAGTTACCTATTTACTTTACCGTTTGTAGGTTCCACTGGTGAAGTCACGCCCCCAGACTCAACGGGAAGATCGGGGTTGAAGTCACCAGGCCTTCAGCGGAATTCTTTGCCGATGCGATCACGTCTCCCACCAGATTTCAACACCTCGCCGGAACAAAACGATATCGCATCGACCCCAGGCACATATCATGTAGCGAATGAGCCAACCTCAGGTGGATTTCAACCTCGAAAGCTGTCGGATCCGATTTCCATACCGTTGGAAAGCACTTTCTTAGAATGGTCGATTGAATATTTCCGCGAGCCCCAAATGAAACAAAACGAGGCTGAAGAGCCCGGTAGTACTGATTACAACGAACGACTCTGGCGTAGATCAAGGAATGAAGCAATCTTGCGAGAAACTCAACCTCAGAAAGAAATCGCCGGTAATGGTAAATGGACACATGCTACCGGATTCTTCAACAACTCCAGTCAGCCAACAAAGATGACTCTCCATCAATTTGAAGATCATCTTGCTGTGTCTGACGATCGTGATACAATTTGTGTTTGGGACTGGAAGAAGCAAGACCGCTTGAGTCGATTCTCGAATGGAAATCCGGAGGGCTCAAGAATTAGCGATCTCCAATTTATAAATGAAGACGATCAGGCCTTTTTGTTGACAGGGTCTTCAGATGGTGTCATTCGTATATATAGGAATTATGACTCCGACAAGAAGATTGAGGTTGCTTCGGCTTGGAGAGCTCTGACTCACCTTGTCCCAAGTAACGTTAATTCTGGTATGGTATTTGACTGGCAACAAGTGACGGGCAAGTTATTAGTAGCTGGTGATGTCAAGGTGATCAGGGTATGGGCTGCGGCAGCGGAGCTCTGTATTGTGGATATTAACGCGCGATCTGGTTCTTGTGTTACTTCATTGACTTCGGATCAGATGACAGGAAATGTTTTCGTGGCCGGTTTTGGTGATGGGGCTATTCGAGTATTCGACGCTCGAAACAAGCCACAGGAAGCTATGGTAAAGAAATGGAAGGACGAATCTGACAGGGTGTGGATTAAGAATGTACACATGCAACGAGGTGGGCAGAGAGAGCTTCTCTCCGCTAGCCGTAATGGCAAAGTTAAACTTTGGGACATTCGAATGGATAAACCACTACGAGTAATCCAAGCTACAAAGGAAACCTTACGTACTGCAAGCACTCATGAGCATCTTCCGGTATTCGCTGTGTAAGTCTACCGCCTTTTCGTCCTCTGAAAGTTACTAATTAAATATCTAGTGGCACTTCGAACCACACAGTCAAGGTCTTCAACTTCGACGGCAGGGAGCTCTCTAGAGTAGAGCCATATTCTAGTTTCCTACACCAAGCTCGTCAATCCCCGATTTCGGCCACGGCCTTCCATCCTCATCGGATGATGTTAGCTTGTGCTGCGAGGGGTGATAATCATATAAACCTATTCTCGTGTGCGGAACGAAAGGTGCCATCAACAGAATATTGACATGATGGGTGAGAAGGGCGATTTGTTTAATGAACTGATAAGATAGAAGGCGTCTTGATCGATTATCACATTGTTCGGCGTACTGGGAGTTGTGGCTACACATGAAATGCATAACAGCGGTGCGTGAATTCAACAGGTTAGTAAGGTTTTGAGGGTATCATCCCTTTTCAAGGAAATTTTAAGGGCTTAATATTGGCCCAGGCGTTGTGAGGTCATATCATGAATTGGTTTGAACTTAATTGGCATGTATGGTCAGCATGATTTGGGTTTTGGCTTGCGCTTGGTATTTGCATCTATTATCTGGCTGAATTGACCTTGGCTAGATTGAAGGATTTGGGTGAAGGAAAGAAGTGATGTTGAAGTGAAGTGGAAAGGGAAGGGAAGGGAAGAATGATCTACACCCCTTTTTCTCTTTTTCTTTTTTTCTTCTGGTGATGCCTTAGGTAATGATTAATAGTGGTCGGTTTGCTGTATGTATGTTGGTATGTAGGTAGGAGTCTTTGGCATGCTTATTATTTTTATATAATTTGTTATAGTATAGTTTGGGATTGTGATGTAATAGTGATGATGTTTCGGTTGAGCCTAAGGGCGACCAATTCCAGTATATGAGGTGATCTTACATCCTTATCTAGTTGTCTAGAGGTTTTATAATAGGTAGGCCCTTATCAATAACGGTACTATCGGATAATTAGGTTCGATTTGTTTATTTGGTGATATTTTATATATAAGATCCTATTTAGTTTTGTTGTTTTGTTGTGTTGAATGTTGATCGTTGGCTGTGATGTAATGTGGTGTGGTGTATTATAAACTGGATTATCTGTTTTAGAGTATAAGATCTTGATAGAAGTTAAGAGAATCTCTTCCTTTGTTTTGTTTCGTTGTTTTATCTTTGACTTTCTTGTGAAGTAGATGAGAGGATTGAGGTAGATTGTAGATTTTATAGATTTTAGACGTGGAAGAAATAGTTGATTGTAGTTAATGTTACATAAGATTATATTCACTTGTAACCTTATAAATGATGTAAGTTTTTGTTAGTTTTTGTTGAAATGCTTATGAATCTTGATTAAGATTGGATAATGTTGATAAAGCCTAAAAGGAGATGTTTTATTTAGATTGATATAGTAGATATGTAGTAGATTGATAGATATTTATTATATTAAAAGATAGTTATTGATTCAGGATAGTATTCACTATGTGTATTCTAACCTATTTAGATATTGACACATTAAGCAGATAGATATACAGTAGACCGTTGTATAATAGACAAGATTTGTATAATATTGTCTAACGTTCTTAGGTTTTTTCTTTATAAAAACAATTTCCTTTACTAGATGCTGATCCTTGTTTCTTTTACAATATATTCGAAACTTTTATTGAAGATTTAGTTTGGGATCACGAAGTAGTTTCTGAAGAAACAAATTAACTTCTAGCTTCCAAAGGAATTTTCTTTCAACTTAAACTTACAAGTTCTGGAGTATAGCTCTTTATATCAACATCAATTTCTATCATCTAATAACAAGATGGTTCAAAACAACCAGATACCAGATTGGTTGCAAACCAGGGAGTTGACCGAGCTTGAACAGGATAAGGGTAGAGAACAACATATAGCAACATTACTCAACTCCTCGGAGCAACCCATAGCTCCAAATCGTCTCGAAAATTCCAAATCAAATTATATCCCCGAACACATATTTATCAAACCCCTACATGCAAACCCAACTCGACATCTCGAACAGCTTTCCATGTTCCTGATATTCCGTACACGATTCTTGTCTCTACCGTTATATCAACAGAATTTGTATACCTGGGGTGTGCAAAGGATTCCTTTGGATGATATGTTTGAGATGGAGTTTTTGAGGAATAGTTGTAATGCTTGTGGAATTGCGTTTGAGAAGTTACAGTTACTTGTTGATGAGTTATGGAGAGCGGAAGTATTTTCATCTTCTTCGGATTTGATGAGGTCTTTGCGGGATTATACGCATGAGGATCTGCAGAGTGATAGGTTTAGGAAGGCTGTGGGGTTGCAGCCTCTTAAGAAGAATATTGTTGGTGGTGATGAGGGAAAACTACTGGGCTTGGTAGATCAAAACAGAGTTTCGGAATCGCTTAGAACTCAGGAGCATCAGGATCAGAGCCAGAAATTACCGGATATTAACAGATCATCTGCAGTTCTTTCACAGCCAGAGGAACTACCACAAGATAATGGATCTGAAGTTGCGCCTTCTGGTGATCGCACGCTACCTCCTGCAAAGAGTCGTTTTATGACGATGATTTCTTCTACTTCTCTACATGGAGGTAAGAAGAATATCTATAACCCGTCTCTCCTCCGCCGCCCGATGACTTCGCCGGTCCTGAGTAAAGATTCAGGAAATTCCCAATTTATGCAGCATGGTTCGAGACCTAGATCTAAATCCATATCTGAGGGCGAAAGTAGTGCAAGAAACACCATTACAAACCGACGTTTTTCGACATCTAATATACCTTGAGATGATAAGTGGGATAGCTTTTGCCGATCATAAACAGGAGATATCAGGTGATGAAAGATGGAGTTTGTAGGCTGCTGGTATTAAGGAGGAGAAGGAATGGCGTTGATGAAGTGGGCTGGTATGCTAGTGCTGATTGCCGTTAGATAGATGGGATATGAGGAGGACAGTGGGAGGTAACGGAGGAGCTATTCTTTAGAAATAATGAAGTTGGAAACGGCGAGGAGTGGAGTGGATATGCGAGATATGAAGGGAAGAGTGGTGAGACCATGATGTATTTGCGGGAAATTAGTAGCATTTCAGGATGGGAGGCCTAGCCATTTTGAATACAAGACCCTTTCAATTGGTCACTACAGTGATAATAATATAAATTTAGATTGGTCATTCACGTTTACCTGCACGTACTCCAAATATAATACCATGAATCAAACGATGAGTTTTCCGTGAACTGCAATTAGAGCCCCGAAGAGTACATATACTGTTTATTTTAGGGCCGGTCTGGTACCTACTTATCTACATGGAAGCAGAGGTGGACGTTTCTTCACGCTTCGTATCCTAGAACTCCGAATCAGGAACTATGCAATAAGCAATCCCTTAGCATGCCAAAGCAGCCATAATATCCCTATAAAGATTTAGCACCACTGTCATTCATGCCATGATATTTTCAGCCAGCCATGGATCTTTCCAATAACCGCGGACTTCCCCACGAAATGGCTTAATGCCAGTCGGTTCACAGGGCTGTAATATTTTCCCACAAGCAAGTGAATTATGTTCAAGTTGCAATAACTAACCCTGCTTTATTTTCATGGAAATCTCTTGGGATATGAGAAATATGTACTACTCGATATGTCAAATGTCGTCATATGGCTTAAGATTATGCCGACTTTTCAGATAGCATCCGTAGAAGATGGGATTTAGAAAGGCGTCTCAACAGCGCTATCGTTACTATGTGTGACTTTCTCATGCACCGATCTAATAATCTTCCTTAGTCGTCCAATTATAGGTGCAATTATTGGTGACCACTATGTGCATCTACAATGGCTGGAGTCATGAAATCGCTCTACCATTGAGGAGCTTATCTTGACACTTCCGCGGGAGCTTCTTTACTTAGTCCCTTTCATTCGCGTCATGTTTCTCATGCCTCGGTTTCGATAACCTAAAGAGAAGAAAAAGCTGAACAATTCATCCCAATTGTGACTCTTGCATCGGGAGCTTGCTCGTTGAGATAATGAGTAAGTGCCAATGACGTAGAGATCGAGTAAGTAATGCCACCCTCCTGCAGTGGAAACGACCACCAACCTCACTTCCCAAAGCCCAATATCGTCAAGAAAATGAAATTACTACTTACCAACCAGATCAGATTGTGGGTACATATGCCAAAGCACTAACCCTGACAGCATGTATCTTCATGAGACATTTCTAGCTATTAATACGAGCTGTATGATCTGAGCCATATATGAGACTTAGTGTAGCCAAAATGTCCGAAATCTAGTGTAGGACCAACACATAACGGCCCGGTCCTTAAAGTCAATCACCACGGCACTTGACATATGACCCTTCTGACTTATCAAGATGCTAATTGCTTTTGAGTCAAAATTTCCTAAGTGCTTCCAGAGAAATCGAGGATAATTTTATTCTGCTATGCCGGAATTAATTACCAACACTTGTAAAGGATCATCCCAACCGGCAGAACAACTATTGAACGACACGATCTATCATCACATTTCTCACATAGAACAATCTCCACATATACCCGGCTTTAACGATTCGTTCTTCGTTGCAGATATAGAAAAGATCCGTCATCAACATGACATTTGGGTATCTTATCTGCCTTATATTCGGCCTTTCTACGGCAAGAAAAAGCTCATCCCCTACCACGTCCTATTGAACTGATGTGCAAAACAGCTGTAAAATGCAATTCCGACACAGTCTTGCTAAACGTCCTCATGCAACTCGGCGCAGGCTTTGACTGTGCATCCGTGGAGGAAATGCATACCGTCTTATCTTTGGGTACTCACCCTAGTAGTATTAACTTTGCAAATCCATGCAAGGCACCTGAATCGCTTGCCTTTGCCTATAAAGTCGGCATTAGAAAGACGACTTTTGATAATCTCGATGAGCTTGACAACATAAAGAAATACATGCCCAACGCACAACTACTGCTTAGGATATATGCAAATGATAGTAGTGCTGTTGTTTCTTTGGGGGAAAAGTATGGTGCCCCACTTGAATCGTGCCATGCGCTTCTTGTACGCGCAAGAGAATTGGATATGGATGTTGTGGGAACAACTTTTCATATTGGTGACTGAGCGTTCGTAAAATGATCCAAGTTCTACAGGGCTAACTGTCTCAAGGATCCTGTGCTTCAGATCCCAACGCAATTCGAGAAGCAATTGCTCATTCAAGATTAGTCTGGGACATTGCACAATCTTTGGGATATTCCCTCAAGATTGTAGATATCGGAGGAGGTTTTCAGTCCACAGAAACTGCATTTGATCCAATGGCCACAGCTGCATCTAGCGCCATATCTGAGGCATCATTCCCAGAGCAAACAGAATTTATCGGAGAGCCCGGTCGTTTTTACGCGTGTAGCGCATTTACACTTGTTTGCCGGGTCATATCCCGTCGAATATCGACGGGACCGACAGCTTCCAAAGCATTAGAAATGCTATATCAAAACGATGGGGTATATAAAAGTTTCATGAATGGGCTTACAGAGAAAGAAGTGTTTACACCAACCTTGATAAAAGGCAAAATCGATGGTAATGTAGGAAGGAAGACGGGAGAACATGCCTATACGATCTGGGGTCCAACATGTTCCAGCACGGATTGTGTCACCCGCAGAGCTACTTTTCCGTGCGAGGTTAGGGTTGGTGATTTTTTGGTATACAGAAACATGGGAGGTAAGAGCTCGCGCGGGTTAGCTGCTAACAATATACTGACGAAGCGTGCAGCATATACTTCAGCTACAGCGACACGCTTTAATGGGTTCTCCAGTCAGGCGGTTACTATCTACGTTTGTAGCCGTTCCAAGAATTACGCTCAAGCTGAAGAATGCAGCAGTGAAGTGGAAGATTGCTCGAAAATAGTGGATGCGTCCAAAACTCCTACAGTCGAATTATAATATTTCTAGCATTATACTAAACTATAGGATTTGTCTCTTGTTAAGAGTACTTCTTAAGCAAATTATTCATTTCTTAACAAGTGATCGGTAACATTCATTGATCATTGGGGTGCTTCTTAGGGGCTTTTCGAAACATGGGAGGAAAGCATGTATTTCAACACCTTAATATATGTATGTCAGCTGGGATTTCCTTTATAATTCGATTACACAGGAATCAAATTCAAAGTTACTCCAAAAACTTTCAGATTTCCATAATCGTATTTTAATTCTGTGCGAAAAAGAAGTTTTAAGAGCTCAGCGGTGTATGTTATATATTTTATAGCTGGAGTACCATGGCTTTTGAGCATCGAAAGGCTTTAAATAAATACTGCAGTCCGGACTACTGGAGGCCCTGCATAGCTGGTTTTCGCCCAGAAAGAATATTTCCTATGAGTCTTCAGGGCAGTAGTTGTACATGGCACCTACGCCTAATTGCTGCTCTTAACATTGTGGAGCGTGCCAGGTGAGGAAACTTCCAAATAAGTAGATGGAAAAGAAATACTTGCTGATATTATCAGCACTCGGCGTCTCAGACATCAATGTAGAAGTAAAAGCACCAAAAATTGCAAACATTGGATGGACGTCGCAGATCATCTGCTGCACAAACTTTGGTTGCGAATATCAATACGCCAACTTCCTGTCGGAGTGACACGAATACAGATCGCGCATTTCGCTTGAGATCAACACATGTCTGTGTAGGCCATTCACACTATGTGCGCTGATGCCATTTACTTGTACCAGGCATTTGCCGACTACCCAGATACGTGTTGTTGGATTTATGCAAAAGATCCGCCCTATAGGGGAAGGAGAGTAAGTTCAAATCAGCGGAGACTATTCCAGATGTATAGAGCCAATGGCAACTCTGCCTTCAGGCTTTTTCATCTCAATAAGGATGCCCCGCCTAGATGGAAAAAGCATCATGAAAAAGCGTATAGGATTCAAAGACGCCATTATGAAGTATGAAGCATATTACTCTTCGTGCCCAGAAGAACAAGCCGAAAGCAATGACGGAGATTTTGATATTGTGATGAGATCCCATGTACCAGTTGAGCCACGCAGCATACTATTCTGATTGACTGGTTTATGTGACAATTTTCGTACCATGGGTAGAGAGTAAAGTCTAAAAAACGATATATATATATATATATGTATATAAAATATATATTGACCTAATTGAAGTTGTTGATGTGAATGATGTGACTGATATCTAAAATCTGATACCCCTGTAAAAAGCTATGACCTTCGCTCGCGCTAAAATTCTTACTCATACCATGATCACAACTTGTCGAAAGTACCCCTCCATCCTTTTTTATTTTGTTCATGAACGTGAGTAATATCACTCAATACCACTAGATACAATAGCCAATTACTTCACAATTATAAATATGGCGGAACCTAACAAAGAAATCCCAACGGATCCCTCCATCGCGCCCGGAGACGCTCCACCTGCAGGAGAAGACCCCGCACAACCCTCTAAGAAGGGAGCAAAGAAAGCAGAAGCCAAAGCGAAGAAGGAGGCAGAAAAGGCACGCAAAGCCGCTGAGCAAGCCGCCAAACAAGCTGCCGCTGGATCTGCTGCATCTGAAGATCTCGCAAAAGATAACTACGGACAAATTAAACATACCACAAAACTCGAAGCCGAAAGTGTACATCTGAGGGAGATCGGAGAACAACATATTGGCAAGACGATTAAGGTTCGGGCATGGATTCAAAATGCACGAATGCAAGGAGCGAAGATGGCGTTTGTGGAATTGAGAGAGGAGGGCAATTGGACGGTGCAGGGAGTTGTGAGTGCCAGCGCGGAAGGAAAGCCAGTTAGTAAACAAATGGTCAAATGGATAGGAGGCTTAAAGCTGGAGAGTTTTGTTGCGGTTGAGGCTGTAGTGCAAAAGCCATTAGAGCCGGTCAAGAGCACCAAGGTCTCAAACTTCGAATTACATCTCGGAAAGGTCTACTTGGTAGCTGCTGCTCCTGAGATGTTGGGTTTGGGTTTGGGCCCAGCGAGCAGGGCTGTAGGGAAGTTAGACGAGGAAGAGGATCTAAGTGAAGCTGCTGCAGGTAAATTTATATACCGTTTTCATTTTCATTATTGAGCTAACAAATCTATAGGGCTTAGTGTCACAGAAGGTACCCCGACTGCCAGTTTGGCCTCCCATCTCAACAATCCTGCTATGCATAAACGAGCGCCTGTCAGCCAAGCTATTGCTGATATCCGAATTGCTGTCGAGGACTACTTCTGCGATTACCTGAGAAGCCATCGTTTTAAAAAATTCCATCCTCCTTGTTTGATCGGAGCTGCTTCCGAAGGTGGTGCAAACGTATTCAGAATGCCATACTTTGATAAAGAGGCATATCTCGCCCAATCCCCACAGTTTTACAAACAATTTGAAATAGCTGGAGGCCGAAAGAGAGTTTACTGCGTCGGGCCTGTTTTCCGTGCAGAAAACTCAAATACTCCCAGACACATGACTGAGGTAAGAAAATCAGTTTTGGAGGATGAAAAAATATTAAATAAATGTCTAGTTCATTGGTCTCGATTTGGAGATGGAAATCGACGAACACTATCACGAAGTTTTGCACATGCTTGAAGGTGTCCTCCTTTTCATTTTCCGTAACCTTGCCGAAAATTACCGCGAAGAAATTGAACTTATCCGCTCAATATACCCATGCGAAGAGTTCCTTCTACCCGAAGCTGGCAAGGAAGTGCGTCTCACTTTCGCCGAAGGTCAAAAACTCCTCCGCGAAGAAGGCCCCGAAGAATTTAGAAACGTTAGCGATACAGAAGACATGAGCACGCCTCAAGAAAAAGCTCTCGGAGCACTCGTTCGCAAGAAGTTCAATACTGACTTCTATGTCCTCGACAAGTTCCCCGTCGATGCTCGTCCATTCTACGCAATGCCTGACCCTGAAAATCCTGCTGTCACAAATGCATATGATTTCATGATGCGCGGTCAAGAAATCCTAAGTGGTGGTCAACGATTGCACTTACCAGAGCAATTAGAGGAGGTTATTAGATCGAAGGGGTTGGATCCTAATCAACCTGGTATCAAAGAATATGTAGATGTGTTTAAGAGTGTGGGTGTGCCACCTCATGGTGGTGGAGGTATTGGCTTGGATAGAGTGGTGGCTTGGTACCTGAATCTGCCAAGTGTGCATTTGGTCTGCGATTATCCAAGGACACCGAAGAGATTAAGCCCTTGAGTTCTCTCCAATGCATAAACCGGAACAAAACGATAAACCTAAGGAAATTGATTTCTGGGTGGTTAAATAATGGCCTTAGGTAAAAAGAATAGATGAATGAAGCAACCATGATACCGTATTCAATGGCAGGGATCACAGCCAGACAGCCGTGATGCAATAATCCCAATCGGGATCAAAGCATTTCAGTTAATACGGTGGTAACGAAGTGAGATTCGGGCAGATATTTACCAAGAGAGCAACAAGCTGACAAGAGAAATACACCAGAAGAAATTATATAAAAATCAATTCAAAGACCTAAAATCTCTCCTCATTAAACTGTCCTGTGTGATGTTTATTAATCAGCTCGTTAGGGAATTGTAGTTAACAGAAATCATTCCAGTTCATCAAAGCCAGACAGAATATTTTGTTACGTGACATCATAGTGTCCTTTCATTAATATTACCTAGTATATTCCTCAAGTTCCCAAGCGAAAAATACGGATAATTCTTAGATGTGATCTGGTGCGTTGTAAGTTTATAACTATAACTATAAGTACCAACACAGAATAAATCATAATTATAATCATAATTAGAGTGCGGAGTTAAAGTGTATGCGCTTTTTCTTGAGTTTAACCGGGTGTCATCTGCTGTGTGGAAAAAGTAGGTAGGTAAGGTGGCTTTGGATTTGAGTGGAAATTATATGGACATCATACATATGGCTTGATGTACCTAATGATGGGTAGGTAGGTAAGATTACTTACAAGATCTTTTTGTTTTATTGGAGGATGGGAGGATGGGAGGATGAGGGGGGAGGTTGTATGGTGATGATATTAATTTAGGTACGATCGCTATTGGGGTAATAGGTATTCTTTGGTGGTGTGTGTGTATTGCTCTCTCGTTTGTGGATTATATTTGAGCTTAGGATGATATTTGTGTAGGTGGCTGGTTCACTGGGTAGAGGTATATTTGAAAGGTTCAAATCACATGTGTGTATAGCACACGGTATAAGATGGATTGTTTTACGTCACTAGAAGGGAGTGAATAATTGTAACGTCTTTTATATTTTGAGTAGTCAAGGTGAGAACTCAGCGATAAATAAGAAAAGAAAAAAAGATCTAAGATACCCAGCAAGAGCACTAAAAGCGGGTGTGCATTCTTATGAAATTTCATTTTCTACATTTTAAAATAAAACCATGAGGTGAAAAACTACAATCTAACACCTTACAAAACAGCATAAACAAATTAAGCAAAACATATTCCTAGCTACTAGGTACACTGTTCATCTAACTTTCTCTTTCTCCCCAGTCGAGATCCCATCATTACATGCGGTCGACCACTCCAACCTCTCCTCACTATCTTATTTACAGCAGCTAAATAACGAATTCTCCTCGAAGTTCTCAATTTCATTTTTGCTTCTCGTCTTTCTTTTGTGAGTTTGCTGATCAAACTCTTTATGAATATTTCCTGTATGTTTCTTTTTTGATCGGGTGTGGTGATAGTGATGTTGGTGCTGTGGCTCTCATCTCTCTCATCTGTACTCGTACTTGGTGATAAATAATCAGTGGGCTGCAAGATGGGGTGTTGTATATGCGTATGCATACTTGCTTGCAGTGCAGAAGTACTGCTGGATGATGAGGCGGTGTCCCTGCATGGACTTGTAACTTTTGGGGTGGTGTTTTGTGTTTCTGAGTTTGCCATAGAGGTAGTTGCTGTAGAAACACTTAGGCCTGCTGTTAATGCATTTTTCTCTGCGAGCTCAATAAGTTCTCTAGTGGGACTTGGACATCGACTAGCCGTTAATTCGCCTTGTACAGCAGTTGAAACAACGGATTCTTCAAGCTCTGTCGTCGGACTTGCAGATGGATTGTGTCGTGATCCCGTGAGATATGATGCGAGGCAAGAAAATGACGTTTTGAGTATCGTGTTTGCTTCTTTTCTCTCTGGTTTTTGTAAGACTACCTTGTGGAGATTCTCATCCTGCATTTTCGAATCTTTTAGATGGATGAGTGAATAATAACTGGAAGTGAATACTTTATTGTAATTTGTTGGATTTGTTAGGTTGTATAGAATGTGGAGATTAACAAGTAATTAATAAATGGAAGATTTGCTGACTGAAAGTTGAGTTATAAATATCGGCACGGTGGCTTGGTGAATCCATTGTTTTCAAGAATATAGATGGTGATTAAATATTGAAGTGGTGGTTCAGGTTGGCGTTGTTTTCTACTTATTCCAGGTCTTCATTTGTGAGTATTCTTTCCATCATCTTCGGTTGTTCTGTTTGTCGGATATATATCCCTCATCAAATCGTGAACATCGTTGTCCAAAGCAAAATAATATGCCTCGATCTTTAAGCCTCAAGTACTGTAGTCGAGTCTTCCCTATAGTTCCTCTCACTATTTTGGGCGTCTTCGGCTCCGTTCTCCTCTCCTTATCACGCCTAAATCTCGTTGTCACTGTCACGCTTTCCCGTCTGGATCCAAATCGTGTACCGTTCGAGTCCCCTTCCACTGTTCTCTTCCATTTTTGGGGGGGGATCATGGTCATCGTTCTTTTCCTTTTTTTCCAAAGTACTTCTCCATTCGCTCAAATTTCGTCCTTTCCCTCTCCATTGCATTGCACTCCTTCCCACAGACTCGTTGCACCATAAAACATACACTCAAATCCCCCTCCATACACTTTACCCTTGATAATAGGAGCGCACCACTCATCATACCCTCATCGAGTCCCCATGTTATTCCGCATCTTGAATCTGTGACGGTGATCGTGAAAGGACGGAATCTGGCGAAGTCATGAAGCCGTCTAGTATACACAACTGGTGCAAAGAAGCTTTGGGTATACGCTAAAGTTGAAATAGTTCGTGATTTGGAGATCGAGGTCGAGATGCGGATTCGGGTTCCTGTTGTTTCTGTTTGCATGAACTGATGGATTTCTACGTGGAAGAGTTTGATGTGTTCGATTAATATTGGGTATACTCGAGTATTATATGAAACGAAGTAGTAAGAAATCCGACAAGATAACTTACAGGAAGTTGTTCGAAAGATTGAAATTTCCCACGACGAAAGAAGTAAACAGGAAGGTAAAGCTCTTGAGATAGAGAACGAGAGCTCTGTATCAAATTTCAATGCCTTTGAAAATATAATTCTTTCAATTCTTTTATCTTATGAGTCCATGAAAAGTCGAGATGATTCTAGTAAAGCGAGGAAGTTTCACCTGAGAAGTCAGATAATATACTAAAGTTTTGAATCTTATTCCTACATTGAATCTTTCCTACTTTTACTTCACAAGGCCTGTCTCTTTAGACATATCAAACCCTCCCAGAATCTTATATCTGCCAACAATGAAAACTATTCACGGGACAGGTCCCATCAATATCTAGGAGCGACTCTTAAGGAACCAGATTCATGTGGGGGTGCTCTTTAAACTGATTCGTCCGGAACTGTGATCATCTTACTCCTCTATGATCCTTGACGTGGTTGTTGATGAATTGCATGAAATCATACTCATCATCGTCGGGGTCAATCTCACTGGACTGAAGCTGCGCAGAATTAAAAAGAGAGGTGACAGTTGCGGAATCTTCAGTACTGAAGATTCTTGGCCGAAGCTCCATCAGCCCGATGCTTGGGAGTAGTGGCAAGACGAAGATTCTCTTCCTTGATAGCAACTCGAAGAGAATACCGAATTACTGGTATTAGTATGATGCGACAAATGATGATTTTGCCAAAGAGCAACGGAAGCCTGGCCGTAATTGATAAAGGCGATATCACTTGGCAATGGAGTAGTAATCTTGAAATCTTCTGCGAATTTCCTAAAGCTGCTGAGCATAGTTTGTTTATTTCCATGAAAGTTTAGCTGGAGTAACAGCCTTTTTTTACAGTGGAACCGCGGATTCGATCGAACTGGGTTGCTGAGCTTCCTAAACTGCAGAACTGAAGCCCTTCTGATACAATCGCGAATTCTCAAATCCATGATATTGTGGAATCATCTGTGGATAAACTTATTTCAAAGAAGGAGAAACAGAGTAAGTAGCATCCACTTGCTAATGTGCCATCTGGATTTGCTCCTTCTCCCTATCACGTCTTCAAGCAGCCAGATGAGCACTTCGACGAGCCACTCGTCGACAACGTGTCGAGGTTTGCTTTCGATTACCTCTCTTTACAATCGGGGCATGATCGACAATTTCTGCGAGAGTATCTACAGCGAGTATATGGCCTCCTTCACCATCAGAAGTAGGAAGTGCCGCAATTACAGAGATAGCACGAGCTACACAGTCGTGCCAAATATCAAGTGGAACGACATCTTCTTTCTGTCCATAAACAGATGGTGGTATGCGTGTAGCAAATGTGACGAAGATACATGCTTTGCTGACTTCTTTTTTGACGTTCAGTCGCCAGATTGGGTGGGAAGGCAATCAGAATCAGAGTCATCTTCCCAAAGTGGATTCTCACTCCCGTCATCCGCGTCACTGGTCCATGGTGATTGAGGTCTGTGTCTACTGTCATATTCACTTCTATCAACGTCGGCACCTTCATTTTTATAGTTCTAATGATCATGATGGTACCTTCAAGAGAACAACTGCCCTTTGGATGAGTTGAAGTGTTAGGGATGAGCTGCGGTGCTGTACTAGTTTGTGTGCCACTACCGACACGCTCGCATGGCTCCCCCTGACCAGATTTCAGACCATTACTTAACTTTGGTACAGCTCGCTTCGCGACTTGCGCTATGACGTGCTTGCGAATACATTTTGCCGTTGATCTGCCGTCATGCCTTGGAGCAGGCCATTTGAGGGTAGGGTAAAATTCAGGAATTTTCAATCATCAACAAATCCAAGTGTGTCGATCGTGGAGGTGCTACAAAGTTATCCTCTTGACTGGAGGACCCAGTTGCAGTGTTAGTGAATTGACGGCCACCATTGTCATATGATGTCATTGGTCGAACAGTAGAATGTATGGGAGGAGAAGTAGTAGTAGCAGGAGGAGGATTTGTGGGTTGATTGGGATAATCGACATTTTGGTTGGGAATTTGGCGTGCCACATTGCATTTGATGATGCAGTATGTATGTTTGTTGACTTTTTTAGTTGCAGTAACTGATAAGAGATTTGAACTGGATCCGATTCAAGTTCAACTTCCAGCTTTGAAATGGAAACTTGAATACTTGTAGAATTGTTTGAAGGAGCACCAGGTCGAGGCTTGGTTGTATGCAATACCGAATAAAGGGTGGTTTGAAATCTAAAATCACTGTGACAAGCACAACAGTAATAAGTTTTCAAACTTATTGGAAAAAGAGTTGTCTGCCAGGAGTATCAAACAGAAGATTTGTTATTTGTAGTTTGAGTTCAGGGATATTACTGGAATAAGGCGTCTGTTTGGAGTTATAATTGTTATAAGATCCGTGCGTGATCGAGCTATACTAGGTAAGCAACGACATGTTCTCAATCTGATGTTATACTTTGAATTCACCAGACTTTCTTTAGTCTTTACAAGCTCCGAGATACCTGCTAATCTCTTTTGGACAAGTTTAGGCAATAGGAGGAGAGAGCATAGTCCTTAGCTTGGAATGATATGAGTAAATAGGCGAGGTTTACTCTTTATTGAGAGCAACAACTCTGGTCGAATACCAATAGTATTTAGAAAGATACTACGAGTATATATATACATTTGTCTTTCCGGAGTGATTATACTGGTTTTGGGTATTGACTATATGGAAGTTCAATATAGTCATACAGTGGAACCAAAGATATAAATGATTGAAGGGCAACTAGAGAAGGAGTAAAACAGAGAAGACAAATAATAAAGATTTATCACTTGAAATGACTAGATAATTATCAGAGCCATATGTGAACTGTCATAGATAGTCATAGCCTGAAAAACCCAGCAATTTTTTATTCTAAAAGATAGGTATCTGGTATTTATAGCCCCTGTAGTAGAGCTAATGGAAAGGGAGAAGAAAATTATGACAAATTATGATACTTGAGTAGACATGTTACAACCTCACTCGAGGCTATCCACTAAACCCACTGATTGCAATTTTTTGACATGAAGTAATGCTCAAAAGGATGACAAACTTGTGTATAATAGTCTGCCCACACTTGCATCATTATACATGTTTTCCTTGACACCCGGATGATCTTATTTTCTCTAAATTTACACATCCATCATGGGAATCCATACTCCTCCAAACCAATCTTTCAACAAAGGTTCAATCTATGGGATTTCCGACGATCATGCCTCCTCCACCATATCCTCCCCCCATTTAGTGTTTATCGGCTGGCTTTGGGGTCTTTGCGTTTGGGTTTCTAGGATCGTTCTTGAACTCCTCGCCTGTCATAGTCAATCTAATCAGTATCTTTTTACATCAAGCTTCGTGGTCCATGTCCGCAATCAAGTAATGGGTTAGACGTACTGTTTGCCATGGCGTTGGCAGCAGAGTTGATTCCGTACATAATGACGACACCTAAGTCCCAACTAATTAGCCCGAAGGTTTTAACCCTAGTTTCCTAGGCCCAAAAGCTTTCAAAAGTTGCAATCCGTCACATCTTTGAGCTGAACCACTCTCAAAATAACATACCTGCAACGAAGAAAGGAGCCATTGGCTTTGCTAAAAACACAATCTCATCAGTAAACATTCCTTCAACATCGGAAAAGTACGGAACGAAAGCTTTTCACGGCCTTCGATTAAAGGGTTTAACATACCGATAGGCGCAGGGAACTTCTTTCCTAACCAAGACATTGTGATGTTGTACTGTGGGATACGATTGGAAATGTACCGGAGGATTGGATGGAGGTTAGATGGTGGTAATTTTGATAGTGTATTGAGGTTGAGTAGGTATGGCAAGAGCCGCAATCCAAATAAGCTAGAACATATTCAGGTTAGCGTCCGCATCAGGGTCGTTGAGAATTAGTGTTGCCTTTAATATTAGGCCAATGGAGCTCACTTCCCAACTCGGATTAGTCTCATCATCGTCACGCAAAACATGTGACGACTTTTCAAGCCATGGACATCTTCAGCTTCAATTTCCCCATACAAATAATTTATATCTCAATTGCAATTGGTCTCCACAAGAGCTCAAGCCTGCACTCAATTCATTATTATTCACCCAAAATGGAGCCACACATCCTTGTTTACTCCTCACTTTCGTCACTGCTTCCTTTTGTCCTATTTCCCTCATTTAAGTTCACAGATGTTACCCGGTACAGCCACCTTTCACTCTTTCTCTCACATCATACATATCGTACATCAAAATTGTAACCACACACACTTGTAACCAATTTATTATTATTACCTATCCAATTCTTAACCTTCCCGCACTCTCTTTTCATTTGACAAGCCGCCCTTGCTTTAAAAGGGAGACAAGAATTCAAAAAGTGCGGGGTATCTAGAAAGCTTGCCATTGTTGCGATCATTTTAATCCAATTAAAGCCCTCCTTGTGCTACGAAACCTATTAAACCTACCTACTTTGCAGCTTCCATCTTTCTTTGTTTCTGTTGATTGCATCTCCGAAAAGAATAGGAGGAGATAACGACAATTCTCTAAGAGATAGTATCGAAAATCATTTCTGCTTTGCATTCGAAAACGACACGAGACGAGGTAAATCGACAAGGACGGCGACATCAACAGCATACCACACTTGCGATACATTACAAGAATCGGATAATAATTGAAGCTTAAAACCTCAATAGTTCAATTGGCCAGTCGACTATTCTTTCCTTCACCTTTCTCCGAGTGCTTCAGCTTTCAATTACGGAAACTGGACATCCATCAAGCAAGCGTCTTCAACTCTAACAATCATCAATCAACATCGTCACGATGTTTACAAGACGTATCTCACGCAGCTCTATCCTGAGCCAACCTCTTCGAGCTTTCACGACTACATCTACCAGTCTCTCCCGCGCTCCAGCCCTAGCAGATATTACCCCTCAAGATGTCGCCTCATTCGATGCAAAGCAGAAAGAATTTCGAGAAAGAATCGCAGATCAACATCGTAAGAAAGAAGCTGCAAGTGAGTCCAATCTTTCCTCCCAAGCTCAAACATCTGCTTCGGCAGGCCAAGCACTAAGCGGAGCAGAACACGCAACCGGAAATGGCGAGAAGAAGGGAAAGTTAAGTAGCTTGATTTATGGTACCCCAGAAGGTCGGGAAATGGACAAGGAGATTGAACAGAGTTTCAGTCAGGTTTTGGCGAGAGGCAAATATGTTCATTCGATTGTTTTCCATGAGGTGAAACCAGATAAGGTTGATGAGTATGTCAAATTGGTTGGTGAATGGTATCCAAAGATGGCCGGAATGGAAGAGAATAAAGTACACTTGGTTGGAAGCTGGAGAACAGAAGTTGGCGATTGTGATACTTTTGGTAAGTTTTCAGCTTCCCTTTGTTCATAGATCTTATTCAAACAACAGACACTAATAATGATTGATGATGATAGTTCATATTTGGGAATATCAAAGATATCACGGTTACCACGACTCTCTTCACAGTATTGCAACACATCCCGGTTTCGCTGAATTCGACAAGAAGCTTAAGTCTCTCATCACCAAGAAGAACGTATCACTCATGCAAGAATTTTCCTTTTGGCCTACCACTGCTCCACGTCAACTTGGTGGTCTCTTTGAATTGCGCTCTTACACATTGCACCCTGGTAATCTCTTAGAATGGGAGACCCACTGGCGTCGTGGCCTCAAGGCTCGAAGAGAAGTCATGGAAGGAGTTGGAGCTTGGTTTGTGCAGATTGGAGAGCTAAATACTGTACATCATTTGTGGCAGTTTGCTGATTTGGAAGAGAGAAAGAAGAGAAGAGAGCAAAGTTGGGAGATTGAAGGTTGGGGCGACACAGTTCACAAGACTGTGCCATTGATTCAAAATATGAAGAGTCGTGTGCTGATTCCAATGCCTTGGAGCCCGGTCGCTTGATTGATTATTAATTGTACGAAATGAACGTTGGGCTCGGCGAGAGGACTGAGAGTGGGATTGAGCATAGAGCATTGCGGATACCAGGACAGATTTAGTCAATGAAGTGCGATATTGAAGCGATGAGATTGAAAGTTGAATGGATGATACGCAGCATGGGATTTGATTTTGAATCCGACACACTGCTGCATGCATGTATTGAGAAATTGATCGAATTGAAAGCAACGCCAGTCAGTGTAAGGACACCAAATGCAAAAACGTCATTAATGAGAATAGTTTAGCTACCGAAAAGAGAATTCCCACACTGTACCGCTAAAATTCGTGTCATTCTTGGCTCGTACCGAGGCAGCTTCTTCTCCGGTACGGACACAACCTCATTCATATTGACTATTTACGTACATGTCCCACGATTTCACCGGGCTCCATCCAGCCTCCAGGTATCCATTCTTGTTATCAAAACACGTATTCTCTTCTTGGCGGGAGTTGTCTAAGTCTAAGCTTCTCTAGCTTAATTATCACTTATCTATGGTTACTGAGTGAGTGATTATTGATCAGATAGATGAATAAAGAAAGAGTAGATGTCGTGGTGGAGATTTTGCGCCGGGGAGGGGGAGGGAGACTTTTGTTTTAATTTGATATTTGTTAAGATTGTTTTTAAAAGGTTTAAGAGGTTTAAGAGGTTTGAGAGATTTGAGAGGGTTGAGATTTATTATTTATTATTTATTATTTATTATTTATTATTTATTATTTATTATTTATTATTTATTATTTATTATTTATTTTAATATATAGAGTATACAGCGATGATATCGATATTAAGTGATGATACAAGTGATGTTTTGGATGGTGTTTTGATTTAGAGGGGCTAGGCGGGGATAATGAGGGTTTGGGTGGCAGAAGGGGCAGATGGGTTGAGAGAAACATGAGGATGATAAGGTGGAATGGTGATGAGGATTGGGAAGGAGATGTATTATTTGGAAGATTTTTAGTTCTGTGGTCTATTCTCTTGATAAAACGAGAGGAGTGAAAAGAGGGGGAATATAATAAAGATGGAGAGGCAATGGAAATGAGGACTTTTATATAAGAAATTTGATAGATGATATAAACTTGTGAAAAAGTGACGAAACCATCCCAGCCGTCGTGCCGTCGAGGAAACATACCAAAGGTCCCTAGATAAAGTTTTAAAATACCATCATGATATAATACACGGTATAAATCTTATCGTGTGAGTATTTTAAGAGGTGGGGGAGGTGACGCGGATGGGGATGGGGATTAAAAACTATATTTAAAACCTATGACTTTTAATACAATGTATATATAATACTCAAACAATATTTAATATTATCTTTATTATATATTTACAAAGCTGTGCTAATCCTATCAATATTAAAACATAGAAATAACATTAGTATTAAATAAAAATAGTTTTAAATGAAGATTCAAAACTTGAAAAGTATTTATTTTCAATTCTATTATTCGCTTCTTTTTATTAAATAAATGGATAATGCAAAATAAAATCATTAATTCTAAACTATCTAAATAACTAATAAAATAAAAAACCGTGTACAATGACTGGAAGCCCGGAGTGTATTGATAGATAGAGAGTATTGGAAAGGAATTTGTGTTTTTTGAGATTGCGGAGCAGCGAGGAATGGGGATGAAGGACAGATAGGTTTTGTTAGAAATTTAACTGTGTATTCATTACTTTAGATACCTGGGTACTTGTAACTTGAGGAACGAAAGACTGAAAAGACTGGTAGTAAGATAAGATTTCAAGTTTACTCGTTGGTATGGTTTTTGTGAGAATACCTTTGTAATCTTAGTATAGCTGTAAGGAAGACTGGTTATATGATTGACACTATCTGAAAGTTGATGCGTAATAGATTCTTTCTCTATTATCCACCTTCTTACACCTCACCTCTTCTCCAGAACTCCGCAATCACTGATTGCCGGAGAAGTATGAAATCACGTCTTGACTTAGTATCATCAAGATTAAAATCGATCAACATCTTAATAAGGAACATCACGAGTTCCGAACTACCTCTCCTCCAATACTCCCACTTCTTCCACTTTCTCCACTTTCTCCACCCTCCTAGTTCCCTCTACTTCCCCCTCATTAACCCTCTCACACAACCCCTTCAATTTCTCCCCAACCCACTCAAAATCCCGCAATTCCAAATATATCTGCGCGCTCAATCTAACCCACAGAACACTCGCATGCCAACCAATCTGAAGATACGTATCGAATTCCTCAACTGCAGTTTTATTCAACCAGAATTTTATTTTCTCCGCATCACTCGGTTGGAATGCCTTTGAAATGGCATCTCCGTGATGGTTCTTGGAGGAATCATCGGCCCAAAATGGTATTGGTAGCCGAATATTAGTAAAACATGTTTCTCTTCCGGCGGAAATGGGAAGTGTGTATGTATCTAGTATGGAGGCACATATGGAACCGCCTACTTTGCTGAGGTCAAAACAGTATTGTCGGATAATTGCCTCGCCGCCGCAAACGGTGTTGCGGAAGGAGATTGCGGCCGGGATGCAGAGGTAGGGGGTATAGTCGATTGTTGCGACGAAGTTGAACATGGAGAGGAAATATGTGTTGATGTCTTCCAGGGTATCATTTTTAGAGCTTTTTCGGTAGCCGTGGGATGTGGGAAGGGAGGTGCGGATGAGATGTTGGTTGCGCATGGGAACATAAAAGACTGCGCAGGAGCGAGGAGTGTAAAGCCATCTGTGGTATGTTAAGGTATGTTTTTTTTGAGATAAAGGAGATCATACTTATGACAATTACTGACGAAAAAGTCTGGACTGACTGAACCAAGATGTGTGAGATCAATATGTCCAATACCATGAGCACCATCAATTAAACTCAAAACACCTAGTTCTTTGCATATCAGTACCAGCTCTTCCCAAGGCATTCGAACGCCTGGGAAGGTTAGGACCTGATATTTCTATCAGTACGATAATTGTGATCATTGGTGAAGCGAAATAGGAAACAATAAAAGCAATAAATATCCAGAGTCATATCAGAACTACTGACCATATAAACCCCCTCCATTCGTAAAATCGAAGCAGCCTTACCGTATCAAATATAGCCAGCCTAACATTAATCCCCATAGCCCTAGCCGACATCACAAACTCTCTAAACTTCCGCAATTCAAGCTCCTCATCAATGGGAAACTCTAACACCTGACAATGTGTCAAAACCTCTACCCCCAACATCTCCCTCACACTCTCAACCGTCTTCTCACACGCATCATAAATCGTACTAAAATAAAAAATCAAATCATGATCCTCCCATTTCAAATTTCTCAACACGGTATTTGTGCCCGTCGTAGCATTCGGCACGAGAACTATTTCCCTAGGATCAGCACCTAGGAGAGGTGCAACAGCTTCTCGTGATTTATCGATGAGTTTGGGGAGATCATAGACGAAGAATTTATCCGGTCTGGAGGTGCATTGTTTTTGATATGCTTCTTGAGCTTCTTGAATGGGGCGTGGGTATGCGCCAAAGGAGCCGTGGTTTAGAGGGGTATAGGCGGGGGAGAATTGGAAATGGACGTCACGCATGCGATGGCCGAATGGGGGCCGAATTGTCATTTTGGATGATTGGGAATGTTGTGATCAATTGTTTAATCTAATTAGAAAGTTGCAGATGTCAATGATTGATATTGGATGGACTGATCAGGAGGAAGCGAATGTCCAATGCGGCTGGTGCGGTGTGAGGTCATCTCATTCATTCTGTTTTATGTAAGCGGTCACACGTGATCAAATTGCACAACCAAATTACTTTGCGTGAAGGTATTACACATCGAAAAACACAGAAACAACATTCACATCTACTTCTCCTGTAAATAAATAATATTGTCAAACTCGATTATCTGATGGTAAAGCCTCAAATCTCAAGCAAATTCCACACAACCACAACAGCACATTCCAAAGCCTCCTGAAATCGCCTAGGATGATCCCCCATACCCTGAATCCCAAAGAAGCACCGCTCATCCTCCACCTCGTAATGTGCCAGAAAAGACTCCGGATCCGACATAAAAAAAACCAGCTTCCTGATATATAAATCCTGCAGCAGAATGCGTTTTGATCTTCTTGGTAGCCCACTTCCGAGCCAGATTCCAAGTGGGGTCTTCGAAGAAAGCAGGAATAGGTTCGTCTTCAGCGATCATTTCTTCTAACGCATGGCAAAGTGCCGCGAACCCTAAACCTCGTCCAGTCTTTGTTATTATACTCCTGTGTACATTCACCGCTTCTCGCAGTAATGTTTTCAGCTCTGTTGCGTATTTTTGATTCTCGGCTACCGCGGCGCAAAATCCGTACATGGCGGGTGAGACAGCTTGCATCTAGTCTATTCGTCCAAGACGGAAGAGCATAGTTGTGAGTGCTTCCCAGCATGGATACTGTTTGCCAAAATGAAATAGCGAAGCGATTTGAATAACCAAGTGGCAACCGGCTCTATGTGGAACCTTGAATGGCTGGAAAAATTTGTTATCCAGCGTGGAAACGTAGAACTGTATATAAGTCGGGGCTTGGTTCTGAACTTGTCGGAAATTTTCTTCAACCCGCTGTATTTCTTTCTCGATTGTCAAATTAGTTTCGAACGGCATTCTTCTAGAAGGTCGTCTATCTGCACATTTGCTTGTTCATAGCTCTTAGCTTTTGGTCGTTAGTTCATAATAGATCGCGTTATAAAAATTTTGATTTCGGCCGAGGAGGCCGCATCTAACATCATAGGCTCGCAGATGAAACCTGAAGTTCCATCTTCGCATACTACAAGTTGAAATAATTTGTCGCTCCATCTGTTGGATGGACTGCCGTACAGATATTGGTTACAGCGTCCCTTTGAGGTCTCGGGGGATCCATCATCGAGACAGATCACAAATTTTGATGCCTCAATATGTTCCAGCGCTGCGCTGTTTCTATGGTTAATTCCTTTCACTATTTCTCTTAGCTGGGCCCATGAGATACGTTCATCTGCAGTCAAGGTTGCGACTGCTGGTAACTTCTCTTCTGGAAGGTGCAAGATTTTCAGATAAGTCTTTTTCAACAAAAGGTATGTAGATTCTTGGCTCATGTTTTTTGCAAGTCTCGCCTTGAACACACGACTTCTTCTGAGCACAACAAAATAATCATTATCCGCATATTTGTGCATTTCGTCTTTAGTTTTTTGAGGTATGCGTTTGGCATTAAAGATCCATTTCAAAGAATCCATACAAAGAGGCTCCTCATTCAAGTATTGCTGTTCCAGGTTATTTGTATCCATGCCTTGTTTAAAATTCCACGCTGCCAAGGAAATGATTGCCGCTCGTTCGGCTTGACTATGCGTAATAGTACTTGAGACGTGACCTCCATGAAATAGGCTATATGGGTTCAAAGGTCTTTGAGACTGAAGATACATTTTAGCGTGTAGCCAATTATCGGTCTGTTTTCGCTGTTCGACCAGTCGCTTTTGTAGTTCAGCTCCAGGGCCATTGATGAATTCTTGGATTACGGAAACGGTATGAGATAGTTGAGTCTCCGAAATAAACTTTTGTACAGACGCCAGATGTAATTCGGGCGAGCTGGGGAGATCCGGAACGGGCAGCACCTTGAATGAGGAGAGTTATTCCCAGGATTGGTGCCATGACCATTGACGGCGATTGGAGCTTCTCTCGTAATATTCGAATTTGCATTTAAGAACGAGGACCTGGCTGCAATTCTCACGGCCAGAGACGATACACTACGCTCGTCCAGAATTTCTGATGCTTGGATGGCAACATCAAACTCGTTTCCAATCCAATTTTTGAGCTCAATCGCGGTTAACGAGTCTAGGCCAAATCCACAAGAGGTGTCCAGCCCAATCTTACTGGAATTTAACGATATCGGATGAGAAACTCTTTGCATTATTGCCTCTTCCAGATTGAATGTGCCTCCGCTAGTGATGCTGCATCGCTAATAGTTTGCTTCCGATCGACAGAATTTTGAGCTTCTTTTAAATCTATCACTTTCTCACCCGTGTTTCGTACATGTACGAACGATGCAGATTGTGTTGTTGGTGTAGAATTCGCAGCTTGGGCTATCGAAACTCCGTCTATGCCAAGAACAACTTGTTTGCAACGATCCTTCCGAGCCTGTGGGCTTAATGCATAATCCAGAACAGCATCTAGCTCATGAAGATCCACAGGGATCATACCTGGCGAACGAGGTTTTGCATTTTCAATTCACCGTCAGCTCCATCATAAACTGAGGTGTTTTTGATCAATCCCAAATCCAAGGACACGACAGGAGTCCCAGAAAGTTTTTGGTTCTGCGCAACGGTGTCTTGATACAAGGTACCGGAATCTATCAGGGGTTACTATTTTTCTCCTTCATATGGTTCTGGACTGCAGTGTCCCTGGAGAGCTTCTTAGAAAATAGTGCTTACCGTAATTTGCCTGCCCCATAGTACCAATCACGCCACTCAGTGATGAAATCATGATAAAAAATTCCAGATTAACATTTTTGAACGTATCTAAAAGATATGCAGTTCCATCTAGCTTTTTCTCTCGAGGAGTCATGAAGTTTTCAAATGTCATTCGTTCAATGATGACGTCCTATTTCACACATTAGATTTTTGAGAAATCCAAGACGGGGATAGCTCTTCACTTACCTGAAGTACTGTAGCTGATTGTACAATCCCTTTTACTGGTGGTAAATTCATCTTTTCGATCGTGCTAGCCGCATTTTGAACCATTGATGGAGATGAGATATCAGACAATACTATGTAAACCACATCCTGGTGATATGCCACCAAGACGTACTCTCAAGGAATCCATGTGGTCATCATTAGCTACTCTTCGAGACAGGACAACAATACTCTTAGCGCCGCTTTGAGCCATCAACCAACAAATTCAGTGACCGAAATCACCTAGTCCACCGGCGATGATGTAAGTAGAGTTTGAGTTAAAGGTCATTTTATTATATTCCTTTGAATGCTGGTTCATGGGTCGATATTTGAAGGTGTAGCTTCAGGGCCACTTTCGCTTTCTCCTGGATACCCTACGTGGATATAGGCGCCACATTTTGCGATGCACGCAAAAGGAGTCCTCGTTATAAGTATCCTTTACAAAGTTCAGCACCACGTCAACTCTAGCTTGGTTGGTAAGCTGGAAAAGGTTCTGCTTTAGATTAGTAGCGTGTTCATAGAATATATTCTCGGCTTGGAGACTAAACTGTCTTGCAATACTTTCTCTGTCATCTACTTCCAATACAGTTGCAAATATTTTAGCGCCAATATGTTAAGCGAGTGTGAGGGCAGTTCGTCCAAAGGTTGTAGAGGCGCCGTGAATCAGAATTGTTTGATCTTTCTCTAAATGGGCCAGCTCCACCAAGGAATGATATGCAGTCATGAATGAGAAAGGGATTGTGGAGCCTATTCGAAAGGAAATGTCGCTTGGTGGGCCAAAAACATTCTTTTCATCGATTCGAACATTGGCTTGAACGCGCTTTAGTGTTATAGGACCAGCCACAAACGCGGCCTCCGACTCGCAGACCGTTGTTAGGACGTTTCCAATGCTAGTAACAGTCCTGGAAAACTGAAGAATGTGTTGAGGAAATTCTTTTGTCGATGAATTCGCAAGATTGACCACATTGTCAGCTCGGCTCATTTGTTGTGCGTTTACAGCAATCTGAACTTCTGAAGGGTCAAGGTCTTCAGACAGCGACTCGCCCACAAAATATTAATTTTTATCGATGTTTGCTGTTTCCAAATCGAGGTTCAGCGTTTGACCAGAACTCGAATATGCGACGGTTTCAACAGTAAGTTTCCCTGTAGCTCTTGCTATCCAACTATTGACGCCGTGGTCTAGTAAAAGACGAGGAATAAGCAGCTTTCCATTTCCGAAATACACGTACTCCTTTTCATTAAGCAGTCCTCTGGGAAGAGGTTGAAAAGGCTTCTATTAAAATCGTTTTTATCGTGTGTAAAAGATCAAATGAAAGACTGATCATTCCGTCTTGGACATCCAGGGTAATACAATTGAGATACGCATTTTCTGCAGAAGCACTTCGGACGAATCCAGTGATTAAACCTTTCTCCGGATTATCCGCGGCTGATGAATCTTGGTGAGCGCTGATCCACCGGATATTGGCTTTATTTGCACCCACAACACCAACAAATTGCTGGAAAAGTTGTGGAGATGGCTTGACCAGTAAAGGTTTTTGACCATTGTCAATTTTCACTTGGATAAATCATCCCCTAGAAGGTCTGCACCCCATTCTATACATCCAGCACTAAATCTACTTTCTTTTAACGATGTGCAGACCTGGTTGGCAAAGTCCTCAGTGCCGTCTCTACTGATCACGCGATTAGGAGTAAGTGATCGCGAGTCAGGCACAGCTTTCCTCGAGAGTAACAGGTTTCCCTTTACTTCATCATCATGGTCCAAAAGCTGCATGCCATCGAAAGAACGTTGAGCCAGACGACCGTGTATTACCTTTGCCGAAAGATAGGCCGCTGCAGACCATATCATGACCCATCCACCAGGATTAAGAAGCTTCTGAGTATTCAAAAGTGCAGTGTCCGAGATATGGTCCATATCGTCAGCTACCAAGATGACTATCATAGGTGAATGATTTGAGGCCCTGCTCCTCAAAGTCACTATCGATATCTGATATTTTCGATCGCAGAACTTGATCACAGTAGAAATTTTCTCGAGATTTCCTTTAGCATTGCATCTGACGTATCTGCAAAATCATAAAACTCGATACCGTTGTTCTGGAACCTTTATAATGTTGATAGAAATGAGGCTTGCAATCTCCACAGAGTCCGACTTGGTTTGCAAATCTTCAAGTTTGAATATTTGAAATCTAGACAATTTATGCGCTCAATTAGGGAAATGCGTTCCTTGTGAGAAGATAACTGCTTGATATCAGGAGCCCATTTCTTTTGATAGCTAAATTTTCGTGGCAAATCCTACTTGGAAACTTGAGACTCTCCAAGCCCGCGTATCTCCAACTCAGAAATTTCTAGAACAGGATGTTGATTACCCCAATCATTGGCTTCGTGCACAACTAAATTTGCAATCGCAGATCTAGCACCTTTCAGAATGAGAAATGTGTGCAAATTCAATTCCCTTCTAGCTTGTTGTTCATATCTCCGCGAAGACTAATTTTACCAATAGAAACCGGCATCACAGAGCCTCCACCTATTGTATTGGAGAATAGTGGCAGGCTTGTATGAAGTAGTGCATCGAGAGTATTTGGGTGAACGATATGGGGCTGCATGTAGTTGCTAGGCATTATTGACTTGACGTCTGGAATCTTTACACTACCGGAAGCCTTCAACTTGCTCATCTTCAGCATGCGGACAGCCTGGAAAGAAGGACCATATAAACTCCCGTTAGACCGCATCTCGTTGTAAATATTTCAAAGTCGAGAACTTGAGGCTTTGCATTTGTCTCGGTATCATAGAGTTGCTTGTCATAATTTGAGAAATGTGGGCCAAAAGCGTCCGTCCGTTGGTTTCGACCCAATAGTCGGTTTGAATGGTGCCGCTGCAATGCTCATGCTAGCTTCACCATCACTAAGAGCAGAAACTTTGAACTTATAAGAGCCTCTAGTGAAGTCTCTGCAGAGCCTCAAATTGATTTGAGCCTCTACTTTTGAAGGAGAGGAAGGGATGACAAGTGCTTTTAAGAAGTGTACATCTCGCAAAATAAAGGTTGGAACAATTCCAGATGCTTGGCTACCCTCATAGAGCTGACGCACGGCCTCTATAGCGATACAAAGATAACCTGAACCCGGAAATATGACAAGCCCGTCTACTACATCGTCGGCGAGCCATGGAAATTGTACTAACCCAAGTATGTGCGTCCAAGCGGGCTCGATTGCGGTACTGCTTGATATCCGTACCCCCAAAAGATCATGATATGGATGTTCTCGTAGTCGATGTTACTTACTCAACCGAGATTCGTGCCAATACTTAGTAGAATGATCCCATGGATAAGTTGGCAATGCTGGAAGATACCGGGGCGATTGCAACTTGTGCCTGCAAATTGAATTGGCCGCATCAACTTCGATAGGATACCCCTGATCAAATAGGCTTCGTATGAGCTCCAGAATACTGTAAGTTGCATCTTTATGTGTCACCAAGGAAGGAAGATAAATATATTTGAACGGATCGGACTTCGAAGCAATAGTTTGTCGTATTGGACTTTTCAAGACACTATGAGGACCTATTTCCACCAGGATATGATTCGAAGAAGCGGCGCGCAACTTATCAGCTAGATTTTGTGCAGCGCAGGAATACTCCAATGCATCGCTGAAACGGACCTTGGATAAAAGATTCTGGACCCAATAGTCTCAACCAAAGTCTGTCATCTTTCTCTTTGCAGTAACGCTAGAGATGAACTCGACATCGCTACCGGCATCCACGTCTATTGAGCCCATAGAGCTTAAATATTTATCGGAAACCTTCTGCATATGATGAGAATGGTAAGCAGTATCGACTTTCAACTTCCGGCTGAAAACACCCCAGATCATTAAGCATACTCTGTACTTCCATAGTAGCATCTCCATCTCTCGAAAGGGTGGTACTTGAAGGACGGTTTACACATGCCAAGGATACTTTACCCGTCCGTGTAGAGGAAAGTAGTGGTAACACTTGTTCTTCACCAAGGGCGGCTTACAGCATTGCACCCTTGCTTGGAATGAGCTTTTTGCAATGACCTCCAATGAACTTCGATGGTACGAAATTTTTAAAGCCTCTGATCGAGAAATGAACCCGGCACTGTAAGCTGCAGCTATTTCTCCACTTGAATACTTATTCTTAGCAATTTATCATCGACGATGCAAGATCTGAGGAGCTTCTAGCCCCCCACTCGGACGAGGAGCCATACCAAGGTCCCCAAAGTGTGGTTCCGTAGATCGGCTTGAGTAATTTCGTCGTCGAGGTCATTGAGATTGTTATCGGGAATGGATTAGTAAGTGGATTGGAGAGTGGGTGTTTGAGGGGGATGGTTGGGTTGGGTTGGATTGATGGGATTGGATATCATTTACCATCTACCTGCAAACGGTATAAATATAATCAAGCATCTTCAGAGATATCCCAAAAAAATTATTACTTATTGCATAATAGGCTGTTAGCCTATACTGTAGCTTAGCATATATTAGTTGATAGCCAAAAAAGCCCATAATAGGTGGGTGATTCAGGTTGGATTTTTGGACGATCATTAGTGTACAAGATGGGGATAGACGGGTAAGGGATGATAGAATGAATACACTTCATGGTACAAACGTCATTATTTAATTATCAAGACCAAAGAGCTCTATAAGGGTATCATCGCAGAGAAAAAGTATGCCTGTTCCAGTACTACTACAGAGGCTTATTCAGTTTGTCAATCTTGACACATCTACTCTGAAAGATCTGTATTTACCTGGCACTCGAGTCAGCCATGCCTTTAGCACCATGACAGAGAACATCAACTTTGACTTGTTTCGTGTCGTCCACATATATCAATAGACCTGAGCTGAATCTGTCGTGCAATTTTTTACGAAAGCAATACACATTGTATCACTATTCCTCGCCGTCCTCAACATCTCCACCCATGACAATCTTTAGCCCTGCTCTCGCCCCCTCGACCGTATGCTCCAATGCCGCCACCTTGGCCAAAACACTCATTAACTTCGGATCTCCACTCTCCACCCTCACCTTCTCTTTAACCCGGACTTCTTCTCCTTTATACATAAACACCTCATCCATCTCATCATGCTCCAATCTCCTCTGCGCTCCTATCGCAAATGCTATTCTGCTTCCCAAATTCACTTGTTGTGCTACGGGTTCAAGAACTCGTATGGTAAGCAGTATTGAGCCATCGGAGATTGTAAGATCGAGAGACAGATTGGGAGGTAGTGATGGGGAGAAAGTATCGGGATCGACGGGCTTGTGTGCCCAATTCAAAGAGGCGGGGGTTTGAGTGGGAGATTCGAGGAGAGAAGGGCCTTTGAGAACGAGCTTGGCTTCGGTGAGGATACTATGTAGGAGATGTAGCTGTGAGGATATGAAAGGAGCGGAGTGACGGTCACCAGTCCAACGAGTTATATCGACACAATCAAGGCTTTGGTTTAGAAGATTGCGCAGCTGCGTGAGGGGTTCGAGAACGATAGGTAGGATTGGGGAGATGGAAAAGGAGGTCGGCGGGAGAGATTTAAGGCGGAGGTGAAGCGTCTAGGGAACAAAAGTGTTAGTAGCGCATGACTATGAGAGGTCCAATATTTTGCGCATGGTAGGGAATTGAAAGAAATTGAAAATCGGTAGGAGTAGCGAGGAAGAGGGAGAACAAACTCCTTTAACCACCTGAGTGCCGACGCGCGTAATGTGACCCTTTAGATACTCAGAACGAGGTGATGACATAACAAGGGTAGACCCTGGCTCAACCGGCGCAAGAAGTGCATAACAATCTTCGAGGCCCGTCTTGAGTGAAGCTAAAGTGTCCTGAAGTGATTCTAGAAGCCATGATAATTCGCGTTCCTGAAATGATGGTTAGTTCACGTTATGTCGTGTCGCAAACGTGTAGGGGAAACTATGTATGTATGTACCGTAGAATCATCCTCTTCTTTCATTAACTCATGGGCAGGTAAAGATGGCCAAACCGAGGTAGACATATTGATATACGTTTGGCGTGAAATTAGATGTTCATAAGGATGATGTAGAATGCGCACTATGATGGAGCTGTGGTGCACTACAGGCCTATGACGTTAGTGCATGATAGTTTCTGCCGGGCGGTGATCATTAATCTATCTAGTACTAAATTATTATATCAGCTCAGAAGTCAGAAACATACCTAGTAACGCCTCTATGCTCCTCCTTCGTCCTACATTATATATTTTGTCTCTCGTTCATAAACAATTGCTTCTAGCAATATTCGCACCCTTTCCTAACGGGCGGAAATCACAGCTACATAATCAAGCGATATCTTGGCCGAGGGGAAAATATGTCTTCCACTCAACCATTGCTGCCCTCCAAAGACGATAAGAAACCTAAACTGCCAAGATTAGGAAAGAGTACGCTTTCTCCATCTCCCATCTTATATGAATATAGCTTATTTTTAATGTGCGCAGATCAAAGAATTCAAAAGCGACCCCTTCTCCACCCCGCAATTGCATCACCCCGCTCCTCTTCGGAAAAAGTCATCTATGTCTCTCACAATTCACAATTCATCGCCATTGTAAAACGAGTTCGCAAATACCTTGATAGCGCAGAGTTTCGTGCCGGGCCTACAGTTTTGCCTGGTACGGACAGGGAACTCATGAGAGAAATCGAGGAAGGCATCAAACACTCCAGAATGGGAAAGAAGGCTAGGGGTGGTAAGAGTGAAGAGGTGGTGATGAAAGGAGCGGGAAAAGCAATTGAGAAAACATTGATGTTGGCGAATTGGTGGCAGCAACAGGAAGGTGTGAGGGTGGCTATCAGGACGAAGAGTGTAGCTGCCGTTGATGATATTGTGGGAGTTGACAATGCAGATGAGGATATGGGAGAAGGTGAGAGTAGAGTCAGAAGGGTCAGTGTGTTAGAAGTGGCTGTTTCATATATTTGATTTACGTGCTAGGTTCAATGCACAGATCGTGGGCTGGGGAAAAAGTTTACAGAGGAGCTGTAAATTGTTGGATTATAATGAATTGTTTGGGCTTGGAGTTCGAGTGTGGTGTTATGGCATATTACAAGCGGGTGTTATGATACGACATTGAATTGGGTGGACAGGCGCTAGATACCAAAACAATTTGTACATGAAAAGGGCCTGGAACAAATCAACCAAATTGACACTGCAGGGCCCGTCTTTTACAGCGACTTTTGAGATGTGTCTTCTCAAACAGTATAAGGCAATTGCCACAGATTAAAACTGCTGCAGCGAGACAGGATTTCCGATGTCTTTAACAAAGATTACACTGGCGTTCATATGTTGTCACTTTCGACGCGGGGAGAAGGGGGAGAACAACGACGTTACTTTATGCACAATTGATACGGCTATCGGAGGATGCTAATCAAGGAATTGTGCTCACTCCGGAGCAGGCAAGTATTGAGAACAGTTAACGGGATATCATGAAGCAATCCTTTGTAACTGCCGTCACCAATTCAATCAACAAGTGCAATACTCAATCGCTTTGTGGACGACATACTTCACAATACTCGGTTCCTTCGCAGGAAATGGCAGCAATCGGATATAATCTTTGAGCTCGACAGATTCATGTAAGAACGATCCGGAGAAAAGAAGTTAAGCGGCTTAAGATGCAGTTTTCTTAACAGCACAAGAGAACTGCTATGCATCATTCAAAAGATCATTCAATGCAGGACCTAAGAAAGCACCAAGGAGATGTAAATTTTCACATAGAATGTAATATATCATTGCCTCCTTGTCTAAATTCACTCGAATAACTTACTATGCTACCTCGTCACTGTTTAAAAGACTGTGTAATTTCAATTACTTCCTGCAGCTAGCCCAGCGATCAATATCCCATCCTCACCTCACCCACTGCAAACCAGTATCCAACCAATTCTAGCACGCTCACATCCTTACACACCACCAAGTGATTCTTGGAGTCTAATATCCCACAAGTCAGGTCTTCAACCGTTGAGACGTCTCGAATCAGCCTTTGCGTTTTACTCATTGTTTCTTTAAACCACGTTCATTGCTCATTTCCATTTCTATCAGACAATTTGTCCCCTTGCTCAGCGGAATGGCGAATAAAATCACGAGAAAGCAGGGCCTCGCTAATAGCCCTGTATCTATTATCAATTACGTCATGCAAAGATCCCAACAGCGAGTTGGCAATCTGATTCTGTCTCTCTAAAGCAGGGAGCAGAATATACAGCTTTTTATCTTTGTCTTAAATGTCAGTCAGGCCGACATTGAAAAGAATGTAGTTAAGAGCTCACCAAGTGCTTGAGAAATGAGCAGCCCCTCATCATCTGGTCTTGCGGCCCAGTCAGCTTCATTTGCCGAGACATGAGCGCCAGAACTTTCGTCAAATCGTACTGCATGGCTGTGCATCAGAGTCGCAAGGTTGGACAAACGGACCTGTTCGGTTTTCCATCATCCGTAGGACTAGCTCCTTCAACATTTGCGATATTTACACAAATTTCTTCCTGGAGACTGGCTTTCTTAGAGTCTTTAAGCTCCAAGAGGACAAGAGCACTGCAATATAGGATCGCGTCTTATCATCATCCTAAGAATCTGCCTCAATATCTGATGTCTCAATGACATGTCCGCCAATTGGAATGTTCCTATTAATGAGGTAGCGATTTATATCAGATATGTGACGAATCGCACCAGGTTGGTCCACCGTGACGTGCTGTGATTCCCTACGGTCAGGTAGGAGCGGGGCGTCTAGATCAAGCGGTCTACTTACCGTGATATTTTGGACGATTAATGTCTCCATGCCTATGCAGCTATGGTTAGTTGTGATAAGCACTCGTTATGGGATTAGTTTGTGATCCTTTGGTGACTTACTTTCTCCTCTGATGGGGGCTGATTGTCTCATCTTGTCGACCAGAACTTAGTTTGATACTGCTAATCACGTTTAGTTTTGGTGAAAGCAAAGAAATAGAATATGAATTCATCGAAAGTACCCATAGATATGTTTAGCTACACAGCGATGCTTATGCAGAAGGCACACGGGAATTTACTTACTAAAGCCACTGAATTCCTAAGCTAATGCTTGAAAATGTTAACCCGTCGCTTTCGGAATAGTCGATCACAATATCGCAGTTCGAGTTGGACGTTTATCATATGAATCAAGATGATGGAAAGACAACTTTTAACCATCTACTTCTTGACCGACCGTACAGAGATTAGTGCTGGCTGTACCGGAATCGTCTACGGTTTAATGTCACAAGCGACTGGACGGTGCTGTCGCAGTCTGTTGATTATAGAATAATGTCTTTCAATGTAGATAGATGTACGGTCGTTGGCCACTGCAGTGATCTGGGAGGCAAATCTTTCATGTTTTATGCATTTGATATATGAATCCTCTTCAAGTTGTGATTACCAAGAAATAGGTAGAACAGCCCAAGAATCATTCCTTCCCTCGATTCCTCGTAACCCGCCTCTACCACTCTTCTAGCATACAAAGCAGTTGTAAAATTTGCTTTCCGATCATCTCGGTTACGAATCAGGGCCTGAACTACATTTTATAAGAGCGGCTGTCTCACCTTATTGACATGTCAGCTCGAAGCAATGGTAATAGTGTCCCGATAGTTTAGTATATAAATTTTATTTGAGCTAATGAATAAGCTCTTTCTGGGAATGTGTGAGTATGTCGTTTGGAAAGCATTTTTCCCAAATCAACATTCGCTATCGAGGACCTAGGGGCCAAATTTAGATTGTTGCGTGATTTTTGGTGTTTGATATCCATATAATGGCTAAGCAGACTACGATCGGCGAAATCATTATATACACTTCCACCCTGGCAGTTTTGTATTATGGCTTCACTATAGCTCGAGCTTTGATTCTGCAACGTGGAGTTTCCTCGATATAATTAGGGATTTGTAAGGTATGGCTGGACGGTTTTCAGATACAAGCTGCCATTGCTAGTTTGATATGTCACAGGTTGAAGTGTGAGTGTGGAGTCACAATGAAGCGGGCAGGTTTCCTTGGTGTAAATCCAAACGCGGCGTCAATTTCGACCCTTTAGACCTAATAACTTGCTAGTTGATAAGTTTCTACCCCTGAATCTAGTCGAAATAACCGGCGACTCCTCATACTGCATAATCTCGCCCCTCATCGCACAGTTTAAATGGATTTGTTGTTTTTGTTGTTGTTGAAGTGCTAATGCCCTACTGTATATCGATATACAATAGATTCTCGCGGAACTCTATGATTGACTAGGAATTCTACTTGATATTCACATCGCGCCGGTTCTTTAGACACCCGCCACATGCTGCTGGGTAGCCATGATATCATCATACATACCTCATTCTCAACTTAGTAAGTTTTTGGCAAGTCGGTCTATCAATTTCTTGGCTTCGGGACTAAGAGCGTGACTTGATGACTGCGGTTTTTCAGCAACTGCCATTTCAATGTCCTTACCTATTAAATCAAAAGTGTCGTCCACTTCCCCTTTGAGCTTGCCAAATTCATCGTCGATTATATTAATCATCTCTTTACGCATTTTTGCTGATATGTTATGAAATATAGTGCCGTTGGAGGTATGATTTGTGATGATCGATATTTGACGCACGTGCATGCCCTTGCCTATTTTTTTTTGGTTACTATGGGAGTGACGGATCATCTGGACTGGGACAGAATATCTACCTCCTTGACTGCAGGCTTCACGATAAGCCGGCATCATTTCCGTAGCAATGAAAGATGAGGCATTTGGTTCCTCAACATATTGCCGTATTGTTCTATTGTGAAAAAGAAATAAGAAAGGCGACACAAAAGTAGGCGTATATGATATGATACCTTAAAAGTCTCGCAAATTTCTGCTCAATAAGACTGAATTGATATTCCAAGTCTTGTATGCGAAAGTTGATTCCATATTGCATTGTAGTTGAAGCGTTTTGTTCTATTTCCGGGCTGTCAGCTTCATCTGCCTTTCATGATGGTTCAATGGATGGATAATTTGGGTTATCTCGCCTTCAATACAAGCTCGCAAGCCGCGCAGTTGGTTGTTGACTTCCTCTAGGAGACTCTTCATGCTCGTCGTTATTTTCTCTTCCAACAGTGCCCATTTACTCTTTAAGTCGATTCTCATCCTTTCAATCATTTCCGCATTCCAATTGACATAACCTCTCGTTCCAGCTTCGTGTTTTCCGTTATTTCTACACCATGCCTTATATGATTCTATTGAATCTCAGACATATTAGTTATCTTCTCTAGTAGTTATGTAAGAATGGGAATTCATACGAAAATGCCACTATCCTTTGTCAGAACCATTTTAAGAGAATATCAAATGTTTGCTTACATGAGAAAATTCACGCACCTTACTTGCAGCATTTCCTTCCCACTGTATACTGCTCTTATCTTCCTGAACTTAATAGGATACACCTAGTTCATGATTTAGGGTAACTCACTAAAGAAACGGAATATGTCACTTCGTAAGACATCTCGGAACTTTCCATGATGTTTCATAACCAATGCAACTGCCTATCCCCCCAACCCCCCTCTCCTCCCAATTGATAACGCCAGAGCTGGATTTATGGATTATTTTGATCACCGATCTCATTCCTGCAACGCTCATGGCCGTCCATAATTGATGTCCCTTTGTCGGCTTTGTGAACTTGAGCCAGGGCATGGGTGGATTCAGTCCAGATTTCAATGGAATTGAAAAGACTTGGTAGCCTTGACCGCATGAAATGAAGTGCCTGCTGAAGTTGAGCACTGGCGGTAATTTTGCGGCAGAAGCGACGTAGTTCAGGAATACCACTCTTCTGGACCATCTCAATGTTACCTTTCTCCGCAAACTCCTCGTAAGTTGTATTTGACACACAAAATACATCTAAACATCCGTTTGGAATTTTTTTGTCTATAGGCTGTTTGGAGCCGCCCAGTAACATGTCGATTGCGAGCTTCGATGAAGGACCAAAGTTTCCTATAATTTGTTAGGGGCTAATTCAATATTGGGAAAAAGGCAAACCTTACTTGCAATCCAGTTTTCAGGTCGCAGTTCCGCAATCTCGAACCAATGAGGGCAATTTGAAATCGCGTATCTTTTCCACTGAAAGACCCCTGGGATTTAAAAGAGACAGAATGGCCTAAAATGCTATTATATGGATGTCTATAATTAGAACAAACTTTTGGTACTTAAGTCACTTGATTTATCGTGAAAAAATTTGCTACAGGCTTCTGAAGTAAAAGCCATGTGTATCTTGACCCTCCTGCTAAGTGCCAGGACCTCGAAGAGCTATCCGCATTCGAAACTCCCATCCTATTCTTATTTCGACCTAGTGGCATGGTAGATTCTTTTAAATTGAATAATAGGAGAGGATGGAAGTAGAAGAGGTTTCTTCCGCCTGTTGTTTCCTTGAGGAATTCAGAGTTTCAACATAAAAACATTGGGTGTTACACAATTTCAACTTCTAATGCCAGCATCAAGATAATACAACTTTCCTGGAGAATAGGATAGGATAGGAATGAGAGAGAACCGTGGGTTTGAAGCATTGAGAACTTCCATAATTACTTTCAACCCCATCAACGAAAAGAACCACAAAACACCGGAAAGTCTACCAAAATGCCTCTGGCTGCTTCTCGAGGCAAGCTTCGGGGAATTTTGCGTAAAAAGCAACCATATGTGTTGACGGGTGTCCTGTGAACATCTGTGGTCCTGTTGCTCAGTTTTTTATCTAGTCCCAATCTCGGGTGTTAATAGCCAATTCTGACCATCTATTAGCATTTTTTACTACATATGGCAAAATATTTCAGTCATATTCCTGGAGAACTACAGTTATAAATACCATGGACTTTTTGCTGATACAACAGTTCCTGCCCGCAGCTTGCACAAGTTTCCCGCCGCGCCATCCAGAATTTCGACAGTAGAGCCTTTGATGAATGACGGTATTTTTACGGTTGACGGCCAGGCATGGCACATCACAAAGCATCACGAAGCAGATATTCTCAGGCTTCAGATTCTCTGTCATCCCAATACTGGGAAACGCGCGAAGCGTTTGCTGGGATTGACTCAATATTTGATCTCCAACCACTTTTGAAAAGGATGGTAAGCATAAATCCTCGGATACAAAAGCTCGGATGGAAACATTGATGATCAGTGCAGTTCTTAGACAGGACAACTGAATTCCTTTCGGAGTATCCCAAGATCCACTTCTTTTTGAGGTGAACGACAATTCTACGGAAGGCCCTATCTCGACATCTGACAAGGTATTAGTAGGTCTACGCACTCGCATTTTTCTTGGCAGACTGGGTTTATCCGTGGGCGTGACACACAATTGAGGAAGGATATATCATATTCCCATGCGTTGGTTGATGAACATTTAGGAAAGGCTATTGGAAGATAAATCTCATCAGAGAAGAACACTGCGGAAACCATGAAGGCCAGGTATATCTATTTGGATGAGCTGATCAAAATGGCAAAGTATAAATCAGAACCGCTAAGTCAGATGTCGAACCAATTTCTTCCAGCTTGTGAGTCTACTTCGAGCGCACTGGCTTTGTGTTTTTCTATCTTTTGATTATCCAAGCTTCTGGAAGAAGTTACTTAAGGAAGTCATCGGTCTAGGCGACGCGCTCGTAACATTCGATTTGCTGAAGTCAATTAGATATCTCAAATCTGTTGTCAATGATAGTTAGTTAAACATGCCCCGGTATTTGACGCTTGTCTCTAACTCCCTAGGTTCCCGTCCTCTTGCACCGGCGGGCTTCGGTATACGAAATTTTATCATCGAGCCTTGTGTCCTACCAGAGGCGGCATACCCAACGGTAAAAGTTCCATTCTCGTTCGTCCAGATATAGAGGTACGAATTGTATTCCACGCACTGCATAAAGATCGAGATATCTGGAGAGAAGAAGCATTGGAGTTTCGTCCAGAGAGATGGGAAGATTTACGCACCACATGGGAGTATATCCCTTTCCTCGCGGGTGGCAGGATATATCCAGCGCAAGAGATAGCCTTGATCGAAGCTTCTCATTTGATCGTTTGATTCATGCAAGAATTCAAATATCTAGAGAATAGAGATCCAGAGAAGAATTTTGTTACGGGTATGAAGCTGACTATAAAGAGCAAAAACGGTGTCAAGTTGGTTTTGAGGTTGCTTGATATGATTGTTTGAAAAGTTACACAATTTTTTTTTCTCTTCCCTAGGGAGTCAAATTTGTACTTGGGGACTATGACGGGGCCGAAAAGTTAAAAGGAACAGATATTTTGATGACTCAGAAGACTTTTTTGACCTAATATAGTTATCAAGTTGATTTTCACATGAATATCAGACGACTAAACCATTTGGACCCGATATTTGAAAGTAGGCTGCGCAAAAATAACCCGCGGATTGCGGATATCCATGGATTATCCGCCCCATAGATTACCCATTAGGCCTACAACCCGTTCTACAGAGCCTTATTGGGATCTTAAAATAACCTTCTTTGCAAATAGATTATCTGCGGGTTACCCATTAGCACAATAATCTGTTCCACGGAGCCCCGTTGCGCAGCCTCCTTGGAAGACATATTCTAAATTCAACTTTCGAATTTCGCATATAATGTCTATCACAAAATGATCATATGTTTATTATAAGGTACTTCCACTCGGAATGTCACGACTAACAGGCACAACGGGGTATGTATGATGTGATATAATTTGATGGTGAAAATCAACGCCAGTCATTCTCGCTGCATAGTTAAAGTAGTGATGAATCGTAAATAGATAAGCTGATGCCCTTTCCAAGACGCTTCATCAAAACTAACGGATGCCCATATGCTTTCACCATATTTTAGAAGGAATAAACTAGGAGGATCCGGAAAACCTAACAGGCAACGAAGAGTTATGATTCGCCTCACCTAAATGCTCTAAAGCACATCTCTTGTCTCATCTGACATGAAGTTTCTCCGAAAAGATGTGCTGATCATTCCTCCAACTTTTGTACAAAGCAGTACCTGCTCCTCCTGCTGGTCTCATAGATCCTCCACACCCACGATGTATGAATGACTTCCACTGGTTTCCATGTTAAACACCCCAACAATCATCAAATCGACTACAGCGCGATTTTTATTCCACGCGCTTCAAAGAATCAAAAGCCAACAGTATTAGGATTGAGACCAAGTGCACGATACATTTTCTTCTTCTTCCTTAGAAAATCTGCAGACTTCTGTTGTTTCTGAACGACTTCAACACCCTCATCTCCCTGATTTCGCATCTCGTTTTCCGGAACTCTAGAGCTATGATCGATAGTATCTAACCGCATCAAGGCATCCTCTAAATCCTTGGTTCTTTTCTCCATCATGCTAAGACGAAGATTGAGATCCTCGATGTTGGCTTCTTGATCTTCGATGATGGTAGTGAGGTCTTCCATTGGTGTCCTATCTTTTGAACAAAGACGCTTTCGAGTGGGGTGTCGGATCGGCTTGGAGGATTGATTGATGGGATGTTTGTGACTATGTTGGCAAGTTAGCACCAAAAGCTCCTTATGAGGGTGTAGGAGATTCACCTGTCCATTCTGCTTGCTTGATTTATTTAATTTTGAGGATTTTTTGCAGAAATCAGCGTTTTTACTGCGTATGAAAGTTTGTCTAGAATGGGTTTTCATAGTAAAGACGTAGTGGAGAGACCTGATTGTTGAATTTTGAGTCACATCTAATGGTACGGCGTTTTGATAATTCACAGTTCACATTCACCTCCATGCGAAGAGTGTGAATCAATCTACCGTACCATTCCAAGTATAGAATGTCAATCACTAAGTGAGCTCAGTACTTCTACCAAGCCATGTGCGTAAAATGATTTTTATAGTAAGTGAAGAAAAAGACTCTATCTAGAGTAAAGTTCATGTCGTCTTGATTGTATTTTTAGTGTTTTGGCACTTTCTTTGTCAAATCAGCGGTCCGATAGCTGAGAGACACTCAAGTAAATCATATATGTACTTATCTTCCTAGGTAGATAGGCATAATAAAATTATTCACTCAAAGTTGCTCAGGAGTGCTTAGCGTTAATGGCTCCATCCAATCATGGGTCAATAGCTGACTGTGCTCTCCTAGATATATAAGAGACATATCAATATCATAATATCTCATCACTGTCTATTATTAAAAACACTATTAATTTTTTTTATTATAATTACGGCGGTACTTCTGTATTTAATAAGCATACCATTTTACAAACCCACGTTCTGCAATATAATTTCATCGGCTTGTTCAGAAATCTTGTATATAAATAACCAACATATTCAGTACCAATCTCGTTGCTGTGATTCATAAAATCGGTCGTATTGATTACTTAGCCACCTTGATCCATAGCTCAAGCAAATATCCCTACATTACAAGTTTCGATATCAAGGCCCGATAATTGGTAAAAACGGATTCTCTAAATACCTAACAATACTTCTTGGTTCTCGAGACTTTCATCCCAGACAAGAAAGTATTAAAAGAATCGTTGTATAGACATCTAAAACTAATCAATACTTTTAATGTCGTTTATTTATATAACTACCTAATGTACTCATTAGCCCCAACCAAATCAAAATCTAAACAATTAAAAGCTCCATTAGTAATATAAGAAAAGTTAAGTGCTACAAACCAACCAACTCTTGTCCAGCAATTAAGTCTAGTACCCTACTTTCCGGCCACCCCTCTTTGCGGACACATTTTTACACCAAAAATCATCATTTTCACCTATTAATATTTCAACAACCGATTAATTAAATCGATTGAAATTTGAATTATAGATTTATTATATAGTTATCAATCAATCTTGAAAATTTTAGATTTTTATTATTGATTTGATTGAGAATTGAAAGATTAAATTTTTGAATTTTCAATTTGTATAGGATTTACATACAAAATTAAACAATTATTAAAAATAAATTATAAATTTTTTTCGAATATTTATATCATAATTGATCAAATAGATCAATTTATTTTAAAAAATATTTTACAGAAATCCTTTTAATCAAAATATTATAATTTTAATCCTTATAAAATTTATAAATATTAATAAAGATTTATTTATATTATTAAAAATTCAAAATCTTAATCTATCATATAATCTTTGATTTGAAGATTTCAAAAAAATTTATAGTTTATTTTTAGTACATTTTGTTGAAAAATTATTGAAGCTTTTCAAGTTTTTCAAATTTGTATATCAATCTTATACAAATTAAAAATCGTAATTTCAACTTTCAATTTCTTAATCAATAAAATCGCAAAAAATCTGAAATTTTCAGAATCTATTAATAATTATATAATATATCTGTGATTCAAATTTCATCAAATCCTAATGATTAATTGTGAAGTTATTAATAGCTGAAAATGATGATTTTTGATGTAAAAAGGTGTCCGGAAAGAGGGGTGGCCGGAAAGTGGGGTACTAGACTTATACCAAAGCCGTTGTCTCCCGTCACGCACCGAGAAACCATGAATAGCCTACTTCCTACACCTGCACCTGCTTATCATGAACCATATCTTAGTTTAATTTTAACTCACTCGAATAAAGATAAAACTAAGTCCAGATTAGTCACTCAAAAGACGATTTTCAGCAAGGGACAACAAGAAAGGCTTGCCTTGAGCTGAAACTACCTACCGAACACTGTTGCAATATTCGCTTCCTCCCGCCTGGGCAATAGCACTCCCATCAAACGAGTGAAATAGTATCATTATAGAGAGCTAGATAACATAAAGACAACGTTTTCCATGTATTGAGTAAAGTTTGAACAAGTACCTAGATAAGATCAAGAAGATACTAAGCCAGGTTCTCGGGTACAACGGCTGAATCTCGGAATAGGGCAATAGCTTCAACTCTTTTGATTATAAGAGTTCTAGACTTTTCTTATTGTATATTATGATGTTTTGTAACAAAATCCTTACAAAAATCATATATTTTTATATAAAATTAAATATCAAATAACTTTTTCAATATTGAATAAAATTAATTAAAACTTTTAAATATAATAATTAATTATAAAATTATTTCAAGAAAATTTACATTATTTAAATTTAAAAATTAAAAATTTGATTTATATAATTTTTTTATACAAAATAAATAAAATTTTGATCATTTTATTTTCAATTCTATATATCTTTTAATAAAATTATCAAAAATAAATTAAATAAATTTTAATAAATTTCAATTGATTAATTTTATTTTTTATATTTTTTATATAAAGATTTGATAAAGATTTGAAAAAAGAATAAATCAAAGTTTTAAATAAAAAATATTATATTATACCAGGGCCTGCACCCCGGACCCCTGGCTTTTCGAGAAAGTCTAGTAAAAATTTAAATATTGAATATATATATTAAAGTACAGATAGAATATCAATTTGTTTTGATAATTCAAAATTCAAAATTATTATTATAAATATTATTATTTTAAATATTATTCTTTTAATTATTATTATTATTATTATTATTATTATTATTTCAAGCTTTTTGTTAGATTTTCTGCTGGGGTATTTTAGACCAATCAGATTGTCAGGATCGCAACTCATTTGAACTAGTTTCTCATTTTCTACAACCTACATCGGGTAAATTGCAATACGCTACATGTACAGCAAGGTTTTGGTGTCGGCAAGCCGACAATAATTCTTTAACAGAAAAAAATTAACTACCTAGCACCTAGTGTAACATTGGTTACACAAACAGATAGACAGACGAAAACAATCTAAAAGCAAGACTTATCATTTACATTCCCAGACATAACTTTAGCCCCCAAGGAGTTCCACAGTCTCACTAGAATCTCAATCCCAATCTCCAATCCCAACTCAAAAACCATCAATATCCACCTCCAATCCAACCCTAAACCTCTCATCAACAATCTACCTCTATCTAGCACTTCCATCCCATTATATCAATCAAAAGCATAATACCCATCCAGAACAGCACTGCGTATCTTAGCTCAAGAAACTTTTCCACCATTTTCTGCATCAAGTTCCTCCGCCGTTAACGAGGAGAACGCATTCAATAACCACAGTAAGTTTTATATCCCGATTAATCCAAGAACCCTCTCCCCCTCTCTAGCAATCCCCCAATAGGGTTACTTTATAGCTAACTAAAATACTAATTAAAACACTATACTATCTATCTATCCATATAAATAAGTAAGTACATTAACACAGCATCAAAACCGCACTCTCACCATACTCCCCATCACACATACTCAATCTTACTATACACATATCAAACCTCACCACACCATCCAAAACCCAAACCCATCCCCACATCACAGCACATCACATCACTAAATTAAACAAACCAAAATAAAAGTTACCTACCTAGTAATCTTACATACTGGGTATTACTTTATTTCATTAAGATATACACATATATATATATATTTAAAATTATATCTATCTTCAACCACCTCTCTCAATGTCCCATCCCACACTTCCCCTCTATCCATCCATCTATAATCCTACAACCTCTAAACCCGAATCTTGACACCTCGCTCTTGCTCTTGCTCTCAATATCAATATCAATATCAATATTATATCAATCATAACACACTAAGAAAACTCCTATTTCCTTCCTCCTTCCTCCCCTTCTCCCCTTCTTCAAATTCAACCAATCTCCTAGCGCACTCCCCATTATCTTCACCACCCCACAAACCCATGAAATATCTTTTCATCTTTTCCCTCATCTCACCTCACCCCGCCCCATCTCAAAATCTCCCTCCTCCTCCTCCTCATCCTTCTCCTCATCCTCCTCATCCCACCCACAAACTCGCTCTCCCCACAACATACATATACGACATACACAACCCACCACCACCATCAACAAACCCAACAAACCTACAACCCTAAAACAAAACACAAAAACCCCACCTTCAGATCGCAACCACTCACAAAACACCACCCACCATAAACCTTCTATCAAATCCAATTCTTATAAAATTACGGCAAGGCGCACTCTCCATCTAAATAAAAGTCCAAAATAAACCGCTTCTGCTGCCCTACAAGGGACATTCATTCCATCATACAAGCAAGAACAACAAAAAAGAGTTGAAAGAACTCCGAAAAAAAGATGTCCGATTCTATGTACAATTACAATTCCATCATTACCACCCATAATGTCTCAGCGTTTTTGGTATCCATAAAAGCAGAGCACTTACTAATCGCTACAGTGATATACAAAATTCATTTCATTCCTTCCCTTCTAAACCTGGATTACCTTTACTCCCATTATTTACTCCATTTCATCCTTCCTTCCTGTTCCCCATAATCTATCAACCATTCAAACAAAATCACCTCGTGACGCTGTTTTTCTGGCCAATCGTTCCATTCCCCAAATCTACTTTACATTCCACCAAATTAACGGTGTTTCCACCTCCCATCGAGATATTCATGGCAGCTAAGTTCTCGAAGCTTTCTTGATTGAAGAATTTTTGAAGCTGTGTTTGTGCTGTAATTGCATTATCTAAGTTTTCCTGTTGCAAAACAAAAAGTACTGTGACTCTAGCAAAGTCTAGAACTTCCTGAGTAACGGAAAAGACAGCCGTTGGGTCGATTGTAGAGGTTGTTAGGGTTGCGGGTGTGGTCTTCGTGGTGCTCGGAGATGAAGTAGTGGAAGGCGGTGCAACAGAGGTTGATGCGGCGGAAACAGCTGAAGTGGACACAGACTGTGACGTAGAGTCCGCTGGGTTGACATCAGTGTAGATATAAGTTGCATCTGAATTTGCAAGGGCGCGGATCTTGGCCTTCGTAGGATCTGGCTGTGCATTCCTTTTTACCTTATTGGCCGTAGAAAGCGTCACTTCAGCACTCGCATCTCCCATTCTTTCATCGCTTCCATCAAAAGTGACCAGCGAATTTTCCGACGCACAACTCAAGTCCCCGGCGTTAAATCTCGCCAGAATAGTATTCTCGAATAAAGGGATCGAAAAATTGGTTTGAGCAGCCGAAATTAGTCGAGGTATAGAGTCGCCAATGGTCATGTTTTTGGCAGTGCCTGATGACGTGGTGGTACAACCTGTAGATCCTGCAACTGTACATATACTGCCTGTGAATCCATTTGTGCATATGCAGGAACAAACACCATTATCGAAGTAAGAAGTTCCCCCGTTTTTACAAGCAGTTGAGCTATCTGCAGCGCAGATTTGTACTGGAGTGGCGGTTGCGGTGGTATTTGTTTTGTGTTTGTCAATTACGAGAAATTTGAGAGGTACGACAACGGCGGTCGCAATTATTATTAGTAAGATTATAATAACGAGGACGAAACCCCAACAAGGCAGACCGCAACACTTCCTTTGCCTTCTTGCATTTGTGACATGTTTTGGATCATTTGAATCGTATTCTGGCCAGGTCGATAAAGGTCGTGGAGTATCGCGAGCAGGCGTTTCACGACCAGGCGGCGGAAAGGCCGATAACATCCCGGAAAGAGTAGAACCTCGTCTCTCAAAATTAGGTGAAACTGTTATATGTTAGAGATTGCAATCTAAAAGAAATATCAACCACACTCACGTTCAATTTCTTTCTCGCTTGGAAAATCTCTGTCGCTGGGAAAATCGTCCAAACCCATCCGACTTGCTGGTCTTTTGCCACGATCAATCATCGATGCTAATCTCGTTGCTCTTCTAATCAAGTCTGGTAAACTTGTCAAGCTACCTCTAGATTCTGCCTCTCTTACTGCATCAATATTAAGACGTGGTGGTCGACGTAATGCCGATAGCCTACTAAAAGGTTGGCCATCATTTGCAGAAGACGATTTGCTCGAGTCACTAGGTAAAGCACTTGCTGCTTGATATGCTCCGAGCATAGCACTTGCGTTCGGGCTCCTTGTTCCATCTCGCGAAGGCAGATCAGTGGTTAGCGCCATGGCAATTGTTGGAACTGATTCGTCAGAATTTGATGGAGTAGGATCAAGGAGTCCAGTACCATTTGCTAAAGGTGAATTCAGATCCCCAGGCATCGGCCATTGTGTTGATCTTTGAGCTTCTACCGGACTTAATGTCGATTGTTGTAACGGTGTTGGGTATAATCTCCTGGTATCCGATGTTGGCGTAGGTATTGCAGCGAGTCGTGCAGGGTCGATTTGACCTGAGGATCGTGTTACGATCATAGAGGGTCTTGCTCGTTTGCCAATGCTAGCACTTCTGATCAATCCTCGATCGTCGTTATCATCTGATGCTCTAGATTCTCGACCTTCCGATACTGTATCGAACCTCCTATCATCTTCATAATCATCCTCATCCTCATCCGATCGATAAAAGCCGGGCGATTCTGGTCCCCAACTTGAAGGTATAGCTGCACTCGATGCATATGAACTATGTGAGCCTGGAAGTGTTCGTGGACTGAGACCCATGCCCTCAGATACCTCTGGAATTGGGGATACATAAGAAATTTGTGAATAATATGATGAAGCACCTCTTCTGGCAGTTGGTGGTGGTCCTAAATTAGTACTTCTCCTTGCCGACGGTGGAAAAGCTGGTATTGGAACAGGAAAGTCAGGTATCGTACCGACCGATGAAACGGTAGATTGGCGTGACGATGATGTTAGTGGAGGAGACTGTAGTGGTTGATAGTTGCGATCAAAACTATCATCTTGATTTTGTGGTAAGCCACGAGTTTGTGGTTGGGCAAAGAAATCTTGTGGCTGCGGAAGTTGTTGTGGTTGGTATTGAAATGTTGGGGTAATATCTTGTATTCTAGACGAATCAAGGATTGAAGGTACATGACTAGGTCTTGGTGGTCTTTGAGGAGGTGGGCCACGATTAGGAGGAGGTTGATATTGTTGAGGTTCTGGGCCAGGGTTTGTTCCCATCAACGGCCATTGTGCTACTCGAGTAGGTCGAGAAATCGCGAGACCGACAGTACTTTGGGCATCGTTTTTCGTCATTCCTGGTGAGCCTTGAAGTCTTGCTCTGGGCGGACTCGGAACATTGCTCGTTGATGTAGGATCGTAAGGCCTTGGTGTAGGTATCGGTTCGGTAGGTTTACCTGCTGCTGCTCTTTCTCTTGCCCTCTTCACTGATCCACCTCTACTTGGCGCATCCCATGGTTGTTGTTGACTCATCTGATACAAATATCAGGTCTTTCGTACTACCAATAGTGAAATCAAACTCAGGTATCCGCAGTTTCGAAACCAATATCCAATCATCCGGGTCCTTCCGTGTATTATTTCGTTTGTATCTGCATGAAGCCGTTCCGTCTAGATTATTTATTTCCGCAGTCGTATGGGTCCTTCTTCCAAGACCCCGAAAGTGACGAATACTTTTTCCTAGGATATTCCACGCCACAATAAATTTTAAACCAGGGACTGAAAATAAGGATCGAATTTTTTGAAAGATGTTGACGGCGAGCCTTAAGGTTAGAATATAAAATTGCTAAAGAACGTAATTTCGGTTCACTAGGAGCCGAATGGGAAAATAAGAAGAATTGAATGTCTATTGGACCGAAGTGTACTTTCGCATATCCGGATCGAAGACGATTCGTATGTAGTGAATGAAAGAAGCCAATCAAGGCGGTTTGTGAAGTCGAGGGTCCCTCAAAGTGTAAACTGCGCAAGCACAATCAATTAGTAACTATCGCCAGCGACAAACGGCTTGCGCGCAATGAAAGTAAGAGCACAATAGAGCCAGTATCAAAAGATTGACTGGAGACGAAGAGTGGCCATAGGGTGAGACACACGATACCGGTGGTCTCGCTATCAACTACCACGGACTTTTGGCTGCCACAAAAACTCATATAGAAATATGCCTCAGTGTTCAATTGACAAAGTAATGATAGCATTGGGATGATCCCCTTCAACGACGCCGTCACAAATAAAGCAAAAGCCCAAAAAAATTTCAACATGGCACAATACAAGTAATCATCGGCTATGTTGAAATCATTCACATACATTTGATGTTTCGCAAGCCTGAGTGGATCCTTCATGCGATGTGAAGACTTCCCTGAATCGCCTTCTCTCCTGCCCTGATAACGTCGATAACTTTTGCGAGTCGATTGGAATATGTATTGACCCCGGTACGTTGACCTCAAACGTTCTCTTCTTCAACCTGCCTTGTTGTGGGAGAAGCCGGTCTCTGCAGGTACAAGTTGAAAGGTCGGGATACTTGTATATATTTTGACGAGGGAAGTGGAGAGTATGGTATGTGGAAGGAAGCTTTGGAAGTTTGTAGGCACTCTTTGGTCGTTTCAGAATCGGGATCCTATCACCAACCTATTGTATCCAAAAATGAGCGTCGAGCCGATCAAGCAATGCTGAAGCGCAAGTCTTGGGGTATGAATTTAAAGAAAGTTATCGACAAAAAATGAAGCCACAGGAAGTCGGATTGGTTCGGGATCCAGTTCAAAGTCGAGAAAGGCTGTGGTTGAAAAAGGAAGTCAGGATTCGGTAGATATTTTTGATAAACAGGAAGGAAGGATCTAAAAGTGACATTTCGAGCCACACCAGATTTGTCTGAGCCAGTCAGCGAGGAAAACAGCCTGGTTGATCAATGCTCCATCTGGAAACAGTCAATTATGAGTTTGAGGGGGGGTTCCTGATGGATGGGTACACGGTACTTTCTCATCGTATAAATGAGGGGGGCACATAAACGAAAGTACGTACTTGGAACAATGCAGTGCATCCAACAATTCGATAATTTAACTGGCTGAGGGGCATAAATCTTGCAGAAAGGCCCTTCAATCTGGACAAAAAAGTTTCTTTTACCTTGTCCTCCGATTATCCATGATCCATACCAAGACTACCAGTCAACCCATGGATAAGGTCGCCATACAAAATGCTTCCCCTGGCCATGCATGGTGATGAAAAAAAAAGACATCCGATCGTGGTCAGACTTGGAAAGTGGTGTTTATTTTTTATTCACTTGGTCGCCAAAAGAGGTGTCGAGTATTTTTTTGCGGGTCACGACATTTACAAGGGGTTTCAAGATATCATAGGTGTGTTCTAACCTTGGATAAATCTCCATGTTATTGGTTGATTAATGGGTAGACTTATTAGTTGGATGTAAGTACTTTAGAAGAATATCAAAGCAGCAACAAGTCAGGCGTACATGACTAAGTATGTGTAGCACTATCAACCAATCATGTGCTTGGAAGAGTAATGATACTGATTGCCGCTTTCAACAATTGAGTTCCGTAGGTACGTTTCTTATCATTATGCAGTTGATTTTCTGGGATTATCTTAGTCACCAATCAATCAGCCTTCCATTCCATCCAAGCAACTCCAGCCTCTTGCCAAGTTGCCATCCCATTTTAGCGCTACAACGTCCGCATGAGAAACGGGCGAATCCAGGATACAAGCGAGAATGGAAGACGACAACATCTTCACCTTACCTGCACTCTGTCATATACCATGGAGCTCGTCCGCAGTTAGCCACATACATGTACGCTTGCTCATCGGAAAGACTCAAATAAACACACCTAGCACAACTCACTCCTCCACATCAGCGAAACGCCAGAAGCTCTTTTCATAAAGTCTTCCTACAGAGTATATCCTCGAATTATATTATAATACCTTCAATCCCTTTTCCACTTTTCCAGGTACTTTCCCATTTATCACATACAATTACAATCTCACCAATCTTTACCCTTGTCACCCTCGTGGTATTCCCATCCTAGACTGAGTCCGGGCAATCTTATTCCACTGTTTCAGATTGAGAACAGGAAAAGGATGCTAATTCGCTTCACCGCAGGGTCAAGGAGTACATATATCTGAGCGTTACCCGTTCCTTACAGGGACTAAACCCCCATCTTTTGACTATTCAAGACAAACTTACTGTAGGTAGATAGATGTCTTCAATTTTCAAGCTCTAAACTTGGAGGCTGTAGAATTGTTGCAATGGGCATCTAGGGAAGAACATTTCCTTCTTAACGACTAGTTCGTACATACATACATACATTACCTTCTTTTCGCCATTTTCTTTCTAATTTAGCTTTTTAACTTTTTCATCTGATGTATCATCAGTTCAGGAGGCTGGATTCTTATGTCAGCTTTAGCCTCGCAGATCTTGCATTGGCGAAATGCTCGCATGTACGGAGTACAAGAAAGAGAATATGCAGGTACACATCTTGCATCTCATTACTCATCAATCCTAGCAAACTGGAGGGGGAAGAAGAAAAGACGTACAAGCAAGATATCGGATTTTCATCACACCGTCTTTCCGTAGGTGACAAGCCAACTTTCTCAAGAGGTCAGGTAATACAAGATCGTATCTCTTTCTCCTATCTTCTCACTAAAATTCTCCGCGCTCGCCGTCCTCACATTGTTCCCATCGTGATGCAACGTTTTTCTTCCAATTGCGCAACCTCATCGAGAACATTTTCCCTAGCGCATATCTCCATATTTCTCATCTGCAATACCCCAAGGGTTGAAATGGTGTTAGTACCCAAGTCAAGCGCCTTGAGGTATTTCCTAGCGATAAGCGGAAATGAACTATGGGCCTCTTGGCTATAATTACCCTAGCATTCAATTTACGGAGAGATAATGGGTACACAAAAACATCAAAATATTATTTGTCTGGTTTCCAATTTATTGATCATCGGCCCAGATTTGGCTTTGGGGCCTGACACTTGATATCATCACGGTGGGGATACATTTGCATAAGGAGGATGAGAAGTGAGTCAAGTGACGAAGGAGAAAATTTTCATTGAGTTGTGGAAATTATGAATTGCATATTTTTCATCTCCAGTCAAGGCGATACGCTTTTGGATTGGTTTTATTCGTTTCGCTGCGCATCCTTTCCATATCTGCGTGGAAACTCCAACTAACACTATCCGAAATTGCATGTCGGCATAACGCTTCTGAGATTTGCAAGTGTTACTTTCGTGTGTCTCCTAAAGTTCCCCTATTTACTCCTCCAATCCCTCCGTGAATGAAATTAACTTCATGCTGGCAAAGTAATCCAGGGTGTCGTGATCCCAAAGATGATTTCGGAAATATTGAATTTCTGAGAATAGAGTTATGGTTCTATATTTCACTGGCATTGGTGATGAGTCAGCCGAAAATTCATTCTTCTGTTCTTTACTGCGGAACGTTGTTGCCAGCGCAGTAAACGAGTCCTTCATTGATTCCGGCGGTGGTTCGAGGCTGCTGCTGTACTATGTTTACTCTTGTCCCACGAAGTACATCCTTCATGAACACACCACGCTGTTGTGGGACCTGGTACTTGATCCTTGGGTCGGCTTTCGATGTAGGTACCGCGATCATCCTAACATCCTACCGGCATATATGTATGTCTCATCCTTACTCGTGTCTCCGTATCACTTCCATTTTGAGCCTCTCAATTGTCATTGCGGTGACACTTTTGGTGATACCAATCACGTTTATCGTTCTAAGGTGTAACAAATGCCAAATTACCTTCTGCTACTCATTACACGTGGTTTTATGCCTGGCCAAACGTTTGGTGATACAACAAATTGCAATTTCACCTATGTTTTCTATTTTCCTTGGACTTCGTCATTACACGAAATCTTTTAGTCTTCATTTTCTTGCTGGGGAGAATCAGGCAAAGCGGGCTTGAGTTAGGTACAATGGGCATCATTACACAGTAATAATTTTCCTGTGTTATCGCAAAATTTCCATATGTCGTCAATTATCGCCTCCTGAAATTATTATTATCTTTCATTCTGACAATATACCTAAAACCTCTTTCGTCCGCACTATCGAAAGCAGAATAGTGGAGGAAATCGGGAGAACAATACTTACTGTAGTACAGAACACCTCCTTATCTTCACACCAAAAGTCAGCTCACAATAGGTCTCCCTCTGGGCTGGCTAGTCCGACAAGTATCCAATTTCAACTGTTCATCTTGTATTCCCCATTTCCTTTTTATAGAAACACAAAGACTCAGAACCTCATCTCCAGTCTAAACTTCTGCCTCCTCATCATCACATATACTTGAGAGTATTACAATACGCAAATGCTGTATTTGCTTGAATTATATATATAAATTAAAATTTTATATCTTCTCCGATACATAGTAACTTAAATATCAACTAAGAGCCAAAAGTCCAAATCATATTTGATGCCTGCGCGCTGCGACGAAGTAGTCCTTTCACGTTTGATTATCTCATCACGATATCTAAAGTTCTGCACAGGTTTCAGGGTAGTTGATACTTCTGTCTTCTGTTTTATCTTACTGTGATTGATGGTAAGTATCCCCGTATCCCTCCGGCGCTCGCTGATGATAACAAGAAGGGGGCTGAAGAGTGAAGAGGAATAAGTGAGGAATACTGGGAGGGGTAAATTGGATGTGGTGTATGTGTATATGTATAGACGATAAATGGGATTGTAGGAATATTTAAGAGGTGATAATATGGGATTGTAGGAAGTAAATTGATTGTTTTTTTTACAATTTGAATATGCAACTTGCAGTCTCCTCACTTCGCACTTTGCACTTGTCATGTAGTATCGTAGTACTAATATAGTATTATAGGATTATGAAAATCAAAACTTTCATATTTTCAAGTTTCAAGTTTCAAGTTTCAAGTAGGTTACTTCCTGTACACTAACCAACCCTACCTCCCCCCCCCAAAAAATAGAGATTGTTCATTGACTTAGTATTCCAACATCTCTTTCCCATCTCATGCTATATATATAATTCATGCAATCCATCGCCCTCTCTCACTCTTACACTCTTACACTCACTAATTCATCATAAATACATCACTTATCTTCAGCCTTTCCATTCTTTCTACTCATTTCTCTCAAGTTTTTATATTTGTTTTTTGATAACTAACTCCTTGTTCATTGATATATTATGAGAAAGTTGGAATTATAGACCAAATACATAGAGGTTTTTAACCAGTCAATCACATGACCTCCTGTAATTAGATATAAAAGAAGAGCTTTTACCTCTCCTTTCCATTATAATCAACCTTCTATATATATACATTTGACCCTATATAACATCAATCCCAAAACCATTGTGAACCTCATTTTCTCTATAAGTAATGTATTACAATATGATCTAATTCAGCTTTCTCTTTCAATTCCCTCCTTATAACATACTATCGGGATATACATATCTCGATCTATCACTTTTACAATATATAAATAATCTTATTGTTCTTTTTTATCGAAACTAAAGTATAAATGAAGTATTATATCTTGAAATATATATATAAAATAAATAAATAAATAATTTTCTAATTTTTATAATTTAGAACTTATTATTATATTTTTAATTTAAGTTTTGAAATTGATTAATGAATTTATAATATTCCCTGAGTAGAAATTATTATATTTGAATAATAAATTAAAAAAATCAAGTCTCTTTATACAAATAAAAAATTCTTTTATTTAATATAAAATCTTTGAAACCATTAGTTTTTTTTTCCAACTAATCAATATTTCATATTTGAAGATTATAACAAAGCTTTTTTTTTTCCAAATCTTTTATTTTTGAAAACTAATAAAGTTGTATATTTATAAATCTTTAAATAATTTTTAATTTTTCAATAAATAAATTTTTTATCATCGACTTATTTATATATAATATACTACAATTTACTTGATATAAATTATAGAAAATAAGAAACTTGCTTAAATGAGTCGCAGTCCTGACAATCTGATTGGTCTAAAATACCCCGGTAGAAAATCTAACAAAAAACTTGATATAAATCTTATAATCTTAAACAAATCTGATTTAAAACTTTTTTCAACTCAATTTAATTTTATTCATTCAATTTATCTCCTTCAACTTAAAATAATAATAATAATAATAATAATAATAATAATAATAATAATAATAATAATAATAATAATAATAATAATAATAATAATAATAATAATAATAATAATAATAATAATAAAGATTATAAAGATTATAAAGATTATAAAGATTATAAAGATTATTTTTTAAATAAAGTTTTCTGATTTTCAATTATTAAAAACAATTTGATATTCTATCTGCACTCTAATATATATTTAATACTTAAATTTGAATTTTTATTAGACTTTCTCGAAAAGCCAGGGGTCCAGGGGGCGCAGACCTCTAGTATTAAGATTTTTTAGATTATTGATTTTATTTAAATTATTTGATACATTTAAAGTATCTTATACTTTTGAAATATTCAAAATATTAAAAATAAGTAAATCAGTCGGAATACTCAGATGTTTTCCAATATATAAAATATCTAGGAAATGAAAAACTTATATATCTATCTAGTATGCTAGTTTTAAAAATTAGATGCACTACACACCCGTTCGTGCTAATAGATCTATTTCCTAACCAGAGGGAAAAAGAATAAAATAATACATCTCCCTCACTACAAAGTGACTGCAAATCAGTCCAGTTTTCAAATTCTAACCCTCAGAATTAATCTTCCGCCGCACATCCACATACACAATTTGAATATAATCATCTTCATCTTCACCTGGTACATCAACATAAAAAGTAGCTTACTTATAAATATATAACTGATACTATTAATGATACCGATGCCGAGAGGATGGGCATATGATATACTTATAGCACCGATTGTGTTTCCGGACCCGGCGTTGTCTTTGAGAGTTATGAGGGTATAAAGTTTTTTGCTGGCGAAGACGCAATTTTGTGTCTTGGTGAGATGGAAGGAATATGTTTCCGTGGCGTATGCTGGTGTCGTAACAACAGCGCCGAACGAGGATGGGAGCAGAAGAGGATGAGGAGGCGGCGGCGTAGAGGAAAAAGTAGAAGTAGACGAGCTACTGACGAAGGCCATGAAATTTGGAGAAGAGATGATACTTTGACTTATTAGTAGCAGCGTGTAAATCTGATATCCAAGAAGATTTTTGGTTTATATAGTCTCAGTCTGGAGGATATACTGAATGGATCAAAATCGGCGATAGTTATATTTGTGACACTGGCTCAGTAGCACTGGTAGCATTCATGTTATCGGGAAAAAACGGCATTGCTGTATTCGGTATTAGAATCCAATGTCGCTGCTTTTAGTGTTTGGACATTTCCGATGGTATTTAGGAGAGGTTGCCGCCATCAGGGTTGGAAGTAAACGTAGCTATAAGATTGAGAGGACAGCTAGGCTACGAAATGCACTTTGTCACTTTGTAGACTATTGAAAGAAGAGGATATATTTTACCGATCTTTGCTATAACGCATTTGGCTGAAGAGTTATAGGCTAGATTACCAGCACTGCGTTGGATATAGTATCCTGCTCTACCAATAACTGGCTTGTTTTGTTTTTACATTCCTATTATAATACTCTACTTAGAGGTCAACAACAGGATGATTTGAAAATGGGGAATGGGAATCAACCGTCAATTTTAAATGTAACAATTCGTGCTAATGGATATATAGCCAATAGATTCTTTATACATTTCAAAGATTCTAGAATGCTCGCAAAGAAAATCGGAGTTCTGTTCTCACATTGCTTAGGTTATATTTTATGGGCTTCTTAGAATACTAGTCCATGTAACGGCATCGCCTGAGTTCCTGGTTTTGGAGAATCCTTCACAGATGTTAATTACTGAATGATATCCTGCAGTATCAAGTTTTGCTGGATAGGTGAATTGTGAAGCGCTAGACCCAGGTTGCTGGCCAGGATTTGGTAACATGAGATATGTGCGCGATGCGATAACAGCGTGAGACGTTGGGTATGCTCTGTATTTCAAATGAAGTCATCAACCGGAAGTCTCTTTATTTTTAAGTGCGATACAAGCTGTGGAATACATCGGCTGTAATGAGATAACTCACTGAAGCCTAGCCGACATAAATCCCGATCTGGTCCCTCGCGGTACTGCCTGCCTGGACCCCCGCACCGTACGCGAATTGCATGTCGAGAAAAGATATTTTTGTTACTGTAGATGACCGTCGCCACATTTACGAAGACTGCCTGTGTTTGAGGCTATTCAGATAGATTGTATGCATGAACACCCAGGAATTCAAGGGCGGCTGCGTTATTCCAACTAGTATTTTTAGCAACACCACTAGTGTTAGACATAACCCATGCATCATAGTAGGCACCGTCAATTTTGCCTTAGCTCTAGCCTCAAAGATGCTGCTGAGGTCTTTGTACTCCTACCATTCTGTTCCAACCTGATTGATAACAGGTACATTCCTAGCACCTAGCAGTATATTAGTGCCAGTGGAGATCATTTGATAAGGGGGTTTGGTCTGGATAAAAGAGATGCGGATTATTTGTGGTTGATATGTGCGAAAGCACATCATGACAAAAAGCAGTTGTTGCAAGGATTCAAATGCAGTCATGCTACCACTAGTCCGAACTTGAATAATGGTATGAATAGTGCACAGTAGGTAAGTAAATTGAGCCTTGCTGAATTCATTTATACCTCCATGAGAAACATTATCCAAAACTATGCCGTGCAATGTTAACATAATGACCCACATTGTTTCAAAAGAAGAATCCGAGAAATAATAGCACAGCTATGCCGTTTGTTGTTTTGCCATGGCCAAGAAATGCACAAAAGATGGCTATACGAACTGACCATAAATAGCGCCGGCATTTACGTCTTTTTTCACATGTTGAGTTTCTTCGATATTGCTCCCATTTCGGCAGCAAAATTCAACGGAACCCCAACCCCGCCCCTTCCCCCAACGGTCCCCACCTCTTACCTCCGTCAAAACCCAATGCGGTAGACCAAATAGTCAAAGCTGCCTGTCGCATGGCGGAAAAAATCGTCTAGTGTACCCCGATGTCAATTACACTATGCGTGCTATGTTCCATAATAAGTGCTGCGCAATTTATGCTATCTAACCAGCGGCGGAATTTTCATCAAGAACAATGCTAAGGTCATGAATGTGAATTTTCTTTATTCAGGCGGTTTTCACCCGACTCAAAGGGCACCCAGTCCCATCGGAGAGGATGGATTTCGCGAGATCTTAACTTTGTGCGAAAAATTAGGGCACTCTGGTGAAGAAGCGTACATCATCGCGAGAGGGAATAGCTTCTCCAAAGTGCAATTACCGATACACAGGTGTGCGTCGTCCGCCTCCAGAGATGCAGAAGGAAATCTTGTTATTCGGATCGCCGACAAAATAGAATGAGTGCTTGGGTGTTACGTTTTGCTGCGTGTGAGGGTGTAACATTTATTGTGGAGAGATTTCGGGAGAATCAACATGGCGGTGACTATTTATGAGGGGTTGGAGATGATGAGAGAGCTTGGTGCTGTGTTCTATGACGAGGAAGGTGTAGAAGAACTTGGGAACGAATACTAGAATGCGACGAGTGATGAATGTTTGTGGAATGTCATGGAAGGAAGCCAAATTACACTCCTTGATGGATATAATCTCAAATCTATCACATATGATCTCTTCCTAAGCTGTAGCTTCTTTAGCATGGCATTAACACGCATTTCAGCGTGCTCCTCGGCCTCCATTGTGTATAACTTCCGATTGTAAAATTTTCACACATATTCCCGAACAATTTTCATACTCTTGATACCAATTGCTTCATAAAAGTGGCTCGTTCATACCCAAGTATCGACCAAGAGTTCCATGCACACAATCTCTCTTATATTAGAGAAAGAAATTTGAGAAAAAGAGGCTAGCCGAGTTAAAATCGAGTTGGGGAAATACGCATAGCTGTGCAAAAACCATAGAGCGGCATCTCACTAGTGATATAGCATCGACACCATCCATGAAGCAAATGTAGCAGGCAATTTTAGTACTTATTAAAACCATAACATAGAAGACCGGCTGCACGGCCCGCAAACTTTGAATGATTGCATCACCTTCCGAGCCTCGAATATAGTTGAGTATGCAAGTTTCGACTCTGCTAAGAGATTAGACTCCAGCAAGGCTGGTATCAGACGAAATTGAATCTGTGCAATACGTGGAGTTAAACTACTTGGGCATATGCTAGAAAGCGCCTCGATACCAAAGCATCCCTTTGCCTTCGGATACAGTGACAACATCTATCAACTCATCTTGAAATTAAAAAACTAGATCATTGCAAACTTTTGTGTTCAATAAAAAAGAAACATAGCTGTCCCTATCTTCACGAGTTGCTGCAAGATGCAAATAATGAACAATATGCGAATGATAAAGGGCACCCGACGGATGGAAATGATGAACGAAACGGATATCCATTGTGTCAATGAAACTCTTCAATGTCCCCATCCAAATTTGATAATCAAATGGAGCTTGCCTAGGAATTTTGTGTATGATTTATTCATGCATGGCTTAAAGAATGATATATCACTCGAGGAGACTTCCAGGGAGTAAGTCGAGTTAAGGATATTCACATTCATGCCAATTGTCAATCACTAGAGACTTCTGTTTATGGTAGAAATCAACGGGAGATATAAGGTTATGTGTTTATGTGTTTTTGAAGTCATAAATTCAACTAGCCAGTGTCAGTCTTACTAATCATGGTAAGGCTACCTAACTTGTCCCTCATAATACGGTGACCGAAACGACCAAATGTGAAGCTAAGCTTCAGTACTTGCCGCGTCAAGGTTGACAACCTAGAACTCTCAAACAACTCCTCAACTTCTTCATCATCTCCATACCAAAACAACAGTTTTACGCTCTTTTTTAGTAATTGTTCGTTTGACTTGATACCCCAAAACTCAATCAATTATCATTTGCAATAATGTCGGACGGTCAGATTCGCAAGCCTGACAAGGACTTCTCCAAAGAGGTGGACACACAGCTTCCAGAAGCTGAGCAACTTGCACAGGTATATCTCTTTTATGGTTGGAAAAAAAATGCCAAATTCTCTAACTTATTTTTACTCTATTAGACAAATGTGCAAGGCGCCATTGAGAAGCTTACGGTATTGGAGAAACAAACAAGACAGGTCAGACCCAAACACTTTAAACATCAGCGCACGCCATTAACATTTCCAACAGGCATCAGATCTTGCATCAACATCTCGAATCCTCGTCGGAATTGTCACTATCTGCAAAAATGCTGGCGATTGGAGTTTATTGAATGAACAAGTTCTGTTATTATCGAAGAAACATGGCCAGCTCAAACAAGCTACGACAAAAATGGTACAGGTGGTTATGGAGTTTTTGGATTCAACACCAAACCTCGAGACAAAGCTCACAGTCATCGAGACATTGCGAACGGTCACAGAGGGAAAGATCTTTGTCGAGGTTGAGCGCGCCCGAGTTACTAAAATCCTCTCCGATATCAAGAAGGAACAGGGCGATCTCAAATCTGCAACCGACATCTTGTGCGAGTTGCAAGTCGAGACATTTGGATCTATGGAGAGGAGGGAGAAAACAGAATTTATCCTGGCACAAGTCGCATTATGTATAGAGAGCAACGACTGGACACAAGCTGGAATCTTGAGTCGGAAGATCAGTACCAAATATTTGGCAAGAAAGCCAAAGAAAACTCCAGAGCAATTAGTGAAAGAGGCAGAGGATAGGGAAAAGAGAAGAAAGAAGGGAGAGGATGTTCCAGAGCCAAAAGAGGACGATGTTACTGATCTCAAGTTGAAATATTACGAGCACCAAATCACTTTAGCAAAGCATGATGACAAATATCTTGATGCCTGCAAGCATTATAGACAGGTTCTTGATACGGAAGCTGTTGAAGAGGATCCTCAAAAGCTTCATTCAGTAAGTTTGATACTTTCACTCCAGTCCAAGAAAAAGCTAACATTTGCAGGTCTTGCAAAGAATCATCTACTATGTCATCTTAGCTCCTTATGATAACGAACAATCCGATCTCCTCCACCGCGTACACAAAGATACTCGTAATAGCCAAGTACCACTCGACTCCCAGCTCCTCAAGCTATTCACAGTTCCAGAACTTATGCGATGGCCCGAAGTTTCAAAGATATTTGGACCACACCTTTGCGAGACTGATGTTTTCGACGTTTCACAAGGACAATCTGCCGACACCAAGGCACACAAACGTTGGGAAGATTTACGCAAACGTGTTATTGAACACAACGTTCGAGTGGTCGCCAAATACTATACACGAATTCAAATGCCCCGATTGACTCAACTTCTTGATTTGACCGAAGACGAGACGGAGAAATATATTAGCGAGTTAGTTACTGCTAAGACTGTTTTCGCCAAGATCGATAGGCCTGCTCGTATCGTCAACTTTGCTAAACCAAGAGATGCGGATGACGTTCTTAATGAGTGGAGTGGAAATATGAAGAGCTTGTTAGGATTATTGGAGAGAATTGACCATTTGATTACGAAGGAGGAAATGATGGCTAGGATTCAACCAACCAAGTCATCAAAGGGCTCAAAGGCTGGAAAAGTTAAGGCTTAATGATCTTTTCTAATCTACCCTTAATGATACCTGCCGCTTTGTACAATTACTCTAGATTCTAATGAAATGAATCGTTTATGCCCATGTCTATGATGTCCTATATCTATTCTAGCTTTGTAACTCTATTAGAACGAAGAGGTGTCTCCTGTCCTTTCTATGAAACCTCCACTTCTCACTCAAAATGGCACATCCATATCCTCAACGCTCTCCTCGACCACCGGCTTCTTTTCATCCAAACATTTTACCATAAACCCTACAGCCACATTCCCAAACTCCTTCCCCATGGGCACAAAATGACCTCCCGGATGAAAGCACACTTCCCTACTCCCCTCCTCACTCGCCTCCACCAGAGCCATACTCCTATGCTCCTCTACCACAGTATCCAAACTCCCAATAACATGCAAAACCCGCGTTTTCAGAGGCGGATTATAAAATGCCTCGTATCCTCCATACGGCGCATAGAATCCAGAATACAAGATACAAAATTTCAGCGGGGGTTGACGAAGTTGCTGTTTAAGGGTTGTGAAGGAGGCGGGGTAAGGAAGAGCCTCAGAGGGATTCTTGACACATTGAAGAGCAAAAGCACTTTCGCGATTCATCTCCAATAAACTCGCTACGAAATACGCGGCACATGCCCCTTGGGAAAATCCAATTACGCCGTCGATTCCTCCTGCTTCTTGGATCGTGCTCGCGATTACTTGTAACCCTTTTTCAATGCCGGCGTATCGCGCTCCGCCCGTCTCCCGTTTCCACCATCCGTATGCGTCGGTTGGTGCGAGGGAGGGGTCGGAGCTGGGCGTGTAGCCTGGTATGTCGGCTGGTAGGAGGGGGATTGGACCGGTAGGGTAGAGGAGTTGAATGCCGCCTGGGTAGATGGGGTGAGAGGGGGGGAATTGCCGGTTGAGGAGTTTGGTTAGGGCTTTGGTTTTGGAATTGAAGGATGGACCGGATTGCGTGTAGCCTGCTGGGTGTTAAATGCTTGAATTGGTCTGTGAAGAATAAGGGAAAGGGTGTATATATACCATGTATCATTAATATCTTAAGTTTCCTACGTCCAGACCCCTCTGAGGGTGTTATGCCATTTGCAGTCATATTTCTAGTATTTGAGGAAATTCCGCGAGGACGTGAAAATGTTATGGATCTAGAAGAAAGAGAGAATATATGAGTGTAAAAGGAAAACGAAGTTCGAGAGAGAGAAAATGGAGAGACATGGTGCATTTTTGAGGAGGATGTATCTTAATGGAGATAAGGAGGGGATATGACAAATTCGGGTCAGCCTTGCGCTAGGCTTGTTTTGGGCCGGCGAGGTTGTGGGATGGGTTACATCTTTGCATTTGTGGACACTTTTGAGATTGGATGAGTGGTTCATGAGTCTTAGTATTGGTATTGATGGATAGACTTTGAGGTTTGGTACTACTAATAGAGTGGTTGTCCTGCAAGGCTTTATGCTCGTGTCCAAGTTTCTTGTAGATGCAGAATCCCTGAGAAAGACCTGGAAAGTCTCCTCTAGCTGTATTGCTGGAAAATAGAGATGCTGAAGTTCATGCCCACAAGAAACTGTAGTATTATCATTTCTCCCGCATTAGTATATGTTGCATTGAAAAGTCAAGAGAAGTTGCTCATCGCTCCTATGGCTCCTCAGATTAGCGAAAATCTCGACTTCCTTAACCCATCTGGGCCTCATTTTATCCTCATCCTAAATCTAGCATTCAAATTCGATCTAGCACTGCAACTGATCCGCGTTCAAATGAGTTCTTAACTTTCACCATTTGTATCGTTAGATGCAAAAATTCCGTTGGTGGTGATGAAGATGCCGACATTTTACCAACATTCTAACAGAAAGGTTAATACATGTGGAACTTTCCACGCACTTCGAGACTTGACATCCCTTAGTCTGAATAGCTTCTAAAGCGATGAAGAAAGTTGGCGGGGTAACCATCTATTTTCTATTCAAAAAGATATTTAGATGCTTGGAAATTCAAAAGATGTGTTCTTCTTTGGTTAGCGTGCATAGTTGCCATCGCACAAGTCGGGGCATGTTTTCATGCAAATTATCCTTTCTGTCGCCTCTTATCACAGTAATCAAGGTGTATGCATTTGTACTGAGATAAAGGATGCCAAATGCTACGCGGTATAGCAGGAAGAAGCCTTTCTGCCTTGAGAGTTTTTCCCGTGCTTCAACCCCATGTCCTGATGTGTACGAAATCTTGAGATGAAAGAGAAGCGGAAGCTCTGATAATCATGTCCGCGTTTCTAAGACTTACCTCTTTACAGTCGGCTCAGAAGAGACAACCATCAAGGACAAAAATCTGTTTGTTTTCACTTTTCACAAGGCCACTTACCTCTAAGATACGACGATGCCTTTCTCAAGTGGGAACCGAAGCAATATCGGAAATCTACCTGGGAGTAAAATATGAAGCCTTATCCTACGTTTAGGGCAACGAAAAAGACCGAGATTATATTTCTGTTCATTCGTTTACCGTCACTGGAAAATAACATGCAACCTTGCATTATACTATGGTTATCTGATCGTCAACGGACCTTACAGATCTGAAGGTGCAGAACGTCGTGTTGAGTCGATGGTTTGTTTGACCGTGGTTGACCCAGACAGTCATTGCAATTACCAAGCTTTAACATAAAATATCTATCGTACCAGTATCCAAAATTTCCGTTCCATTACATAATTAGAGAAGTGAAAGGGGAGAATTTACGCAGTAAAAAGAAGTTGGCACCATGGCTCAGGTTACGGAATTCTACCTGTTCCCAAAATCGAAGAAAAAGGAACGCCTTGAGGCTTTTCTGCGCTTTTTCTCACAATCCAATAAAATCAAAAATTCCAATACTTGACTTCCTTCAGAAAGTCTCCAGCTCTAAAACCACGCAATACATAATCTTTTAGGAGTTTATGGTAACCACTTCTCTTTTCATTTAAAGTGACGCTACTGGAATTCAAGCGAGGTCATACGCGCCACAACAGACTTGACCTCATCAATTCTCAAATTAACCGCAGAAAGCCCCTGGATCAGAGCTTAATGCATGCGCTTATCAACAACGGTGAGAAATTGGTGCTCATTTCCAAAAATGGTAATGCAAATTCCCGATTTGGATGCTGAAGCCATCCTAGTCACACAGTCCAACAATGAAGTGTCATTGTGAAAGGAACAGCAGCGCCACTCAACTAATCTCCTGTGGATAAGTCTTGAGAAAGTATTCCAGGATGGGACTCACAAAATCAAGATTTGAGATGTAAATGCAGTCAACTTTTTCCTGAAGATGATCATGTCGACAGTTTAAATCAGCTTAACTACCTAGCAGTAGTAGCCAACTTCATGCCCCTCAATAATTCCACGAATCAACTGTTTCCGACTTGAGTGATCTCTGCTCCTGCCTCCTTGAATTTTAAGCTGGGAACTAATCATAAACACAGCTTAAGCTCTTCATGGTTATTAGGGCCGGAGAGCTTGATTGTTTTCTCGGAAGCCTTGGAATTTAAGCTTTGTTGTTTATAGGTATCATGTAAGATCTTACGCGATCTATGCTCATTTATGCTCGGTGCAAGGCAAGACAAACGAGGAATTGGTTTTAGATTTGAAATGTGCGGGCGGAATTGCACAAATCAGGCAAAGATTGGATCAAGAACAGACTGTATGGCCTGACGCTACAATATCATCAATATCCTGCCTACCAACAGGAGGCTGGATAGAGGCGTCGCAGCGCCATAGGATAAGGAATTGCTAATGATCGACCCCCAGATAATCAGGTGAATTCTAATTACGACATCGAAGGCCGATTTTGATGGCACACTAACTGATAGATATATCTCGACAGAATTGAAGCACCACCTCCAACCCGACCGAAGTGACAAAATCTTCTGGATATAGTTTCCTCAACCCTGCTTCCCACGTAGCAGGATACGAAACATTATTTCCATACATTCCGTCTTTTTTCGCCAATGAAGAATGTAGGAAACCCTCAGTCAAAAAATAAGGAATCACAATCTCGATTCCTACTCTCCCCACAATATTATCCATCTCCGTTCATCCAAGTCCGCTAAGATCCAGCCACCGCTTCCCGTCCAGATCCCATACATTTCCAAAAACCCGGCAGAAGACCCTATTATCAACAGGGTTAACCACAAGAGTCAAATAAAGTCTTAAATCAAACAAATTACCAGTCTGGACTCGCTTACATAGCTATAGCTTACCAGCGACCTTATACTCCCTAAAATCGAGCTCTATAATATTAAATCCGGGGCATTCAAAATCTCTTTCTCCATTGCTAGACTTTCGAATACTCTAGAGCGACTTGACATTCATAGAAATTTGAGCCATGAAATGTGCCCTGTCTCTTTTGCGGGTGGATAAACTCTATATATATATATAAGTTGTTTCACGCGATGGGAGATAGATCGAGATGACTTTTGCGGGAGATATTATGTATGTTTTATTGGGTACATATGGTTGCATGTGCGTTAGGTCAAGGTCGAGCAGATCATGCCATGCCATGAAATGCTGGACTCAGCCCCGGGCAATATCGTGTTCAAAGGAGCCATTGCAATGGATGATTTTGATTGCGAAAGGTAACCTGCTCAAAGACTGATTCGCGGGAATGTATGTGGTGTTTACGAATGGGCATGAATTGCCGGTGTTTGCAAAGGCGCAGAAGGATTAGAAAGAGGTGGGATAAGGGCATTGATGAATGTATTAAAAACCAGAACCAGAACCAGGAATGAAAATTGTGTTATTAAAACTAATCATGTACCCAATATCTCAAAGCTCATATTAGATTAACTTAGAACTTCTTTGTAATTTGAAACCTTGGGATAATAAAATGACGAAAAGAATAATTTGCATGGTTAATCATGATCACTGATATTGCGATCAGATCAAATTTCCACAGTGTATTGATCCAATATCTCTGTACTTCAATTGATTAAACGAAAGGTAATTACATATTATTCTTCTAAACGGACTCCAAACACCAAAGAAATACCGACGAAGAAAAGCCGCATAATGTTTAGATCATCCTGCAAATCTCCGTCTCCCAAATCAAATGTCTCGCCGTAGTATCTCCTAGTATTCCTTTCCTAATATCCAAGAATCTCATCCCAAAGCCATATCCCCTCATCATGAACTCAAAGTAGTGCCCCAGCCCTTAATTAAGGGTATCAATTCCCCGCAGTAACTCCTCTCGAACTTAACATACGTCTTCTTTTCTCCGAAACTCCACGCTACAGCATTCATTTCTTCCCTATCGTAGCTAGGTGCAAATTGCACAAATCTTTCCAATTGTGCATTGATAGCCGGCCATTTTTTAGCCGCTCTTTCAGGCAATTTCAATGCATAATAACCCACCCTCTCAATTTCCCCACTGTCGATCTTGATTGTAACCGCGAATGTATATCCCACCGTGTTCAAAAACTCCCGCATTTCAACGAATTGAGATTGACTGGGTGGTTCCGCTCCGGCTAATGCGTTGAAAGATGTTGCTTGTTGAAAAGATATAGGACCTTGGGCTCGGAAATATAAATTGACAGTTTGTTTTTGGTAATCCACAGCTACATGTCGCACTTTCTGCAACCCCAATTCCTTGAACCTCTTCTCATGTTGTCTCACGCTTTCTGGTACACCTTCGGCGCCTAATATATCATCAAGAGGTCTCATCCCACCCATGTAAACCCATGCCTTTACCAACCCCTTCTCGGCGTCGAAATCGCATGACTCTTCGGGTGTCCCATCGTACAGCGAACTCCAGGAATTAATTAACTTCCCTAATGTATTGACAATATCAGGAGACAGGAGACCTGCGGATGCAGCAATGGATACAGTATCTATCGGTTCCCGGGAGTAGAACCGGTAGTTTAAAGCATCACCTGGGCGATCCGTTACACGCCAGAGAACAACACCGTTGTGGAACGAACGGGAAAATACGGAGAGGACCTTAATGGTTGTGTGCTCGGAGTATGGTGCTTTGATTGACGCTGAGAGGTTTCGAATATCATCTAGGAAGCGCGATTGACTGAATTTTGAAGACTTGGAGACCAATTGAACAACCATTTTGACTTTGAAATAACAGTTCTTCAATGAGGTACGACTATCCCATGATTATGGTTCTGGGAATCCAAGGATTTATACCCAGATAAACTTCCCCAAGCCCAAGCAGTGGTTGCGTGTGACCATGTTATAATCTCGGCACTCATGCCAAACGACTAAACCGGTATCCAATCCCCAGGTCTTGTAAGGGTTTGATTTTGATTTTATGATGAAAATCTTTAGCGGTCCACTTAGAAATGGAATGATTGTATCGCGGAAGACTAAAATATGCAAAACACAAGGATTGAATTCTTACCGCCATGTTTCTAGCATTAGCCGATGCATGGAATCTGCAGAGCTCCCTGAACCGTGGTGATGGGACGATGTCTTAATGCATGGAAGTATTTCCCCATGTATTTTTGAGAATTTTCTGTTCGTATATGAGCAAATGTGACGTTAGATGTGGAGACTCAACCTCTACCGGTGGTATGGTGTGGAGCAGGATAGCCCACTCGGGATTTATGCTGGCTCGGTTAATTTCCGATGACCAGGAATAAGCTCTTTCTAATATTAAACACACCGGCTATGTTTTTGACTATGGTCTCCATAAAAGGATCAATGCCATACTCGGGAAGAAGTCCAAGCACGCGTTCGGTGTTAGAGCTTTAGAAACGGAGTTGGGTTTTGATGTGGGTCAAACTTGATAACTCTTTGGACGATATCGGACGAGCCACTGGGTGGGAAACAAGACATGACATTTGAATGCATCAAGTTATAATCAATTTTCATCGTTCTTTAACACCTATTCACTATAGGTTGGGTGTCGCACTTCTTTTCCGCTTTCTCTTCGCTTGCGTGGCGGCCGAAAAGTCGTCGTCAAAATTTAAAGGAGTGAGCTTGTGTCTTGTTGGACTTTGAATTTGAGGAAGGGCTCTTGGCGCGGACTTCCGGACTACCAAGCTGTTCTTGAGGCGCTTCGAATCGAAATTGATTCGAAGCTATCCTTGTCTTCCGTAAAACCTTTTTTCACCGATCCTCCGCCTAGTAAACTCTAAAGATCGAACCCAGCGAGCCGGTAAACATCCTTATTGGTTAGCCGTAGCGTTCTTTGACGTTTCTGTGAACCTTGCGCGGAATTGAAATTATGAAATAAATCCTGGATGCCATATGAAATTTCACCATGAGTACGATCAATGATGGAAGAAGAATGGATGAAGTAAATAAGGCAAATAAAAACGAAATAGCTTGAATCCTTTCTTCTCAGAGCAATTCGCACCATTTCCTTCAAAAGTCGTAACATTCTCCCAGCAACGTGCTATTTCCAAGAACTTCAGAAAGCCCTGATAGTCGCTTTCTCAAAATATAAAACGCTCATGAAAATGGAACTTGAGGCATACCGTGCTAGAAAAGGAAGAATTAGTCGAACAGTGAAACTTCGATACATCGCGGTCGAACTCATCATCTTTCGAAACCATTGCAATTTAGGGTTTTGCGTCCTCAAATGCAAACTATTCCGTGATTTTTAACCGACTTGCATGCCACGGATCGTCCCAAACCTTAATCCCCCTTTCATCCAAATCATCACAATTCTCCACAGACCTTTGACTCTATCCCTCTACAAATTGATTTCATGAAAAGTTAACAAGGCATTATCCCACATTTTGGACAGGGAGTATATTTATCCATTAAGTGGTGATTCTTGATAAAAGATTGTCCTGAGATCATTGAAGCTTTGAATAGGTAGGGAGCACTGAGGGGCTAAAACAGGCTGGTCATTCAGGTTTGAACTAGAGGCCTGATCGTGACGCTAGGTTTCTCTTCCTTTCTCCCTCAGTCTTTTTGCTGCGTACAGCATTGATATGGCGCAGGTATTGCTGGTTCATCGTCAAGTCTGGGAACGCGCGATCTGAGCCCAAGTAACTATTTATATATGTGGACTTTGAATGCAAAATATCAATTTGGAAAGTTTGCCGTGTATCTGAATTTATGCCAAAATAGGAGTATGCCCCGTGTCTCCAATATGCTCAACAAATAAACTCCACCAATGCCAAATCCTGTCATAATGCAGCATAATTTTGTAATGCTCATCAATTTCAGAAACACAACTTTCGCTGTTTAGGGTCACTAGGGGTGTTCCCCTTGTCTTTTGATTTCTCCCCTGATTTAGCCTTTCGCGAACTAACCGTTAGAGGTTTACGGTTACTCCCAGATGCGGCTGGTGTCCCAGGCGTCTCTGATGTCTCTTGGACTACATCTCTAATTGTTTGCCTCGATAGACAAAGATCTATGTGCTCATTGAATTCCCTTTCGTTTGATGCTTGAGGCCGCTGACAAACAGGACAATCCCACCATTCCTCTTCTATCACAGCATCATCTGTGGGTTTAGGATTCGGCAGAACTTCCTTACCATGATGCCGTCGTGGATCATTTTCTTCACGTTGACTTAAACTTTCCATTTCCTTGAGTTCCTCTTCCCGTTCTTGGCGCTCCGCATCTTCAAAGAGGAGTTCTTCGGGCCACACTTCCCATTGCTCTTCTAAGACATTGTCTTGGAGATTTGAGGCTTTTCGTTTAATTCCAGATGAGACGGATTTGCTCTCGTTGTCGCTGACGCCATTCTCCGTAGGGTCTTGTTTTCGAAAACCAAAAAAAGCCATTGTGTCAGGCTTTTTCATACTGACCAAATTTGTACATCGGAGTCCCATTAATCGCAATGTCATACCTGGGATTTCGGTCTCCAGTTTCTCAAGGATTGGAAGAGAATATTTGTACAAATCATCAGCTGAACTGACAGCTTTGGGTGGAGCGGCCTGTCTGGTGAGTACCTCGTAAGTTTTCAGTTTCACTTTGAGAACTAGAGTTCGCCCTTTAAACTGTGTTCGTTGCATGTCTTTTTCCAGCTCTTCGGCTGTCTGCCGAAGTTTAGCTCGAAGTTCTGCAGGGTCATTCATGTCACCAAATGTACTTTCTGTTCCGACGCTTTTGCGTGTGTACTCCTCGGCTGGTTTAACGTCTGTTCTTCCAAGCCCGAGATAGCATTGCATGAGAAAGATAAATGCCTTGTCTCCAAATAATTTTGGTAGATACTGCCGCACATTGTAGATTCCTCCACATGTATTTACCCCTATGGCACCTAACTCTCTCTCAAACACTCGACCAATTCCATTGACTTTACGGGTTGGGAGATCTCGCATAAATTTCATGATCTCAATTCGGTCATTTGGGACACGATATTGACCATTGGGTTTGTTCTTATTCGAACATATTTTGGCCTGATCATGTTTTGTTAGCAAGTTCAAGTTAATCTCAGGGTCCCGAGAAACAGCTTGGTGATAATGACGCCCTGACCATCACATAGCCCACCTCTTGGCTTGCGGGATACACTCACTATCTTCGCATTAGCTGCAATACCAGCTGATATGGTAACCTTCGTCTTTTCATGAACTTCTCTTCTCAACTGTTGAACAGCAGCCTCCGGATCGATATCATTCTTTTGACAGTATTCCGTGATATTGAGATATGCTTCATCAATACTCGCGCTCTCGAACCTGGGATCATAGTCTACCAGGATCTCGCGAACTTCTTGCGCCTTCGCTGTATATTTATCGAAGTTCAAAGGCACTTGAATAAGCTGCGGGCACAATTTCTTCGCTATGAACCCTGCCATCGCACTTCTGACCCCAAATCGTCGCGCATGGTAGTTGCATGTTGTAACCACTCCTTTTCCAACAGAAAATGGAACATCTTTCAATTCCGGGCGATCAAGCTCCTCTACCGCAGCGTAAAATGCATCGCAGTCAATATGGACGATTGTTTGACTCAAATCTCTTGTGAGCTCGAGCTCCGCAATTGCAGTGTCTGCTCTTCGACGATCGTAAGCTAAATCAAGCTTCTCCAATTCAGCCTTCTTTGCCAATATCCGTTCAATCTTGACAGTCAAAGTTTTGTCCCGTTCCTCTTCATGGTTGAAATATTTAGATCCCTTTGAGGCGTTATAGATAATCTCGGAAACCTGATTATGAAGTCAGAAGGGACAAACGTGTTTCAGTCGCGACATTCTTACTTTTGACTGGTCTACGAAATCTTGTCCGGATTTTGTAAGAGATGGGCCCAGTAAAGAGTATTTGAGAGACTTGTGCTCGTTGTCGTCGTTTTCGGGAGTTCCTTCGGATGCCATATCGCAGTGTCCATACTCGGCCTATGGGGGCACGTAACAAACGCGAAAGGCATCATTATTTGACGCGCTGTCACGCTTTGATTAAAGATTTCTCTTACGTAAGCAATTTTAGATATTGCTTGGAACAAACCTCAAAATTTCGATATCGATATTTGTACTGAATGCAATGGTATTCTTGTAGATGTTAGAAGACATCATATTCAGGAGCATCGCTGTAAGACTGTACAAACTTTCCAAAAAGCAAAAAGTTTCAAGTTCATGGTGGGATGGGAAAATGATTTGTGAACGGACTCGGCTAAACTTACTCCGATATATTCGATTGATAAAAAAAAAGTTGAGCAAGTATGTTATGAATAGATGAATGATCTTACATTCCAGTAGCAACCATGAGTATGCATAGAGTAGCCCGCGCTGTGGCTTCATCCGAAGCTTGCGCTGGAGTGCTACGTGCAAGTGTCCCGAGAACAAGATTTCTGTGCTTAAATGCCCGCGTTCAAAGGCTCGGAGCAAGAAATGCGTTACTCGGTGCTGGGCTGGGAGCGAAGAGACATTTCTCTCAATCGCCGATTATTAGATCTGGTGTTGCCCAAGCTGTGTTAGAGAAGGCCGCAGCGGATCCATCAGCCCTTACCCAAGAAGCGATTGTTGATAACCTGAATGCTGCAGAGAGGGATCGATTGAGGAGGGTTAGGAATATTGGTATTGCAGCACACATCGACAGTGGCAAGACGACTGCCACAGAACGAGTCCTTTTTTATACTGGGCGAATCAATGCTATACACGAAGTTAGAGGAAAGGATGCCGTCGGCGCAAAGATGGATTCTATGGAATTGGAAAGGGAAAAGGGTATCACAATTCAGTCTGCAGCTACGTTCTGTGATTGGATGAAGGTTGAGAATGGAAAGGAGGAGAAATACCATATAAATTTGATCGACACACCCGGACATATTGATTTCACAATTGAGGTCGAGAGAGCTTTGCGAGTGTTGGATGGAGCCGTCATGATTCTTTGCGCCGTTAGTGGAGTTCAGAGTCAAACAATCACCGTGGACAGACAAATGCGAAGATATAATGTTCCTCGTATTAGTTTCATCAACAAGATGGACAGAATGGGTGCCAACCCTTTTAAGGCGGTCGAACAAATCAACCAAAAACTACGAATTCCAGCAGCAGCACTTCAAGTTCCAATTGGTTCAGAAGACAGCTTCAATGGTGTTGTTGATTTGATCAGAATGAAGGCTATCTACAACGATGGACCCAAGGGAGAAATCATCAGAGAAACTGACGAGATTCCCGAGGAACTTAAGCAATTATGCGAAGAGAAGAGAGCTCTGTTGATCGAAACATTGGCCGATGTTGATGACGAAATTGCTGAAATCTTCTTGGACGAGAGAACTCCATCCATTGAACAAATGAAGGCTGCCATCAGACGTGCAACCATCAACTTAAAATTCACACCTGTCTTAATGGGAAGTGCATTGGCAGACAAGTCAGTGCAGCCCATGCTAGATGCAGTCTGTGATTATCTACCAAATCCTGCCGAAGTAGAGAATTTGGCGCTCGACAAGCGAAGAGCTGAAGCCCCTGTGAAGCTTGTCTCTTACAATGAGCTTCCATTTGTCGGCCTCGCCTTCAAGCTTGAAGAAAGTAATTATGGTCAACTAACCTATATCCGGGTTTATCAAGGATCCTTGAGAAAGGGCATGAACGTGTTCAATGCTAGAACTGACAAGAGAGTCAAGATTCCCAGAATTGTGCGAATGCATTCCAACGAAATGGAAGAAGTTCCTGAAATTGGTGCTGGAGAGATCTGTGCTGTGTTTGGAGTTGATTGCGCTTCTGGAGATACTTTCACCGATGGTGGGTTACCATACTCGATGTCTTCTATGTTCGTACCAGATCCTGTCATTTCTTTGTCCATCAAACCCAAGACAACCAAAGATGGATCCAACTTCAGTAAGGCTATGAATCGATTCCAACGTGAGGACCCAACATTCCGTGTCCATGTCGATGCTGAAAGTCAGGAAACTATTATTTCCGGTATGGGAGAATTGCATCTTGATATCTACGTGGAGCGAATGCGAAGAGAGTACAAGGTCGAAGTTGAAACCGGCAAACCTCAAGTCGCTTACAGAGAGACCATCACTGAACATGTCACATTTGATCACACTCTCAAGAAACAAACTGGAGGTGCTGGAGATTACGCTCGTGTCGTTGGTTTCATGGAACCTATCGAACCTGGTCCAAACGGTTATGCCCCATCTACTTTCAAGGAAGAAGTTACTGGAGGTTCCATTTCCGATAAATTTTTGTTCGCTTGTGAAAAGGGATTCCTCGCCTCCTGTGAAAAAGGTCCTCTTCTCGGTCACCCCGTCCTCGGTACTCATATGGTTGTTAACGATGGTGCAACCCATATGACTGATTCTTCCGAAATGGCTTTCAAAAATGCCACTCAACAAGCTTTTAGAAAAGCTTTTAAGGAAGGTAAACCACAAGTTCTTGAGCCTCTCATGAAAACTACGATTACAGCACCCAACGAATTCCAGGGTAACATTGTCGGTTTACTAAATAAGAGAAATGCTATCATTAGTGATACGGAAATTGGACCAGAAGATTTCACTCTCATTGCGGATTGTAGTTTGAACGCTATGTTTGGATTTAGTTCGCAATTGAGAGCGGCTACGCAAGGAAAGGGAGAGTTTGGTATGGAGTTTAGTCATTATGCTCCTGCACCAGGGCAATTACAGTAAGTCTTTTTGGCATCTTTTCACCTTTTTTCTTTAAATGAACACATCCTGACACTCCATCTAGAAAAGAGCTCATTGCCAATTATGAAAAGGCACAAGCCGATAGACACAAGAAGTAATGGTTGAAGGGTGGTTAGGAGGAGTGAAAAAACTAGTCAAATTTCGAAGAGGTGCTAATAGATGACGAGATGTATCTCGCCAAGATATAAAAGGGCATAAAAATTTTATCCTAGGGTTTCCAGATAAATGAATGAGATGTACGGATATACGAACTTCGAAGGGCGTACAAAATTAAAAGTTTCCAAAGGTGCATGGGATCATGCTTTAGATGGATGGATGGATGGATAGGTGATTGGGTATGTGAGGAATGGGCTGACGGGTAAGCTAAATATACCTAGACCTATACTGTATATTACTTTATCGAATAGATGAACAAAGAAAGACCTCTCGACTTCTATGACAGGAATGTTAGTGTCAGTGCGAGTGTGATGTGTAGTCAACTTTTGTATGTTGGTGGAGCAACAGAGCGCGTCAATAAGTGAATCCATAGGAAGGTGGGAGGAGTAGTAGAGTTTGCGAAGTGGTCATTAAGCTGAAAGGAAAGCACGGAATGAATAGACATGTCATATAAGGAGCCTAACACTACTCTATGAAATTAAGGATTAGAAATATCTCTAACCCTAACAAGCTCTTCACAACATCATAGCTCCTCACATCTCGTACCTCATAAGAAGTACACACAGCAATGCGAATATACCTCCTCTCTATACTTAACCATTACAAATTGCATGTATAATAAGTAGTGTGAGTAGTAAGAATAGTATAAAGAGCTAATGAGCACTAACCATTAACTACTAACGAGTTCCAATACCTAGTTCATGACATCATGTTCCCCCTCCCACTAGGTAGTTTTATAGTTTCACTAACTTCACAAGCTACTTACCACTCCCTTCAATTAAGCAACTATTCCTCTAATCACAAATCCACCAAAAAAAGAACCTGCTCCTATCCAAGCTTACTCCCCAGCCCTCCCTATCCCCCAAAATCCCAATCTCCCAATTCAACACAGCGACGATCCCTTGCATCAAATCGCAGCAATATCACCACATAACCATCTAAAACATAAAATTCCCACTTATGATCCCCTTCCCAGAAATTCCCATAGTCTTCGGGATCCTATATAAATAACCATAAGCTGAATTTCTTTTTAAAATTTGACACATTTTAACGCACTTTAATATGTGTTACGAAAATTTTATTTATATTAGTACTGTATTGAATGCGATGTTTACCTGTACTCCGCAGGTCATTGTACCAATGAGATAGCGAGACAACGGAAGAAAATTGAAGGATGGGGCGGGGGGGGAAGGTGTTGTGGATAGGTGGATAAGTATGTAGATGGATATATGTAAGATGGGATATCTTGTAGAGGGAGATGAGAGGCTAAATGTTTGATTTATGCTTGATGTGTGGATTTGTTGGATGACCTTTTGCTGGGGTAGTGTTGCTGAAAGTCCCTTTTCTTATATGGTTGGAAGAGATTACTCGTTAAATAGTATAGCTCAACAGTGTAAGACTTTTGATTGAATGAAAGGACAGCCAAAACAGGTACGAAGAGACGAATGAGATAAAATGATGCAGGAAATGCGGTGTCATTCATCTGTTTGCTTGAACATTGCATGAACAAGACTCCAGTAATTCATTCCATACCCATACACATTTGCACTCCCATCCCTATTCCCATCCATTTTCATAATCACATCACGTCGTCCATATTCATTGTTTTCATTCTTGCATGCACATCTCATCCGAAATCAACTAGCGGCATCGATGTATAAATCAACGGCTCCCCTCGCTGAATCAGAAATACGCTGGCTTCAAGCACCTCCTTCTCTCTTAGCATATTCCTCCTCAATAGCCTCCTCGTATCTCTTCTCCGCACTCTCCCTATTGCCTTCAATTGGACTCGTAGGATCCTCCTTCAAAACACCCTTATTGACCAACTCTTCCGGCTGCGGACGATGACTTAATTTCTCATTCAAACTATCGGCCCGCATATGTTTCTGCAGTTCTTTTTGTTGTGCTTGGATACCCGGAGCTGCGGTTGTGGAGGAGAGGATGTTACCTGATATCCATTTAGTTCTTGTTTCGCTTTAGATCAAATTAGAAGTGGAAGTAAATTCAAAACATACGTTCAACCAAATCCTCCTTAGTAGGACGATGTTCCAAATTCTTCTTCAAGTTATCCGAAATTCTTTGTTGTTCGAGTGCATGTTGAGCACTTTGAATACCACTATTTTATTACATCCCGCAATTAGCGCATGCGTTCAGATAGCTGTCTTCAGTCTAAAGAGTCCTCCTATAAAGGATATAGAAGTAGAAACATACGGCGCGGCATCAGTATCCAATAAAATATGTCTCTCCTTTAACTCATGAGCCGTAGGTCTATCAGCATACAACTTCTCCAAACTTTTCTGACGTTCATGTTGTGCCGGTCTCACGAGGGGAGTTGTATCGATGAGGGGTTCTTCCTTTTGTTCGGACATCTTTGGGAATGTTGTGAAGTGAGTTTGTGGAAGCGTTTGTAGGAGAATATGTTTATAACGAGTTTACGATGTCTGTGTTTGAGAGAGAAATTTGTTTATATGATTTGTATTTAATTGGTTGCTACAGCAAAACAAAAAAGAAAGAAACAAAAGCTTGAAATAGTTGGACTCGTGATGATGAATTGTCTTCTTTGGAATACCCCGGCAACCAATGACGGAATTATTGTGGATGCGGGGCTCGGGCCGCTGATGGAGAATTGAATGAGGGGCTAGAATCTTCTTCAAAAGTTAATTGATATTTATATACTCAAGTATATCTTTTAATTTGTAATATTATAATGTTTAGAATTAAAAAATTAATATTAAAAATAATAAATATTTAAAAACATTCAATTTTTAAAATCTTTTCTTTTTAATTGAATTATTTTTAAAATAATTAAATAATAAATTATTAAATAATATAAATCTTTAATATCTTTTTATATAATTTTTAATTTTTATAAATTATTAAAAAACTAATATATTATTAAGGCCTTGCTATTTATTATAAATAGTAGAGTGAAAGAATTTAAACGCCCGATCACAGGAAGAGTACCATCTAAAACAATCAAATCCACTACTATAATGGCGAGTAATGTTGATGCTGTTACGAGTTTGGTGCATGTATTGATAATCACTGACAATGTATATAATGACGGCCATTGTCGGTCTACAACGGAGAGTACCTTTCCCAAGGTTCCCTGAATCATACAGGCCGATCATGTGTGGTCTCTTTAAAAAGTCTGGAAGAGTCTGGGCTCTACAACCTGTACCCTGAGTTAGGTGATGCAAAGGGCATGGGTAAATGGGCGAATCGTGTGCTAGAACTGCGTCAGAATTGGTCTACCGAGCAAAGAGCGACACCTGAAGAGCTTAGGCTGGCTTTCACTATAGTCGGGGACTGTTTCAATAATGTCGAAACACGTGACATAGTAATAATGCTCCTAACATTCAAAGCTCGCAAAAGAGGTAAGGATCTCTTTAATAATCTTTGTTTAAATGGATAATGACACTTAATCATTAAAGGGAATATTAAAGACGAGAACAAACCTCGCGCAGAATGGGACCGCAGACCAGATGAGGTCCGAAGATACGAAAGTGTTATTAGGTTATATTACAAATCCCTAATACAGAATGTCGGCTAGTTGAAAAAAGACCAATATTTGAAATTTCTTACTAATTTAAAGAGTTTTCATTTATATAATAAAGGTTCTATAATAGAATTAAAAATATAATAAAACTTTTTGATTTTTTTTATTTATTTTTCAAATATTTTAATTTTTGTAATATACTTTTATAAAAAGTTTATTCAATCTTTGAAAAAATAATTTATTGATTATATTATAAATTGTTTTTTAAAAAATCAAGATTTATAAAAACTATTAATATTTTATTGAAATATATATAAAATTTATTGTTGAAAAGTTATTAAAATAAATTTAAATTATTTTAAAAAAATACTCTTGAAAAGTATTTGAAAATATACAAATTTATTTTTAAATTTTATTTTAAAAAGCTTTTAAAAGTTCTCAAAATAAACTTGAAAATCTTAATTTTAATCTCAATCTCAATCTCATCTTAACAAAAAATAAATATTTAAAACACTTTTAAATTAATTCAATATTATATTATTTAAAATTTATATATACAACTAAACCACCAGTCATCTTTAAAAGTTGCAATCAAATCACTACAAGATTCCACAATATAAAAATCTAAAACAAAATCCTATTGAATATTTAATAAGTGGTAGATGTAACATCTGGTTGAAACCTATAGCCGAACATATCGACTTGGATTTCTTCGGCGGGAAGGCTCTCTTCTGCAGCGTCGAGGTTGTCATATAGAGCTGCCCATTTTGGAACTTCTCCATTTGGAACTTCTCCGTTTGGAATGTCTCCGTTTGGAATGTCTCCGTTTACAATGTCTCCGTTTGGAACTTCTCCGTTTGGAATGTCTCCATTTGGAACGTCTCCATTTGGAACGTCTCCATTTGGAACGTCTCCATTTGGAACGTCTCCATTTGGAACTTCTCCGTTTGGAATGTCTCCGTTTGGAATGTCTCCGTTTACAATGTCTCCGTTTGGAACTTCTCCGTTTGGAATGTCTCCATTTGGAACGTCTCCATTTGGAACGTCTCCATTTGGAACGTCTCCATTTGGAACGTCTCCATTTGGAATGTCTCCAATTGGAACACCTCCATCTGTAACAATTTCATCTATAACCTCTCCATTCATAACTCCTCCCGCGAGAACATCACCCAAAACATCATCCAAAACAGCATCAGGAACAGAATCGCGCAAACTAACTCTAAGCATCTTAGGCATAACCCTCTCATACGTCGGAGCCATATAACTCAACTCCGCATTCTTCGGATCCCAAGCAGGCTCAACATTCTCCGCCTCAGTCTCAGTAGCAACTCCCAAGCTCCGATCCAACTCATCAACATAATCATAAGCATCGGACCCCTCAATAGCAAATCTCTCATAACACCCTGCTTCACCCAGAGGCCATTCCGGTAATCGGGACACATGTCCATCCGAGTATGTGAAGGTATACTCAAAACCCACTCGTCCTTTATATTCTTTCTTCTCACGCTTGTAATTATCACCCTGTAGACCAATAGGGCGATATTTCTTCGGTTGTAACGGACGATCATCTTCATATTTCCACTCCTCGGCCTTCTTATCGAGATACTGTACTCGAAATCCCGTAGTGGGATGAATATACTCATGAGTTACGCCAACTTTCTTACCATTCGTATCGAAGCCATAACGACCTGGTGTGCGTGGTTTCGAGCCGTTAACTCTATACATGGCAGTGAAACTATCGTTGAAATCTCCCGTTCCCCATCCATACACTCGTTCTTCATGATGATGTGTTTTTTCACGCGTGAGAGGATGAGCAATGGTAGATGCGACCCATTCGCCCTGGCGCCAAATCCATTTTCCCCAACTTTCTTCCTTACGGGCATCTTGCTTTTGCACGTGAAACTCCCGTTGTTTGTTGAGTTCATCAAAGTTCCTTTGACGGTCTTCGCTATCTGCTCTTATGGTAGCTTCGTTAATCGACACGTACTTTTTGATTTGATCCAACATCCATGCAAAAGTAATGTTGGACATTTCTTCCATGTTGTCCTTGCCCAATAGTGTATCGCTCGATCCTCCACCAATATGTATGTGGTATCCCGGAAACCAGACTTGTTCCAGTACCATCTCACCAGCCTCGAGAGCTTTCTCCATCTTCTTGCTTTCTTCCATCTTGACGAGGCTTTCTGTAGCTGTATTTCTTTCTTCAGCCAATCTTTTTAGTTCTTCAAGGTTTAGCTTATCAGCGACTGTAGCCCTTTTAGACATTTCATTGATCATCGCCCTCCACTTTCCATCTAGCTCTCTAGCCAGAGTTCGTTGTTTCTCTATTTCTTCATCTGAAGGTGTCTCGGACATCTTGACGTAATAGAGAGTTGGAGTGAATGCATTGCGGTGCTCATCAAGAGCTAAAGCTTGAAAAGCATGCTTGATGTCTAGGATATGAATTAGTCTCAGTCAATGCAGTACCACGAAGAAGAAACTCACTGGCCGAAAGCGCAACATTGTGCCATTCTGGTTTTCCCCCAAATCGTACCCATTCAGGTAGTTCAAATCCAAACACTTCCGGCGGGCCCAAAGCTCCAACAGTATCAAAAACTCCCACCACCTCTACATCCATTGACTCTTGACTTCGAGCCCATACCGTATCGATATCCTGAGGTTTAATATCCCAAACCAATTCCCCATCAGGGCGTTCCACAAGAGGAGGCTGCGGGTCAGCCAGTCTCCCAAGTTGCCAATCCCAGTACTGAGCACTACCATAAAACCTTTTCCCAGACAAAACCCCCGACTTCGCCTCAGACTTCCTCTCTCTATACAACTTCCACAGTTCAGGAAACTCCTGCAGCCTACTTTTCGAACAAATGCCAATATCGGAAATCAAGCCCGCAATCGCCCGAGCCGTGTACGCTCCCCTAGAAAACCCAAAACACATGATCTTATCACCAGGATTCCAATTGAGGACACAAAAGTTATAAGCCTCAATCACATTCCCTTCCAAACCTTGGCCAACTGCACCTTCGACCTTGGGTGCTAAACCCGTCGATGTAGTGCCCACGCCAGAATCATACCAGACGACTTGTTGCCAGGGTTCGTCATCTCCTGGATCTTTTCCAACACTGTTGATTGCACGACAGAGACGTGTTACATTAGATGGACAATTATCTTTCCCCGAAACCGCAGATTGCCATGTTCCATCGCAGCAAATAATGATGCGTTTCCTTGCGGATTTGATTTGGGAGTCGGGAAATATACGTTTACTTCTAAAGCCGGACATATTTGAATAAAGAATGAATAGCAACGAAAGTGATTTTCCGTCCAAGTTTTCGTGATGGGAATGTATTATATATCCCTCATCCCCTCTCATTTTCCAAATAGTGCATTAGAAGCCATTAGACCTAAACAGCCCCATCATCCCTCCTCGAGTTCAGCCCAATGCAATCTCCCTATGGTCATGATCATGATCATCACAAACCACCAACCCCAACACCCACCTCCCTAATCCACCTCTGCGACCAAAGTCCAATACGTTCTAGCCCCAATCCAATATTCCAGACACGCACGCCACGATCCAGCCCATCACATTAAATGCATTCAGCTGGCCCCACAATTTCCCAATCTAACCGCAAATGCAAAAATGCGGTCGTTTAACGCCAGAGATAACGGGGTAGACACTTAGATGGGAGGAAGGCCACGGAGTCGCCGGTTCTGTTTTTGGCGTAAAGAGGAATGGGAAGCTGAGATGGATGGTTTGGGGGAAGATTTGCGGATGGCTTTGCGGGGTTGTCATCTTAAGTCTAACCTTGCATAAGCTTAATGTGAGCCCCCGCTTTCTGTAATTGTTAGTACGGTATATCAAGGTCTTGGCGTTACAGCTACCCGGTACTCATTATTGGAATATACACAAACCCTCACCGATACCCTCACAAATCCAAACCATCTGCATGGAAGTCTCATCTAACACAACCACAGTTCCAACTTAATGCTACCATTTTATAGATTCATTCTATCTAAGTCTTTTCTTTCAGTGTCTATCTAATCGTTCAAACTCTATCTAAGTCTGTCGGCGTCCAATCTTCCTCCAATCTTCCTCCAATCTTCCTCCAATCTATTCCTCAAAACTCTCGAATTCAAAATATCCCTCTCCCAATACAAATCTCTAACCATCCTCACAATACCTCCTCACAACATCAATAATTCTCATCCTCGTCCCCATCTTGTCAAAAACCTGCGCATGATCCAACGTTCCAAACCATAAAACCTCCGTCCCTACTCCCTTCCACTCGCGATACTTCCACTCCTCATCATCTACCATATCTAATCCATCATCATGAATTCCTTCTTGATCATTCTCCGAACCCATTACATTTACACCCGCAGTTCTTTCCTCTCCTGTGACTTCCGACTCATCGATCTCAATCAATAGCGCAGTGCTCAGATTTGAAGCGTTCTTTACAATCCCATTCGCATTTCCATTGACATTCCTCAAACTAGGAGTCGATTTCCCAGATAGCGTCCCACAGCACAAATATCTCCCCACAGCCTCGGTATCCACAATCAAATCTCTCCCCGCTAAACTTGCTGTGATTTTTCTTCCCTCAAAATCATCTTTCCACAACACATTCTCATTCCAGAAAAACTTTCTACTCAACGTATGACTGACTCCTGGATCCATACTTGCAAAATAGTATAATTGGTATTCATTTGCATCTCGTGGAATTCGACGGGTAAAATTAAATGCGACAGAAGGTAAATGTAGACAAATAGAGACAGGATCGATGAGAACAATTGGTCCAATGTGCGGGGATAGAATAGGTGATTGCAGGAGGTGAGTTGTCACCACTGTGCCATACGAGTGGGAAACTAGGACGAACTTTTGATTTGGGCCAAAATGTTGGCTTATTATTTGGAAGATCTCGAGAGCGGTCTCTTCACGAGAGAGAGCAGAATGTGTGAGGCGAAAACTAATATTCATTATCTCGAGGGCAAGAATACCAATGTGATCATCGGGTGTGCCAGTCGAAGCATTGAGTTCGTTGAGGAATTTGGTATAAGGATAGAGACCGATGCCGATTCCATGAATGAAAACAACTGGAAGTTTGGTTTTTGAAGTATGTGGTCGGTGCCAATAAGATATATGCTGAGCAGGTGAATGATGCGTAGTAAATAAACTGTGCGGACGAATAGGAATGATGCTAATAGATTGTTTGAGATTCGTGCGGTAAAAGTTGAAACCATGGTAGCGGAGGGAACAAAACGTTAGGAAGTCAACGAATCCGACACACTGTAAAAATAACATTAGAATCTTCTATCGACATAAGAAGTCAGAGAATCACACTCACACAATACCAAATCAAGCTCCTATGCGACATAACAACCTCATCCAAAGTCAACCTCAAACACCTAGCATTACCCCTCCCATTTGGAATTTCCCTCCCCATCTGCCTCTCCAAAATCGCAATATATTCCTCCAACTCCTCATCATCATCCCCAGGGGGACCATCCCGATTAAAAAAAGCCCAAAGAAAAAACTCCTTGACATTCTCCCTCCGAATCTCTCTAATATCCGCGCCTAGGAACCATTTCTGCAAATACGCCTCCGGATCCGTAATATTATCCGAACACTTCTGAAATAATGCCGCTCTCTCTTCTCGCGACGGTGCTGGTGGATGTACAGCTTCGCGCTGAAGCCAAATGCGATAAGGGAGGAAGCAAAAGAGGAAGAAGATAGATTCTGTCAAAAACACAACTTCTAATCCGCGACGAACTCTATAAAGATGATAATAATCCGTAAAGAAAGAAGTAAAAGCAAGACTAAAACAATATGCTAAGCTAACAAGGGGTATACTCTGGAGAGCAAAAATACAAATTCGTATGAATACATATTCAGGCCATGAATTGTTAATCATGGTGGAACTGGGGGATCGAATGGAGGTATCGAGAGAAGAATTTGAATGTTCATCTGAGAGACCATGGAGGAGACTTTCTAGGATTTCCCAACAGAATATGGAAGGAGGATCGAACAGCTCAGCATTCACGGATATTGTCAAGGCTGTGCTGTCTGCTCACTCCATGTGTTGGGAATTTTAACTCCTGCCTGCCTAGGTTATTTTTATTTGGGGCAAGGTTCACATGTCAACCAAGCAATGACGAAGTTGTAACCTTATTATTGTGGGGCTTGTGGCACATAAAACTATAATTTTCGAAAATCATCAATTCATACACCAGCAATCCATGCCAATAGCAGGGTGCTAAGACATACATATAATTCTCAAAACAGTATCAGCTGATGACAATTTCGTCTCATTGAAGCATACAAAGATGTAGGAGTATGAAAGCGGCGTGGATGGGTGAATGTCCCGGTGAACTTTTCAGTCTTCTGCTTTTCACATCACCGGAGAGACCACCACCGAGCAGGTGGACCACAATAGATATACCGGCGAGACGAAAGAGAACAGATCAGATATGAACATCATGTAGACGCCAAGTGTGCCAATATTTTGTCATAAACTCGTTTATATATCTAAAATACCGTATCCATAAACTTCATGTATATGCCTCGATATCATGTCAATAATTCATTCATTACCTCATTACCTTACTATTCCAAACCCCTCATCTTCAAGGGTGCACTGACTCCGGTAAAGTTACCGGTCTGCGTCGTATAATCACCCACCACACTCAAATTTGCAATCCTACCCAGCAAAAACTCTAGTTGTCTGTATCCCACTCCAGGAGTATACTGCGGTATTTCATGACCTGCCAAATTGACTGTTGAGAATGTGAGTCCTCTCTCCGTATGCCAGGTTCCTTGAAATCCAGCCCCAGCAACATCATTTTGAGGTGGTGTGTTGGGGATTGCAGCGTTGGCAATAGTGAGAATGGTGCCAAGAGATTGGTGGTATGGGATGTATAAGTTCTGGGTTGAGGAGGGTGCTTCTTGGAATCCTTGAAGACCATTCCAGGTCATGTTTTGAATGGTGATTAGAGAACCATTAGCGAATAGGAGGAAATCGAGTAGACCGTGACCGATGATAACATTGTTTGTGCGGTCGATGACAGAGGGAAGTGGGCCAAGTGAGGAATCGATCGATTTGTCTCCATGTGGGAATAAGTTGGGTCCTCCAGTGCAGATAAAGTAATCAGTATCGACAGGAGCGTGGATAACTTCTTTGACGTCGGTACGGTTAAAGTAGTTGTTGGGTCCTGCACCGAGTGATGGAAATCCGAGTTCATCCCATAAGTATGGACAATAGTCTGTGAGATGGTAAATATTGAAACATGGATTTACATAGTAAGCCGCGTTGTAAATATCATCGTAAAGATCACATCCATATTCTTTCGAACTTGGAGCCGTTGGGATTGGTCCTGCTGGAGGGAATACTGTTGCATATTCGAGGAATTCGGTATAACCACATGACTTTGCTCGTGCGGTAATGTTTGCGATATATGTATCGTTCAGATTAAGGATATTTTGATAGTACAGAGCTGCAGCTGTAACGGGTGCCGAACCCATCGTATCAAAATCATTCATCGATGGATCATTGATCTGAGCATTCTGTCAGTACATAACATGAACACGCCCTTCTGTAGTAACGTACCTGAATTCCCTTCAAATTGTAGTACGTGGTATCGTTGCGATCCAAAAAGTTACTGGCAATGTATGGAATATATTGACCAGCATAACTCTCTCCCGTAATGTAAACTTTATATCCTTGCATGCTAAATGTATCGATGAAATTCTTCCAGAATGCAGCGAATTGGTTTCCAACATCAATCTCGTCATCAACAAGAATATCTCCAGGTGAAAAGCCGGTGCTGACAGGTTGATCGATCCAGATCATATTGGTCAAATTGGTCCATGAATATGGATTTAAAATTGGTGCATATGTGCCGGATTGCCAACTGAGAGGACCATTTTCTTGGAAAAATCCATCGAGGGAGGAACATCCTGGCTAAGAGATCTTTAGCAATGTCTTCTGAACCATAAGAGGAACTTATGTGTAGGAATGAACTTACACCACCGTTCAACCAGATTGTAATCTCTTTCTCCGCCGCGGGATTGTCAGAAGGAAAGAACCAAAACCACAATCGATTTGTATCGGTAGCATTTGTGCTAACAGGTAAAGTACCGGCGTAAGATTCACCAATATCGAAGTCGACTTCCGGTAATGCGGTTCCATTGACGGCAAAAGCTAGAATTGATATTAATCAACGATCCTCACAAAATTCTTGAAAGTCGATGAATTAATTGGAAAGTATCTTACAAGCAGTAGAATTTGTCAAGTACTTAGAAGTCGATCTTGACCTCACCACCGGTTGCCTAGGAGGGTTTTGCTTGGGTAGTGATCTCTTTGCATATTTCGCATGAGCTTCATGATGTGGTAGAATGGCCACCACAGAAGTAGCAGAGGCAGCAAGCACCAATGCTAAAGAATTCAAGCCGCGCATCTTGTCAGGAACGGGAATTGCACAAGAACTTGAGAATCACACAGAAGCAGAGAAAAGAAGAATGGGTAAAATGATGCATCCATATTTATATATTTGCTCAAGCACACTAATGTACCTCAAGCATAAGAAAACCTTTGGTTGATCAATCAGCACGACATCCAGCGTGCTTGAGCGAATTGCCAATTGGATCTCGTGTGTCATCATCCAACGTCCATTGATAATAGGTACATAGGTAGTGAGTGTATTCCCCATATACCTACCATGTCGATAGAGCTAAGTAGAAGCTACCAAGCCACCCATGAAAATAGTAAGAGAAAATTGACTTTTATACCTTCTTATCTGAGTAACTACCAGGTACAATTAGTCCGAGGTAACGAAGAATAAATCAGTGCGGGTACCTAATTCACGCTCAAAACGGAAGCTAGAAAACGATCTGCGTTGGCAGTGAAGATAAAGATAGGCGAAACCTTAACTCCGTTGCCAACCACTTTGGTGGGGATACGGGATGTGGACCTATCATTGGCACGTCATTCAAGCAAGCTTTCTTGCAATTGCTACCACGGGAGTACTCATAGTAACCTTGTAAAGCTTTATTAAACCTACATCTTCCTTTCCTGCGGGATTGTTTACATGCAGAGTAAGTAAATCATCACAATCATAACACAATAGGCACGCTATGCTCTTTGAATCATAGCAACACAATAACAAGTGACGGGTCGTCTCGGTCTAATATCTAATACTACTCTGCAGGCGAGAATGCAAAGCAGTGGGACCCGAACTATCGAGATTGTCTCGTGAGCTTTGTAATTTTACATACGTTTTAATAGTACCGACAAATAGTATATGCATGATATTCGTGGCCAATTGCCAGAGAACGATCAAGCGGTGTAAACTATGCATAGATTTTACATCGAAAGCTACATTCTAAAAACTGTACATGATGGTATAGTGGTACGTATCAAAAAACCTCTCGTGCGTGTTTAGCCCAAATTAATATTCCGAACGCCTCGCCATCAAACTTTTCCCATGATCACATCAAAAAAGAGCACGAACAGCATGAATAGCATCAGTCGTCTCGCCGCCAACGGTATGCTCTTCTGGGTTTGCTAAAATACGAACATTAGCTTATCTGAAATATAATGGTTCCTCGAAAATCTCCACAAGCAAAGAATATACTCACGATAGAAGAAAGCCGCTACTGCAATGATTATATAGACAATCACACATAGAGCACCCTCTAGATAATTACTCTTTTGGTCCCGTAAGAAATTTCCTACAACCAGAATAGCTAGGATCAAAACAACAATATCAAACATCTCAAAGTTAAGATCCAATTTCTTATTTAAACCCCAGGAAATGATGACAACCAGAGGGCCGTTGAATAATGCCGTTTGAATCGTTGCCCCTAGTACATGAGATAACGCAAAGTTCATCTGATTGTCATAAGCCTCGTCTACCGCCGAAAGATGCTCGGCAGCCTTTTCAACTAGAGGAACAAGAATAAGGCCCATAAACGCATCAGAAATCCCACGATCTGCCACAATATGGGGAATCTGTTCAACCAAACTGATAGCAATGAGAGTCACTAAAGCAATCGAAATTGAGAGAGCGATGATACACTCAGTGAATGTAAGCTTGTCTTTCTCCAAATCCTCGTGGCGATCCTCGTCCTTTTGTTCATCCGCTTCTAGGATAGCATCATAGATGCTATGATGAGTCCGCATCTGAAAGAAGACGTAGGTGCCATAAGCAATTATAAGAAGTACAGAAGTGATGCGAGATATATTGAGGACCTTTTCCGCAATAATTTCTTCGCTAAGAGCCGTGGTATTTTTCAACTCCAATGCTGTTGCAAATGCCGAGGGAATGATGAGGCCAAGTCCACTGTTATAAAGTTAGTGAAAGCGGACTATGCATGAAATATCTTCTTACGCGGTCAACAACAGTCCACTGCCAACTTCACTAACAGCTTCGTCGAACTCTTGCTCTAAAATGTAATTCAGCTAGGGAACCATAGGATAACAAGCTACTGTGCCTACCGTCTCGTGTCAAGCCACCAACAAAAAAGCACATCCCCAAACACAATAGCAATGTAGCCAGCATTGAGCCTAGAATCGCAGCTTGAATGACACTATATTCATTTCTGATACGTTGGGTTAGTGCATGAAAGTATAAAACGAATAATATTTTCTAACCTGGTTAAAAGGACGATAAAGAGAATCATCTCAACAATGCTTCCAAGTGTAGTTTCTAACAAGATACCAAACACCTTTGGTAGTTTCCTTGCCAATTCCTGTCCAGCAAATCCAATTAAATTCGCGCAAGGTACCATGGCAATGTAATTGAGTATGAAAATCGCCAGATTAAGTTCCGGTCTAGCATATCGAACAGCAAGGGCTGCTGGCACAACCGGCCACAGAATATTAACAAGTCGAGAAGCATCGCTGGTTGACTTCCAGCATATCCTGAAGAAATGAAATGGGTGTATGCCGCGTCTACCACTTTCTCCATCAGGTTGAATGCCCTTTGTAACTTTGTAACCCTTATGATTGACTCTATGCATAGGTAGCATGTGGTGTAGAGTTTCCGATAAGTTGTGATGTGCGGTCGTCGAAGTCCCGGTGCTTGTTTCGACTGAAACTTCTGCAATATGACCCTGTACCTGCGGTGAAGTAGCCATTTCAATGTCCTCCTTTGGTGCCGTTGAAGTGCTGGTTGTCTTTTCTTTACGTCTCTGAGCATTTCGAGCCATGATTGGAAATTTAGTTTTGGGAGGTAGAAGGGAATAAGTCGAAAAATCGTAGGTCGTCGTTGCCCTGTTTTCTCCTCTGTGAATCAGATCTCGTTATCGTTTTTCGTGCCTGCGAAGTTAGTTGAGTCAGGAGTCCAAAGACATTTGAGTCCTATTCACTATTTAAATACAGGATTTTGGCGACGACTGAAAATGAAATAAAATTGCAATTAAGAATGACATCGCTCAGAATGACAGAATGACAGAATAACGCGCCCAGGAAAAGAACACAAGACATTCTGGACACAGCTGCCAAGCGTTAAGCCGACTCCTTGGCTGTATCAGTTTGAGCAAACAGGATTCTCAGAAAAGTCAAATGTTTCTCCTGAGTTATTATAAGCAAACCTTTCACCAAACCTTTGGCCATTAATTTAGCTGTGATACGGAGCACGAAGTAGTAACTCGTGAGCCAGCAATGGTTTTTAAGCCGTTGGGCTACTCCTCCAAGCAAATGTTGGCATTCTCCAAATCGAATTGAAGAAATCGCACGCATTATATGCCGAGCTGGCAGCGTGCCCCACAGCAGCGACCACGCGTTGTGAATCCGTAGCGAAGAGTGGGCAAATATGATAAACGTCAAAGTGCTCCAATCATAAAAATATCTTTACTTTCAGCATTTTTACTTTTAAGTAAAAGAAGAATGTATAGAAGACGAAGTGAAGACGGGTGACTTTAAAAGTAGTGGTTGCTAAGAATTTTAAGGAGGGGGGTGACATTGATTTATACGTTCTTCGTGTAAGCATTTCGCTTGGAGTTGCTTAACAACATTCCGGCCTTTCTTTGGTTTCTTGACTTTTATCATCCCAAGAATCTAATCACTACCTAGTAATTAGATGTATTAGAGTGGAATTGTAAAACATTCCAAGAAATAAGTGATGCAAACTCCTCGAACAATTACTATAAACATCAACATATTATCATATCATCAATTTAGCTCGACATATCTACTGGGCCACAGTTCCGTTCTATCCGGCCGGAGTGGTATTGATACAATAATGCCTTGGCAGGGAGCGTGATAAGTGTCCGTTTGAGATTATGAAGAGCAGTAGTTGATCGATTTGCATAACTCCTATCTGGTATAGAAATGATATTTAACTCCCGGAATAGCATCATCTCGCTGGGACTAGATTATCATGAATTCCCTCCGACCATTAACGCCAATATCCTCTCATTAATCTCGCGCTTTAGCGTACCACCGTCTCGAATTACCACCCACACCTATCATCCGTCTTGTTTCTCATATCTCATGTCTTGTGGTATCATTTATGGAGCATATCTCGCCGGATCATGCTTTGAAATAACGTACCAGGCATCTAAATGTCATGAGTTAATCAGAAAATACATAGATTAGATCGCAATGTGCTTACGGATAACACCTGGAATCCAACCAAGGATGGTCAAGCAGATGTTGATAAGAAAATCGACTCCACATGCAACCTTGAGGAAGACAGCTAGAGGAGGAACAAAGATTGCAACAATGTATGCAAATACGTCTGCCTGTAAAAATTGTTAGAGATTTGATCGATTCTAGCACGGGATGAGCGGAACAGGCACTTACGGAAGATGATGCCGCCATTGTGTCTTTGTAATTGAGAATCGGTATGAATTAGATTTATATATGAGGATGGCAATTGTGTTCTTATGTTGATGAGTGTATGAAACGGTTTAATTTGAGAAGTTCTTGTAATTGAGAATCTGTCTAACTTTCAGATGAAAACATTATTGTTATATACCTACTACAAGGACAACATTGAAAATCTTGGCAAAACACAAGCGCATAGATCAACTCGAGAATTCCGAGTCAACATGACGTAACTTTAAATATTAAGCAACAGAAGCTGAGCGGATTGTGGCTTAAACAGTGCTGCTTTGAGCTGTTTGAAACAAGCATCATAGATATTCCCACAATCAATCTGAGCATCTAAAATATGTTAATTCAAACAGCGACGGAAATCAACAAGCCACAGCCACAGCCACAAATATAGGGAAGCTTCGGCACTTGACATCCGAATACTCTATTTCTGGAGAAGCCTAGCTGGGTATATGGGTCTATTCACATCACATCACATCACATCACATCATATATCAAACAAACCAAGCATGGAAAATCAAGATGCAATTGGCCCATGATCACATCCACGAAAATCCCACAACTCAATCTAAAATTACAAACTCAACCTCAACCTCATCATCTACTTCCTCATCACCATCACCACACAGCAAACCCTGCACCATATGCCACACACCCCGCAACGTCCTAATACGATGTCAAACCGACCAAACGAAAAAGTGGCATTTCATATGCACGGGTAAGTGTTGGAGAGATGTTAGTGGGGGGAATGTGGATGGTGATGCTTCGCATCCGGAGTATAGGTATGGAGGGATGTGGAAGAATAAACATGAAGGGGTTAGTGCGAAGATTAAGGGGAAGGCGAGGGAGAGGAATAGGAATGGGAATAGGAATAGGGGGAAGAGTGCTGGGATGTTGGAAGGGGGAGCGGAGGATGGGGTTTGATGAATGAGGGTGGAGGAATTTGTCTTTTTTTGTAAAAGGAAATGGTTTATGGGGGAATATTGTGGAAAACGCATTTGCGTTTGTATGATATTCAAAATCTCTTGCATGGGGAGTACAAGGTGACCTCCATGAAGACGAGTTATCACCTTACGATATCAGCAAGAAATTCCTTAACTTGCATACAACGTATACACTGAATATAGAGTATATACAATCCAAAGAAAGAAAGAAAGAAAGAAAGAAAGCGTCGAGAAATGAGAAGTTCAACTAGAAATCTATGAAATTATATACAGTATCAAGCTCGCAAATCTTAGTTTTAATTATCGATTTACAATTACAAATACATCGATTTGTTTATGAATTGAAAGAATTATATCGTTAATATAATAAGATAAACTTCAAGTATTTAATAAGATTATTTATTATAGAAATTTATTAATTTATTAATTATAATATTTATTTATAATATACATTTATAATAAATTAAAACAAAACTTTATATATATAAAATTTAAATATATATTTAATAACTTAATTTATAATTTAAAGATATATTAAAAATATTTTTATTTTAAAGAATTTAAAATTTGAAAAATAATTTTATTCTAGTTTTAAAATTTCTTGATTGAAGTTATATTAAATTAATAAATTTAAATATATATTTAAATATATATTTATATCATAATATAATATCAACTTTTATTTATTATTTGTTTTATTATATATATAAAAATAAAATAAAATATTAAATTTTATTTTTAGTTTTTAAATCTTTTCAATTCAATAATAAAACTTTTAAATATTTTTAAAAGTAAATTATTTTATTTTATTTTATTTTATTTACACTTCATCTATATCTCATCTACACTCACATATTAAACAAATACATTGAAACTATAACTAACAAGCAAGCAATAACGAATTAATTAATCTTCTACCCCTGACGCCCTTCGCAATAGGTAATATAGTTTAACGTCAATCCCGGACTTCCTTATCTCCTAGACCTAGACCGGACCAGACCAACAAACCCACCACCCTGCGCTAAATCCACTGCATACCTCCATATCCTCCATCACCCTCCATCCATCACAATAGTTCAATAACAACTTTCTAACTCCCTTCCCCCTCCCGCTCAAGCTTAAGCTCACCCAACAATCGCGAATAATAATGCTTTCCCTTCATCTCATAAATCCAAATCCCAATTAACCAGCCCCTAGCACCTAGCATCTAACACATCCTACCACTTATAAACATCATTCTCCCAAGCCGCACTAAGCGAATAAGAATCCGGCTCAAAATTTTCCATTCTCACACCATCACGCTCCGCATTCCTTCTTACTCTATCTTCATTTCTCCAATCCCTGTATGCAGAATCCGAAGGAGGACATCCAGGACAATCACAAAAAAATCCATAATTTTGATAGAGACTATTGGGAATACTCGCATACGAGATTGTAAGTTCCTGGTCCTTTTTTACCGCGTCGGTGGTTGTGAAAATCATTCTGTTGCTATCTTTGTCGTAGTTGTAGCTGCAGTTTCGAAAACCGGGACAGGCGTGATTGAAACGGGAGGAATTGAGAAATATACCGGCTTTTCCGCCGCTTATGTGGAAACTGTTTGGGAGTTAGTGATGCGCTTTTTTATATGAATTGAGCCGAATAGGTTTTCTAGTAAACGTAATAACATACCGATTGGTTTGAAAAATTGCGAGAATTTTGTGATTAGCGAGACCATGCCAACAATGTAACCCCAGATAAGTAGCTTGGTTTTTCGCTGTCAATTGTTCGAAGTTATGATAGATCTGTAAAATCGAAGATATGAACAAAGGTTCCTCGGAATGAATTATAGTCCCAGACTCGATATCCGTTCTTGCGAAACAACCTAGACCGCCCTTTGGGGAACTTTTGATCTCGAAGAACTCGTTCTTGAATCCGCTTTCTGGCTTTGGAGATGGAGAAGGAGGAGAAGGGGGAGAACGTGGTGCCAACGATTTAGGATGATAAGGGAGGTCGGCTATCCATGGAGTAGTAGCGTCTGAATTAATAGCCAAATCGTGATCGGGCGGTGCAACTACTGTTTCTGATGCCAAAAATGGCGCAGTCAAAGATGGAGCTTCGGAGGTCGAAAGGGCCAAAGAAGATGTAACTGAGTCTGATCGGACCGATACTGAAGAATTCAAGGAGGACGAGGATGTTGACTTCAAGGAAGAAGCTGCTGGTATTGAGAGGCTTATCAGTTCTCCCTTGCTCCCGTCGATCTTTTCTTCTTTTGAAGGGGATGCCCGTCTATAATGCTATGATCCAAGTGGTGGTTAGCGGAAATTATGGCACAGAAGAGCTGCAAAAGTTTACCTTCCCGACTTTCCACTTCATGGCCATTTTAAGCCATTCTTCAAACTGACTGGCTTCTGCCAGAGGAATTGTATGGGCGGTGGTGATATCCATTTAAGAAAAGTGTCGTATGGGTAGGATATTTGGGTTTCTGTTGAAAGGAGGAATGATTAATTAGTATTATGATTGTAGAAAAGATGATAGATAAGAGTATGTCTTCAGAAAAAGATATTGATCAATACGATAACTAATTGAATGTTTGAACTGCGGTGGAGAAATGAGAGCGGAGAAACGGTGAATTTGATTATATTTGAATTTGATGCAACTTAAGATCAGAAGGGACTTGTGCGCCTACCCAAAGGTGATTGTGTCGTTTTGTAAGTTCAAGCTAAAGTAACTTGCCAAAGGAAAGTGTCTGCAAGTACCTAGAGAATATCGGGTTGCGGCTAAGGCAACGCTGCTCAATAGACTACTATTGCGTTGATAGTAGAAGCTCTAGGAAAATATTATGGTCGTCGACGTTATCCGCTTTTGTTGTCAACTAGCAGTGAAGATGCGAAGGGCTTTGGCAACGTTCATGTTTAAATTCTTCTTTTTGATAGAAAATTCTAAATATGAGTTTAAATTATCTTTCGTTTGTGGATGAACAATTTCTGTTGGATCAATGAAAATTTGATAATATACCCGGTGCCGACAATAAAGTCGCGTTTGACAGCAAAGAAATATATCATGAAGAAAAAGAAGCTGCGACAGTCAATAAACATTGACGACAACAACTACGGCAAGCACCCTGTGACACCAAAAAAACAAAGCATACCTGCAAAGCATGCAAAGCAGAATTCTTTATCGGCGCACAAAAACCGCAAATGCTTTCTTTCTATTTCGAATATTAGTGAGGTGCTGTTTCTTGTAAGAAAAGAGAAAAGGTTCTCTGCAAGAAGCCGAACTTTATGTAGGACCTTGAAACACTAGTAACGGGTGAATACATTACAGTCTTGCCGATTAGATTACTTGTTGCAGGATGACTCACATTCAGAATTGCTTTTTTCAATGTTTATGATTTATTGAGATGGTTGGAAATTGAATGTTTGAAAGTAGACAACACATTGAGTAATTGGGCTGCGGTGGTTTCGGACCGAAAGAGCTAGAACGTTTGAACAAACGGGTAAGGAAACACAAGTCACGGGAGATTTGATATTGAAGTCAATAAAGTTGATATATGTTCAAACATATCTAAAATCCACTTCCACTGTGACTGTTTTTCAGATACCTACTTAATGTTAGGGACCAATAAAACTTGATGACCTAACTACAATCCTCCTTGCTCACAATGGCATTCACCAATTTTGCCATTCCTTGGATGTTCCACTTTGGACGGCCGGCCGCTGTTCTTATTAGCAAAAGTCACCGAATTTGTATATAAAGTACTGACCTCAGCAATTCTATCAATCCATTTCAATACATGCGGAAACTGATTCATTTCTTCCTGCGTGATAGCACCTGAAAAGTCCCACCCACTCACCCATGCTGAAAGTCTTGTCAATGAACCAGAGCATCAAACGCAGCATGGAGATAACTCACGCCAAGTTCCAATATCTGCAACTGAATATTTTCCTTTTCCATTCCCGGCCAAGTAATCACGGGGCTCGCCAGTATATTTACCTGACAAGCGAATTTCGAGTACCCCAAAAATGCGCAAAGTCTCGTCCTTGTATCTCTTCAAAGCTCCTATGTACCAGCAGCATTACTTAATTGTTCTACACGAAGATGAACAATAGTTACTTACCTGGATTTTTCTCACTTGCAATCTTGGCAAAGTAGGTCACTTGACCTTGGTACTAAATTGAAGTCATTAGTAATGTTAGAAGAGCAGACCTCAACTGAGGTTTCGAGGAATATGAAGTTCATGAATGCCCCATATGTTTGACTTGAGGATTCTAGAAGAGCTATTGGCTTTGACTTACCGGAGCGCCCTGCAAAATGATTAGTAGAGTTACATGAATAGGGGCAGCAAAGAACTTACGCTACCATGCCAAAAGAAGAGCCATTGGAGACACTCATTTCTCTCCAGCTCATCCTTAAATCCGAATATATCTTTGCTGTCGAACTCTTTCAGCAGGTATAGCAACTCTGCGCTAGTCTCCATGACAGGAAATGGAGGTGTCTTAGTATTATCAATCAAGATGGGAATTCGGCCTGCAAGATAGTGAGCCTCGAACTTTTCGATGATTTTGTTTTGTTGAAGCAAGATTACCATTTGGGTTTAGCTTTAGAAACCAATCTTTCTTCTGCTCATTGGTCGTGATATTGAGCAGAGTGTGAGTGTCTGGTTCAAGTGTTAGCATAACTTTTTATACTTGACTCCAGACCAATCCCAAAAGTATGGACTGCAACAGTTCCAGACTATTTGAACCGGCCCACGGGAAGATCATTACATTCGGTGCCATACGCAGCCTTTAACTCCTCAAGCATAATCTGAACTTTCTTGCCATTGGGTGTTGACATTGTTATAAGATGCAAGCCCTGATCGTATTATAATCAGCTAAATGTACTAAGCATGCGAACTGAGGGTAAGCAACCTTTGCATTTTTAACCTCATCAGGAGTACCATCAAGATAGAAGTTGGAAGACATCTTGGAATAATTCAATTGAGATCTAAGCACAACTTGATGTATTTTGGGATTGTATACAGAATGAAGAGATGAAAGTGAAGAGTACAACGAACGTGTGTAGTGGGCGATGCGGGGATGTTTTATCAACGTCATAACTGCTATTCGAGTAGCTTCGGCCACCAAGGACTCTGATTAGACTGTCGGGCCATGCATGACAAATGATGGAAATCATTTGATTGATAAGCAATGCCTAGGTATCCATATAAAAATCACCATTCGGGAGGGTGCTGTCACGAATGAAGAGTATAGAATTGAAGTTAAGTCGACGTATTGCCAGCATATTTTTCATCATAAATCAACATCTCTAAAAAGGTGGAAGACATTTTGAAGATATGGATTGTATCGCTTACCTACTCAAATAAGAATCAGAATCTCCTTTTTTGTTTTGGGCTTCCGTTTCTTGTACGTCTACTTCTTTCGAAATGATCAGAAAACTAAGAATTGGAATTTACCCCACACATTAGTCAACAGTCTCCCCGCAACAACGCATTACATAATCATGGACATTATCAGTTCCAAGCTCCAAACATGGGAATAATCTCAATCTCTCCTCAGCTGATTATTATAACATTCATGGAATGATATGGCAACCATTCACACACGATAATAAATTAAACTGAATTAAACACCGCACACAACATCACAACACAACAATTTTAAGTATCAAAACACAAAAAGAAGAATCATATTAATTGCTAATGATTGCTTTTCGAAGAATTCATCAACCAACCAAATTATTCATCAGCCCAGGACTGGTAACGAGCGAAAGTATTTCGTTTTACAGTCAACCATTCATATCGCCGAGCGCCATTGATCAGATCGTCTTAAAGAAATCATCATGATCAAGAGATCTAAGAAGATCCGGAATTGGAAGATCTTCCTCCCTTCTTGCCAGCCTCGTGCGGGTCGACTTTTCCGTGTGCGAATTCTGCCCGAGATGTTATTATCAAATGTATATGAATGTAGGTTATGGAGCATTAGAAGACGGGAAAAACTTACGGCCTCCGCTACTGCCTCCGCTGCCGCCTCCGCCGCCCTCGTTCTCGTAGCTCTCATCGGTATCAGGGCTTCCTGTTGCATGTCCACCTTTGGCTCCAGCCTCCTGCGATTAGAGAAGATGGTTAGCGACGGAAACGTGTAGAGTATAATACTCATTAAGTAGAAAGGTAAAGGATGCCTACATGTGGATCAACTTGGCCGTAGGCAAACTCTCCAGTGCCAACTCTCTTGTCTGGAGTACCGTCCTCCTTGAGACCCTCGTGCTCTAGAAAGATGTTAGAACATGGCATGGCATCGAAGGGTAAAAAACAACCCACCAGTGGGCTTGTATTTGTCGCTCATTTTGAAGTTTATAAAGGTTTGAATCAAGTTTTATTTTATTAAAATCTTTTGAAGTGGTGTGGATGCTAAAATTGAGTTGCTTGGAAGGAATTGAACGTGATTGACGGGGAAGCATCCAAATCTTATATAGCAAAAGCTCAGTGTCCCTACCTCTTCCTATTCCTTGCTTCGGAGCATAAACTCCTAGTCGGGATCAACAGGAGATGAGTGAATGATGCTATGATTGCCCTGACAACATGATTGATATTCAAGTCCAGAAATGCAGACTTAGTAAAAACAGGCAAACATGAAGTAATATCTTGATCTGAACAAAGCAAACTTTCAATAGATGATGGTATGCGGCGTATATTTGTGTAACATCATAACGCAATAGATCTATCAATATTATAATCATATCATAGACTGATGATGTCACGTATTTGAAAAACTGTACCTGACGTCCGCCTAAGTAATGATTGGAGGAAAAGTACATTGACCCCCCTCTCTCTATACCAGCCTTAAGTAACCTCACCGGTTTTATTTGAAAATGCTCATAAAAAGCAATTAAGAAATGACGGTGTGATATGATGCGATGCATCGTTCTATTTACTCAAGTCTAGATGTAATCTACGAAAAACATCCGGTTCATAGATTCAAGCCTCTGATGTCTTGTCTGTCTGGCTGGCTGATGGAAATGGCATAGGTTACTGCGAACCCGAACACGAAATGGAACGCGTCTTACGGTGAAAGGGGCTCGCGCTATCATGTGATTTGGTGATGAGTTGATTGGCATGTCGTAACTACTTTTCAACTGCCCAGGCAAGGAAACTTTGGACTTTGGAATTACTGTATTAAGTACAATGCGAAAGAGCTGAATATGGGGGAAACGATGAGTATTCTTGGTATTCTGGCTAGCTGTTGAAATTCGAATCTTCTTTGTATGTATCACTGATTCGATGTAAGTTATCTGAGATAGATGGTGGAATACAGGCTTGTTGAAGTTATCTTTTTGTTGTTAAAGGCATAGCATATATATAGGAAGCTTAATTAAGCTGCGCGACATCATGTCATCATCCGGTGATCCAAGAATGGAAGGAAGGAAAGAAAACAGCGGTAGAATTATTCTGTTCTGGCTATAGCTATCGTTTACCCCTTTCTCGGAAAGCTCGTGTCATTATCTTTATCGTGTCACTGATGGATAGACCGCTATTGGTATATATATATGGAGTATATCTTGAGAAGTAAGAGAATATGCAAGTAGGTTACTGCACAATATCTCTCTGAGCAAGTGCATTGTATGGAATTAATACTTTCATACTATCATCTAGAAGTCTCTCCCATTTCTAACCACGATGAAGTTCCAAGTGGAGCAAGGAGTTCAGGTAAATGGGATAGATGTCTTTTCCTGTTTCGACCTCATATTCATGATTATTACATGAAGTACAGTCTAGAAGTTTTCCGCAGTATAATTCTGTTTGTGTCTTATCACTTGATAGAAGCCATGATGTGTTTGTTTGTTGGGCTTAGGGAGAATAAGGAGAATGATGTGATATAAATACTTGCCGCTGTTGAAGTTCCAGGGCGCTTCATGATTCGAGTGAATTTACCTGTACACAATCATGCAACTTATAAGTTTGTTTGGCAAACTTTTAGTATGTTTTTACTTCGTAGTCATAAATGTATCTTGCAAGTGTTCAAAATCAAGTGTTATTGTACTGGAGGAATAGGAGCCTTTTACAGTATCTTACATAGAGTAAAATGCCATCACAGAAGACAGAAACAAAGCAAAACAAAACAAAACAAAACAAAACAAAACAAAACAAAACAAGTATGCCTATCAGGCCAACAAAACCAGTCACCGTTATTTATTCCATTAAAAACCCAAAACCCACAACCATCCCATCAACCCCATTCACCCATCCAATCTCTCCATCTCATTTCCCACTCTCCAAGCCTCCTCACACCATTTCTCAAAAAAGAATATGAAACCAAAATCATGGCTCAACATCTTCCGATCCAAAAAACAATTCACAAGAACCATCTCTACTCCTACAATGTCTTTCCCAACAGACTTTACACAATCCTCCCACAAGTTGAATAAAAATAAACAAAAATCTCCCGCGAATAACGGCATCGGTAGATATAATAGTAACTACACACTCCCTTCAATCGATATGTCGACGCTCGGTTTCGAAATCTTCGAAGACGCACGCTGTGCTATTTGCGATGGCGATTTGGATCCTAAACAAGACAGTACGTCCCCCCCCAACCCTAAACCCGTCACAAATCCACAAACCCACAAACCCGAATCCTATAAACCCATCTCCTCCCCCCTCCAACCTCCCAAACACTTCCAACAAAACATCATCCCTAACAAACCCTCCCCACCCAAGCTCCCCCATTTATACCCACACCCACATCCACACCCACCCCAAACATCCAACTCTGCCCCCCCTGCCAAACCCAAATAACCCATCTAAAACTCGAATACGAAATCCTCAAGCGTGAGAAAAGAGAAAAGCAAATTAAAGAGTTGAAGCAGGCGATTGAGGTTTATGTTGCGCAGGCGGAGTTGAAGAAGGTACTTAGTGAAGGGAATAGGGTTTTGAGGGGGCAGATTGAGGAGATTGGGAGGAGGGTGGAGGGGAGGTGAGAGGGAGAGTTAAGTGGAAGAGGGTATGTGAAGGCGGAGGGAGGGATGGGAATGGAGGGTAATTGAGGAGTTTGTTATTAAAGTTTGTAATAAGAATAAGAATTACAGCCTTCGAGTCTGCAGGACAGGACCTACGCCGGGGGATTTCTAATAATATTTAATAACATTTAATATATCCTACCTCCTAAAACCTGATATAGATATTTAAATCCCGACTAAGCGGATAGGATCCCTGCACAAACCACTTACTCGTTATTTCTGCGTTTCTATTTATTTAATCTTTTGAGAGTAGGACCTTACTATGTCTAGGCCAGTACTTTATCATAAGATAAATCTACTCTACTCTACTCTACCCTAATATCTAGCATCTCCTTCTTTAGGATTATGATTTAACATTCTATAGTCACACGATGAGTGGGTAATTGTTCTTTTGAATATAACCTAACCTATATAAGTTATAAACAAATTATAAAGAGAGTTCTCATCCACTCTCAAAAACAATTGCACTCAAAGACTCTCCAGACAATCAAAACACCCTAGTATTTTTATTGTACATCCGCGCTTGTGTGAAGTCATGCCTAAAATAAGATATTAAATTCCTCATATACGATTATAACATCTAACGCTAGCACACATGGGAATTTATAGAGTGTCCTCTCTCGCAGCAACACATCCCTAGTGAGACTTACCACCAACCCATCTCATATGTACAAGAGACCCGCGATGATCCATGATGCATAATCCAAACGCAAAGGGAACCGTAAGGAAACGGAAAAGAAAAGGCTAAAAGACAAAAACAAACAAGTTAGAAACCAGGGTATCATTTCCCAAATCCGCTCTGCTCCGTTGTAAATGCAATATCCACTCCTCCCACGAAACGTAAGGAAACACACGACGCCCAGTCAATCTATTTCTTCCACCCATCTAATCCACATCATCATCTACCGGCATCGGACTCCTAACTGTCAATTCATCCGATTCATCACTTCCGACATCCTTATCCTTCGTTTGCGATGAAACCGAGATTTCCGGGCTCGGTTCTAAAGCTGCCATCCTCTCTGCTTTCCTTGCTGCATTCCTAGCTTCACGTTGTTTGACTAAATCTTTTTCCGCTTCGATAGCTTTTGCTCTTCTAATCTCAATCTCCTTTCTCCTAACCACTTTGCGTAATCCTTCTGACGCATGAATTAATCCATCGATACTGATAGCATGGTTTGTCATCTGATGATTAATATACGTATACACATTTGCTGGCGATGAGCATTGGAGTAATTGTTGTTCATTGAGTTTTAATAGAGCCAGCGCGACTTGGAAGAGGAATGTGCTACCATCGTTCATACATAGTACCACATCCCAGACTCTGAATAGAGCTTCAGCGGAGAGACAATCGGTAAAGACGCTGAGGAACCATTGGAATGTGAGGGCTTCGAGTTCAATACATAGGTCATCTAGATGCTGGGATAATTTGGGGAGAATTTCGGCGACGTATTGTCGTAGAACTTGTTGGTCTGCTCTAGAGGCTAGAAGACTGTGGTCGTAATATCCAGGTGGTAGGGTATGCTCGATAATACTTGTCAAAACCCAGAAAGCATCCTCTGCCGTCGGCATAATAAGTAGTAGACATGCAGTGATTAAATTCATCCCTTGACAATATCCAACCTCAAGGTTTCGTCTAGAGTAAGCTAGGAGTACTTCGTTTAGTTTAGCAACTCCAGGACCTTTTCGAAAGAAAATATTGTCTGTCAATGTACGATTGATATCCATTTGGATTTGAGCAACAACAGCCGGATCATCATCTTCCTCACTACGAGCTATCAAATCATCATAGTAGCCTGGGATACGCATTGCAGAAGCTCCAGAGCATTCAGCCCAAATTTTAGCTCTGTATGCTACTGGAATACCACCAAGAACTAAATTCTTGAACTCATTCCACTTGGCACGACCGACTTTGCCTTTGTTACCCAAACCAGATACACCAATCATTTCACCATCTGCTAGACTTGCCTCTGGCATAATTGCTATAGGTCGCTGTGACCGAGAGTCTGTATTCAAGGCAAGAGCAGCGGCCGCTGCCTCTCCTTCACGTTTGCGCTCGGCTCTAACTTTGCGAAGGAAATCATTCCACCGCACGGTTTTCTCTCTTTGCAAAGAATCATGAACTTCGCCAAGTTGCTGTAGCAATAATTTCACGGGTTCAGTATCTTCCGTTGGAGGAACTGGGGTAGAGGGCGGCGAGGGAGTCTTCGAGATTGTGGCGGTATCCGATGCGATGGATAATGCAGGGGCTGACGTAGTCGCCAAAGGAACAAATCCTCTTTCTTCGGTTAGAATTCCGGGGGATCTTGGCACCTCACCTCCTTCCATAACTTCGAATGCAGGCATACTACCTGATGGTGTATGGGCTAGTAACTCCGTGGGAAATGTTGCAATTTTGAGATAGTCTTGCCAACGTTTCACAGGCTTGTCTTCATCATCAACCTTTTCGTCAGTCGCTGTAGATCCAGGTGACTCAGGATGGAGATCATCGATATCATCTCCTTCAGCTACTGCTGCCGATATCGTGTTACTTCTCCCACCATTAAGCATTTCCACACGACTACCTCTCTTGCCCTTTCGCATCCTCTCAGCTGCTTCTCTTTGCCTCTTCTTGCGTCGCTGATCATATATAAATCCAAATCGGTCAGTTAGGAACTCTTGATTGTTATAGTTTTTGTATTGCATCAAGGTTGGCGGTTGGTCTTCTGGGGCTAAAATAGTGTCCATCTCGACAGGGCCAAAATTCTCACTGCCTGCTATACTAGAACCCTGCGGACTAGATCCCATTGTATCCCACCTCTCCTGTGCGGCAACAGTCGTATTTTGTGTCAACGGAGTAGGATTGCGTATGGGTCTAGGGTTCATCTTTGGTGCCGCTCGAGCAGACATTGTGCTTTTGGTACTGGTTCTGGAACGTGTGCGACTTGGTGGTTCGGTTTCAGCACTGTTAGACCTGCCACGACGGGTTTTGCCATCTGGATCACGAGCGGTCGAGGTGCCGGCGACGAGCTTTAATGCCAACGTCGCTAGACTAGATTGCTTTCTCTGCCGATTGCCAGCTAATGAACCATTACTTGGAGGACGGCTTAAACTTTCCAGTGAGGATACAGCATCTGGTGGGTGGAAAAGATCATTCTGTAGAATTGTGCGTCGACCTGGGCCCCCACTTCGTACATGAACGGTTGCGCCGTTGGTGATCGCGTCCCCATTTATGCTACTTGCCCGGCTGGTTGTATGACTTGTTTTACTTGTCCCGCCCCAAATATAATCCTTCCAACCTCTTGATGTTCCAGATATTGCCTTATCCAGCGCGGGTTCTTTGGCGCGTATTGTAGCATCATTTTCTATACTGTCCAATTCACCTGCGACCACCGTTTCACTCATGGCATCGTTCATCAGAACCTCCAACGCAGACTCGCTTGAGGGAATGGGGGTACCAGAAATCTTGCGTTCGCCTTCGATGGTTCGCAGACGAGTTTCTAAATCCAGGTTCGATAGACCACATTCCAAGATAATTTTTCTCAGTGACCTTTCCCTTTCTTCTGCTTTGCGCCTGAGAGCAGCTATTTGCGCATCTCGCCTAGCTAAATCCTCTGCTATCTGTCTAACCAGCTTCACAGCCCCATTTCTTGCTATCAACCTCTCGATATGTTCATCGTTTGCATGATGTACCGATCCAGGTATATGGGTAGAACCTAAGGGCGCATCGTCGAACAAGGCACTACGGCTGTGCGAAAAGGAAGAGGATGTAGTTAAGCTATCGACCATAGAATTTGCGGCGGAAGCTTTTCGGTTCGCCGTTCCATCGTTTGTAGGTAGTATAAATTGGGGTCGTTCATGTGTTGGCGAGTCACCGGAGAAGGAGGGGAAGGAAGTCAATGATTTATCTGAAATCGATGATGCAGAACTCGATATTTGCGAAACAAGTCTTCGTGACTTTCCGCGAACTGTTTGCGATCGGTGACTCCTCATCGATGCGGCTGAGGCTGTCCTGGAAAGATTCCGCGTAATATCATTTTCCATCGCTGCGGTATCTTGGTTGATATCAAGAAGTGATTCCTCCCATTTGTTCCAGTTATATTCACTCTCTTGTTGATACCTCAAAACAGAATTCGTAAAGGACTGGGAAGAAGAAGAAACATAAGAAGATTCCGTAAAGGCAGGACTTTGGAATGAGAAAATTTGTTCTTGTAATATATGGTAACTAGTAGGTGATATTGATTTGTATTCGTAGTTGCTAAAGGCCTTTTTTGTTAATAAAGGTCGAGACATCATCACCAACTATTTGGCGGCACTATCTCGCGTATTTCGTAGCACGAACAGTCCAAAAAATGTAAAATCGAAATTCCGAAACTTACATATAAAAACAAAACCAAGAACTTCTTCAATTATTATACAGCCAACGGAAATAATGAAGTTTATACCTGGATCATTCGGTATGGAACGATTCATGCTCTTCTACTTTCGGAAGACGTGATTCTGCATCCTATGAGCCAATTTGGTCTTGGAAATGGCGCATCTCAGTTCTGTTGGTTTTGTTGCTTTCTCTCTCCTAATGAATACCACCGTGTGCTACGAAGTATCACTACTCCGCTCTCCTTTTCGGTGATCACATATGCAGACGCTCACATTTTGCATATGTTACTATTTGGAAATAGACAAGGCAGACAGATCAATGTGATTGAAGGATTTTAGGATTGAAAAATTGCTGTACATTGAAGCGCTCGCTGAGAAACTCAGAATACGATACATCTCGAAAAGCAGCACTGATAATTCATATAGGCGTGATAGGGCGGCGAAGGCCGAGGCAATTACCCCAGACTTCGTCGGGAACACCTGCAGACTCCCCGCCTTATTACTTACGGTGTCTCTCCTCTCTCCTTATTTAAAACATAATTGTTTTGATTTTACTGTTTCTTTTGTTTTTATTATTTTTCTCGAATCTTGTTCTGAATTTGATATCATCTGACGGGACATAATACCATTGGTACCCAAATATGTCTGCGTCCGCAAAGAGAAGACTCGCAGCACTTTCCGAGCAACTTGTGAAACCAATTGGAGATCAGGGAACCTTCGAAAATATTCCGATTCTCAAGAAAATTGCACCAGATTCAACAGGTCCGAGAGTGAAAGGCAAAGTAGTCATTGTGACAGGTCATCATTCTCGTTCCAGACCCTATTCTATAGTATTGACATAGTGCAGGAACCAATAGTCCTTTGGGAATCGGACGAGCATCAGCACATCAGTTTGCACAGAATGGCGCAAGAGCTGTATACATATGCGATTACAACGATTCAAATCTCGAAACGCATAAACGGGAACTTGCATCATTATACCCAGATGTCGAAGTACACACGCGGAAGTTTGATGCGGCGGATGAACAATCTGTGAGGGAAGTTATTGATCATGCGGTAAAGACATATGGGAGGTTGGATATCTTCTTTGCGAATGCTGGCGTAGTAGGCACGAATAAAATATTTACGGATATTTCTGCTGATGAAGCTTTGTCTACTTTGCGGACAAATGTCGTCAGGTAGATGTCCATTGAATCCTAGGCAAAATCGCGTACTAATATCAAAGATAGTGTAGCTATGGCAGCAAAATATTCAGCACCGGCCATGATGTTAACATCATCGGATAAACAATACCCATCCGGCAGTATAATAGCCACAGCTTCAGTCGCCGGTCTCCGTTCCAACGCCGGTTCCAGCGACTACTCGGCTTCCAAATCCGCCGTGATCTCATTAGCCCAAACAATATCTTATCAGCTAGCAGGCACGGGAATTCGCGTCAATGCCATCTGTCCTGGCGTTATTGAAACAGGTATGACAGCACCAATGTATGAAGCTGCAAGGGCTAGAGGCTCGGAAAAGAAAATTGGTCAATTGAATCCACTAGGAAGAGGTGCGCACGCGGATGAAGTTGCGAGGGTAGCGTTATTCTTGGGGAGTGAGGAGAGTAGTTATGTGAATGGTCAGGCTTGGGCTGTCGATGGCGGGCTTAGTGCTGGACATCCTTTTGTTCCGGGAAAGCTGGGTTAAGACGAAGATGGATGTTTAGATTGCTGGGTCTCGAAGAGGGTTTCCTTTATTCAATAGATGTCAATCCTGTGTGATTTTCACACAACCTCCAAGTTGGGCGAAGATCTAATCATAATGCTATTTTGCCTCGCACATGATGGTAACCTCCCCACATTGTCACCCAGCCCCTTATGCTTACCTTGTTATATATGTGATGGAAAGACACAGGGTGAGGTCGAATCGTACTTATATAAGTAAGATTATCTTCCATATTCATTCCAAATGTTCTTCATTACAACTCTCTTTTGTTCTTACATTGCACCAGATCCGATCAAAGGTTTTTATTTAATCTCTCCTCACTATGGCTAAGAAACGTTCGCGTAATGCTACAAAGTCAAGAGGTCAACGCGGTCCAAATGGTCGTTGGCTTTCGAAGGTAAACCCACCTACCTATGGAAGTAGTAAGGGAGCTTGTGATGAGGGTGGATAGATTGTAGGACATCCTTGAAAAGATGACAAATTAGATCGCGCACATTGGACTTGATTGTGGGACTCATTGGTGCCGAACATGCAACTATCTGCCAATATTTTTCTGAAGTTGCGCAAGACATTACAGTGATAACAAGGGGAAGAAGGCTGTTAAAAGTAATTAACTTAGAAAAACTAGCGACATCTAACAGTTAGTTACACCTTTTACTGTAAAAGTACGATCTGTTTACTACATAGGTAGTGAATCTTCACTGCCCCGATGAAGTACAATTCATATGCTATTTTGGGAGATTTAGGTATTGATATAATACAGTTTAAAATACGATTTGTTTTCATCCAAGAACTCTTCTGACTAACTATTCTAAGCAGGCGCGGTTGAGGGAACGCTCCCAAGCCGACTTTCTCGTCACAAAGCACGTGTTTCTGGGCTTGAAATGGTTGAGATGGTTGAGTGGTAGAAGTTGGGCGATGGCTACTTTTGACACCTGGTGAGGTCCTCGGCCGCTATTGGGTAGTTGGTGAAAGATCACGATTTGCACCAATGAAAACTTCGTGAACTTCCTCACACGAACTCAACTCAGCCAATGAATGCTTCGCTACGGGCTTTACTAGCAGCCTCGCCTCTCATTACAGCCTTACACTAGCTAGAGTTCAGGCCCACTAGCTGCAAGGCTACAATAATAATTTTGCTTTCCGATAACGAGATTTAACAGAGTCATCATTGATACAAAATTACCATATTCGTACATTATTGATTCAGTATTAATCAATTACATACATTCTTTTATACAATGGCAGATCCTCTTCTATCATCATTATGTCGCATCTGTCATATCAATCCCACAAAGTATACATGTCCGCGATGCTCTCAACAAACATGCTCACTTCCCTGCTCCAAACGTCACAAAGTCTGGTCATCATGCTCCGGTATTCGCGATCCTACTGTCTATAAACCAAAAGCACAATTGGCAACTCCTTCGGGCATTGATCATGATTACAACTTCCTTCATTCAATTGAGCACCGAATCGCAAGATCGGAAAAAGAGATTGTGGAAGAGCGAGGCCTTGTAACGAAAACGGAACTCCAGCTGGCAAGAGAAGGCCAAAATGACGATAGAAGACGATTCAACAAAACCACATGGCGTCAGCGCGAAGATTTTATTACTAAAATGCTACAAAATTCCGGAATAACACTAGTTAAAGCCCCGAATGGGATGTCTAGAAATTTGGAGAACACATCTACTTGGAGTAAAACGCAGAAGTGCATGAATTGGCAGATGGAATGGATTCGAGAGCCAGATACGGGCGGAAGAATACTGCATAAATCGATAGACAAATGGTCAATCAACGATACATATTCAATACTCCTGGAGGACCAACAAAGATTGAACATGGCGCCAGAGGAAAAAGCTGCGCTGAAGAAGAGGAAAGCAAATGAGTTGAAAGAGAATAAGGCTAAGAGAATTAAGTCAGTTGAACACTTGTTGGATATACCGCCACTTTCCTCATTTCAAAACTTGACTGGAGCTTGGAACGTAGTTTTGGATCAGCCAACGATATCAACAGACCAGGATTCCACTTACCAAGCCAGTACACCACGGAAGCTTGATTCCAAGTATCATTTCTATCTCCATCGACCTAAGACTCGATCATCATATCCTAAAGTACTAGTACCTCTGGACCCAACACAGTCAATATCGAAAGTTCTAGAGAATCGTACAGTCCTCGAATTTCCTACCTTCTACGTTTTTGAAACAGACAAATTTCCAGACACATTTATGCTGGAAAAGGATTATATAAAAGCTACTGGAGATGGACCAGAGATGGAAATTGAGGAATCTGAGGATGAGGATACTAGTGGTAGTGACTCTTCCTCGGATGAGGATGAAGATGAAGATATGGAAATGGAGGATGGAGAGATTGCATCATGAAGTATTTTATGATCTGTTGCCGTCAAATTGTATACGTATAAAAGCATTGCGTCCCATGATACCCTCACACTAGAAATCCAACATATATCCGTTCAAAATGATGTATTGTTTATATCCTATTTAAGAGAGTCCAATTTCAGTAGACTCTAAAATGTTCTTTATATAAATCTTTGATTCTTATTTGATCCAATTCTTTTCTGCATTAAGAAATACCAAACTTGTTCCCGATAAGCTTAAAAAATGTGTAAGATTACTTTGATCTTCTGATAATTCATTCTTAAAGTTCTGACTTCATGCAATTCGGATTAGCATAAGCTGCAAATCCACATATGGGAAGAACATCTCCAGCTGTTCAAAATCTTGTATTTCCTTATCTGTGTCGCCGTACGGTATTTTGCTTGAGGTCGTGTAAAGTGGTTTTTGATCGGTGATAACGTTTCCGTGCCAACGACTGCCGTTTTGTTTCATTTTCCCTCTGACTTGAAATTTGACGCGCCCCTCTACGTGATAAAACATTTTACACACACACGAATAGAACCTGCGTGACCTGAAATCATAATAGGATCTTCTTGAACCTCATGAAGTAAGCCAAAATCCACAGTTCTGGGAATTACGTGGAGGCGTTATCCGGAATTTATATTTACTGATAGCAAGTAGAGGTGGATTCACCCCGCTAAATACGATTGGATCAACAGAAGCACCAAATTTCAAACGACGAAATAAGACTACAAATACAAATACTCGTACACTTAAACAACAACGCAACTTCAAACGGGTCGTCAACACTTCGAGAGCAACAACACCGCCTCATATATTACCAAGCATTCAAAGAAGAACTCGCCCGTCACCAATAACGGGAAATAGCCCATCTTTGAGTGAACTTGGTGATTCAACTTCACTCTTTGATTCGTCTCTTCTGATCATTGGTCGAGCATCCAATTCAAATTCAGAAAGGAAAGGAACTGTGGTTATTCTTGATACTACAAAATACGACAGATATCCCGTTAAGGAAGGAAACAAAATGGTTAGAGAAATATCTCCAGCAAAGGTGCAGGCACCTCGGCCAGAAGATCCTAAAGATCAATATCCATCCTCCCAAAGCAATGCCGGAAATCATTTATCAAACATTCCTAGATTCGGAGAAGCTACACTTCCACAGTCTCCACTGAATCGCAAATCTCAGCAACAATACTCTGAGTTATTCATTCAACCAAAATCTCGTCCCGAATTTCACAGAGATACAGAAAAACATGGTATGTACTCTGGCGTCAAATCAACTTACAGTGCTAACCTCTATATAGCACATCCACACTTACAAGCAGCAAAAGATGCTGCCCGAAAGATTATCGACCCCTTTATGCCACGAGCTCCAGCCGATTACAACAAGCCAGCAGTTCGTGCACCAGTTCCAGGTTCCTCATCGTATGCAACGACTCACCCTGCACCTCCACCTACATTTGGATCCCTTCCAAACAGTAATGGAGGCTTCCAATCCATAAATACCTATACATCCAACAATTACGTGGATCTTACCACGTCTAAGCCGAATTACAATGAGACACACATTTACGTTGATCCTGCAAAGGCACAAGAAGATTTAAAAGCACTTCTGGAGGGCGTTATAGAGGATGAGGAAGATACAAAACCCAGAACCAGATCACGCAGAAAGAAGAAGAATGCAGAGGTAGACGACTTGATGGCACAAATGAATGGGCTAAAAGTCGAATCGGATGAAAAGCTGGAAGTTGCATCGGAAGACGAAGAAGAAGATGATGGGACTGTCGAAGGAATTAGTGTCAAACTACTTCCTCATCAAGTTGAAGGTTTGGAATGGATGATTGGAAGAGAGATTGGTACAGGAAAGAAAGGCATGGTACCCAAAGGAGGCATTCTTGCTGATGACATGGGTTTGGGGAAGACATTACAATCAATTTCACTCATTCTGAGCAACCCTAAACCATCTAGTTCAGACGAAACTCACAGTAGACGCAAATTACCTTCCGGTCTGGACAAATGTACTTTGGTCGTTGCACCTCTTGCACTTATTCGACAATGGGAAGCCGAAATCAAAGACAAGGTTGAAAGCAGCCATTCTCTTCGTGTGTGTGTTCATCATGGACCTCAACGTACGAAACGATTCCAAGATCTCAAGAAATATGACGTTGTAATTACAACTTATCAAATTCTTGTTTCGGAATGGGGAAATTCGTCCAAGGATGATGATGATGAAGGTGTAAAGGTCGGCTGTTTTGGCATACACTGGTACAGAGTCATTCTTGATGAGGCCCATACTATCAAAAATCGAAACGCCAAAGCTACACAAGCATGCTATTCTCTTCGGAGTCACTACCGTTGGTGCTTGACAGGAACGCCAATGCAGAACAACTTAGATGAATTGCAAAGTCTGATCAAATTCTTGAGGATTAAACCATACGATAATCTCCGTGAATGGAAGGACCAAATCGATCGACCAATGAAAAATGGTAGAGGTGATGTCGCAATCAAGCGTCTTCGTCACTATTTGCAAATTTTCATGAAGCGACGCACCAAAGAAATCTTAAAGAAGGAGGGAGCTCTGAACCCCGGAGGGAAACCTTCGATTACTGGACAAGCCAATTCAACAGGTTTTAAGGTCGTGGAGCGTAAAATCGAGAAAGTATTTGCCGAATTCTCCCCAGAAGAGCGCAAATTTTATGAAAGATTGGAAGCACGTACCGATGCAAGTATCGAAGAAATGATGGGTGGGAGTAAGGTCAACTACGCAAGTGCGTTGGTATTGCTACTGCGTCTGAGGCAAGCTTGCAATCATCCAAAACTTGTGGGAAATAAGTTGGGAAAAGATACCGATGCTCTTTCAGCAGAAACTAGCAACGCTAAATCAAAATCAACAACTGACATTGATGAGATGGCAGACATGTTTGGTTCTCTAGGTGTAGGCTCCAAGAAATGTGAGGTTTGCCAAATCGGGCTTGGTAAAGAAGCTATTTCGCAAGGTGCAATTCGTTGTTTAGATTGTGAAGCAGATTTGGATGAGATATCTAGTAAGAAGCTCAGCCCAAAGAAAAAGATGAAGGAAAAGAATAGCAAGAAGGATAGGAAGCACAAGGCATCTAAGCCAGTTCCAATTCGTAAGCCCAGGAATAGGAATATCATTGAAGATAGTGATGACGAGGAAGAAGAAGGTGAATGGCTTGTCGGAGATAAAAAACGTGGTGCTCTTACATTAGGAAAGGCTGGTGGAAAAGAAGACGAGAATTGTGAAGGTGGTGGTGAATGGCTTGACTCAGATCATGATTCAGATCTTGATGATTCTTTCCCTGATATCCAAGATATTGGCAAGAAGAAGGTTATTAACCTTGATAGCGATGATGAAGAGACTGCCGATGAATCATTTGAGGATTCGGAAGAAGGTGAGTCCTCTGAAGAGGACTCTGAAGAGGAGGAGGAAACGGATGTTGAGGATGAATTCGGTTCCGACGAAGAAGCTGAGCTTTCTAGAGTTGCTGCATCTACTAAGATTACACATTTGATGAAAATTTTAGGGAAGGAAGCGGCTCAGCATAAATTCATCGTTTTTTCACAGTTCACGTCAATGTTGGATCTTGTTGAGCCATTCTTACGCCAAAAAGGTTTCAAATACACTAGATATGATGGTGGTATGAAGAACGATCTTCGTGAAGCCAGTTTGGACAGACTTCGTAACGATGAGAATTGCAGAGTCTTACTTTGTAGTTTGAAGTGTGGTTCTCTAGGACTCAACCTTACAGCTGCTACTCGTGTAGTTATTCTCGAGCCATTCTGGAACCCTGTAAGTTCTTTCCATTGCTCACCTTGCATTACATGATCAGTGCTACTAACACATACATCCACAGTTCGTTGAAGAACAAGCCATTGATCGTGTACATCGTCTCACGCAAAAAATTGATGTTGTTGTCTACAAAATTACCATTAAAGATACAGTTGAAGAGAGAATTCTACTTCTCCAAGAAAAGAAACGAGAGCTTGCAAATCAAACCATTGAAGGTGGTAAAGGTGGTGCTGGTAAATTGGGCATGAAAGAGATTCTTCAGTTGTTTAGAAGAGATGCTGAACAAGCTCCACCTGCTGCTGGTGCGTATGATCTAGGCGCGAAACCTAGGATCCTGAAGGAGTCCGCAAGTAGGAGTCCAAGTAAGAGTGCGGCGAATTTGAATAGTTATGGTTCACAGGCTGCGTCGCCGCCAAGAAAGATTACACCAACTCCATTTCAAGCTAAGAAAATAGAAGATTCGGTTTATGGTAGAAGATGGTGATTTGCTTCAATAGAAGAGTTTATTTATTGGTCGTTTGGTGACGATTGTTTGTCTAGATTTTGTCTATATAGGAAATATCTTGTGATAGATTTGGGATATATTGTGGCTAGGTTCCGGAATGGGTATCGGACTGCGCTCTGAGAGTTTCTCTGTCCTTCCTCTAGGATCCTGGATGGATATATGATGATGAATGGCTGTTTAGACGAGAAATGAAATATATTATTATTTAAGAATGGGCGATTGTGATATATTTGAGCAGTAGATTCTTTATTTAAATCAAGCCTTCATTGACCACCATGGATAGATTCTAGCCTCAAAGCTTCAAAACCTCAAAACTACCAATTAATGTTCCAACAATCGTTTTACTGCATATTGTATACTCAATTGGAAGGATCACAAAATTTAATTAAACACAGTATATCCTCACTTTTGAACAATCGGCTCAAATTAGATGACTAATAATTCTCTACGAAGTACAGTAACCTTAACGCATACCTCGAGTAGAGGAGAGGTAATTAATTTGATCATTGACATTTTGACCCCTCTCGGATCCTGCGGGCACTTACAGAAAAAGATTACGTATGTGCTTTGTTTTGTTGATTATATAAGGTTAGTTTAGGTTTGGTATTTGCTATTTGGGTTGAATCATAGCATTTAAATTAAGGTTCTTTGCTTTGTGCTTTGGGATTTTCTACTTTATATTTTATATTTTATATTTTATATTTTATATTTTATATTCTGTAGGTGTATTTTTGTATATTGGATTTCGGACTTTAGATTTTAACCTTGGTGGTTTGATACGAAAATACAGAAAGAGGGATATTTTGTCCTTGTTACCTACAACTAGTAGATACAATGACCCCAACATCAATAGTAGGGAGTACAGGCCTTGTCGTACGTATTCTTCTCACTCACTCACTCACTCACCTCCTTCATCATCACAATATCTAACCCCCAAAAAACAGGGCTCCCATATCCTCAACACCTTGCTCTCCCACCCCTCCATCTCAACCATCCATTCCCTCTCTCGTCGCAGCCCACAAGAACCCGCCGCGACCTCCCCCAAACTCTCCCCGCTCATCTCCGAAGACACAAAAACCTGGTCGTTACTCCTCTCCTCCACCAAACCCCCTCCCACAATCTTCTTCTCCGCCCTCGGAACAACAAAAGCCCAAGCAGGTAGTATTGAAGCCCAGCGCAAGATCGACCTAGAATTAAATTTAGAACTTGCACGAACATTCGCCAACCTTAACACCGATTCCCAATCCGATGAAACCACCAACGCGCCGAAATCTAAAATCTACGTCCTAATCTCCACCCATGGCGCCAATAGCAGCTCTCGAATCCCGTACTCAAAAATGAAAGGGGAGTTAGAGGATGGGGTTATGGAACTCAAGGATTCGTTTAAACATGTGGTTATTTTGAGACCGGGGTTGATAGTGGGAGAGAGGAGTGATTCGAGACCGGCGGAGTTTGCGTTGAGGAAGGTGGCGGGGTGGGTGGGATGGTTGGGGGTGATGGGTGTAAGGATTTTGGGCGCAGGATGCGAGGGTTGTGCGAGGGCTGCTGTGAATGCGGGGTTGAGGGCGCAGGAGGGAAAGATGTGGATGGGGGTTATTCCGAAGGTGTGGGTTTTGGGACAGGCGGATATTGTTAGGTTGGGGAGGGAGGAGTGGAAGGGCGAGTGAGGGGTGGGTTTGTTGATTTAGGGATGGGGTGGTTAGGATTGTGGGGTTTTCAAAATTGAGTGGATGGATTGATGGTTGGAGTTTTGAATTTGGTGTCATACTAGATAGCTATGGGTGTGATATTATTAGGTTTAGGGTGTGAGGAATGTTTGTATTGTAAATTATTTGTAAATTGTTGCTTCCATTCATTTATAAATATGCTTTGTCGTTATTATGTGACTTTCATCTCTTTCGATCACTTCTTCCTCTCTTCATGTCACATCATAAATTTAGAATAATCCACCAAAATCCACCTTCCAACCTCAACCCGAACATCCACAACCCTCTCACACACTCCCCTTCCCCTTCTTCTCCCCCCCCAAACCCACTCTCCCCACTCTCACATTAACATCCCCTTACTCCCTCAGGCCCCCACCCATTTCACCCGTCTGTCTACTCACATCCCTATTCGCAGGACTCACCTCCAGCGGATTACCATAACCTTCCTTCTTCTCCCCTTTTCCCGCTTGATCTTTTTCCGATTCGGGATTCGTGATGTTGGGATCGAAGGCTGCGGATTGTTCGCGGGCGGCTGCGTCGTCTGTGCCGGATTTACTGTATTCTGTGGCTTCGGTGTTGATGCTGTCTTTTTGTTGGGAGTCTTTGCGGGGGAATTGAGTGGAGGGGGTGTTGGTTATAGGACGGGTGAAGGGGTGGGTGAGGGGGAGGATGGGTTTGCTGTGGATTGTGGTGCGGGTGAGGCGGGTGAGATGGGTGAGGCGGAGGAAGTGGGTGTGTGGCATGGTTATATTGTTGTTTTGTTGTGTTGTGTTTGTTAAGGTTGTTTATCTCGTGGTATGTTATAGAGGTTGTAGCTCTAGGATTTGGATTAGCTTTGTATTTGAAATTCATGTGATCGAATCATATTGGATATACATTTTTTGAAGAACATAGATTCAACATACATTGAGTTTAATCTGGACCGAATATTTCAAAAATAATATCAGCTGAAAATGGTGTTTGTTTGTAGATATGTTGAGAAATGCTGGAAACTACAGGCAAGATTTTGCACTCTCCAGTTGCATGTATGCATGAAATGACAACGACGTCATCGAGGAGCTTTTAATGTTTGGAGCTACCCCGCATTATCTCGCCCCTGGATAGAATTATGGTTATCCAATTAATCGAATGCGAAATATGATCTATCGGTCAACATATCGATGTATGGTGTTGTAATTGAAATATGCTACCTTGTTTTTTCGAGTGTTACTTTTCCAATTGTGTTGATATGTAATAGCAAAATGCTGAACAGAGATATTATTCAGTTAGTTCTACTCCGTAGGTTTGTTGTTCATCAGTATCTTGAATTAGAACATTGATAAACATGTGACTGCCGCTACTCAAGCCATCGGTTCGTTATGATATGTGATGCTGATTTTATGTAAGCAATATTTTCGCCACGCTTGTCGATATATTTCCGCTTCGAACTAATCTCATTTTGGCTGTCCGAGTTGCTTGCATCGAATTGTATAATCCTGCAAGAAGCTTGGTATAGATCGGGATATCTAGATATGCGAGTTTGCGTATGGAAGATTTGAAATTGCATTTCTAGTCGTACATTCTTCCCCGTGGATAGCAGTAGCGTTTATGTCAATAAAGGACTGAAAGATTGGGGAAGGTTAGAAAGGAGAGACTTCTCCTAGTGGAATTTGACTCGACACAAATCTTGGTTACGCCACCTTTAGTCTTGATGTCATGATCACCTAGGTAGGTACAATCTCCCATAAATCTTATAAACATCATACACTCCCTCCTCCTTTCATCTTCATTCAAAACCATTCCAATGTTGCGCACTATCTCAAGAAAGACTTCCCCCCAATTCTCAGCTAAAATCTTTAAGCCTACATCTCTTTTTTCAAGAAACATGGCCGATAAGCGTGTTGAGCAAGCTGCCCAAGCTGCTGGTGAAAAGAAGGATACCAACCCTTCTGTAAGTAGCCATTTACTTGTCCAGTTTTAGTGCCTCAAATGGATTAAGCTAATCAAAGTGACTTAGAACCCATCAGTTATTTCATCTGGAGGCGCAATTGGCAAGCAATTCAATCCTGACGGGAATATAGGACAAATTGGTGAGAAGATTGGTGGTCCATTCTCAAAGGTACATCTCAAAGCCATACACTGCCTTCAAATCTTCGAATCTGACTCGGAAATAGGACGGTGCTATCGGTTCCCAGTTCGATGCCGCAAAGGATGGTCTCGCTGGACAAGTTGAGAAGGCTGTTGATGGACCAAGTAGACCCGCTACTGAGAAGAAGTAATGACTTCCGAGGGTGATAAATGAAAGGCTATGATAATGTCATAGGCTGGAATGTAATACTTGGACGTCTCTCACATCACAAAACTGGTCGTATGTACCACAATCGATGAATAATGAGCCCTGTTTCAACGACATATACTTTGGTGACCTGTCGTTAAGTCGAAACTGAGAATGTGATGTTTGCAGCGGACCCTTTTAATACACAGATAGTCTTCAAGTGGTGGTGGTGTAATGACAAAACCCAGTCTCCTACAACACTGTCCATCTTCTATGTACTTGCTCATCAACTTTGATGAGCATTACATTTTCTGATCTTTCCTTGAGGGCTCTCACTGCCACCCAAACACATGAAATATTGTTATCTGTCGCCAAACATTTAGCCGTGGAAAAGAAGTTATCCAGCTCCACAGATCGCTAAGTGAAAGGCTTTGCACTCAAGACCTCCAACCCAGTCCATTTAACAAAGCGGCTTACATTCTGTCTGACTTTGCTATCGTGCTTCTCGGGAAATGCGATTACTGATTTGCGAACTCTTGACAATACATTCCATATTGTGATACCATGATTTGAAGTTAAAGATATCATCAAAGCGGCATCGATTGATGAAATAAACTTGATGGTGTCAGTTCGGCATTCGTGTTCGGGGCAAAAGGAAATCAAATGATATTCGGCTTCGATAAAACTTTCTTCCGATCGGATAAACTTCGACAGGGATATCTTTGAATCGAAGCGAAGGTGTTTAGCTTGCTTGTGATGGCGTGCTTTCTCGTGCTCTCACGCTCTCACGTATTTTCTCCGAATTCACTTATTACTATCTGTTTAACACGGCAAGTGAAGAAAGAAGGTGGGTTTGAAAGTGGTGAAATTTCTTATGAAGGTCTCTTATTTACTATTACTAAAAGGTGATTTATCGGAGTCTCGGTTTTACATTCCAATTGATAGGCCAAAGATTATATATCACATATCACACTAAATCTTTCTCTTTCAGGTTAAGTTTTGAAGGGATATTATTTCCTTCTACTACTGAGTATATTGTTGACTTCTTTACTTTACTTTGCAACACTCATTCTTTTCATACTCTCAAGTGTATCAAGACAATTGGTCTTGGATTTCTCTTTTCTTTCATTTAGATTCTTGTCTTGTCGAAAGTTCTTCGAAGATACCCCGCCACCGTCAAGTCGCAAGAATGGGGGAATCAATAGATTATGATCAAACCAAAGGCATAAATACTAAGCCAGAAGGTGATGGATCTAAGCAGGTAAGCCAAAGGAACGCCCATAGAACTTATTTCACAAGTGACTAATCATCTTGTTCTCCGCAGGAACCACTTGGAAAAGATTCACTCAACTCTACCTGGAATTCCGAAACCGAGCCTTCTTTCCGAACATTTTCTCAAAAGTCCTCCAATTTGCCATTTGGACAAGCAATCGACTACGATGCGATCAGTGGACCTACCTATGTTACTGCACAAACTTTGGTTCAACAAGTAGCATATGCGCTCTCCGATAAGATCTTCTCATATTCCCCAGAATCGTTTGATTTGGATGTTGCTGTAAAGTCTTGGGCTGCGGCGAACACAAAAAATGCCAATGGATATACTACTCAAGTTTCCCCCATGCAAACTCGATCCGGCGCTGGATCAATTGCTCTTGGATATATGTTCTCAAAGGATTTCGATTTGACCAAGAGACATATCCCTCAATCACTTTTGGCCTCTTCTTCTAGTCTTCATAGCCTACGTTCAACTCTCGACCAGCTTTCTTTATTATACTCTGTTGCAAATCCATTTGTAGCTCACGTTGCTGCTGTTGATTACGCGCCAGGGTCTGGTGGTCTCGTTACGGACTATGCAACTGCTTTGACTGTAGCAGAAGAGTTAGGACTTGGTTTGGTTTCTAGTTCATCTGCATACGAAGCGCAACATATGTCTCTTTTCTCTACATTGCTAGCAACTGTTCTTCCAACCATCCATACCTACGATGGCATCACTGTTGGTCGTGACACTCTTCGTGTTATTGATATTCTTAGCCAATCTGGTCTCAGCAGTTCCTACAAGAGCATTCTTGACGAGATCTCGAAACTTGGAAAGAGAGCTGATGCTGAAAGCAAAGTTTCATCACTTCTTGAAGCTTTTAACAACGAACTTGGTACATCTTATGGTCTTTTTGAATATAACGGAGATGAATCTCCAGAATCTGTTTTGGTTGTCTTCGGTTCCGTTGAAAGTTCTCTCGCTACTCAAGTCGCAAAGAAGCTCTCTGCTGAAGGAGAGAGAATCGGTGTTATCAATGTTAGAGTTTACAGACCTTTTGTAGAGGAAGCTTTCTTGAAGGCTCTTCCTGCATCAGTTAGAAATGTTGCAGTCCTTGGTCAAGTTCTAGATGAGTCAGCCGCAACAGATGTTTCTGGTCACTCTAATTTGTATGAGGATGTTTTGGCAGCAACTGTATTCTCCGATAAATTCCCAGCTGCTCCAAAGGTTGTTGATGTCAAGTATGCTCGATCGCAAGTATTCACACCTACTTCTATCGCTGGTATCTTCCATCAACTTAGTGGCAAGTCCATCAACGAGTCAATATCACTCTTGACTGTTGGGCAAGTTGAGCAATACTCATTCTTTGATCTTGAGGATGCTGCTGCTGCTACCGCTCCTTCTGCTATTAGCAAGCTTCTTTCTGGTGATTCGGCCAGCAATGTTCTCATTAATCAAACTCATGACAACTTCATTCAAGGTGGTGTTATTAGAACTGATATCCGAAACTCCAAAAAGTCAATCGAGGCTGCTTATCCAATTGAAGAAGCCGATGTTACTTACATTGGAGATGAAAAGTTATTCAAGGAGATTGGTATCTTAAAGAACGTCAAGTCGAATGGAAAGATTATTGTCAAGCTTCCAGGTGTTAAGGACGAAGATTTGGAGAAGAAGATTCCAAGCTTTGTTCGCAATGAGTTCAAGTCAAAGGACGTCGAGTTATTTGTCTTGGATCCAACTTTGTCAGAAGCTCTTGAGAAAGAACCTTCTCTTGAAACTCTGTTAATTGAACTTGCTTTCTTGAAGATTGCTCGCCCAGAACTTCTGGATGCCAGCAAGGATAAGCTCGCAGCTATTAATGGAAGCCAAGAACAACTTCAAGCTGCAGTAGCTGACCTTGAGAAGGTCACTCGCAAGGTTGAAATTCCTGTGACTTGGGCTGAAGTTGATACTGAAGCCGAAGTTCTAGACCTTCCTGCAACTATCAAGTCCAGCAGTTTTACTGGTTTCCAAAAGGAAGAAACCGAGGCACCATCTCAACTTCGTAATTGGCACGCAGCAGCTAAGGGTCTTCTCTTTAAGGAAGCTTATGGTACTACATCTGAACTTCGACCAGATCTTACTGCCAAGACATATGAGATTACCGTAAAGGAGAATCGTCGTTTAACCCCTATCACATATGATCGTAACATTTTCCATATCGAATTCGATTTGGGAACATCTGGTCTTAAGTATGATATTGGTGAAGCTCTTGGTATTCACGCTGTCAATGATGTTACTGAGGTTGAGGAGTTTATGAAATTTTATGGTCTCAACCCAGATGATGTTGTTGAAGTACCTTCTCGTGAAGATAAAAATGTTTGGGAGGCCAGAACGGTTTTCCAATCTTTGGTGCAAAACGTCGATATCTTTGGTAGACCACCAAAGAAGTTCTACGAAGCCCTCGCCGAATTCGCTTCTGACGAGAAAGAAAAGAAAGAACTTCTTACCCTTGGTGGCCCAGAAGGTGCTAATGAGTTCAAGCGTCGCGCTGAGGTTGATACCATCACCTACGCCGATATTCTTCTTGAATTCAAGTCCGCTCACCCATCTTTCCATGACATCGCTCGCATTGTTTCACCAATGAAACGTCGTGAATATTCTATCGCCTCTTCTCAAGCTGTCAATCCAACAACTGTCGCCCTCATGATTGTTGTCGTATCTTGGGTCGATCCAAAGGGTCGCGATCGTTTCGGTCAAGCTACACGTTACCTTTCTTCCCTTCCTGTCGGATCTAAGGTTACCGCTTCCGTTAAGCCTTCCGTCATGAAACTCCCAACTCTTGATACAGCTCCTCTTATCATGGCTGGTCTCGGTACAGGTCTTGCTCCTTTCCGTGCTTTTGTTCAATACAGAGCTATGCAAAAGGCTCAAGGTAAAGATATCGGTTCCATCCTTCTTTACATGGGATCCCGTCATCAACGAGAAGAATACTTGTATGGTGAAGAATGGGAGGCCTACCAAGATGCAGGTGTTATCACTTTACTTGGAAGAGCATTCTCTCGTGATCAAAAACAAAAGATTTATATTCAAGATCGTATGAGAGAAACAGTCACCGATATCATTCAAGCGTATATTAAGGATGAAGGATCATTCTATTTGTGTGGTCCTACATGGCCCGTACCAGATGTTACGGAGGTCCTTGAGGAGGCGATTAGGGAGGATGGTAGATTGAGTGGAAAGAAGGTGGATGGAAGGAAGGAGATTGAGAGATTAAAGGATGCTGGTAGATATGTTTTGGAAGTTTATTAGACGTGTTTGAGGCATTGTTGATATGTAGCTGGTGGTTGGGTTTGTAAAGCGTGTTTAGACTATACTGGTTAAGATTGAAATTCATAGATTGTTTCTGAACTCTGTTTAAAAACCAGGGGCCTGCGCCCCCCGGACCCCTGGCTTTTCGAGAAAGTCTTATGAAAATTTAAGTTTTAAAAAGTTTATAATAGATTTAAATATTAAATATATATCAAGATGTAGATAGAATATCAGTTTGTTTTTGATAATTGAAAATTAAATTTTTTTTATTTAAAAGTAATAATTATAATATTTTATATTATTATTATTATGTTACGCCAAAAACTCCACAGAGCCTCCAATCAGGAATCACGTGATGGATCTTAGGACCTAACGGAGCGAAGAGTTTAATCGTCGCTCCAATCGATCCAATCGATCCAATACCCACGAAGGTCTATATAATCAAGATGGATGTCCTTTGTATAAAGCTTCGTGCTCAAGATCAATCATTTAGTATACTCCACTATTAGTTACGAATTGTATATCATTATTGTCATTACTTTAAGTCCCTGCTTGACGCCTAGTTATAAACCTACCTCGAGAGCCTAGAGCACTTCCACGTGATCTAGACGGCAAACCTCGTAACAGCTACGTACTTTGTTTAGCCAATAATTAGAGTCTGCCAGAAGCAAATGGAATTCTGTGGCCAGTGACCACTCTCCTGGCCTGTCTGGGAGCTTCTAGTTCTCTCTTATTCACTTGGATATCAATTTTATGGTTTGGACCTGGTTCTCATTTCTCTCTCTCTACCTATTTAAGCTTCGCCTTCCACCAGGGGGCATTGTATATATAGCAGCACTGCTGCAGGGACCACGCAGTCTAATCCAATCCATTTAGGGAATTCGCGTTTTAAAAATACTGTGGAATATTGAAGGATAAGAACTCGGAGTTTTAAGAGTCACTTACTATTGGTCACCAGTTGAAACAAGTGGCATATGTTTGGCCGACAGTGAGTATCATGCAAATCGACAATGAGAGGTTAGATTCAACAGTACTTGCTTCATTTGAGAGGAAATTCAGCTAGATTTTGACCTTTGGTAAGAGAGGTTTGTCAGTTTTGGAATTACCATACAAATGGATATGCAATGAGTAGGATACATCTAGTGTAGCATGAACGGACTTGTTTGTGAATATAGAAATGTATGGTATACTCAAGACTGTGTAGGTAGCATTTATAAAACCAAGTACTCACAGATCGTGGCATACCCAAGGAACTTCATCACTCTCATGGCGGTACTTCTTTTGATTATACCCAAAACAAATCTATGCTCATGATCCGATACAAATAGAAAGCTTCGGTGAATACATACAACTCTCCCCTCACATGAATAACAGAATACTCCACTCATTCTCGTCTCTTAACTACAGATGTGTGATATCTGTAGATATATAAACACTCAAGTATATTGCAAACTTCCACAATCACAAACAAAGTAAAATGATATGGGACTCATGGTTTGTGGAAGATGCCAGCATAATTTTCTCTCCTGGGAAGGTTTCTGTTAAACAGTAGTATTGAAGGAATAAAATCTTACTCGAAGAAGGAAGATGAAAAGATAGAGCTCCTCCTAGTAAAGGAAAGATGATAGTGTAAATGGTAATAGTACAGTGATATCATGTAGAAGACAGTGGCAACGATAAAAGGTGAGGCGACAATGTTACTATCATAAACCCACAATTGGCATATATATAGTCGACTACAATTTAAGAGATCAAGCCATATGTGCGGGATTTCAGACGGACGTAGAATCTCAGAGCTTCAGCCACAGATAAAACTCAGCTGCGTCTTCACCGAAGAAAGCTATGGATAAGATTGGGACCCCTCAGCAGCATATGCCAGCACCACCTTAAACACCTAGAGAAGTAGAATATTCTACCTACATGTATATTAAGTTCTAGGAATATGAACGCATTCACTCCACTGCGGTTTTACTCACAATTTAAATCTCAAACAATAAACCCAGATCTTCAAATCCACTATCTATCTTCCCAATAGCCTCCTTGCATATATCTTCTTGATATAATATATATTTCATTACATTTGGAAAATTGGCAGCAGCTACCATCAGGCCTAGACTTAGAGATGAAAATTCTGTCATATATCCTCAACATTTCATCCAAGATTCAACACTACACTTTCATTCTATAATCACACAATTCAGAAGTTTCTTGAAGCTTAAAACCCATCTCTTGATAGAACATATTAATGAAACAAACTTTACCCATCCCATCTCATCCACTTCATCTCGCTCACTGCACTCTACATTGGAGAGGCTTCGCCATACAATATCTTGATACATCATACCTGACTCGAAGCTCTTTGGAGCTACATCACGAGCAACCAAATAGGGCATCGGCATAGCGAAGCGAGTGCCGGGAGTTAGTTTGGATTTAGTAGACTGATCAGCGTAGAAAAAACGTGAAAATCCGGGGAACTCGAACGTGACATTATTACGAAAATTCTGAAGTTTTAGAAGATTTCACCATATGCAATGGAGATGAAGAGATATAAATGATGTTTAAAATTGTGTATCTTTGTAGTCTTAGATTATTGGATGTATTTTATGGAATTGTAGTAGGTTGGGCAAATATGTTTATTTAACGAGGTGATTGAGTTTAGTAACTGGCCAGATTTAAACTCGAAACTCTGACCCAATTTTGAACATTAGGTCAAAGTTTGAAATTATTTCGATATAATTGAACTACCAGATTGATCTGTATTTCCAATCTTTTAAGATATCATAATGATTCTAGATGCCCAAAAAGTTTCAAGCCCTCAATGTTTGAAATGTCGGATAAACTAGTAATGCTTCACTGAAGCTAATCGTGAATACAGTCCTTAAAAGACACTATGAATGTGTATTATCATCATACCAAATCTCTATACGCAATTACCGAATGGTAGGATATTCTAGAACCAAACTTTGTTCTCCTCCGGTATCGAATATGGTTAGGCAGTTTTTGATATCACAACCTGCTCTAACTTAGCCAAACCCACCAGACCCTTAGTCTCAAGCTATTGAATTTTCATTTGGACCAACGTGATCATCATAATATAAAAGAAAAGACTCCCCAAGAACCAAAACCAAAATCACACACAAAGTTCCTTCAACACAAAAATCATCGATTCAGAAAAAAGACAACTAAAAATCAATAAACATGAACGATCCAACTCTTCATAATAATAGATTCATCAATCCCGACCCGAAACTCATTGATGATATATGCGAGGACTGCCATTTCATGTTGCGGACCCGGAAAGGTATATTTCGGCTCATTACAAGTGGATATATGCATAGACGGCTTCGATGGACCCACGAAGATATGTCATTACCAGAAGGCGATAAGCCGGTACCTCCTCCTACCACTTCTCCAAACCAGTCTGATCATACACTCCTTGGCTGGGGATGCGTAATTTGCGGACTGATTCTCTCTTCTCCGAAAGCCAGCCAAAAAGGCTCCGAAATCACACATCCCTCTGTCTATCACAAATACAACCCGAGGGTTCCTGCTTTCCGTAGCATCAGCTTTCGCCCCATCATTGCCAATCAAGCTGACGAAGAGGTGGAAAATCCATTTAAGGATCAAGCGCTTTCGAGGACTAGTCGACACCCAACAATCCTAAATATGACGGAGGTGGTAGAATATTTTCATGAGAATCATATTCATATCAAGGGTGTCATTGTCATGAGGGGAGCTGAGGAAATCGTCAGAGTGCCATGGCATCTTCCGATGTGGTCTATTTTTATCCGTAGGGACTTACGCTTCAGAGTCAAGGGAGTTTTTCAAAATGGTTAGCCAAGTGTCAAATAAAAACTTCCTCGACCGCATTGACGACTCAAATACCTACTCGATAAGCAAAGTATTGAATTTTCTGGATTATATTACGGGATCCGCGGACGAAGAATTTTATATGGCTGGAGATAGTTTTGATTTATTGAAAGGTGGTTCTCTGTATCTAAAATAGTTGTCAGAATTTTGGATGCAATCTCCATCGGAAATATGTAACTGAAGATAGAAATGCCAATCACGAGAACCATCAATACAGAAAAGGTTTAAGTCTTGAATATATATCATTTCATATGGGGTTCCATAATTGAGCCTACTTGCACTGTTCCAGTAATGCTCTCCCATAATCACCTCTGTTGGGTAATCTGTTGCATGTATGAATGTGACATCTCGCCGGACTTGTATTCGTCAAGAAAACTTATTCAATGTTAGATATGTAACATCAGAGATAAGATGACTTACTGCCACAATGGAAATCCAATTCCATAAAAGCTACAGGACTATGGATACGATAATAATATGGATCATTGTCTCCAAATTCCCCAATCCAAGCAAAGTAAGTTTCGCCGAGATGCTTTTTAAATAGTGCGACTCTCTGCTCTAAGACTGCATCGGGATAGTACTCATTGAAACTCTTGAAAAGCTTAATGATCAGCTCCTGCTTGTCGGCTGGAAACTCAGAAACTGGACATCCTTCATAGGGAACAATCCTGTTGTCTTGTCTCGCACCACCCAAGTGTCTTTCGTCAAAAGGGTTCCACCTATCATCTGGAAGGCTCTTTCCATCCATACCCTTACTCAAAGTTGCCTTATCTTGTAGTTCTCTGGACAAACTTTGCATCAAGCTCAAACTATCCATTTCTTCTGATCTAAATAACCTCAACCCAGCATGTGGACCTTCGTCGATTCTATCAGGTTCTGCTCCCATGAATGTAGGACCAATCACCATTCTCTTGCCAAGGAATACTACTACATGAGACAAATGATGTCCAAAGAATGTGTATCCCCATGGTTTCCTCATGGATGGTGTACCAAATAAGCGGAAGTTATAGGAGTGCTCGTTGAGTACTTTCTTGCCATTCACTAGATGGCCAAGAAAATCGTTTGTGAGGCAGCAGGCATGAATCTTTTCATAACCTTGTTTAGATGATGAAGCTTTGAGAATGGCATGAATAGCGGTCTGGATTTCTGGGGAACACTCATCGAGTCGTAGTCCGCCTGTTCAGTATGAGTGTGAGATCAAATGGAGGGTGTAACCAATGCCTACCTGGGTTCATGTATAATTCTGGATTTGATCCCAACCTAAACTCATCATCCGTAACATCTTCGAACTGAACTGCTTTTCTCTGTTCCTGAGACAAAATCTTTAGAAGCTCCTCCGTTTTTGCAATTACCTCCTCAGTTGGCGCACCCTCATCCTCCGTATAATTATACAGCCCCTCTCTAACATTTCCATCTGATGTGAATCCTCTGTATGGTCTCTCCAAGTTTTTTGCTTCAAGTCGGTTTATCAACCAAGCAGGAGCTTCTATTTGTCTCCTCGACTCACACCAACTTAATGCTGTGTGGTCTTGTATCCCAGCAATGCGGGGATGATCTGGCGAAGGTATGATATTGCGGAAAGGAACAGCTGCATCGGAGCGGGGCATTTTAGGATCTGAAGTTTGAATATATCCAGAGTTTTTTGGTAAAACTGCCATATTGAAGTTTGATTGAGATACCTGGGAGTGATTTTAAGACTGGAGTTTGACGGGAAATTTATGTCACAATGGGTTTCTTGAAAGTATGTGAGGGGAAACAGTTTGAATATGAATGTTCTTCAATTGATATATCGCTATTGACAGAGCCAAAGCATAACCCGACAATGATCTAACCATGACTTCAGTCGATGTGGAGAGCTTGTGGAATTGCTGCAGAGACATACGAATGCGAGTCGAATGAATGAATGATACCGGTGGACTACCGGCGTCATTGAAGTTGGGATTTTCATTCTGAAGCTTCGGGGAGTTGAATGCTTATTAATCCCCACAAACTAGCGTCTGAATCCCTGAATTCCCCTCAATCACCCCACAACCTTCCACTTGACATCTTGTGGGGACTTTAACCTTTCTTACCCGTCCACATTTGACCAAACATACGGATCTCAGTCCGAGAGAAATTGACCATGCACGACGGGGCTCAAGGTGGCAGATATGGATAATACGGTATCGGAGCAGTTGCGGTCATGAAGGTAGTTGTATCGGCTTCCACCAAAGTGGGATTGAAATGAGTTGGTGAGACTACGAAGCTTTTGTTTAAGTCAAGAACAGTTCTCTTCAATCTCTACCTCTGTTCCTCCTCCAAATCTTTCTCAAATCCTCTCATCCCAACATCTCTTTCAACACTGCTATAGGGAATTAATATCTCAATCATACATCAGCCATGCCAGTACCATCATTTGAGCGTACGTTGTTCTATAGTTCCAGCCAAGCACTCGTGTCAACATGCAGACTGATATGCTCTTTTTCCTAGGTCTTGTACGATTCGTACCTCAAGCGTCTGAGGAGGTACTCATAGGTCAACCAGTAGACTTGGAGCTCGATGTGGGAGCTGCAATCATTGCAGGAAAAGAGGTGAAAATTGATGTATACAGCGGATCATCAGTATTAGAACCAGGCACTCCGACTGGAACAATCAAAGAAATACGAAAGCTTCTATCTCCCCTCGCAGAGTCCGAAGTTGGCACAATTCGATGTATCGGATTAAATGTAAGATACCACTTCTGTGGAGGGGTTATGTGGCATTGATTAATTATTGCACAGTACGTTCAACATGCGCACGAAGTTAAAATGGCCATCCCAGATCTACCGACTGTCTTCATGAAACCTTCGACATCTCTCGCAGATCCATATCCTTCTCCGACAGTTATCCCAAAATTTTCGCTGAAAGATGATTGCTGTGATTACGAATCTGAGTTGGTAATTGTGATTGGGGAGAAATGCAAGGACGTCAGCGAGGCAGACGCACTAAAATATGTTTTGGGATATACCGCGGCGAATGATGTTAGTAGTCGCGCAAGTCAATTTGCACAAAGTCAATGGTGCTTCAGTAAAAGTTTTGACGGAGCTTGTCCAATTGGTTTGTCTTCTCAGAGGAATTGAGTAATTTAAGTTAACAAAATCCTAGGTCCGGTATTGGTGTCAACGAAGCTCATCCCAGACCCATCGAAACTTCGAGTGAGAGGTCTAAAGAATGGAAAAGTTATGCAAGATTGCGGAACAGAGTATGAAATATTCCATCCCATTTTAAGCAGTAAACTGACCAAAAACAGCGATCTGATCTTCCCGGTTGCAAAAATTGTTTCCTTCCTCTCGCAGGGTACTACAATGCTGCCAGGTACCATTATTTTGACCGGTACACCCGCAGGTGTTGGTAATAGCTTCACACCAAAGGAATATTTGAGGGAAGGAGATACATTCTCCGTTGAGATTTTACCACATATTGGAACTATGATGACCAAGTTTGAAGATCAAAAGTAAATCGAGATTGACAGCACTAGGCGGTTTATCAATGTCCAATATGGCAGCAATTATCAATTGCACAAAAACAATCACTTTCGTCCGGTAGTAAGCTTCCATTCGTTCACTCAAGTGGTTCTATTTTCTGAAGTGTTTTCCCTCAAACCCTCTCAGATTTTCAAAATTAACTCGTGAGGGGGTTTTCTATCCACTGTATGAAGCTGCAAACAGCAAGACATCCAGTCGCATCCTTGCAGCTGCTCTTCTCGCACCTCTCCCCGTGCCCCTGCCCCTGCCCCTTCCCCTTCTCCTTCCCCTGCCTCTGCCTCTGCCTCTGGCTCCGCCCTCTACCCCAGCTCCTACGTTTCTTATCAACGGCGGTCTTCCTATTGGAGGCCTCCTGATAGGTCGAACGTCTCCAGGTCTAATGGGTCTTCTGCGTTCCCCGCCCCCGACTCGAATGGTAAGGTCTAGTTGAGGAGGCATCTTCGCTTACTCTGTGTTGTTTATACACGGCAGTGCGTGTATTTCACCGGTTATAACGGTTTAGATGCGGTGAGGATCCCGAACTTTCCTAGGCGTTTTGGAAACCGCTCTGTCCAGCCTTTTCTCAATAACGTTACCTGTTGTAAACTATCGTCATTATAAGTGGGGCAGCGGGGCTACAATTTATAGGATGTACTCTTCCGCCTGTTATTCCGCGGCTTTGGGGATGTCACTCGTCTTCAGTCTTTGACCCTTTTGATACCTTTTCAATCATTTGGAATTGTGGAAGTTTCCAGTCTTGAATTATCAAACAACTATAACAATGACACAAATAATCATTCTTCAATCGCCATAGAATATTATGCCAAGATGCGTTTAGCTGTCTGAATGGGTCAAGGCCGGCTATACCATAGAATGAGGCTTAGCCATGAAGCAAAGGGTTCGTCATCACACTTGTTGTCCTTACGCCCTACTTTTACAATGATTTTATACAAGCAATTCTCGTAATTGTGGAATGAGTCATATTTAATTTTACGAAAAGGTCGAATCGTGACCTGATGTTATCCAGTTTGTACCCCTTATTTCTAGGCAGATGAATTCTGTACTTGCGGCTGAGAAAAACAAAGTAATATAAATGTAGATATTTTCCATCATTAGAATAGATCATATCAAACAATATAATTTGAATAAATATGGCTCCTATTACAATGAAGCTCTGCTTGATATTTCTCAATCTTTCTCATGCCGTCTATGGCATTATTCAAGCTCCTCCACTTCCTGGATCCCATGCCCTTGGAACCACAGCTTTCCAAGCAACAGACTCATCAACCTCTCGTGGTCTAATGCTTTCCTTCTTCTATCCCACCTCAGCTCAAAATACATCAAACTACACATTCGCCCCCTCCTTCCCCGTAGCCACCGCTCTCCACCTAGCAGAGACCTACTCCCTCCCTCCCACCATCCTCCAAGGCTTCAGCTCACGCTCCTACAACACAGCTCCTATTCTCCTTTCCAACAGCCACACATTCGATTTCCCCGTCCTCCTCTTCTCACCAGGCTACGGAAATACCCGTCTCATGTACACAACCATTGCCGAAAACATCGCTTCTCTCGGCTATCTAGTCATCACTGCTGATCATCCTTTCGATGTAGATTTTATCGAGTATTCAAATGGTACAACGGCGACTTGGGACGATATCGATTTTGACAATAGTACCCAAGCGATTCCGTATGTAGATGCTCGAGTCAGGGATTTACAATTCGTGTTGAATTCGCTCTCAAATTCTTCATTTACTGCTCAGATTCCTGGGATCTCGAATTCTTCTCCTAAATCTTATGGAAAAGGAAAATCTCAACAAATCTTCCAAACTAAAAATATCGGTGCATTCGGACATTCATTAGGTGGAGCATCGGCTTTATCAGCTATGGGCATCGATTCTCGTTTTTCATGTGGAATTAATCTTGACGGTGAAATGTTTGGGAACGTCGTCCAAACAGGACTTAAATCCCCTTTCATGATTATGGCAAATGAATTGCATTATAGAACTGAAGAGAGAGATGCTTCGTGGTACGATTTTTGGGCTAATTCTGTGAAACTTGGAGGTTGGAAAAGAGATGTGAGAGTGAATGGTACGACGCATGGTAGTTATACGGATTTGGCTGTCTGGGCGGGAGTATTGGGTTTAGGGGGATTTGAAGATCTGTTGGGTACGATTCAGGGACAGAGGATGCTGGAAATCGAAAGTGAGTTTGTGGGTAGCTTTTTTGGGAAGTGGTTAAAGGGGAAGACAGGGAAGGTATTGGATGGTCCTAGTAAGGAGTGGCCGGAGGTGGTTTTTGATTTATGATTTTTGGGTATGATGGCTTGGAAGCTTGGAAGTTGAAAGTGATGAGAAGATGTGGTCATGACCTTTACAGATAGATTTATGTGTAATGTATTCAATTATTATTCCACCGTGCAGATTTCGGAGGTTGTTTACTTCGAAAGATATGAACGTTGAATCTGGCTCTATCGTTATTCGAGTCATTTGTGGACCAAAATTCGGTCTTCTGGATCGTAGCCTGAGATGTTGCGATACTTAACTATATGCTCTCGCCGAGAATATGTCCACTTGCAGCCTCTATACATTTTCACGCAAGTATTTTGCTCCCAAGGCCACGAAGATAAAACTGTGATATAATCTCTTTGCAAATTTACTTGCTCGAAATAATGATATTGACTAAATTCCCTAATTGTCTTAGAAATATGTGTCAAATCTTCAGTTATTGCATGCAAAGATGTAGAACCGAATCGAGAATGAGGGCGGGAACGGAGAAACTATCCTCGAGATGTTGTCACTGTGCGAGCATTATATCGCGAACATGCACAAGATTGAGATTTTTGTACTGCTAAGGTGTTACGAGCGTGTAACTTTCTCGACCGAGCTGAAATATGATAGGTTGTGACGGATTAGGCTGTGTTCAAGGGGTTGCCATAACCGTCGGCAGTAATGATATCCTAGTGTTACCCCTCATGCAGGGCTTTGTCATCCGGTTGTCTTGTTTTTGTTTACATCTATCTTTCCAAGTCCTTGAAAATGTCTTCCATTATTGATGGGATTGATCATTCTTGGATACCAAACTCATATCAAAACGACCTTGCAGTTGTATAAACGAAAGTTACAGAGAATTTCCATCACCGAAACTTCAACACTCCACAGCCATCAAAACTTGCGATTGATAGTAAGAATCCCTATCAATTGTCATGAAAAGTACCAAGCGCTTGGCATTGAAGTACTCTCGCAAGTCTGTGAGTTTGAAAATCCCACTTGGAAATCCCTACATTTTTCTAATCTTAGCCTTCTCTCCACAGATACTTCGTATTTATCGCATGTTGAAATCTCTCTCAAGTCTCATAAATAAAGGCAACTCGCATTACCTCCTAGCGTAACCGACCGAAGAAACTTCCTCGAATCTCGTACAACCACTTCCAAAATGGTAAAACAAAATGATGTTATCGCTATTATTGTGATTTTCTTAGTTTTCGCAATGATTCCTCTAGCGTTTTACGCATATAATAAGGTTTCGAGAAAAAGATTATCCTATAGTGAATATTCTTCAACTACAGTTATGGAAGAGCATTCTGTGGATTCGGCGGAATCCACGGAATCACCATCGTCGGCATCGCCACCGCCACCGCCGGGTAGTGGAAGGCGGGTTGTTGGAGCGGGAGGAAGACCTATTGTTGGGGCTGTGGCTGGGCCTCCTGGACCTGGACGTCCAGTGGCAGGAGGGATGGGTGGATGGTTTGGTGGTGGAAGGCCTATTCCGGGTGTTTCAGGTGCCGGAAGACCTGTTGTCGGCTCTGGGGGAACGGGAAGTCCGATTGCTGGTGACGATTGAGAAATTTAATGTTGGGTTTTTATTTGAATTGAGATTTAAGATTGTTTGGTCAAGAAACTGGTGAACACAAATAAATGGCCGGGTGGTTGGTCATTAGTTTCGTGCTCTCGCTTACATTACAAATCACACTAGCGGCCGCCTCCAAGCCCAGCAAGATTTTATCCGAATATCAAAAAAGTTTTCACAACCCCCACTAATTTAATGGTAAATATATTAAGAAACGCGGCAACGCCTTCCATCAAATAGTTCATCACTATTCATATAGGTGAGATGGCCGAGTTGGTCTAAGGCGCCAGGTTAAGGTTTATAGATCTTAATCACAAGACCTATCACAATCTCCTGGTCTAGTAATAGGCGTGGGTTCGAATCCCACTCTCATCAGTATTCTTTTGCTACTTTGGCATATTTTTGGGAATTTGTGTTCTTTCCAGCCGTTTGAAAACGAATCTTTTGCATCTCTTGGGATCTCTATGGGTCTCTTACTGGACTATTTCTCGACCAACACCATCTATCCACTTATTTTCAACCGGCAAAACGTTCCCGAAACAAGCGTGGAAAAAGCGAACGAATCATGAAACTTGGCTTGGGACACTATTATGGTGTTATGCCATAGCGCAGTTTTGACATGTGTCACGATTTGGAAGGTTTATATCTTCTAAATAATCATCTGGGAGGTTTTACATATACTCCTTATGTGTTGATTGGAAAGTGAGTAAATACTTCACAATATTTTGTGGAATGTCTTGATATATCCCATTTTGTCGATCTACAAGTCGATCACACCATGATGGCGAAAGTTCGACGTCATTTTAATACCATATATATATGTATATATATATTAGGACCACATAATATCATGAAACATGCATGAAAGCAGGTACACGTCGTGCACTACATCAGACGATCCAGACTATCATTTAAGCTTAAAATGATATCTATAAGGAACATTCTTTTCCGTCTTTTCTTTGCAGGTTTTCATTTTTGCCTATAATAATAAACAAGCATGTATTTTTCTATTTCTCCATTGACTATCCTTGCCAGTGCAGCATTCTTCACTTCTTCTGTCGCCATGAATATAGAGGTAAATGCATATCGCAGTTTCAGTTTGAATGGCCACTAACAATATACCCCTCTAGGCTCGACAAACCCCCGCCCCTTCGTCGACCCCAGCTCCCAGTCCCATACCCACCACAAAAACTACTCTTGATGCCACTCAATCAGCATCTCAGTCACTAGCAATACAATCAGCACTTGCGTCCTATGCATCCTCTCTTTCTGCAGCCTCCATTTCGGCCATTGCTGCTGGTTCCACGCTCACTGGCCCTAAAGCTTCTGCTGCTGCCAAACCTACCACAGATACTTCTGGCTCGGGAACGGACACGAACGTGATGTGGATAAACATTGGATTGGGATTGGTCGTTACTGGAGTTGGATTATTATGAACGAATAATGTCACGGAAATTCTCAAACATATGAAGAAATTTCGAATCCTAGAATGGTCGGCGAGCCAAGCGTGAAAGAGTCGGAGTTCTTGTTCATTTCTGGAGTTTGGGAGTTATATTGAGTCCATCTGAAATATGAAACGTCGAATATCGTTCGAATATACAAGATTGTCGCGCAGTCACTAGGTTGGAGGAATCATTTAATGATCGAATTCAGATTCAGATATCTAAAGATATCGTTGGATTATGGAACCCTATGAGCTGGAATCAAGCGATCAAAGCACAATTTTGGATTTTCACGGAGGAAAGAGCCACCCTCAGCGGTATGGACATAGACAAAAGTGGTATTCCCGGGTAAATGGCTGGATCGGAGTGCACTTCAGCACATTTATACGAATTGGATGATATATCTATGGAATTTTACAAATGGAGTTTCAGTGAATATTGTTGGTTATGAGGTAGGAGGCTGGATTTATTGATAACATACTTTCATCATTGGGTAATCAATAGCCAATCAAGGAAGGAAGGAGAGAAAAACAAGAAGTTCCTCGTCAACATCTACTGGCTCTATCAGTACCAGAAGTCCTTCCTTATTTGTATCAGTATAGAAACATTTGGTTGCTATTCCTGACATTCATTTCTATTTAAAACAACACAAAATCTCCATTTTTATCATTGTGACTTAGCTTGAATATTCCTTAACTTCTATTTCCAATATACTATTTTTATATTCAATACCTGAAACCGCCTAATCCGGGATTTCCAGCGCCACATTAATAGCGGACTCGTTGTTCACAGCCTTACTATACAACCTCAACCAGAGAAACGCAATCATGCAAAGTTCCCGCACCATTCAAAGAGAACCTTTTGGCAACTTGATCCAAGACGATCAAGATTTCGAAGTTACTCATGCCTATGTTCTAGCAGCACGTGGGGGTGATCCGAAAGATCGCCCTGCTGCGTGGAAAGAACCGGAATTAATCCCAGCGGGCACTCACGATCAGGTAATTGAAAGAATTCTTTCTGCCTATGATTTTTCCGCGGTATTTATTAACCTTGTATTAGACAAGCAAGGTAGACAGACCGACCCAGAATCAGAAACTAATCTCAGCGGGCAAGTCAGTTCCGGTAAGTTAGAGAATCCTGTCTTCCACCGAAATTTTTTGCAATACATACTCATCATCCATGTATTAAAAGAGACCCACCTACACATCTATTCTAAAACATCTTGAGCATAATCTCAAGCTCAGAGAAGGGGCGCCCGGGATAAGGCGGCGCAATAGTATAATCGATCCAATAGACGAAGAGTCAGGTTTGACTATTCCCACACTCAATATGGCGAGAGCCATTTTCTTTCGTTGGCACTCGATCAGCGAACAGGAGTGCAAGATCATCGCCCCTCCTGTTATAGCACGACTTCGTCGTGGTGATCCCGAGCTGGAAGACTACATCCACGACTTGATGATTTATCAGGACAAAGTAGAACTTGAAGTTTTGCAAAGAGCGCTAGATATGACATGTAGTATAGTGCTTGCCAACATTCACACGGATGATTTCAAAGAAAGATGCAGGTCGAACTTTGGTCACCTCCGCTTGGCGATGTTGTTTTACAACCTTGTAACAGATGACGAATTATACTACATCTTTCGTACTCTTTGGTTAGCTGTCGACTTTAGTTTTGTTCAATGTAGCGACAAGCTTCCAGATTCTCCTACCGATGAAGACGAATTTCGATGGCATCTGCGGAAGTTCACCAAATTGAAGTTTGCTCATCTTGCAGCTTATTACTTCGAACAATGTTTGCAGCAGAAGAGTCCTATTCGTCATGAATCAATGCAACCTTCGAAAGCTGAGAGGCAGGCTTTCGCTTCTGGATTGAGGCGTGATATGGAAAAAAAAGAAGAGGAATTATCTAAATCCCAAGAAAATGAGAATGATAATGATGCAGGACGCCGCCATCCCCCTGTAGACCCCAAGGTTGAGTTAGATCAAGACCTCTTTGAAGATCCACCAGAGGTTGTGATACATGAAGACCCCCTTGCAACTCCCAAGGCTGAGGACAGAGAGATAGCCTGGTTCAATTCCGAGCAGGCAGCAGAGGGGTGGGCGAGAGGGGTGATGAATGTGGTAGATTATTGGAGAGAGCCACCATTTTCGCTCTTCATATGGGATGTTCATATGTTGCCTGCTACGGGAAATTTCTTGGAAGGTGGCGGTTCGACATGGTAGAGGATCAAGAGTTTTCAGTGAGCTGAGATATTCTCATCATGGAAAAGGGGGTTGATAGCGTTGAGAGCCATATTTGGAAGGAAGGGTTCAGTGTAAATACTGCCATAAAATGTATTCCATAGCGCAAGGGCACGATATTCTCGTCTCTCATCAGTAAAGTACACATGCTTGATAAAACATATCTTCGTATGAGACTCGACCCTTCTGCGGTGCTTGGTGCTTGATCATGCACAATGTGAACGTTTGCAAGATTACGAAATGCCTATTGTCTGTTGGGGCTGTTGGGGGACTTGAAAGAAGATGAAAAAAACTTCTGGAAGTCATTAAGGGGATGCGGACATCGTAAGCTTGATACACGGAACTGGGGAAATGTGGAAGAAGGCTGTGTTGTGTTTTAATTAGTCTAAAATGACATTGATGAAAGTAATGATCATGAGCCTCGTTTGTACGGAGTACTTGAGTATATTAAAAATGATGTACAGAAATGATAAGATGTAATAGTCAAAGAAGCCCCACACAAAAACACCGTAGCCAATCATCATTGGATCATAGAAGATCTGCTTGACACCTTCCACTTTCAGCTCGCCGCCGCACTGCCATCTATGCAGGATCCACATTTAGCAGCCACTCAACATGGGTTAGAGCGGCGCAAGGCTAATGGCAATGGAGGGCCTCCGTTTTTGAGAGTGATACAAAACTACCTCGTTGACTGTCAGACCTCAAAACTTCAAGATTTTCTCTTCATTTCTGTATACATCTACCTTTTTGCACTTTACCTCTCACGTACCCTCTCGTGAACGCTCTATAACAAAACCCTTTCGGCATTGCCGCCCGCATGCTCATTTCAGTCACAAGTTAGTCTTATCGTATGTATAATGATGTCCCGAGAATCGAAGATTCCCAAAATGCTTTATATGTCCTAATCCTTCATAGTATCTACCAACCATGGAAGGGTTTAGCCCTGGAACCTTTGGTTCTTCACCATTCCCATCTTACAAAGACCCCGACATTGGCATTAATTTATCAATGGACTATGGCGGGACTCAATCTGATGACTTCGATGAAGATCAAAGAGTTATATGGATCTTAGATCCTAGTAACACTCTATCCTCAACCGCAAAGAACCAATTGGGTCATAGCGACAACATCAAGATGGGAAAACCTGATAAGGACATCGCTGTAGAACGCATGGTTTGTCTACGTCTGAAATGGCAAGACGATGACGTTCGACCACTCTGCACTGAATGGATGCCCGACGGGAGAGCGCGGAGGGATACCGCACAATAATTACTCAAACTTCCTCAACAGCCGCCGGCACTGTCATCTCAAAATGTAGCTCTCGAACGAGCTGAAACTTGCCGACTTTTCTTTTGTTCATTAGATCTCCTTTTACGGCCCATGTTTATGTATTGGACATGCTCGTCGAATTCAGCATCTTCCAAGCTCGAGAACCACGAGCCAATTGTTACCTCTTGGTTCTCGACAGTACCATGCCGGCTTTCATTTTCTCGCCATTTTTCCTTTTTAATTTCATCCGACTTTAACTTCCGAAGCGAGTTCGTCAGCATCTTAGTGATATCAAACGAGCCACTAGAGAATTCAGGATTTTCAATGCCACGGAGACATTATCATCCTCATCTTTGCAAGTGTCACACTACATGGTTAACCAAAAGACACTACAAAGATTTGGTGTGCTTAATCATGGAGGAGTTGCGAATAAATCGATGATTCTTTTGGACATGACCGATGTACGTCTTAAAACTGCATATTTGACCGATAAAATCACTTCAACATCGCTTGCTCCAAATCTATGTTCTACAGCAGAGTAGCAAGTAGTCCAAAAAAGAACAAAATCCAACCATCGACAGAAACACCCATATTACCAACCATGGCTAGCAAAGATGGCAGCCCACCTTCCTGGTCGCTAAATGCTGACGGAATACCATACGCTTATAACGAATTCTCATGGGGGATAGATATAGATACAAATACTATGGGCATTGATTGGGATCAATCTTGGCTCGAAAGGACTTTCTCAGAGCCTGAATCACCACAAAATACTTTCAACTCCAAGGGAGAAAGCATACAATGTCAGCCAAGAACTAACTTCAGTGAAGGATTTCATAACATTAGTGATTATGCTGCTGACGGCCTAGACGAATTGTCTTTATCGCTCTGGGACGATTTAAACGGGTTATCGGACTGCCCAGATTTGAACAATATTGAAATGTTGTCAGTACCACTTACGGACAACATGAGCGGCAGTGTTACGCATCCACTGCCATTACTCGATTTCTCCATTGACCCAACCTTTCAAACATCTAGCAACGAATTACTCGGTACTTATCGAGATCCATTCCAAGCAACATTCAATGAAACCGCTACCCAACAAGCTTATGAGACCTATTCTCTCATCTCGAATCCTCAGCCACCAATACTAGGCAACTCTGACTGGCACCAAATACAGTCTCCACCGTACATGAGCTCATCGACTGGAGTCTACTTCCCTCCCTTGTCTTCCATCACACAATCTCCAACTAGCAGCGCCGACTTCATATCGTCCCCCACGCAATCTTCCACTACCAATACCCAAAACTCAATACTTCTATCAACATCCAACTCAACCACATCCTCAAGTGATCGATCATCATCTGACTCACCACCAAGTGAACAAAATGAATACACTTGTACAATTTGCTGCAAAACTTTTTCCAAGCGATTCGAATTCAAGTATGTATCCCAATTTCCCCTCTTTCCATCTCCCAAACTCCTTCACTTCCATTCACACCACCCCATACTCTCGTCTCTATTTCTCCTATCCCATCATTTCTACCACGAACCCACTGACCCACCCACCTTCACTAGTAAACACACGCCCCTCCACACCCTCCCCCACACCTGTACCCTCTGTCCCCACCGCACAGCCCGTAGAAGAGACATGACTCGGCACATGGCCGCCAAACACAAAGATGTCGGTCCCTCGGGTCCAAAATCTGTATCGAAACCTATTTGTCCTGTGGAGGATTGTAAGCGTAGTTTTGCGAGACCGGATCATTTGCTTAGACACTTGAGGAGAAAACATTCTGGATATGAGTTGGGATCTTGAGTTTTCCTATTTCTTTCTTTTTCTTTTCGCTTTACTTCGATTTTTTCAGCATGGCGTTGGTGCACGGAAAATGCAACGAATGAATGGGATTACAATGGTAAATATTTGCAATGAAATCATTTAAAACATAACTTTATGCCTTGATTTCCAACTCCTCATTTGTGCAACACCTTAGTTGCCTAAATTGTCACATCGACTTAAAAGCAATCATTAGTGATATTCATATATACTGATAACGTACACCGAACCCCATCCAACCAAACTCCTCAAACCACCAACATGGCTCCCAACCCCAACGCAGCCGGAACAGCAAAATTCGTAATCTGCGCCGCAAACCTATCGGCAGCCCCTTTACTCGTACTCGTCGCCGACGGCGCCGCAGTCTTCGAACTCGACACTCCTATACTCATCTGAATATCCTTCATTTGCAATTCCACCGGCTGCGCCGCATGTACCGTTTCGGATCCAAATTGAACAAGTCCAATATACATATCGGCCGTTACATTTCCCAACCGAACGAGTTCCTGTACGAGTTCGAAGATCTCCGCATCAATCGATTCTTGATATATTTTTGGAACCCAGGAAAATACAGCTTGTTTTTGTCCTTGTTGGTTGAAGCCGCTGAATAGTTGATACGTGACCCCGCTTAATGTGTATTCGGGAGCGTTGGTTGAAGGCTCATAGTAGCCGATTGGCCAGACGCCGCCCCAGACGGATTGCCAGATCATTATTTCGTGCGTGGCGGCTGAGGCGTTGCTTGAGGATACGTTGTTTCTGTCGAGGAAAATGTCGAGCGCGATGTCGGCCTTGCAGGCGACGGCGTTGAGGGCTGTGGTCATGTCTGTGGCAGATTCTTGGCCCTCGGGAAAAACGGACCAGCTGCCGCTTAGATGGAAGGTTGCGATGTTGATTATTTGCGTGGGGAGTTGGATGGATTCGAATCCGACGTTGGGGTAGGCGTGGACCTGTTGTTTGTTAGGACTGGAGTTCGAGAGCGATGGCGAGGACCTTAGGGTGATGGAGAGACATACATATTCAATATTTTTTTCCCACATCCACGTCGCGTTAAAACTTGCACCATTGGTATCTGCTAGAAGGACCTATGAAAGGGATATCAATATCATATTCCCGCAAAAATCAATGATCAACATCGAAATAACGATCATCAACATACAGTCATATTTTGACTTCCACTGCCATCATCACCCCATTTATTCGAACCATAAAGATAATCACCGGAATCCGTCAAAGCACCACCAAACTTTTCATTCAACGATTGATGCGTCTTCGCACTGGCAAAGTGAAGTAAAAAACAACAAGCAAAAGACCATGATCCCCAAAAAGGCATACTCGAGCAACTTTTAAACATGTGAAAAAAATGAAACTTGTGGCTGCTTGTGGAGTTTTTGTTGGAGAAAAACATGTTTACATCATAATTATAAGAGTCGGTTTTTTTATTATTAGAAATCACAAAGGCTCGTGGGTCCCATGTGTCCTGCCATTGTGTGTACGAATCTTTGGCTATTCGCCAACCTCTCCTTCCCTGATGCGAAATTATCGGTGGGGCCTGCTGTATTTAGGTTTTGTTGATTTCGATTCCGGGAAGGGAGGAATCTGAAATGATTGCGAAATGCGAAGCCCCTGCCGATACTCATATTCATCCTAAACCATTTATAGTAGTAACTTGGACCTTGGACTGACGATGTAAACAATATGATTGAGTTGATCGAGTCTTACCAAACATATTTCATGATGGTTTTATATAATAAATTTCAACAGGTTGAATATGTTTACTATTATATTAGTATTCTTGACGAAATACATAGTGACTTTACAACTATTTAAACGAATAAGAAGAACATCATACTCATAATCAATATATGAAAGATATCCAAATACCAAACATTGCTTAAATAGCCAAGCCAAGGGTCTTGATATTTCGCCACCATCTCAGACGTACCCTCTTTTAGGAATTCCCAAGTTACGAATCAATTTTCCATTGACCTGCCATGCATGATGCGCTAGCCATGCACAAGCTCGACTTTACTAGCCAAGTGGTTTTCCCAAGAGGGAGAGCCCTGTTAACAAAAGCATGAAAGCACGTGCATTGAGGACTTTTTCTTCCTGAAGTTAACCTTAGTGAAGATATCTATGTAAAAATAGGTCGATGGCCGGTATTGCACCGACACTTCGGATACGGGCTTATCCTTTAATTCAGAGTCAGACTCTCACTAACCCGACTGATGTAAAGTTGGGGAAGTTGAGTGGTATGTGTAGATGGAGAGTAGAGGGGTTTTACAAAGTTTTTGCTGAACCCCTAACTTATTAACCACTTTTATAACTTCTGAACTATCTGTTGATATTTCCCAAATTCAAATGGGGAGAAGAAAATAAGAGCTGTGTACGGTTAATTAGAATTTCGACGGTACCTGTATTTAGTAGATCCAACGGGCACTATTCTAACTATATCGATAAGCCAACTTGTGACCCCGCTCTCTCGTCAGGGGCAAAGTCGGTACATAATTCACGTGATACACGAAATTTTAAGACGACACGTGCTCAGGCACTAGGGAGATTGCATAAATTTCATTTAAAAGATCACATACTATGCTGAAGTAGAAACGAATAATCAAAAACATTATGAGTACGACGAATCCTTAATTTCTTCCCAAATCACTCTGTGCCTGCGGACAATTTGAAAGATTCCAGTGTCAACTAGGCATTACGAGCTTGTTAAGCTTTTTTGGTGTCTGGGTGCAGGAGCACCTGACTAGTCATTCGCAATTGGCGAAATCACTATTAATGTGTGGTTGTGTTTCGGTCAAGAGCGTGCCATTGATTCTGCTGAGTTGGAAAGATCAACGATCGAAGCGTTGGGGATATTTGATGATCATTTAGGACGAAGGGTAAGGTCTCCGGAATTTCCCAAGAGGAAGTTGAACGGAATTCAAAACGTCAGATTCTACAATAGTACTTTCCACACAAGCCTGAAACCCACGGGACTCACAATCATGTAGCTCCTTGCCAGAGGATTTGCTACGAGGTAATTTTGCACAAGGATCCCTGAAAAATAAATCTACGATATCAGGACGCCCGTTGCGTGCGGCATAGTCTTTTGCAGTATACTGAAAATCATCCTTAGGGGAAGTATCAACACCAGCGTCGAGCAAATCCGCGACAGCTTTTTCATTTCCTACGCAGCAAGCGAGATGTAAGCAAGTTTATCCATGACTTGTATGACTTTCGATATCTGCGCCTGCAATGAGCAAGCACATGGCTCGTAAAAATTTTGGTACGGATAGAAATGGCAAGTGCTGTGATGTTTTTGCCATTGGGAACCTCCAGATTGGGATTTCGCGCCAACAATAGTCGTAGCTTCCCGAAATCTGTTGATTCGTAGCTGCCTGATAGTAAATGTAGGTCTCTATCTTCTCTTTCGTCCATGTTCGGGGATTGATTGCTTTCTTCTAAAACTTTATCCAAAGCGCCGACCTCGGTTTTAGCCATTGGAGATGTCCGCTCGGTTGAATCCGGGAGAGTTGAGACGCCGTTTTCGTCTACTGTTTCTATGGAGGAAGTGTTCTCGAAATCTAGTCCTCTACAAGACGTATTCCCTTCATCTATGTTCAAGATAGATGAGCCATCATTTCTAAATTCTCCCTCTTCAGTTGTGATATCGGCTTCGTTTTCCTCCACGACTGACGAGCCTTCATCGCTCGACTCTTCATCCCACGGGTCATCATCGCTAGGTGAGACATCTTGATATGCTTTGTCCCGGAGCCACAAGTTGAACAGAATCTTCATATAATCTGCGGTACAATGATGGGCGGAAAATTCTTGTAGAAGTTTGCCGTGTATGTCTTCGTCCTTCGCTAACTGATGGAAAATATTCCACTTTTGCAGGCGAGTGCAAAGCTGCTTGCAGCAATTTTTCGGGCAGGCCGGGTAATTGATTAATCGCACTTGATATCTTCACAAGTTCCAAAATTCGACAGAGCTTGCGTCTATCCATTTTTTGGTTTTGTATCAGCAGCTCTATTGGGCTCGTGCCACTGTCATTTGAGAGGGTGATATCTGCCCTATGTTTGAAAATAGCCGTAAAGAATGTCTTTCCCAGCCTGAAGCTGCGTCTGGTAGATATCTTGAATATCTAATGCATAATCGTGTCACCCTATTTATCTGTAAATCGCCAATTAAAATTTAGCTTGATGTTGTTACTTAGTGACGCCGTGACGATATCCCGTGTGAAGAAAAAAATACATGGTATATCCACGGTGACCTCGTCAGAGATAATTCTGACGAGCGTCCTCTCAAGGCTGTATGGGACCGCCTCTTTTGATATGAGAATCCATTGCGAAATTGCAACATGCAATTTTGCCATCCAATCTTCAGATTTATCTTGTAGTGCACAATCTAAATCTACCCCGTTTTTTTCTCGTATTAGGTCGTGGAAGTTCATCTGGAGAAGGAATTTGAGATTTGTCGAAGGTTCTCCCGGTTTAGCTAGCTCACCGAGGATAATAATTAATATTATCGGTAACGTATCGGGGGTGAAATGTATGAAGTTCGTCCTTATTCCCCATTTCAGGAGTTCAAGGGCCGCAGCATTGTCAAATATTCTTGTCCCATGAAACAAACTGATATATTTTATAAATGAAAACAAATCATCAATTGATATCTTTGGATCCATAGTGAAAATAAATTCGAGAAGCTTGCTGGAATCTTTTGCTTCTCCTAGAAAAAGAAAAGAATCGTATAGAAGTTCTACAATTGGATGTGTAGGCCGGAAGAGTCTTCTGCATTCTTGATGTCTGCGCCGGCTGTGATAAGACTCTTGATTATTTTCCCTATACATTCCCATATCCAAACCGCGTCTTGTTCGTAAAACTCCTTGGTTGAAATAGAGTCAAGAGCTCTCTTCGCACAGTACGTTGGGCTACCAACAACGCTCCAAGCGTTTACTTCAACCCCGCGGCCGATAAGAACCGTACAGATACCTGGCAGTGCCAACCTTACAGCCCAATGAAGGGCAGATGGTCTTGATTATCCTGTAACTCTTTCTATGCAGAACAGTGGACTAGAATCCGGTTCCAGCATGTAGTTGTAATATCCAAACATCCATAGTCTATAAATACTGCTGCTTTCATCAAAAAGGAGCAACAAATCATCTTCAATTTCACTCCATGAGCTCTTCTGGACATGTTTAGGCTAGTGCCGAAGAACGTATTCTATGAACGGATATTGCTTTCAAAAGCATGCCAGACCACATTGAAACCTGATAAGTCAGGATTAGCATTATCCAGAGGTACAGGCTCTCCATCAAACTCCGAAAGACCTAGAAATCGAAAACACGTTCTCGCAATATCCGTGTGATCAACAGACAATCGGTATTGTGCAATATCTGCGCCACAAGACTCATTAATGTCCATGGAGATACTCCTTTACTGTGAAGTGAGCAAGCTCTAGGTAATCCGACTGTGAACTTTTGCGCACGAGACTACTGCACCACTTAAGAAGTTCATCTAACGTAATCATATTTCTCCTCTCAAAAGTTTTGTCACCAGGACGTACTGCAAGCGCTTGAAGCAGTTGTGTTGTAGTCGGTGGCTTAACGGCGTGCACCACCCAGAGAAGTGTATGCCTGACAAGTGCTTGGTTTTCTTTGCTGCTCTTGTTTACTCTTTCAAGAATACGGTCGTATGATTTAGGTAAATCTGGCGGTAATTTCTTCAGTGCCTCACGGCGATCTCGGTCTGTGCTGCATCCACAAAGATAGTCCATTTGACATGCAACCCACCGAAACCTAGATACATTTAGTTATACAGTCAGGATTTTTTAGGGGCCAAAACCATACATGCCATCAGCACCCTCTGTAAGGACTTTGACAATATGGCCTATCAGTTCAGGCTCTTGAATGTGAAGTTTATTCAGCTTCTTTCGCGTCTGAATCTCAGAATGCACATAAAGTTGCAGGTCGCCACTTCTTGCAGCAATGGAAATACTAGCATAATCTGTCAACACACTTCGGATATCAACCTCATTGCGACTAGCAAGCAAGGTTTTGATTGTTCCCGATGGCTGATTTAAGGATTGTAAGTGCCTTGTAACGTCCGCGCAAAATTCTCCGGCCTCATCTAGGCCATTTACTACAATACTGGTAGAGATGAAATTTTTCGATATTTCGACTATGAGTTGGCAGAAGTCTTCGGGGGCGGCCGAGCCTTGAGTGTATTCCGTCATATTATGCTTCTCGCAGAAAGTTTCCAGCTGGATAGAGGCATTTTCATGCTGAAGAATCAATTGTCGTGCCAACCCCCCCAGAATGGTCCGTGGATCGTGGGTCCGACTATCCTTATAGTCACAATAGAATATCGCAAGTCGTGATGATCTTGTTAGTATCAAATATGATTCTAGAGAGTCTAGCCTAATAAAAATTTCACACCGTGAGATGAGTCCTGGCTTTGTTCAATTTCTTGTTTGGCGGATGCCCTTTTTCGCGAGGCCTAGTTAGCTTGCTGTAATGCAATGCTGGGTTTGGGATAGGTATATGTTATATCAGAACGGTTTTTCTAGCCCTAGCTATTGTTGTTAGAAAATAATGCAGCAACTGGGTAAATTGCTACGTACGTATTCCATATCCCCAAAGCTTCGAATGATCTGTGAATACCCAACTCTGAAACTCCTTGCTCTTAGTGAACCAAACGCCTATTCCTGGTTGTCTTAAGCGAAAGTTTGAATCCTGCCGTTTTCTAACATCAATAGTACACAAGAGATTGAGCTTCTTTTGGAAAGTTTTGTCTGTGTCATATTTAGCAGTCATCTTTCAATCTAGCATTATATAGGAGGCGACCTCTAATTAACCTTTATCTTTCTAACCGCGCAACATTCAAGGCATCTATACTCCTCTTAAGCTCTTCCTGCTTCGCGAGTACTTCAATTGAAGCAGACCTAGAAATATTAGAGAGGAAGATTAAAACAAGTGAGTTAATTTACTAATATTTGTCTGGCGCTCATAGCTATGGTCATTGTATTCTTATGGTTCTGAACCTCTTTGAGTAGCTCCGCAATCGTTCCTTTCTTGAACGGCCACTTTAGTCTCTGCGATATTGACTTCACTTCCGGTGTCGCATTATCCAGTTCATTAACAATATTTTCAAGCGTTGTTTGACAAGAATTGATGTGCTGTATCCTGCTGCAGCTATGGGACGTCGAATCCGCTGCCTCCAGTTCCTGCACAACATTATTCAAACTATGGAGCACACCAGCGAGACTGTTCACTTCCTCAATAAGGCTGTGGACAGACTTCTCAGCATCTTTGACGTCCCTGATGTACTTGTAGCCTCGTTGAACGACAGTATCGGCAAGTGATATCAAGCCAGCCATGCTTGACGCTACACCAAGAGCCTCGGCCATTCTTGGGGAAGTGCAATCCAAAAGCTCAAGAATAAACCAGTAGCTGGATAATAGATGTTGTAAGGGGACCAATGGTCCAGTATATATCGCTGGTTTCCGCAATAGATTTACAGCCTCAGATGTGAGAAGCTCAAATAACCAAAAATAGCAAAAAGAATTTAGTTCTTTTCGAGGAGAAGGGCGAGTAATATCATGTTCTTATGGTTTCTATCCAGCCGTGGCCAAGGCTGGGACAGCTCATTCTTATGCTGTGACATTGTCGGAAGGCGAGGCACTCCTCTGTCCTGAGCCATACGATTATATCAATAGGTATGACAAGTTTACAACTGGAGCTCTAAGCCATCATGTAGCCTTATCGTGCGTGCATAGTTTGAGAGAACAAAAGGGGAAAAGAAATCAAAACATTTGGGATTTGAATGAAATTCAATTGGTTCAGAGAGAACATCAATAAAACGGTGATTAGTCAGCAAATCACACCTGTACACTTTCCCAAAAGTCACCAAGAAACATCAGCACGCACAAATGAAGAACATCCATCAAAAGTACAAGTTGCATTGAAAAGGTATCCATCCATATTCTTTATTCATAAAACCACCAATATCATCAAGCCCGCTTCTCTCCTTTCGTTTCCTGAACACCAGCCCATATCAAAGTCCAAATAAAATAAACTCTCATCCCATATGGTATTCCAAAATTCGCCTCCCCTTTTCCTAGCACGTCACGATGACCTTTTTCTGCATCTTCAATCACCCAAGTACATCTTGCATCTCTCACATAACAGTGCAAGGAATAGGAATACAACAGCATTCATAACCATCACACTCTATGCACTTTGTCTTTCCAGTTGTGTTTGTGCCCTTCACGATATCAGAGATAGTAGACGAGGCTGCGGAGCCAGGACCGTTGCGGTTGACGAGACCGGTGGAGGTTGAGGTACACATTTTGAGTTGTGTTTGAGTGGTTTGAGTGAGGTTGATGTGGTGTTGAGTGGTGCTGAGGTCTGCAGTGAAAAAGTTGTTAGTTTCTGATTCTGGTTGTTTATGGTGCTGTGCGGGCTCGATTGGTGTAGACTTGAGCTTGGAATGGCTGTGTCGTCATATTTGTGGCACCGCCATGATATCGTACCCACAGTAAGAAGTACGGAGAGTAGCTTGTAACTTACAATAGCTTTTTGTTTTTGATAGTTGTTGGTAAATTCAACTGAGAGTAGTTTCTGTTTCTCTGAATGTGTTTGATGCCAGAGGGAAAGTGTCAAGGAGGAAGTGAATGATAATATATAGAGAGAATTCTAGACGTGGCTTAATACAAAGAAAGTTGTTACGCATCAATCTTGGAAGCTTGGAACTCGCCTAGTAATTGGCTGATCGTCATTTTGGACGATGTAATAGCGGAGGCACAATTTAGCGGAACAATCATTATGACTTTTCATCAAACTTGGTTAAGCTTCGAGATTCATGGATTTAATAATTAATTATAGATTGCCATATGGCATTAAAGACTATTAGACACCTAGGGTGTAATCGGTCGCGCCAACCAGGTGTTAAAATAGCAACCAAATGATTGTAGATCTCACACTCCATGCTGATCTCTTTTCTTTGTTATACGGTGGAGCTTGGGTCCAACAAGAATACCAAGCCGCATAGCCATTAAGATCGACTGATAGATGCTAGAAATGGTATAGCCGATGAAGCAATGGCTAAGCCTTGCCAGTGATGTACCGGTCCTTCGATGAATTTCGGTAGAGTGATGACACTCTATCAGATGCCTCATCCAATAATATTTTCTCTGCGTGTGGCAGTAAAAGATGGATGCATACCACCAGACGGCACCTACTCAAGTCCATACGATATTTCGAATCGTCTGCACAGCCATCTTTCAGCCAAATTCCAGGTCCAACTGTTCCCAAACGTCTTTCCCTTCATCCTCCGTTATATTCTCGTGTGTTTGAGTAGTAGCAATATCATCATCTGCTAGTTTGATCTGACCGAATCCCTCTAACATTCCTTCCACTTTCTCTTTCATTTGCATGATACCCTCGGTCTCTGCTCTCGATTTCTCAATTGGTCGTGCATCATTAAAATCAATGATTCTCGTGCTTGGTATGGTCGATATTCGTTCAGGAGATGGTGGAAGTTGGCGAACAGGGTATGCAAATCCTCTATCTTTTCATGGCTCTATAGATGTCTAAATTAGTATTTTGTTTGGTGTAAAGTAGAAATGATTGCTCATACCTGTTCTGGATGGATACTCATTATACCAACCAGTTCTAGGAAATTCAATAGTAATGACTTTGCGAAACGTTTAAGAATCAACTTGCGATCCTCATGCTTTGCGCTTCCTGTTGGTGTGCCGGGTGGTGTATATAGCTGTTCAACGCCCTCAAGAGGAGGAATATCATTTTCGATCTGCCATAAAATGTCAGTATGACAAAGCCCAACAGCTAGCAGCATTCAACATACTGTTTGGACCTGTCCGAATGTTCTGTAGACTCCAGTTGCTGGTGGTTCTGGCGGTTGAAGATATCTCAATCCGGTAGGAAGATCAGGAATGCGGGGAGGAAGTTTGTAGGTTGAATTATCGGCGATCTTGTAGCTTGAAAATTTCTCAGCGCGTAGTTTCTCTATTCGTTCTATATTTTCGGGTGTAAATTGCTTCCAAAATAATGGTGGTCCTGGAGGAACCTGTGCGATCGAGTTTGGCTGTAGTTGCTGTTGATCTGCCATTGCTTTACCTAATAGAGTTTGTCATCCCCTAGAATTGTGGTTTCCAGTCAAATTTGTAATGGGTTGAGCTCGCCCAATGTCTGGTAGTTGTCGCAACATAAATACTTTGTTCTGAAAACATGGTGGATGAGAGTGGTAATCGTAGATTAGATTGACCTTGGTGCCGAAGATCTACCGACACTGTGGAAGAGGGTTTGTCATCGGTACAAGTACATCTTCAGTCAAACTTTCTAATTCATAAACCCCAAACCACATTTTCTGGTAGGATTCTTGGATTCACTATATATGCTTATTCAATGAGGAGAACCTGACTTCTACCACTGCGCTGTGTCGCAAGAATGTCTCGAATCGGACGGAATAATGGAGGGTTAACCTCGAAACCTGGATGGATTGGTGCAGTAGCACGCTCTTGGGAGGTAAAACTATTCAAACATATGTATATGTAACCACCTAAAATTCTATTATAGAAAAGCTATGCGCCAGATTATCTTGGTTTTGTATTGCTATTGACGGCATACATCTTGGTAACTTTCTAATCCATCTCCGCCTCTATTATACATGTACAAGTTCTAATCAATTCCCTTCTGTTCAGATCGAATTTCTTCAAGAGCCGTTCCACCGCATGTTCTTTATCAACAACATCAATATTCAATATCCACATGCCTTAGTGGAAAGAGTATCTGTTTGGTGGAATCTGATTTATGCAGGAGCCGTTCCATGCATAACTTTAGCCCTCTGGTTGGGGATTTCCAGGGCGAACCTTCATAAATGCCATATCACCATGCTTGGGTTTCTCATTGGGTTGGTTCTTACATCATTCATTACAGATGTCATCAAAAATGCTGTTGGGAGACCTCGACCCGATCTAATCTCGCGCTGCAAACCTGCACCAGGAACACCAGAAAATAAGCTAGTGACCATAGATGTATGCACGGAAAGAGATCACCATACGTTGCATGACGGGTGGAGAAGTTTTCCTTCGGGCCATTCTTCATTTGCATTTGCTGGACTTGGATACCTCGCATTTTTCTTCGCTGGACAAACACATGTCTTTAGACCTAGGACTGACCTTGGAAGGGTACTCTTAGCTCTTGCTCCTTTGCTTGGAGCTGCCATGATTGCGATAAGTCGATGTGAAGATTATCGGTAAGCTGGATTGCCATCGAGTTCCAATGAAAAGTACTAACACTATCATAGTCACGATGTATATGATGTTACATGTGGATCCATTCTCGGCATTTCTCTCGCATATTTCTCATACAGAAGGTATTTTCCAAGGCTACATTCATCTAAATGTCATGAGCCTTACCCGTCACGGGAAGCTGTATTCAACCAAGGGTTTGGAAAGATTAAGAACGACGAAGAGACAGAAGTAGGGAGGGCCATAGAGTCTGATATATCAGACAACGAGAGTGATGCATCCTAAATTTTTGAAAATTATATCATCATCGAAGCGAATTTCCATGTCGGACATATTTCCCTGTTCTTGAGCCTATGGATTGTCTGACTTTGATCTACGATTTACCGCATTTGGGGAATAAGTGACTCCCTTTCACTCTCTTTGTGTGTTTTGAACAATTCTTCGAGAAGACTCGTGGAAACCTTTGAGGTCATTATGGCTGTAATTTTCCTTTGTCTCATGGATCTTGATTTCACCCAAAAAATTATATGATTCCTCTGCTATATCCGTCCTAAATTTAATTCATATTTTTACTACTTTAATTTTTGATTTCTAGTTTCTATCCGGAAATTGATGAGAAATGCCATATTCTCTGTTTCAGTAGTACGGCAATATTGAAAGCACGCTTAAAGACTCGGTTTGTACTATGCAAGTCTTCTTCGAATGCCTAAGAGATCATTTGACCTATCCTCTTCAAGCCGCGCATCACTTGTGAACTAGAAACAACATGGCCGACGCCCCTCCTCCGGACGGGCGTGGCCAATGCCAGCTCTAACTGAACTGAAGAAACGTCAGCAAAGAAGACCCAAACGCCGTTCCAAGGTGCTGCTAAATCATCTCCTATTGCTATTTGCCGCTGGAGCATCTACCATATATCGGGAGTGGCTCACTTCACCACTCAATGCTCTATTGGCGTGGGCAGGCGGAATAATATTTTATCATCAAGCCTACTGGCTGGCCAACATTCGCCCATTTAAAGAAGTACAGAAATGTAGTGCAACATTGAAGGATGCAAAGGATTGGAGGCTAGGTTATTACTTTCGAGAGGTCAGCAACGATAAATGGTGGTTATATATGGCTTGCCTAGGAAATGAAGATGGTTGGTCAAAGGGGCGCTGGGATGGTTCAGTTAGTAAACACAACCTTTGATTACTTGACAATACTAAAAGTTAAAGGACTTTATCTACCGGTCCATTGCTATACTATCCATCATTTCGATACCACATTGGTACTGGGTACAGTTGATGTTACTGTTGGTATATGTTAGTTGAGGAACATTTCCCCTGATTATCATATGATTATCGTCTAATAAGGTGCCTATAGGTAATCGGCATATTTTGCAGGCTTTTACTGCTATCTGTAAGTAACTATATCCATTCTTCGTTATCCTATTTGAAACTTACAATATTGAAAAGTTTGAGCAAGAACTCTCTGAATGGACATTGGTTCCAATGGTATTTTCCGCGGGTGCGGTCGTCAACAATATCGTTTACGCAGTCCTCGCTTTTTTGTGTTGACCCGTTTGTCTTATTTCTCAACTCCGCAGTAAACTCGATGTTAAAAGTTTGCTTGACTGCTATTGGCTGCATCAACTTTTTTTCCGTCGATTTTGTGGTATTGGTTCCAATTTATTGGCCTTCCGACTTTCTATATATTCTATGTCCAAGAGTGGATACCTATACGTGCTGCATCAATATTTATTGCGCGCCGGGACAGGCTTGCTGCTGTTGGACGTGATTGGGAAGACAATCGAGATCAACAAGACATGGAAGAATTGGAACTTATTTGGCCCTGGCTAGCAGGAAGAATCAAACATAATTGTTTCAAGCTTGCGAAAATAATTGTCAAAATTCTGGATCTTATAGCTATAGGTTTAGACGAGTGCTATTTCCTTTGGATATTTTGTGGGAACTGCTGGCATATTCCACGGCGAGTCGCCGATCTTACAAAGCGCGAAGTTGCTTTTGAACTACAAATAGATGTTCTTGAACGGCGATTAGCTATTGTTAAGGAGGGCGAAAACAATTACCGGAGGAAATTTGTGCGGCTGCTGGGAATGAGGATGGATTGCATAAATGTACATCACGGTTTCAATGATCAAGATCAGATCCTGGGGAGAATACGTGAATTAGAGCGACAGAGAGACGACAGACAGGTGGAATACCACGAACTATTGGCAAAGTACACAACGCAGCGCCAAGCTTCAAGTGCATTGATCTTGGCCGGTGGCCCAGCGAGAACGGTGGAAAAATTGCTTGATGAATCCCTTCATACAAAAGATTTGCACCGTCAACAAATCCAAACTCTGACCGCTTCAGTCGTTGAAAGTGGTGCTGAGATTGCGATACTCAAAGATAAAGTCAAGACATTAGAACGTGACCTCGAAACTGTCAATGAAGGGAAAGCAACATTGTTATGGCGAGATATGGAGAAACAAAATATTGAATTGAGGAAAAGGGCAGAAGAAGAAATCTGGGAACGAGACGTGAAAATTCAGAGGCTACGGGACTATCGAGATGACAATTCTGTAACATCATTGAGTTTGGATTCAAAAGGACAACAGATTTTGAGAAGACTGCGAGAAGAATTAATGAAGGCGGAGGATAAACTTGCCCACTCCGAAATGATAATTGCTAAACTGAAGAATAATGAAGCTAGAATTGACGAAATTAGGAAACAGATCAAGAGGGAAGCATTATACGGGGCATCAGAGCGAATGGGAGAGCTTTACATGAATGCTGCTATTCAGGTTGATGAGTTATCTGAAAAGCTAAAGAGATTCGAACACCTTACTGACCCGGAGCATGATATCGAGGCTGTTCAACGTAATTGTAACGAGGAAAAAGGGAAATTACGACACGAAATTGCCGATAAAACCTCCCAAATATCTACATTTAAAGCGCAAATTGACCATGCAATGGGTTGCTTGGATTGGACTCACAATAAGTTTGAGCCTCTGGACAAATACTTGGGCTTTGTGCCTGGAGCAAAAGAGCAGATAAGACGTTTAGTAATTGAACTTCGGCGTTTTCATTTTCTCAGTGAAGTTCATCAAGGACCCGAAACAACAGAACACCTACGTGTTTTGGAAGATTTGGCCCGTGAAAGAGATCGTGTGTCAGATCAAAGGCAGGATCTGCGAGTAATGTGTGATGAGCTCTTGCATGAAAGACTGCGGAATGAGACAGAGTTGGAAGTGCTAAGAGATCGAGAAGCTCGGAGGAACACACAGGTAACTAATCTGCAGAAGCGAAACAGGGAACTCCAGGTTCAACTCATGGAAGCACAAGCGGCTGTGCCTCCAGCTGACCCACCAGATATTACAGAAATAACAGCTCCTATAGCAGAGATTTTTAGAACGAATCTTTTAGCTCTAGAAATGGAGATTCGGAGGAGGGGTATAGAAATTCAAGATGCCGTAGGGATTCCGGGTGTTGATGGTTTACCGAGAGTTGAAAGAGAGCCGGGAGAAATTTCTATGTTAAGAATTTTCGAAGGGCATAGAGAAAGATTTGACGAACTATCAGGGCTAGTTAGAGCAAGTAGACCTATATGGCTAGGAGCGGCAGATGATTGGGTTGATGATGATTCAAACAACAGTCCGGAGAATCTGGAAGCGCGCAGCCTAAACCGAATATTAAGAATTCAAGACCTTTGGGACTATATTGGAACATTACATTACGACACTATTCTTTTCCTCCGCGAATTCTGCACAAGAAGAATTGGAATAGTACCAGGTGTCGAAGCACCCGAACCGCCCCAGCCTCCGCCACCTGTACCTTCCCCAACTCCTCCTCCCCGAACTCTCCCTCCACCAGCTCTTCCCCCCAGGGATAGAGATCTATTTCCAGCACAATTTACACGCTATAAGTTGTTCGATATTCAAAGATGGAATGTCTTTCCGCTGTTTTATGAAGAAGTAGATTCTTCGCTCAGTGTCCTGGATGCTCTGCAAGGATCCATTCAGGCACAACTACCGAACTATTATGCAGAGAAGATTTTCCCCGGCGCGTTCCTCGGTAAGTTGCTGCGTGTGGTTGGCACCGATGGATCCATGGACAACCCGGTTAACGAGCGTGATGTAGCTGAAACCTTATACAGGCTTAACCATTCATTTGTTTTGAAAACTGTTACACAGTTTCCACTACAAAATGGGGGCTTCAGATATTTATCTCGAGAGATCATGTATCCAGATACGCTGGACGTGCCTCCACCGAGACAGATAGTCGTATTGTATTTGTCTGGTAATCTCTGGCAAGGTATGAGCTTGAAGCAAGGGGCACAGTCACCCCCCGAGTCTGAGGAAGGATCTGACGGTGAATCTGGTGAAGAGTCTCCTCTTCCCGATCTTGTTCTACCCAAATTGGTAGAATTCAACATAGCAGAGTGGAAATTAGGTCACTTACGTGAAAGCTGGATGAGACCCGGACATGTCACTATGCGTGAAAATTTGTCTCCGATTTGTGCAGTTGCACTGTCCTTTCATTTGCAGTATCCAGGCATACTACCCCGTCATTTGAATGGAGCAGAGGCCTATGAAAATATGTATGAAAGATTTATGAGAGTCCTCCCACATGCTAATAGGGACTATTCGCCGTTGCATATTCAAGTGGTATTAGAAGATATACCAGGAAATCAACATAACAGACCACACTACCGACTCGCAGTCGTCAAGTGCTACGAATTAGCCGTTGGAGATGTAAGATATTTCTCCAGGAATCTAGGTGGTGATTCACAGAGTCCCGTGCTTTATGTATTCAGTGAGCCCGACGGCAAATTGCATGCAATGCGGAGGAGGCGGGATGGTGATTCTGAAGACATGCTTGCGGATTTAGACTGGATTCAGGATTTTCAGCAACCATCTCCGGATCTTCCTCAAGCTCATACACCAGCTCATACACCAGCTCAACCAGTTGATGTGGTACCACCGGCTGATTCTGTACCCGCTTTCATGAGAAGAGATGAAGATTATGGAAGAAACGTCATCAGAGCGCCATTTCATAGGGATGGTTGGTATTTTGACGTCAATATATCTCATCTAAACGAAGGACTGACAAAGCGTCATATGAACTGGATACATAACTGCGGCCCACAAGCATTGTATTATTCAATGGAAAATCAAGTTAATCTTGGGAATTTATTTTGGGGAGAATTTTTTCAAATATTTGAAGAAGCTTTTCCCCGTCACTACAATGCCTGGGAGGGAGAAGAGCTTGCTAGATTGTTAAAATGGCACCCACGACTTGGAGGATTTACACTTGGTATTGTCCATGGTGTTGTTTTGGTGAGGATGCAATCATGATTGATACTTGGTCCCAACCGGAGGGCTATGATCCTGAACATGACCAGATAGTATATGTTGCCTCAATTACGGACGTGCGATTCCAACCCGTAGCCGGTCGACCGGATCATAGGAATCACTGGGTAGGTATGAGCTATCCCGCAGGTGAAGCAGCGCCGCCGCCTCCTCCATTACATACGACTCGACCAACCGTACCTCCTCCAGCACCTCCTAGATCAGTTTTTAGGCCCTTGTTAGACGCACAGGCCAGCGTACGAAGGAATAATAATGATACTGCACCCAGAAATAATAAGACTGCTTGGTTTGATTTCGATACTAGGGAAAGTTTCGCATCTAGGACTGGTCAGATATGGGTACCACCACCTCTGCCTCCCGGCCTCCTGTAGCTACACATGCCGTGCAATCAGCAACGTGGCAAGGCGTGAATGCCGCAGCAGCAGCGTTTCAACTGGTCCAACCAGCCGCGGCTAACACACAGCAAGCACAGCAACAAGTTGGTACTGCAATGCAACCGCAACAGCAGCCAGGCTTGAATCCCGCTGCAGCAATGTTTCAACAGGGTCAGCCAGCAGCTGCTAACGCACAGCAACCACAGCAACAACTAAATCAAGCAGGCTTCGGCACGAATGCGATCACTATTAACGATCAGCTTGAAATTGCACGTCAACTTCGAGAAGAACAGGGTCGTGGCGGCAATGAGGAGGAAGAGGTACGCAGCCGAGGATCCTAGGGAGAGGCCGCATGGAATTGAGAAGGGGGGAAGGGAAGAGGAAGGAGGAAGAGGGAAGGGAAAGAGGAAGGGGAGGGAGAGAAGGAGGAAGAGGGGGAAAGGAGGAAGGGTGGATGGAAGGGAGGAAGAGGGATGAGGAGAGATAATTAGTATATCGGAATGATGGAGCTGAATTCTAGGCTTTTATTGAAGTAGGATGGTTTTGATAATGGCTACAGTTTTGTTTGTTGTACTGCTTGAACAAAGATAGGATTTGGGCTAGGGCGAGATAAACATCCCGAGGGGTATTTGGACGGATACTTAGGATGCTCGAAAATCAGAAATCGAAAGAAGAGATTGAGAGTTATGTTTTTGTTGTTCTTATTGATTCAGTACCATTACTTAAGCAATGATGACTTTGTTCGAGGAGTGTAGCGAGGAAAACGTTTTGAAAGGTAATATGAGATACTATTTTGGTCGAGTTTATCCTGAGAATAAAAGAAGTGTAGATGCTTTGCTCAAGATCCTTTGTTATTACATTCGGATTATATCATTTTAAACAGATTATAGACTCTGCAGATATAAACAAATTAGCCTTGCAATACTGAAGAATTGACTTTGCATGATTAAGGCATAGAAGGAGTTGGGACAAGTTTCGCGTCTATAGATCGATCCACTTTGGTTACTATACCGAAATTAATCTTCAGTTAATCTAGGGCTTGGTACTCCCTCGAGCATTTTTTAGTATTTCTTTTTATCTGGTCATTTTGTTCGCGCTCCCAAGCCTAACAATGCAAGTGTTCCATAACAGCCTTCGTGGATGTCACAATAATTAACGTATTGCTCTACATCAACTCATCTGTGTCTTATCTTTCTTATGTAATAATGCGATGACCTAAGGTTCTCAATCACACTAAGATATTTGCGGTTGATTTCAAATATCTTTCAACCATTGGACAAAATCAAAAGTTTACAGATATGGAAATGGTGAAAGCCAGCATATAAATTCGGTTTCAGTTCACAGGGGCTCTGATACTCAAGCGAGATAAGCCAAAACCCGCATTCCTCCTTTTACCCCGCATTTTCCCATGCAGTCGACGAAATATTGGAAGAAAAGCTCCCGACCAATCAAAAACATCAATTGAAAATCCATACGTCAACTTAACATAACTATTCAGAATTCACATCAACTCAATAATGTTGCACTACATTGATTTCTACTTCTACGTCACCTCTCAATGAACTATTTTGCCAATGAGAGTATTGCCATTAGAAATCCATACGTAACTAAACTTATTCGTGACAATCCCCCTGACTTCCTCGCATCTAACAACAATCCCAATACTTAAACCATTCGTTCTCTCCTGCTCATCCATCTCACTATCACGTACTAAGTACTTACCCAAATGACCATTCTCACAAGAGCAATTGGCTCTTCAGCACGTTCCAATCTAATATTCTCTTCAATCAAACGAAATACTATCGTAACACGCGCAACAATGACTACCATCACCGACGCAATTCTTAAGGATCATCAAGAGATCAGGGAATACGCTGATAAGGTCCGTCAGGCTCCCGATGATGATACTCGAGGACGCTGGCAAAACCAATTTACTTGGGAATTGGCCCGTCATTCTATCGGAGAGGAATTGGTAGTTTATCCTGCTTTTGCAAAGCATCTTGGTATGCAAGGTCAAAAGATGGCTGATAATGATCGTGCTGAACATCAAACCGTATGTTCAATCATTTCTTTTCGAGCGATGCAATTGTGAAACAGAAAATTTAGTTAACTAACAGCAAAACCATAGGTCAAAGAAGCACTTTACAAATTCCAAAATCTCAAACCCTCCGACGCAGACTTAATCCCCACACTCGACGCCCTTATGAAGAACCTCAATGAACACATCAAAGGCGAAGAAGCCGATGATCTTCCCGCCCTCGAATCGGCTCTTGAAGCTCATGAATCTGAATCTATGGCTAGGTCATTTGGTCGTACCAAGGCTTTTGTTCCTAGTCGAAGCCATCCTAATGCACCGAACAAACCACCCTTTGAGACGGTTGTTGGATTGTTGACGGCTCCGATTGATCACTTGGGAGATATGTTGAGGAAGTTTCCGGATGAGACGATTAGTCCTAATCCTAGTACAAAGTGAGGGACTATTATGTTTATGGTAATGGGGCATTTGAAGGATTAATGGATGCATTTGGGAGTTTGTTTCCTAGTTAACGATCACTCTGAGCCATAACATGGTAATTTTACATGAATTTTGGATTTCTTCCGTCGACTTAATTGCTGGGAAACGAAAGTCCTAATTCACGAATATGAAGGCACTCGGCATTAGGCCTGTAATTGCACAAATGAAGTAATTTGTATTACCCATGGTGCTTGATTGGATTTATATTCCCATGAGACGGCAAAGTAACATTATAAGAGAGCTTCTATAGCAAACCGCTCGTATTCAATTCTAACAGTTTCATTCCATATCTTCACCAAAGCCACAGATTACTTCCCACTCCTCCACCTTGGTGGAATGCGGAGAAGACAAATGATGATCCAATGAAATTACTTGTATATTATATTCATCGGAGTAGCCTCCGGTCAAAGAATACCTTGAATCTAGAATACAAACCATGATGAAACGTGGCTTTCAGCCGTAATATAAATCATAAATTCGATACGTCAGAACGACAGAGAACTTCTGCTTTCAACATATACGTCATATTAATATGAGCAATTATAGCAATTTACTTTAAATCCGTACCACTCCTCCTGATGAAGCAACTGAAACTGCCCTCTCTCTAAATCAAGAAATAAACAATAACTACCGCACCACTACCAAAGAAAAAAGTTAATGGATGCAATGACTCAAAACGTCCATCCCCTCCAAGCAATCCAATCCGCCATCGGCAGCGCAGGCGCCGATCCTCGTCCCCTGCAACGAGGAACTCTCTTCAATAATGCCAATGATGGCCCTGCAGCCATCATATCGAAAGTAGCGGGTGTACAGAGCGGAGGCATGCGTGAAGATAACGGTCCTTATTTCACCAATAATGAAGGAATTCCGTTTCCAGATCCGGCGCATAGTAAGACTGTAGGAGGTTTGCCTGTGGCTAGTGATATTTTCTTGTTTCAGAAACAGCAGCATTTTAACCGGAGCAAGAATCTGGAGAGTGAGTTTTGATGCATTGTGGATGGATTGAAGTATGTGCTGATATGAAATAGGAATGGTTCATCCTTGTGGTAGTGGAGCTTTTGGTTATTTTGAGACGACGGCGGATGTATCGGATTTGACAAAGGTAAGCTGCGCTCCTCTATATGTTTCTACCATTTTTGGGTATATCATATTTATATTTTGAAAGGCAAACTTCCTCAGTGGTAAGGGTGTTAAAACTCCAGTTTTCGTACGTTTCTCCACTGTCACCGTTGGACGCGAGTTTCCAGATCTAGCACGCAACCCACGTGGTTTCGCTATCAAATTTTATACCGGAGAAGGAAACTATGATATTGTCGGACTTAACTTTGTATGCTCTTCATCCCATATGAAGAAATCTTTCTAACCCTCCAACAGCCCGTCTTCTTCTGTCGAGACCCAATCCAAGGTCCAGATGTCATTCGTTCACAAAATCGTAATCCCAAGAACTTCCTACTTGATTACAATTCTCTTTTTGATCTCCTAGCTCTCACTCCCGAGGCCAATCATGCAGGGATGATGTTCTTCAGTGATCATGGAACACCACAAGGTTGGCGTTTCAACCATGGTTATGGCTGTCATACATTTAAATGGGTAAACAAGGAAGGCAAATTTGTTTACATCAAATATCATTTCATTGCCAAACATGGCCAAAAACAATTCACGGCATCAGAAGCCACCACACTTAGTGGAGTGGATCCTGATTATTCTAAGCGTGATCTTTGGGATGTATTGGAAAAAGGAGAAGAAGTCGAATGGACGGCTAAGGTGCAGATTATGCAACCGAATGAGGCCGATGCAACCACCCTCGGTTTTGATCCATTTGATGTTACAAAAGTCTGGCCAAGAGATAAATTCCCAGTAAGATTGTCCAAAATATTCTGTCTGGCCATGAGTTGCTAACCAGGAAATAGATGCACGAATTTGGCAAGCTCGTTCTGAACAAGAATCCCGAAAACTTTCACCGCGATGTTGAACAAGCCGTATTCTCTCCAGGAAGTATGGTACCAGGTATTGAAGATAGTCCGGATCCACTATTACAATTCCGAATGTTTTTTTATCGCGACGCACAATACCATCGAATTGGTGTGAATCTACACCAAGTTCCGGTAAACTGTCCATTTATGGCCAGTTCATACAGCTCACTAAATTTTGATGGTCCCATGCGAACTGACGCCAACCATGCCGGAAATCCGCAATATGTGCCCAACTCTTTCAAGCACAAATTCCGTCCAGACGTGGCTGAAGCTCCTTATGCCGTGGCAGATAATGTTGTATCTCGAAAGAGTCATTTCTACCACGAGGGTAAACTATCGGATTATGATCAAGCGAGAGAATTATACAAGCGAGTAATGACCGAGACCCAAAGAGACCATTTGCATCAAAATACCGCAAACTTGTTACGTTTTGTTGATGCAAAAGTTATTAAGGTGGGCTATCTTGCTCAGCTTTGGAATATCGATCCTCAATACGCCAAAGCTATCTACGATTTACTTCCAGAAGCATCAAAGACAGGTTCAGAAGGTTTCGAGTTTGTAGAAGTTCAGAATAAGGCAAAAGGAGCCGAGTTAGCAGGAAAGGAAGAAAAGTTTAGGCCTAAGGATGCGTCTGAGAGATTGGTTGGATTCAATCCAGGAAATATCTACAATATTTGAGGGAACTATGCGGAATTGATGAATGGGTTCGTGGGCGCAATCATTCGAGGAATAGCTTGTTTTGTCTTTTTGCGATTTAAGGTGATAGGAAATCGGTCTTCAATCCAGAACATAAGCCATATCAGCTATTTAATGAAGTAGAATAGGATTGATCTCAAAGCCAAAGAAACATGTATTGTCTTACTTTCAAGGTTTTCAATGTGAAAACGAGAACCTTATTATGCAACTGAGCCAGCCGATGATATTGGTGGAACTGGATGCATCAACTTGTTTTTGATATGAGATAATGTTTCTCGGAGCTCATGATGATATTCGTGATTGAAACTGTTATTATCCCGTTTAGAATCAAAATCCTTGTAATGACTTGCTTCAGGTCCGGAGTTCCGAGGATTACGATGGGTATTAGAGGGGTCACAATCAATGGAGGTGCTTTAACGAGTTCTAGAGCTGATATCTGTACGATGGTGCCTGTAGCCTGGGGTTGGAGACAAAGATCGACGTCTGCTAGATGCAGAAGTAGAAATTAGCATTGAAATCGATCCGACAGCCTGTGGTGGAAGAGGCTGGCCATTTGTCACTGTTGGAATGACTTGTGAGTACTGAGGTACGACAATCGCTTGTGGAAGATTCGCAGGCTGTATTGCGTGACCTTCCACTAGTAGAGCTCTAGCTAGTAAATTCAAAGGCTAAGCTGTTGCCAATGGATAAGCTACTGAAACTCTTCGTAATCGATTCTGATGAAAACATGTAGATGATTCCATGTGCTCGTTAATTATCGGCTCGACCAAGGCACTATCCATTCTCTTTCTCCGGAGTGAATAATCTCGAAGAGGTTCATCCCTATTCCTTGAACTTCTATGATCGTAATAATGCTGAACTCTGTGCCAAGAGCTTTTCCGGGAGATTAAACTAGGACGGTTATGATGATGACGGCGATATTTATGGTGATGGTGATGATGTGGATGTTCTGAGAGTACATCTATGATCTTCAAAGTAGGTATAGATTCGACAGAATTATCGTATTCTACTTTTTGAATATTCTCGCCAGGTTGTATTCTTAAAATCGTTAAATTACTAGGTAATAATCCCCTATGTTGAAAGGAAAGACCAGTTTCAACTTTTTGAATGGTTCTAAAACACTAGATGCATGAGCGGCTTTAAATCGATTAGCAACAGTTGGTATTGTAAAAGTGGTAGGTCGAGATACGTGCGTCCCGATAGCATGCTGTGAGGAGGGAATTGGAAGAGAAAGCTGAATTGGATCACACTGTAATACATCATTTATAGAGAAAACAAGGTTCACAATAGTTTTGAGGTTGATATTATATAGGTTCAAATATATATATATAGAAAATTGATTATTATAGAAAGAAAAAACAAAAGCTCTTTTTTTATATCTAACTACAGAAGGTCATGTGATTGATTGGTTAAAAACCTCTATGTATTTGGCCTATAATTCCAACTTTCTCACAGTATAGTTGTGTAAAGTTATTCCACTCACGAATAATGGGCTCGAATAATAAATTGATTCTATGATGACCTCCATGTAACATCTGTAAAAGACGTAATGAAGATTTCGACGCCGTCCAATTTTCATGCCTGTTGCTCACATACATATGCTTAAGACGATTCATCAGTCGTTTGTTCGATGGCATGATTTCCCAGAGAAAAAAACTTCCAGAATTATGTCTTAGGTTGAATTTTTGGAATTTTAATGTTCTGTTGGTGGAACGAGATTCGTTCTTGGGTATTATTGGGTTTACTGTGCTTCAAATTCCATGCCATGGATCTTTCGACCCCGATATGTATGCACTTATTCTCTATCAATAGTCAGTGATCATGGCTGAAGGGAGAGTGGTGCAGGACTACTTACAGCATTCTTATTCCCTAGAGGTTCTTTGGATACATCTCTTGTTTGGTAATGTATAGTGTATTTGGTTTTAGGACTCGTAGGGAAGTCATATTCATGACCGGGGCAGGAGTGAAGGAATTGTTATTTCGAGGGACTCAGTGTAATTTCAAAGCTTGATACTGCGAATGGAAGTACTCTCAAATGAATATCTTCCTAATTATACCACGACGACCTCAGGAAAATGACGCCATATTGATACGGCATATACCTGCAGATTATTTCTCTTGAATTAACTAACAACCTGGAGTGACGTACGAAGAACTATTGGCTTGATAGAAGACCTGATGGTCTCTAGACGTGCACATATACAAGCGCCTAATGTCAAATTTTAAAAACTCTGGTTTATTGGGAATCTCACGGCCTTAGCATCGACCAGATGATGTAGATTCTAGAACAGCGACCGGCAATAGGCGCTTCTACCAGGAAATTTGAGTGCATGGTAAATCATGTTATCAAACAAACAAAATGTACGTTATCGAAGGGGAAAAGAACGGCTGGAATGAGATTATTGACTTGCCACACGAGAAGAAACCAAGTCCCCGCGACTGCTGGTCTACATTAAAGTTTTGAACAGAGCATTTAGTGAACGACTTACTTTGAACTTGTGCGTCATTACAGTATGATCAAAAGAAGTGAAGGAATGTAATGCTGATTACAGGCTATCAAAACTCAATTTTTGAATCGGACATATAATGGATAATTGAGACAGTGACTAGTTTTATACTACAGTAATAGGGTCAATAGTTACTTCTCAACATGATATATTGTCATCAATGTTAGTTCCTCTTCCATCAATTCACATTTGTGATCTGAAGAAGACGGAATAATGGAAAAGTTGGACATAAAATGTATGACGGGGAGACAGGAATAGACCATATAGGTTCTCTTGATGCTTGGGGAGTATGAGAAATATCCTTCTTTTTGACCTTTGGAGTTCATCAATAGCTACCTGCACAACAGAGTACTACTCCATGAATTCTCCCCATAGCCACTAAAAAATATTATCAGCATCACGACTACTTGTCAATCGTTCCAATGTTTGTTGTATTCTCATGGAAGCGAAAAGGAAAGAAGATCAAAATATATGAAAGTGGGCTTGGTGATGCTACACCGCATATGCGGGGTGCAAGCCACAGAACCTTCGCCCCAACATGCTGTTCCAGCTATGGAATGAGGCAGTGCATCAAGCAATCAATTAATGTACAGTAAGACTCGGGTTTCACAATAAACCCTTCATCAATAATTACTTCAAACCCATCGCACATTCGAAAAGCTGGAGTGGAAGAAACAAGCACAATCAGTTGGCGAAGGCCAAGAACTGGTCTAAGATGGCGGGCATAATTGATGATGGGTGGACGATAGTAGTCGGACAACCAGCCAGTGAAATTCGCGAGGAGAAACAAATTGAAGAATGGGAGCGCTCGAAAGGTGGGTGGTCTGGATTTGGTAAACATCCTCAGAATTGGGCGGACCATAAGAAATTACATCTTTCATCAGAAAATGAATTGGGATCTGGAAGTTATGGACTTGTGCAGCGCGTTACGTATGGTGCTGTCACCATGGCCCGCAAACAGTGAGTATTCCATCTATTACCCGGATTCTATGACTTCGTAAAGCTGATTGAACCTCAGCGTGGTACCTCGTGGTGGGATGACGGTCGAGAAGCTCCGGGAGGAAGCTAATGCCATGGAGGAACTGGCGCATAAACATATTTTGAAGCTGGTCGGGACTTATACGTGGAAGCGCAAAAATTTATATCTCCTCCTATACCCTGCGGCGACTTGCGATTTAAGTACATTTCTCGATGATATAGATGGGATTCGTTCGGATACATGCGCGGATAGGGATGATGCGATGAAAAGGCTCTTTGCCCTTGGACTCAAGGATATCGGGAAAATCGACGATTTGTGTATGTTAAGACGACCGATGCCTCATTCGGAGCCAGCGCATATAAAGAGAACAGAAACAGCTTTGGGATTTTTACAACAAATCATGGGATGTATTACGGAAGCATTGGTGTTTGTTCATGAAAAAGGTATTCGGCATCGGGATTTAAAACCTAAGAATATCTTGTTAAGTCCGGGTCGGGTATACCTCGCGGATTTCGGTATCGCGAGAGATGTTAAAGAATCGGAAAATAGTATAACTTGTGGTAGATATGGTACCCCTTCTTGGATAGCTCCAGAGGTTTATGATGGTGAAGATCATCATATGTCAAAGGCAGATGTCTTTTCCCTTGGTTGTATATTCCTCAATATCGCGACAGTGTTATATGGGAACTCAACTGAATTGGCGACATTTGACGAAGTAATGAAGGAGAAGGAATGGCCTAAAAAGTACGAGATGTTGTCGGATCATCTAAACAAATTAAGGGATAAAGCAATTAGAGCTGCTTTGGCTGATGAAGAAGAGCCCAATTTCGACGCAAAAAATATATTAGGTCTTGTGGAGAAAATGTTATTATATGGAGCTGAACGACGACCTTCAGTAAAGGAGGTTAATGAAAGGTTATGTGAACTTGGAGGTTTGGATCAAATTTATCATTTATCTTGCTGTCATAAAAAGAACGATGTTATGTCTCGATCAATAAGTGAGCCTCCATACCCTTTCTTCATCCGAGTCATACTAATTCGATGACTAGATTCAAAAATGAGAACTATTTCAGAATGTAGTTTATCATCCAAAAGTAGGATCTCCGAACTCGAGACTGAAAATAGTGCTTTGAAAGAACGTCTTGCAACCCTTCAAAACAAAGATCAAACATACGAATTACGAATCGAGCATGAACGTAATCATGCAAAGAAACAAAACGATGTACTCAAAGAACGATATGAAAAACAACTTAAAGCAAAAACTGAAGCTTTAAAAGGTGCAGAAGAGCGCATTAGAGCATTAGAATCAATTATGGACCATAAACGCCGACCATTTCATAACAAAGGTAGAGGTCGAAATATAGCTCAAGAAAGTCTACACACAAACGATAACCTCAATATCAACAACCTAGCTTTCCACACAAAGCACGCACTTTCTACCCAAAACAAGACAATAAAACCAGGACCTAAAACGCCAGACGGATATTTCCCCAACATACCACCCCGAAACCCATCTTTCACAAATTTAAAAGATACAACTTTACAGCGTCGTCCCTCTGGTATCCCAATACCTACTCGCTCACCAACTCCCATTGTTACTCCTCATAAATCATCATTTAGTTCGCCGGGAAGTGGAAATAGTACGTTGGTTAGCAGTACGTATTCTGTATTTTCGAATCGGAGTAAGATGACGGATGGGAGTGTTACTCCGGTGGAAAGTCCTGGGGAAACGATGAGTCCACCTGATAGTCCGATTTCTAGTATTAGGGGGAAGGGTTTGAATTCGGAATGTATGAGGGGACCACAGTTGGTTAATGGGAGGATGAAGATAAATAGTAACGAGAAGGAGAGGACGATTAAACCTACCTGGGCAAGAATGGTGAGGGGGAATGTTTCTAAGACTTGAGATGTGAAATGGATGAGGGAAAATTAGCCATGAACGAAGAAGGATTTGAATACCATGGGAAGAAACAGAATTCCTACAAGCGAGCGACCGAAGCGAGATACCCCTCGCTATGAGGAATGCGCCTAAAACCTATAGGGATGAAGGCCAATGAGAGATAGCGATTGAGAAGCTGTATAGTCCATTTTCAATATAGATTAGCTTGGAATACATGCATTGATAGAGCAATGAAAGAAGTAACGAACCATCTCATGCAATGAATCGATGTCGTATACTCAACTTAGGATTATCTTATTTGTTGATTGATAAATAAATGTCTGAAAATTATTTTATTTAGAAAAACAATTCAAAAAAACCAAAAAACCAAAAACACCAAAATCCCCGTCAAAACCGGGAAAGAAGTAAAAAATCAAAAATAAATTTTATATTAATCTTCTTTTATAAATGTATTTTATATAAAAGATATCTTGTTATAAATCTATTAATCATCTTATATAACATTTAATCATTATAAATTTTTACTTTATAAAATCCTACCCCTTTAATATATAAATATACTCTTCTAATTTAAACTCTAAATATCAAATTTCAAATATCTACTTTTTCCTTTTCCTTTCCCCTACTTTCCCTTTCCCTACTTTTCCCTTTCCTCCCCATATCCCCGATTCTCATTCTCTAGTCTCATTTCCGCCACCCTCCTCCCTGCTCAACCCGTGGTATCTGTTCCATCATCCTCGTATTCCTCGGTCTAACATGCAGCCTTGCATTTATATCTGTATTCCTACTGTCGCCTTCATATCCCTATCGTCTTCGTTCTTTTCCTTCTTCTTTCCATCTCCATTTACTTTTCATATTTTCCTTCATTTCTTTCCTCCATCTTCTCTTCCATTCCATCCGTTTTCCATCTTTCCATGATCCTTCCATCTCATTTCCACCTTCCCATTCCTTTATCTTTGTTCCTCCTCTTCCCTCCTTCCTCTCCTCTTTTTTCTTTCCCTCTGCTTACCTGCCCATTTTACCTCTTTCCACCATCCCTTTTATAATCCCTCTATCCCCTTTCCCTACTGCGTTTTCGTTTCGAATGTTCGTTGGCGTGGACGTTTGCAGAGGTTCTTCTCGTATACTATCCTTTCTATTCTCATTATTTATTCCTGCTGCACTAAGTCCCGTATTTTCTCTCTCCGGTTGCGTTGTTCCTTCTTCGCTTGTTAGGAGTGATGGGATATTTGTTTCTCTCTCAATCTCGTCAGATTCCTCAGCTAATATAACGGCCATAACGGGCATAACAGGCGTAATAGGCGAGACAGGCGGCGTAACCACAATCTTCGGCACCATCTGCACGTCTACATCAACATCCACATTAACATCCAACAGCCTCTCCCCTCCCACCCCAAAACCAAACACCCCACCCCTCTCATCTCCATCTCCACCCTCCTGTCCATCCCCTTCCCATCCCCTCCTCCTCTTCGACCCCGAAGGAAAGGTGGCGTAGCAAGCTGGCACGAAACCGGAATCAACGGGGCACTCAACGGCGCCGGCCTCGGAAACATAAGTCCAAACGCTATCTGCAACGCCTTCCTATTCGGACTATAATTATATTTATATCAGCATCAGCATCAGCATCAACATCAACATAAAAAATGTGCATATACGCGCCTCTCCCCACCCATCTCTTCACATCTTCATATCCAACACCCCCCCACACCAAACACCTCCTTGTATAAAACACATTCATCCAAGCATCTCCTTCCCCTTCACCGCTGCTACCACCAAAACCCAAAATCCAAAAATAGAAAACGAAAAAATTAAACATACCTATCAACAGGCCAAACACAAAACACCACCCTCCTTATCCTCTTCCTTCTCTCAGGGCCAAAAATCGGATGAAGCAAGAAATCCCTCACGGTACCTACCGCTATACGTGCTGCCAGTCGATGGGGGAAGGATTTATGGCCTGTGGAGAGGGCGGGGATTGCTATTGTTATACCGTTGTGTTTGGAGTTTTTCGTTACGATTTGAGGAGTGTGAGGAGTGGAGTTTTGGGGACTGGTTGGATTGTTTATGCTGTTGTGGGAGTTTGGGACTGTTTGTGTGGGGATTTCGGGGATTTCTGGGGTTTTTTTCGGTTTGTGTAGTGGAAGATGACTTGCGTCTGTCATGATTGTATCGGCGGGTTCGTTCGTCGTGCTCACACTCATACTCTCTATTTCTATTTCTGATTCTCCATCCCGTATCTTTTCTCCACTAACTCCATAATTTCCTATCTTCTCCCTCTGTTCTTCTTCCCTCAGCCTCTCCTCCTCCTCCTCCCTCGCCGCAATCCCCATCCCTTCTACCAAAACCCCCCTATAACAATTAACCAACAACTGTTTCACCAACGGCGTACTATAACTTTTATCCGCGAAATCGGGGGCATGGGTATGAATGATATATTTTGGTCTTTTGATTTTTTCATCCTTTTCATCCTCCCCATCCTTTTCATCCCTCTTCTCCTTCCTGTTTTCAATCTCACCCCTCAAACTCACCCCCTCCTCCTCTCTACCTCTATTCGTACTTGTACCCGTACCCGCACCATCACCACCCAACCCGAAACTCCCACCCACCCCACAATCCCCCGCATTCAAGCCCTTCGGCCAAACCTCCTCTCTCCAGCTAACCAAGTCCTCTCCCGCAAGATAATCAATAAGTCCCGGTAGCGAAATCTCGCGCATCTCACCCCTCCTCAAAGAATCTTCAAGCGGCAAAGAAGCCCCACCAAATATATCACTATATGTATTACTATTTATATTATTATTATTATTATTAATAATATGATTTTTTGAAACATAAAGCGGATATTTCGACGGGGATTGAGAAATTGGCGATACGATAGCGGTGCAGGGATAGAAAGGGAGAGAAGCGATGCGGAGTTCGAGGGGGCGAGGGGTTGGAGGAGGAGGAGAGGAGGAGGCCTTGGAGAGGGGGAGGGTTCGTGAGGAGGTTGGTGAGCTAGATGAAGAGGGTTTGGACGGGGAGGAAATAGATGGATTTTTTATCGAAGGGGAATAGCTTGCTGTGCTCATGTTCATGGTTTAGGAGTGAGTGATTTTGATCCCACTGGGTGGTTTGATTTGCTGGGTGGGTGGGTTTGATATAAGTATACAACAATGAAGAGAAGAAAATGATGAAAATTGCACCTCTTGTATTTAAGAGGGGAGAAATAATTCCTATCGTCCTGTTAGGGTAGGTAGCGACTGATTTGGTTTTGGAGTACGACCGGCACATGCATCACAAGGTGTCGACAAGCCGCCATTGAAAATTCATTCCCACTTACGAGTATACTCTTTCAAATAAAATGTGACGGTTTCTTTGTATCTTGAGGATAGGGTAATAGTGCCAACACTTGTGGTATGTGAAAACAAAGGCGCATTTTCGAAGCCTGAAGAGGTTGTATGGGTGGAACTGAAAGCAGTTTTAACAAAGATGTCTCTTGGACTGGTATAACTTACTCTTCATATGGAGGAAATAGGTAAATAACTACCTAACATTTTCAAATGTCCTTCTTTCACGGTTACAATCCCCACAGTAAATCCAAGTCAGTATGATAAAAATTAATTATGCGCTTGACAATAGGTATATATTAAAAAGGTAGTATACCAGAATTGAAGTGCTTTGGTATCATAACTCCAAGCCCCTTGCACCATTCCCTTTTATAAACAACCCGTACAATCCAAATGCTGATATTTCCCAAACCCCATTTTATGCATACTGTCCTGTTTGTCTGTCCCATCATATCCAGTTAATTATTGATTGCTCTTAAGTGTTATTTGTTTTCTTTCCGCGCATTGCCGAAGGATTTCCCGGATGTCTTTTCGATGGTTGTCTTCCGGTTGCCGTTCCTCGATACGATTGTCGCAATAAGGTTGATGTTATTAGAAAGATATCCATCATCCTCATCATCTCCATTAAGACTTCCACATTTATCGCTCCGCCGTAATCTGCGATACCTTTCCATAGCTGTTTTGCGATACGAATGCCAATTTTCGCAGCATCGTGATATGATGATTCGAACGGCCCCGATAATTCCCCCATCTCCATCAAAACTTCCCAATTTATCGAAACCCAATTTATCGTTCCGCTGTACTCAACACCAATCCATCCAATGCCCCTTCTAACCATCTTCCCAATTCTTCTGCCTGTCTCCTCATTCCCGTAATACCTACTCCACCTCCTCTGGCACTCCTCAAACTCGCCGTCTCACTTCCTTCTCCACTTCTTATAATTTCCCTCTCATGACCTCCATCTGGTGAACCCGGTTGTGATATTGATATTAAATTCTCTCTCTGAACCTGCGGCGTTGCTGTTCCTGACATTCCGGGTGCTGGACCTATTGCCACGAATAACAACCCACAAGCTAACTTCCGTATTACCATTACCCCGAATTCCATCTGTATTAATATACTTTTCGTTTCTCGGGATTTGGTGTCAGGATCATTTGAAGATGCGCCATTTGAAGGGAGGGCATCTGATACGGTTTGCGATGGAAAGGGTGAGTAGAGTGTCCAGAGTGATAGGGCGAGTGTACCTTGGTGACGTAGTATTGAGGCCGGTGAAGTTGATGAGGTACTGAGAAGTTTTCCAGTCGGGGTGAGCAGCATTAGTGTATGAAGATGTGATGATATGTTATGCTGCAAGAAGGTGGATATTCTTTTACTTAGAAGCATAGTTTGTCTATGTGCAGGATTGGACGTCATGATTGCTTTTGGGTTTTGGTAATGTTCTGTGAAATAAGGTGTTAGTTTATTAATAGAGTGTCGCATTCATAGCTGAGTCAAAACATAGGTCTAACAAGAACAAGCTAGATTCAACATACAATGAATGAATGAGAATAACTACCCAAGATGATGATGATAGTAATAATAATAAAAACAAGAGAAGCGAATTGGAATTCCTAACTGATAAGAGGTTGTCGGATGCAGCCGGGAAATCTTAATACATCATTCATTTATAGCTTGTTTGTAAGAAGACGGGAAGTGAAGGTTTAAAAATATTTGATCGAGGGCAGAGCACCAGTGGAGGGAAGTTGGAAGTCCTCGGCAAAGTCTTAAGGTTATTATGAAGGGCAGAACTACGGAGTAGAAAGAGGTAAAAACTGGTGAGCTCCAGTTTGCTGCGGGAGCAATTAGATAAATAAGCACAGTTTATAAATGAAGAAATTCTCTAAGCATGAGTTTTGTCTCAAGGAGTTTACTCATTTATCAGGAAGTCGCCATTGTATTGAGTATATTATTACGAGCTGTACTTTTGGTAGTTGTTTGAATACTAGTTCACAGCTTGATGAAATGACTCAATATACTAAAGTAATCAATTGAACTTCCTTTTCAAGGTTGTAGAATAGTATTAGGATCTTTAATCAGTCAAACTACGGGTGAATAGGCCTCTCTAATAAATACTAAACGTTGACGGTCGATAGTAGCATATGCAAATCAACATCTTGCGATTCAAGTACTTCCTATAAATCCTCTTCAACCAAACAAACTTTACCTCTTTCTTATGTATTCATACTCACATTTCGATTCCCACCTCACAATCATTTAAAATCTTCATCTCTCCTATCAAATATTCACGATATCAATCTCTCAAACCAGATAACATCACACGCACAGACAGACACATATCGGTCCTCTGAACATGACCGTTCTCTCGGATTGGGTAGAAAATGATACCACTGGCACACCTTCACATTTCACCCTCTTCCTATTATTAGGATATTATGGCATATGGACTTTCTTATGTAAAATATCGGTTGATTTGATGGCTCGCCAAATTAACAAGTTATTCGATCTATTCTTTGAAATATTAGCTTTTGGAGCTGAGGATAGAATATTTTGAGTAGAGCAAAAGTGGAAGAAAGGACTACGAGTCGAGCAGGAGTGGGAGTAAATGAGTATCACTCGGTACTCCTAATCTCCTAATACTTGAGGAGCGTCAACGTTTTCATCGGCTTTTGCTTATAAACATAGGAGTTTGAAGAAACCCACGTCATAGATAGCCGAAGAGAGGGGCCCAAAAACATCGACATCATTCATTGTTGAAGTATTTTTATACCCCTCTCTCTCAATATAAAACACATTTACCTCTTCAATACATCCTCAATTACCTTCGCACACTATCTTATGTACTCATTTCGCACTTTAAGCAAATTCGTCAAACCAACCTTTTTACGACAGAGTATTGTCGATTCAGGTGAGATGTTGATTGACAAATACTTCAACCTCTCTTTCTGCAGCTTGCTAATACTTGAATATCTTCATAGCTAGCCGATCCTTCGCAGCAATGTCTACAGATACGAAGCGCTATAAATTTAATCACTCGATGTATGAGTGAAAATTCAACATGATATTCCTTCATACTACGGTACTAATTCATCCATAGGATTCGAGTTAAAGATCCCAAGAAATCTGGTAAGTTTGTACTTTGCATATGCATTCAATAGCTTCCATAACTAATAATTCACAAAGTCAAATTCTATGAACTTTTAGGAATGAAGATGATTCGAAAGATTGAACAACCTGAGGCTAAATTCGACCTTTACTTTATGGGTTACGATTCACCAAAAGCTCTCTCCCATGGAAATCATTTCAGTGATCGAGAAGGATTAATCGAATTGACACATAATTATGGGACTGAGAGTGATGTCGACTATAAAGTTTCAAATGGAAATACTGAACCTCATAAAGGTTTTGGGCATACTTGCATATCTGTTGATAATCTCCAAGCAGCTTGTCAAAGAATTGAAGATGCTGGTTACAAATTCCAGAAGAAATTATCCGATGGACGTATGAAGCATATTGCTTTTGTGTTGGATCCAGATAATTATTGGGTTGAGATTGTCGGGCAAAATCCTATCGAAAAAACCGAAGATATCAAAACTACAGATGTTGAGACCTATCGAATGGTAACATTTTCTTTTCTTCCCTCAGTACCTAATCAATGATAGCTAACCAAGTTGTAGAACCACACTATGATTCGTATCAAGGATCATGAAAAATCATTAAAGTTTTACCAAGAAGTAATGGGAATGTCACTCGTGAGAACAGCTGAAATGCCCGCTGCTAATTTCAACCTTTACTTCCTTGGTTATCCTGGAGAAAAAGGCCTTCCTACATCATCAACAGCGGACCGTGAAGGTTTATTAGAACTGACATGGAATTATGGTACTGAAAAGCAAGCAAATTTCAAATATCATAATGGTAATGATGAACCACAAGGTTTTGGTCACATCTGTAAGTTAACCTTATACAAAGGATCTTATATGCTTGATATTAATTTTGTGACAGGTGTATCCGTTGATGATTTGGATGCAGCATGTCAGAGATTTGATGAAATGGGAGTTAATTGGAAGAAGAGATTGACTGAGGGTCGCATGAAAAATGTGGCATTCATTCTTGATCCTGATAATTATTGGATTGAGGTTATTCAAAATGAAAAGTTGAAGGAAAGAGCTAATTGGTAAATTTTGAGTGGGATATCAACTCAACTGGGAGCACAACTGGGAGCACAACTGGGAGCACATCAAAAGGTGCATGAAAGCAGTATGGAAAATTGCAGATATCAATCATAGTAGCAAATGCGTGCATATTTCATCATTTCAGGTGACCTTTTCTCTTTACATATGGTGATGACAATTCGAATGAACATGGCTCCCGAATGGAAAGCTTCTCATTGATGTCGCACATTATGTAGCAGCATAATGCGGGGTTCAATGCGGGGTGGGGGTTGCGGTCTATCTCATCAGATCTCATAAATTTCAATGACGAATCGGAATCGATATTCTTAATGTCATCCCACACAAATAATCAAACCTTTCCTGTTCCTGTTTAATTTTATTGTTTTTTCATTCCCTTATTTTCACTTCCCTTTCATATATTCTGCAAGGCAGATTGATCGATATAGCCAGTTGTGGAATATATCTAAATTTACTATTCGGTCTTCAAGCATCTTGCAATTCCCTTCAAATACTCAAATCAACCCAACTCAAATCCTCATAATGACACCGTCAGTTCTACCTGCCTCCAGCGAAACCTCCTCAGGCCCTTCAAACCGTCCCAAAATCCTCATCCCAGAAAAAGTATCCATAGATGGCCTCACCTTACTAGGTAACAAATTCGAAATCCACCAACCTAAAAACCTCACCCCAACCGACCTCCTCACCATAATCCCCTCCTACTCGGCCCTAATAATCCGTTCCGAAACAAAAGTCACCTCCGAAATCCTCGCCGCTGCGAAAAATCTCAAAGTGGTCGCTAGAGCAGGAGTAGGTGTTGATAATATTGATGTAGAAGCTGCTACGAAACATGGTATTATTGTGGTTAATTCCCCTAGTGGGAATATTGCTGCAGCGGCCGAACATACGATTGCGTTGCTGATGGCGGTGGCGAGGAATGTTCCTGCGGGGGATAGGTCGTTGAGGGGTGGTGGGTGGGAGAGGGGGAAATTGGTGGGGATAGAGGTGGGTGGGAAGGTTTTGGGGATTGTTGGGTTGGGGAAGGTGGGGCTTAAGGTTGCGAGGTTGGCGGTCGGGTTGGGTATGAAGGTTTGGGCTTTGGATCCGTATGCTAGTCCGGAAATTGCGGAGGCAAATGATGTTCTTTTGGTGAAGGATTTGGGGGATTTATTACCCGTGGTGGATTTTTTGACAATTCATACTCCGCTTATTGCTGGTACGTTGGATTTGATCGGGAAGGAGGAATTGGGGAAAATGAAAAAATCGGCAAAGGTTCTTAATGTCGCGAGAGGTGGTGTGTATAATGAACAAGCATTACTTGATGCTCTTGACGCTGGTATCATCGCAGGAGCAGGTCTAGATGTCTTTACATCCGAACCTCCACTTCCAGATTCCCCAGCTCAAAAACTTACTCAACACTCAAAGGTAGTCGCAACACCACATCTAGGCGCCTCAACAATCGAAGCACAAGAATCCGTCTCAGTAGATGTTTGCACACAAGTTCATTCTATCCTAAGCGGAGGACTCCCTACATCCGCCGTCAATGCTCCACTTATCCTCCCAGAAGAATACAAAAAGTTACAACCTTTTGTTAAATTGATGGAAAAGATAGGTGGATTATACACACAACATTATCGAGGAAAAGGCGTAGGAGGAAAGAAATTCGAAGTCATCTATGAAGGTGAACTTGCTGGTATCGCTAATACACGACCGCTGTTCGCAGCTTTGGTTAAGGGTCTCATGGGTAGTTTTAGTGAACGCGGTGGTCGCGATGTCAATATCGTTAATGCTTCTTTAATTGCTAAGGAGAAGGGAATAGTCATTAGTGAGACGCATGTCTCGGAGAGTAGGAATCTCGTTTATGCTAGTTTGGTTACGCTTAAGGTTGTGGATGTTGGAGGAGGTGGAGGTGGAGGTAAGGGGGAACAAATCATTAGTGGTTATGTAAGTGAGCGGGGAATTTTCATTAGTAGACTCGATAGGTTTAATACGAGTTTTGCTCCCGAGGGTACACTGTGTGTTTTGAGGAATAATGATGAGCCGGGGAAGATTGGAGTTGTAGGGGGAATACTAGGGAGGGCGGGGATTAATGTTAGGTTTATGAGTGTGGCGGCTTTGGATAGGAATGGGGGTGGTGTGAGGGGTGGTAGGGAGGGTGGTAAGAGTGGTGAAACGATGAGGATAATGAAGAAGGAGATTCTAAGAGGAAAATTAAAATGAAGCATTAATGATTTTGGGTATTGATGGGGTGGTTAGTAAAGAAGTGGAATTGAGGAATGAGGAGGGCATTTTGATGTCGGGATTGTTAATTTGTGAAGGGTTGAGTTTGGGAAAGGGGACAGGGTTGTTCGTGGTGTTGAGGAAAGTGGTGAGTGAGTGAGAGGATGAGGATTGAGGGGAATTGATGATTGACAAGCTCTCTTTATTTACTGAATGGGAATTTGAAAGAACAGCGGGATTTGAGAGTATAGGATAGAATGAAATGAAATAAATAAGTAAACGAGATGAAAAGTAAAAGATAGTTTTTTAATAATAAAAATAAGATTATTATATTATAAGAATTATTATTATAAATTATTGATGGATTTAAAATAATTATTTGTAAGTTTAAATAAATGATTTTATTAAATAAAAATTAACAGTTATAATTTTATATTTTTATTTATTTATTTATTTATTTTTAAAATATCTCATTGTTTAAGATTTTGATTTGATTGATTGATTGATTGATTGATTAATTGAGAAAATGATTTTTATTCAAGTATATAAGTTAATAATAATTTAAAATATAAATTTGTTTTGATGTTTATTTGAGAATATTTATATATATATAAAATAGGATAGTGATAGTAATAATAATATTAATATTAATGATTCATTTTTTAATTTATATTATTTGATTTAAATTTCTTAAATTTCTTAAATCTTTGAATGAATAGAATGAATAGAATGAATAGAATGAATAGAATGAAATAAGAAGCCAGTGATTACTCATTATATCCACAAGTCCTCTCTTCTCTAAGGATTGGAATCAATTTCTTTATATAATATAAATCTTACATTAATACTCGGGAATTAAACTTTGTGTAATACAGTATATACCCTCATCAATTAGTTTCAAATTCAGGCTTTTGAATCCTTGAATCTTTAGGGATAAGTGGTTCTTCAAATAATTATGCTCCTCAGGATTCCCTAAGATTCGGAAATGCTACTGTTTCACTTGTTTTATGATATTTGTTGTTGATGGTCGGAATGTCATCACTGCCTCCTTTTTGGGAGGGGATTTGTCATCATTCATTAAGCATCCTTTTCATATATCCTGTCCTGCCTGTTATTGCGGCTCGAGAACTGGTATTGTGTGTAGAGACCTTTTGTTCTAAAATACGTAGCTTTTGCGAGAGTAGAGCTCATAAACAGCCGAGGATGGGTTTAGTATTTTGATATGAGATTGAAATGGTAGAGGAATCTCCGTTATAAAGTGTCTAAAATGATTGTACATTTAGAACGGATGTACTTAGTTCTAGTCATCGAATCATGCCCTTGCACTTTCAGGCCATGATAAGAATTCCACATCGTGTGAAAAATGACTTCTCGTACTTTTATGTTCACTCAATAGTTCATCCCACGATATGTAGTCTTTCTACTCATCTTCCATAGATATAAATGTGCATCCATCCGTGGAATTTCTTCCAAAATAGCCAGCCAACTTTCGACAGTCCACCAAGGCGGACAGAGATGCGAACTCTAGACTTCTAGAATTTTCAAAGCATATTTGGAGACAGATGATATATTGTCCAAAATGAATGTTAACTACTCCGAATCCCAAAGTTCTTCTTTATTGACAAGATCTGTGAATGCCATTGGACCTCCATATTTTTTGCGAGACTATTCTGTGAATCCATCCCAATTGTCATTTCTACTCCATACTTCTCATTGGAAGACTGATTCTTAGTTAATCAAGGAAGGTCTCCATACCTCAATCCCAGTATGAGATGATAGTTCATATTGTCCAATGCACGTTACTCATGATGTCCCATCCATATTTTGCCAACAAGGAAGGAATCTTTTTCGTATATCAAAGAATGACTTCAAAGGTCCCCTGGTCTTAAAGAGTACATGCAAAGAAAACTCTTGGACAGTCAGAATCACGCTATCCAATCTTCCGCTAAATCAACATGAACCATTTTCGAGTTTCTCTTGGGGTGTTCAAAGACTCCAATCTTCAAGGGAAAGTGCTGAGCAGCTTTGCGTTGGAGAAGTGAGGAGTAGACCAATGTATCTTACAATCTATCTCTTCTTTTCGTGCTTTCATTTTCATGTATGGATATATAGTATCTTGAAAGAGAGGTTTGATAGAGAATGATTGATTGTTTTGTGTATATACCTAGATACTCAATCGAGTATCTCTCACGTGGTCGTTCATTCTAGTTGTCTGTTCATTTTGATGTCACATTATTCATATGTGTATTTTATTGTTATATTATTTTCACATCGCTTATTTGAATAGTTTAAATGTTTTAATATTATATAAATTTTTTTATAAAAGTTTTTATAAGTATTTTAATATCTCAATTATTTATTTTAAATATACTAATTCTCTTATAAGTATTTTCATATAATAATAATTATTATATTGTCTATCTTAATAAATTGTTTATTTTAATCATAAAATTAATTTTTTTATATATTTTAATACATATTATTAAGTTTATATTTGTTATTATTATCGTCTTTATTATCGTCTTTATTGTTATCTTTGTTATTATTATTATTATTGTCGTGATTATTATTTTTATAATTGTTTCAGTGAATATTGTTTTTTGAAAACTCTTTATTCTCAATTTTTTCAAATACCTAAGGAAAATCTATAGTTGGTTACAAGACTCCTCTCTGATTCCTCAAATGTTTATCTTCCTGTTTCCTCGTTTCGTTTCTTTACTTGATATTGCTTCCGTGCCGCTGCGGCCATGAAATAATAATGTTTTTTTATGTTTTTAAGGACGATGTTTGGGTTCTTTCGCTCTGGTTCTTCCGAGTCTGTTAAATAATGGATTATGAAAACGGTGGAAAGTAAATCAGAGCGCTAGAATGAATCAAGGTGCTCGTAAGTAAGTATGCTGACGCCGAGATCCTAAGCGAACAGCTCGAAGGAGATATCTTTGAAAAATGTTTCTGGTACCTTTGTAGTGATTGTTTTCTGATCATTGTTCTCCGGATATGAAGAAACGGAATAGAAGTTTATATACGAGATGTGCATTTGGATGGCAATTTTCTAATGACTGAATTGTCAAATTTTCCGGTCTACATGCTAGGATGTTTTGTCTGCCCTTAATTCAACTTTATTCTATTAGATATGGAAGTGCATATTAGCTGATGAATGAGCAAAACTCTCTGGGATATATCCGCTGATGTATTGCGGTTGTTGTTATTATTATTATTATTATGTATACTCATCTTTGTTGTCGTTTTACTTGGAATTTAAAGTTTATTCTTTAATAGAAGTATTATTCGAAATTCGTCAATATTTGATATATTTGCACTTGTAATATTACAAAGCTTATAAGCAGTCTGTGTCTGTCTAACACAACATAACGTCAGATTTTTTGCTCTCATGTCTAGTTCCGCCAGGAAATGTTTAAAATCCACACTTATTGATTCTTTTTATAGTCGGTCAGTCCTTTAGGATAAAGAAGCTTCAAAATACCCGTGATTCAGATATACATCGGATTTACCTCACTCTTAAATACACTGTTACATACAGGGCTGGTGCTTACATTCATTCTACTCTTTATTGATATTAGGTTGGTTCATCGGATTCACAAATCCTTTGAGGGGACTCTCCAATCCTAACCATTGCCATTTCCAACTTATTAACTTTGGAAGCTCATAGGGAAATCTATTGAATCTTCGTGGAGTCTAGCTGGGTGTCATATACTTCTTTTACTCTCCAGATCTATATATATTAAATAGGAGTGCTCTTAAAACACATGGCCAATGTAAGATCAAGACATGGATGAGAGCCCCTACATTGCTATTGCTGTGTACTGGTAGATTATCACTCTCCGTACCTCAATCTAGCAGATGCATTATGTTAAGTTCCAAGGAAAGTCAGATGAATACATTCTCGTTTGCACTTTTGTCCTTGAGACAATGTCTGTATTACTCATTAGATAAGAATAAAAGAATGAGTATAACTCTCTCAATATATTAGATGACAACAATTACAATATATCATCTCAACATTTTACTACTATCAACCATTCATTCTTTCAAAAAGTTAAATTCCCTCTCAAATCCGTCCGAATCTCCCCTCGAATCTAGAAATTTTATTACAGGACAGAGCTCGAGGTAATAACTCTCCGAATTTCTCACAATCTCCAAAAACCTATCAGTTTGCAAGGCTTGCGATACTAGCTTATCATTATTATTTGGGGGTGTCTATGGAGTTTTCTAAATGTATATAAGATATTTTCTGAAGTGCACTTATATCATGCTTATATTCGGGAGGGTCAAGTAGGATGAAATTGTAAACGGTTCGAAAGGAAATATTATTACATTCTCGATGCTTTGCTCGTTGTTATGTGCGAATATTTGATCGTAATCTAGGGCATTATAATACTGGCTTTCTATTGCTTACAATCTTAAATAATAACATGAACATACGTGATACTTTTGTCTTAGGATACAAAGTGTTATACGTGATAATGATATGACCACACTGCGGCTCATCAGGCAAAACGTTGCATGAGGCTCTCGACGTTTGTATGTATTCGCCGAGTGCCATCAACGGCGTGCGTATTGTTAGAATCACCATGATTGGTGTTCTTTCGTGATACGTCGTTTAAGAAGAAGGATGGTCGCAAATAGATAGAAAAAGCGAGAAGTGAGCTAGATACGTGTTTTGTGCTTTTATATTCTTAGATCAACTGATTGATTCGATTTCGCCATGTGAAGTCTTGCGCGATCAAATTCCCTGTAACGTTGCGAGGAACTGTGATGGTGATTAAATTCTTCTGTCCGAACCGGAATACTTTTTGATAATGTGAGGTGAAGGAAGTACAGTTTCGGGAAGGGGTTGGAAGAAAAGGAAATCAAGTGAAGGTAGTACATCCGGATAAAAGGATTTTTTTTCTTCCAACTCAATCCGAACTGAGTGTCTCTTAGGTAGATAAAGCACAAGAAGACTTAAATTGACCTAGATGAAATCTCATCGGGTAGGTTGTACACAGAAAGTCAGATAGTTCACATGCCATAAAACTTTTAACGGCACTCGAAAAATCCTAAGCAATGAAATCAACAATTTAGACAAGCTCACTAGCATTATCCCCAAACGACTTGAATATAAAAAAATGGAATGTTCCCCAGATTTCAATTTCTAAATAATTGAAAGAAATCAAAGTCGATCATGGTCAGAATGTTATACAAAGATTGGACCCTGATCCCGAGGGTTGATAGTCATTGCTCAAAATCCATGATCTCCAGATCTCGTGTTACCGAAAAGACTTTGTACAGCCTGATAGATCAACTTCCAAACAGTACAAGGACTTTGCGGAATAACCTCAGGTCTTACCATTTTCATTTATTCATCCCACCAGGAGAATTAAACTTGATGCCAAGACGAGAATAAAATCTTCATCTTCTCTTCTCCTCTCGTTTTGCGTGTTGTCTTTATCTTGGCATTTTGGCATTACAGTCTCGTGAAAGATACGAAAAGAAAAGTATTTCGATGATTGATTCAGTCAAGAGTCTTTCGAGGGATGGCTGAGGATGGTTGAGGATTGGTGATATGATGTTGACTTATTTAACCTTGTCGCTTAAATTTGAAGCTTTTCATGCCAGCAGGGACGTACTCATGACGGATAAATAGACAGGTTAATATGCAGTCAGATCCAAATGAATGTGATGAACGGGATAATGTTCAGCTTCCTTTATAGATTGAAAGCCATTTCGGGAAGGTGTTGACGCTTGAAGTGTAAACATGAGATGAGCATGAGCATGAGCATGAGCATGAGCATGAGCATGAGCATGAGCATGAGCGGAAGTATGAGCGGTGTGGTTGATGATGTCAAGTGAATAGAAGTGAAGAAGACTCGATGGAATAGTGAGAATGGTAAGGAATAGAAAAGATAAAAAAATAGCAACAGATGCCAAGGATTATATTTAAGTGGGGATCAAAATATCGTCATATTTCAACATTCAAGAATATGATTGGCTCTAAATATGAGACCCTGTCTTTTGAACCTCGCGCTCTCTCTCTCTCTCTTTGTTTTGTACGGACTATGACTTATTATTTATTTCTACTTTCCCCATCACAAGGAAAGTAATCACGTCCGTACATAGTTACCTCCTTGGTCGTATTCCCTTCCACTCCCTCTATCTTTTCACAAATACCGATTTGAAATCGCTTCCAACCTCTTTATTAATATTCTTCGACACGCCATCTTCATATTCATCGGTGTGTGCTAATATTATCTAATCACTACTCGGTACCAATATCCATCTATTTACTTGCAGCCTGCAGGCCGGACATCTTCGGACTTATCTGACAAAAACTAAAAATCAGGAACCCGAGGAAACTTGAAAAAGGGCTCCACCTCTTTAAAAGACACTAAAATCCGAGGGAGTCGGGCCCAATTGAATTACTGTCGCGAGCAGTAATCATTGGAGATCTCATCACTGACTATAGAGCTGAGATGAACTCGAAATCGATTGTCGGAAGTCCTCGCTCAAGCTTCATTAGCAATGGCTATACTTCGAGAAGACCTGCCATCTTAGGTCTTGCCAAAATTCTATTCTTATCCATCTGCCAAATTACTTCTGTTTCTGCCGCTCCCATTACAACCTTTCTCGGCATCGCCAGCGAAGAGGATGCACCGAAAGATGTCGAAGATGCGAGTTTATGGTTATATCTCTCAGTTGCCGCTGTGTTGGTTTTACTCGGGGGTGCTTTCGCAGGTTTAACAATTGCGTGAGTTTGCAAATAAGATGCATCACAAAGTTAACATACTAACCAAACTTTTCATCTAGGTTGATGGGACAAGATGGTGTCTATTTACAAGTTATCGCGACTTCCGGTGAAGGAAAAGAACAGAGGCATGCGCAAAAGGTTTATGGATTATTACAAAAGGGTAAACATTGGGTTCTTGTAACATTACTACTCAGTAATGTCATCGTCAACGAAACACTTCCTATCGTACTCGATCGATCTCTTGGTGGAGGATGGCCTGCCGTTCTTGGTAGTACAGTTTTAATTGGTATGTTGATGAATCTGCGTCAATGGGGCTCATGTTGACTTGTTCAGTTATCTTCGGAGAAGTCATTCCTCAATCAATTTGTGTGCGATATGGTCTTTCCATCGGAGCATTTATGGCACCACCTGTTTTAGGTCTTATGTGGCTTTTAGCACCGGTTGCATGGCCTACTGCTAAACTTCTCGACAAATTACTTGGAGAGGATCACGGAACCGTTTATAAGAAATCTGGTCTAAAAACTCTCGTCACTTTACACAAAACATTAGGAACAAGTCCCAGCGATCGACTCAACCAAGATGAGGTTACAATTATCAGTGCAGTCTTAGACCTGAAGGAAAAAGCAGTTGGAGATATCATGACACCTATAAGTGATGTATTCACTCTAAGCGCCGATGCGATACTTGATGAAGATACCATGAACGTCATTTTGAGTGCTGGTTATTCTCGAATTCCTATTTACGAGCCTGGAAATGAGCAAAATTTTGTCGGTATGCTTCTCGTCAAGATTTTGATCACATACGATCCAGAAGACTGTAAACGTGTCCGTGATTTCGCTTTGGCTACCTTACCAGAGACTCGACCTGAAACCAGTTGCTTGGATATTGTAAACTTCTTTCAAGAAGGAAAATCTCACATGGTACTCGTTTCAGAATATCCTGGCGAGAACTTCGGTGCTACCGGTGTGGTTACACTTGAGGACGTTATTGAAGAACTGATTGGAGAGTGAGTTTAAATTGACATCCCCTAGTCGTACAACTCTAACAGGTTATAGGGAAATCATTGACGAGTCGGATGTTTATATTGATGTTCACAAAGCAATTAGACGAATGACCCCAGCACCCAAATTATCCAGATTTAAGCCAAACCAAATCGTTGAACCTTCCAATGGATCGATCCACGGTACCGATGACAGTCTCATTGATTTATCAGAAGGACCAAATAATGTACAACTTGGTAGGAGACGTAATCAAACGGAGGTCAGAAGTTCAAGCCCCGCCAATCATTTCGGTACCAGTCCTAAAACAACTTTTATGCGAAGGGTTTCAACCGGTGATAATGATAGGAATGTTGTTGCCGTAAGAGGAAATATGAATGATATGCGCGAACACCTAAAGCATCTTGGTCCATCCAACCTCGCTAGTCGACCAAAAATGACAAAGTATCAATCGGTCAAAATTAAGCCCGGAAGTGTTCTTGGTGGTATTAGGACTGATTCTAGAAGTGATTCAGTTGCTCAACGTGGATCCATCGCTGAGGAGCCTGAGTTCGAGCCATACACGGATAGTCCAGGACCACAAGGTGGTGAAGGAGAAGGGTTACTTAGATCGGCTGGACAAGATGCGAAAGATGGAGTTCAAGCTTTACAACAAGGTTATGGCACGTTGAATAATCGTGTTCCTTCTAGCAAACTTGTCCAGGAGGAAACTTCAAATGCACCTCAATATGATGGACCAACTAGTCCAGTACCACAATCACCTGGTAATGGACTTTCAATCTCCAATTTCTTCAATAAGAATAAAAGTACGGACACAGTCGGATCTCTTCATTCTCAAAAGAGTGGTGCAAGTCCACCAACTAAAAAGAAGAAGAGTACGGCTAGAAGTGGAAGTATCACAGAAAATTTGGTAGAAGCAGGTGGTATTCGAAAGATGGTTTTGGAGACAAATACTAGTGGAGAGGAAAATAATGGTGGAAGAGTATTACATTCGAGTAGTACTGGTAGTGGAAATAAAAGTGCGAATGGGGTAGAGAATAAGTTCATGCAATTCTTAAGTAATGCTGGAAGTACTGATAGATTGACTGACGCGGAACACAAGAGTCATTCGAGTCAAACGGAAAATACAGGCGGGGAGAGTGGATCAGGTGTTGGTAGTTCGAAACATAAGAAGAAGAGTAAGAAGAAGAGTAAAAAGAAGAGTGCTGGAAAGTAAAGGGGCGGAACATATGTATTTATATTATTATTATTATAGGCGGGCGGCGGTCTCTGGGGTTGGAGGTTGTGTGAAATGAGATGGGAGAAAATTGCTTTTTATTTATATTGTGATGAAGAAGATGAAGAAGAAAAGAGGAAGAAAAGATGGGATTTAATGATTTTGGTGGATGTGATGCTGTATACTGTATACTGTATGAAGGGGGCTTATTGTTAGGGGAGAGAGAAAAAAAGATGAAAATTAATGAATTTGGATTTTTGGTGGTGGTTGTTTTGTGTTGTGTGAAGGGTGAGGAAGGGTAAAGGGGATGGAGACGGGGAAGATGAGGGAGATGTGAGAGATGGAAAAGAGAATGAGGTGTCTTGTATTTATATTATATATATATATATATGTAATTATATAAAAGTTATTTATTTATTTATTTATTTATTTATTCCGTTTTATTTTACTTTATTTTATTATATATATATCTCATTATGTAATACTGTACCTCATTGTTCCAAGTTTAAAAAGAAAAACAAGTAAATGAGTGAGTGAGTAAGTGAGTAAGTGAATTGTTAGTATTAAAGATGAGGAGGAGGAAAAGAAGATAAGGATGAATGAAGAATGAGGGGGTGGGGTGAAAGGTTGAGTGAGGGGATATTTATAAAAAGAATAAATATTATAAATAAAATATTTGAGTAAGTATATATTAGGAAATAAAAATAAATCTAATATTTTATCTCTAAATTATTTTTTATAATAAATAAATAAATTAATTAATTAATTAATTTTTGAGTTATAAATTATAAATTATAAATTTTGAGAATTAATTATATATATACTTATATCATTTCTTTTTATTTAATTTTTAAATAATTTTTAATTAATTATAAAATTATTATTTTTGATATAAAAAAATCTAAAAATAATAAATTTAATATTATTATAACTTTTATAATCTTGTATTTTATCTTAATTAAAAGATAAAAAAATAAAAATTAAAAATTAATATCAATTATATATTTCAGTTCTATGAATTTTCAAGTTTATTATATTATTAACATATTATTATTTATAATATATACAAATACTTGATCAATTCTTATCTCGTTAAAGTTCTATAATTCCTTTTATTGATTAGAATATTCATTGGATTGGACTTCGTAATATAGCTCACTTAGAGCTCTAAGTCACAATTATTCTCCTCTTAGCTAGCTTAATTTGTCATTATACATTTTAGATAAATGAAGTAGTGATATTAGATTCAAAAAGTGATGACTATCCAAGATAAGCCATCATCGTGACGAGCATATGAAAAGAGAAACCATACCTTTTCGTCATACACCGTTTCACTTTACCTAATCCAGATCGAGATCTTCATTCAAAATCCTAATTTTCCAATCGTCCGAATCATAGTCCGTCAAGAACAGGAATCTTCTATTAGAAAGGTGACTTGATAGATAGCGATCATGTCAATCTGAAGTTATAGTCATGTCACGAGATATACTAGAATACTTAGTATCAGACTTACCAAGTCTAAAGAATCTAGAATGAATCGCAAGTTAAAGTTAAATTTAGTCCAGAGTTACACTTGTATATACTACCGAAGAATCCCACAAAATCATATTTCTTTTAAATTCCTTTCTACCAAACACTTGCAGATCCTATATCCTCAACACCAATCATCATCATATCGAATATATATCCTATTTCACTCACCCGACCAAACGATTCATTATTACAATCCTACGAGACATACACCATGAATTACTCACTCTCCTCCCACACCGCCACACTCAGGCCCACGACATCATCACTCGTGGGTTCTTTGATTTCCCTTCCTGCAGCAACAGCAATAGTAACAGCAACAGCAACAGCAACAACCACAGCCACAGCCACAGCCGAAATACTCCTACCCATAGACACAAACACAACTTCCGACCACAGCCACAGAGACATAACCAACTACTTCATCACAAAGATGTCAACTTGGCTTGGATTAGCCTTCACACTCATATACATTGCGATCCTTATAATCAGAGTTTACAAAGAGATCAAGTGCTGTTTAGAGATCTCTATTCCTAAATATAGAAATAAAAACCCAAGAGAGAATTCAGAAGAAGGAGGAGTAAAGGACCACAAATCCACAGTCGGATCACAAATTTGCGAGGAAAAGTATCAAAATGATGCATCTGGCATGACTGGAATTCGAACTCCAAAGCAGGATTCTGTTAATGCTATTGATTCCCGGAATATGGTTCAATCTTCAGAAGAATATTATGACACTAAGAAGAATGAATATCTTGCTTATTTGCAAGGGACTTTGAAAACTCCCTGGCTTTTGCCTTCTAATAATACGGTGGAAAGTATGATGGAGGAGGGAAGGTGCAAGTCGGCTCCGAGATCTTGACCTGTGGGGTAGAATACTTTGGTTTGAGGGATGTTTGAGGAGGGAATAGAATGTAGGGGAGAGATGGATAGCTGTATGTATATGAGGAATGGGATGGATCTTCAATATCTGCCAGATTTATCGGTATATTAGATTTGGATTTTCCAGAGTATTAGAATACAGACGAGCCTCATCTCAAATTAAATATCTTCCCATATCTCTCATGCTTTAAAACCTGGGCATTATGTTATAAATTCCCATCCTATATCCTAGAGACCAATCCCCTGTGGTTCATTGTAAAATACCTCCGTATGCTTATAAAGATCTTAACCTAAGTTTACATTTCCAATTCATTAACCTTATCCATTTTCCAATATCTGCAACACGGATAATGCTACTGAGAGTATTCCGCAGAACAGAACTCCAATTTCAATGATAAGTCCAGCCAAATTAAAAGCATCGGTCACACTATATACATAATCTCGAACCATGAGATAGAAGGCAAACAAAATACTCGAGAAAAAGAAGATGGACAAATATATCCACATGATATATATGTATCCGCAATCCTCAATTGGCAATCCTCTCTCTATCGTTAAAGATTAAACTCGTGTGATACTCCCCGTCAGTCTCCTTGCTACCTTCTAACAATCTTGTTAGGAATGAAAAATGATATTGTCGGACATGCCGGGCTTGCAGACTTCGTCCGTGAAGTCTTCCGATTCATCACACTATTCGGCAATTTTTCTTTTTAGAATTGAACAGTTTCTATCCGTCACTGAATGATCTCATCGAATACTAGGAACGATAATACATGATGTCTTGTGATAAGTCAATAAGAAATTTCAAGAAACTTTGCACAATACATTCCATTCAAAGTGACGACACTAATCCGTCCAAAATTTCCACATAAAGAAACCCCAACTTTTCCACCACAAACAACTCTACCAACTAAAGAGCAAACTTCTCCTTAAACCTCAAAATCGCCTCAGCAATCTCCTCGACATGTGTTTCCACAGCAAAATGCCCCGCATCCAAAAACTCAACCACCAAATTCCCGCAATCCCTCTTAAACGCCTCCGCCCCAGCCTTCACAAAAATCTCATCATTCCTACCCCAAACCGCGAGCACAGGAACATTCTCCTCCCTAAAAAACTTCTGAAACGCGGGATAAAACTCTAAATTCGTACGATAATCATAGAAGAGATCGAGTTGGATTTCTGCATTTCCAGGACGAGAAAGGAGTGCATAGTCGAGAGTATAGGATTCTGGTGCGATGTTATGGAGATGCGTTGGAGGGGTTCCGGTGTTGTATTGCCATTTGGTTGAGTCGAGGGAGATGATGGATTTGATGGGTTCTTTGGAGGCGGATAGTTCTTCGGGTGTTTGGGCTTTCCACAGTTTTTGAAAGGGGGTCCAGAAATCACCAAGTCCTTCGGTATAGGCATTGCCGTTTTGGGAAATGATTGACTGGATGGCTTGTGGATGGCGGAGTGCTAGACGTAGTCCTATGGGTGCGCCGTAGTCGAAGATGTACATGGAGAATTTTTGTATATTAAGTTCGTGCAAGAAAGATTCGATAGATGTGGTTAGAGAATCGAAAGTGTATTTATAGTTTCGAGATTCGGGGATTTCCGTGAATCCGAAACCGGGGAGATCTGGTGCTATGAGATGGTATTTCTTGGAGAGGAGAGGAATTAGATTGCGGTATTGATGGGATGAGCTAGGGAACCCATGAAGAAGAAGGAGCGTGGGTGCTTCAGGAAGCCCAGCCTCTCTGTAGAACATATTGATGCCATCGGCATTTATAGTATTTAGATGAATGGCGGTCATTGTGGAATATCGCTTGGTAATTATGTCAAGTAGATGAAGATCAATTATGTGGCTCATGGTCGCTAGATATATAATGCGTTTAAGCCAGGAATGGCGGGGTATATTCTGTAACACATGCTTGAACTATGTATGTATATATGGAAAGTATGTATTTGCTGACGTTTGCCGAATCTGAAAACGGCCGTGGAGTTGCGTTCTTTTGTCTTTGTCATCAGCTTGTATGACGGTGATTCGAGGATTTGTGCTTCTAATTGGTAGAAATTTGAACAAGGAAAGGGACGAAGGAATTTGGAGCATCCTTGAGCATACCTCTTCATCCAGAAAAGGTGTAAACTCTTTCATGTCGACCTCGCCCAGGATAATGCAAGCTAGGCAATTGAATAAAATAGTTTCAAACACAGAAACGATCAATCAGCTCGAAATGGGATGTTTATGATCCATTATTGAATCTGGCTAGTTATTAAAATCGCCAATGTTAACCTCTGCAACCCTATTCGCTCAAAAAAGACCCTCCAAGAACATGTAACAGGAACCGTGATTCATGCAGAGTTAAGGTAGTCACTCACTCTACATGGCAAACCACCCTCCATAGGTAAAGTAAGACTATTCTTGCTAATCCTTTCTTTCTGATCAATGGGAGTCAAGTCAAAATTGACCACTAAAGTTGCAATCACTTGTGCAGCCACAATTTCTGCCATCTTCTTTCCTAGACAAGTACGTGGTCCTCCATTGAATACTGGATACTCAAAAGCAGTCTTTGAAATCAGTACTCCATCTTCTAGCCACCTCTCGGGTCTAAAATCATCGGCATCCTCACCCCAAGTTGATTTGGATCTGTTCATTGCCCAGGGACACCAAAGAAGTACAGCGTGTTTTGGAAGAAATGTTCCATCAGGTAATGTGGTTGATTGCTCACATTGCTTGATCTCAAAAGGTACCGGTGGGTAAAGTCTTAAGGTTTCATAGAATACAGCCATGATATATGGAACGGCTGTGGGTTTGTATGATGTTGAGTCTCTATGTGGATCGTCGTTATTCGGAGATACTATTTCTTGCCGTACTTTGTCCATGACTTTTGGATGACGCATGAGAAGATAAAAGGCCCAAGTCAATGCTTGTGCAGTAGTATCACGACCTGAAATTCTTAGCTCATGATCAAGCAAATAGTTCATTGAATGCAAAACCTACCAGCGGAAAGATAATTCAGAGCTGCGTCGGCTACCATTTGATGATCATCAATTGAGTCCAGTAGAGACTTGATCAAGCTACCAGATATAGAATCCAAGGAGCTACTTTCGATACCCTTTTCCTTTTGTTCTTGTCGAGTCTTGACAGCATTCGACACGATTTCAGCACCAAATGCTTTAACCTTTGCTATTGATGATCTTAAACGACCACCAAATATCATTTCGGTGATCGGCCAAAGAGGGTTTTGAAACCTCTCACCAGTAGCTCCAGATGCGTACTCAAACGCTAATGAGAATGGATCACCAGAACGCATATCCATCTAACAACCTTTAGTGGAGATATCTTGACGAATTTTTGAGAATTAAAATCCTTACATCATATGCCATCCTGCCCATAAGTTTCGTAGTCAATTCATGAAACACAGCTCCCAAATCAACGACCTTGCCTTTTTCCAATTTGAGGTGCTCCAAAGTCTCTCCAAGATACCGTGGAAGTGCAACATCAGTAAGAACTTTCGAATTTGCAACATTGAGGAAATTCAAGCCAGCTTTTCGCTGCACTTTCCATAAATCTCCATCAGCATTGATGATACCATTTCCTAGCACTCTTAGTATCTCCACACGAAAGGAAATGTATTAATAAATTCCCCACCAAATAAATCCCAAGACCTTCTCTTAAAAAAATCCCCTTTGGCGAAGATGCCCTCATTCTTCAATACATACTCGAGATTCTTTGGATCATTTATTACCACACCAGGTGGTAATGATGGGACTGAAATCTCAAATGTCTCGAATCCAAATTTTCGTTCGCATTTCACGAACCAGGAAAATAACCTGTGACGAGCTTGAAGGAAGAGAATACCATTTCCTACTAGTGGTAATGTATTTGGTGGTCGTCTGGATGGGTGGTTAGTTCAGAATGAGATTGCTGTACTCCGCAACAGAGAAGAGATGTGTATCATGCATATATACATCCAAGAAGGTATGGAATATCGATAGAGCAAATGAATGCACACTCGTGCAAAATCTTGGAGTCATGTAATGTGCCCCGAAGGAAATATTATTAGAATCCCACGCAAGATCTCGTGATTTCGTGGCATATTCGTGTTCTATTTTGTGTCCCACTCACCTCAAAGACTTCCCGTCCCTCCTAATCCTCGAACCTTTACATAGAGAACTGCCCAAACAAATCGCGATAACAATCGATACAATTATCAGTGAATACATCTGCAGTCGTCAATTAATGTAGGACAAAGAAATCAAGCTCGTGAAAGATGTAGTGATGCAATATGCATAAGGAAGGAATGGAGGAAGCAGGATTTTGTTGCTACCAATTATGCTCTGTTGTGCTAACGTCATTAGGATAAATACCATAGATAAAGCTTCAAGTTTCAGATTTCTAGATAGACACGACATCCATTTATTACTTACTTGATACTTTTCAACTACAAATTGTTTTCTCTATTTTGAGAAATTCACATACTTGAATTGAAAATACATCAAAGAAGAAAAGAAAAATGGTGCTTATTTGTCCCCGAATTCATTTCTTCGAGATCAATGATCAACCCTGGTATGTTGCCCTTCAGCAGCTCAAGACAAGCTTTCCAAGCTATCCAAGCTACACACATCTACATCTGCTTCGATCCTTTAACTTCTCATCGCTCTTCTCAACTAACTTCAATTTCTCACCCAGGTTTCCTCAATATCTCCGCGAAAAAGTCCAATCCTGTCTTACCCTCTGCTGGACCTTCCGAGTTCCCATCATCCAACCCTCTTCCCCCGCCCAACTAGTCGCCACAACCCTTTCTCGAACCCTCTCAGATAAAGTTACATCCTACACTTACGTAGATTTCTGTGCCGGGGCTGGTGGTCCCACGCCTTACATTGAGGTGTACATGAATGAGCAATTGAACTCCTCAACCTCTGCACCCTCTACCTCCTCCAATCCATCAAAATCCTCATCGGTAGCCACGCCTGAGGTTTCCTACGCCGAGATTGCAGCCGCGCCGAAAGATGAAATCAATGGACTTAAACAGAGATCGTCTCATCTTGTTAATGCGGATGATAAACATGCAAAAGTACAATTTGTATTAACAGATTTACATCCACATATCCCGGACTGGACGGAAGCTTCAAAACGCAGCGAGAACCTCAATTTTATATCAGAATCTGTCGATGCAGCAAACGCGCCAAGAAATCTGTTGAAGAATGTCAATGGTGTCAACGGGGAGACCAAGGTGTTTAGATTGTATAATCTAGCCTTTCATCATTTCGACGACGGATTAGGAAGTAAGATATTGAAGAACACGGTTGAAACCGCCGATGGTTTTGGGTACGGTCATTCATTTTCCTATCTCTTCTTACCTCCATCTAAATAAATCAAACTAACCACGCACAGTATATTCGAACTCCAAGAACGTACTCTCTCCTCTCTAATTACCATGTTTGCCATGGGCATAATGATTCTCGGCATAACTCCATTTTATTTCTGGCGTTCACCAGGCCATCTATTTTTCACATATATTATTCCCATCATCCCTTTCGTATTGGTGTTTGATGGGATTATTAGTTCGTTGAGGACGAGGAGCGCGGAGGAAGTGGAGGCACTGATGAGGGGGAGTGGGGTGGATACGCAGGAGTGGAAGGTGTCAAGTGGGAGGGAGAGACATACGTGGCCGACGGGTTATATGACTTGGGTTATGGGAATTAAGGAGTAGAGGGTTTGGGAGGGATTGGAGTGTATAATTAGGCCATTTGGGTTTTTTTTATTAGGTATTGATTGCACAATAGGCAGATGGATGGGTTGGGGTGGGATACATCAATGAGTCTCCAATTTTTTGGAATCGTTTGCTTCAGACCAGTTGAGATTTGAGAGCTCGCTGCCGGAATTGATGGACTGCATTCAGTGGAAGGGAAGCTTCTAAGTATACATATGAATTGTAATTAAGAAATGTAATATGGTTATATAAAAGTAGCGAATACCTTATCTATCTTGCTTGCCCTTATATATAACCCTATTCTGGGATAAATCCCCCACCCATTTCATCATCATACTCATCATCTGTATATGTATCGCTCAACTCACTACTTACATCACTCTCCATATTTTCATCATCTTTCACAAATCCGCCTTCTTCCCCTTCATCTGCATCCTCGTCGTCTTTCACGAATCCACCCTCTTCGTCTCCATCTTCCCTATCATCTCTCACAAACCCACCTTCCTCTGGTTCAACTCCCCCTTCTTCCTCATCCTCCCCATCCACCTCATCAACAAAATACCCATCCACCCTCTCCTTAACCCTCAAAGCCAACAACCACCTCCTCCAAACCCTCAATACCCTCTCCCTCCTCTCCTCCTCCATCTCTCTCTCCCTCTCCTCCCTTATCCCCTCCACCACCACCTCAATCGCCTCCTTATACTCTCCCGCCACCACAATTCCCCTCAAAACCGCCGTTCCATGTCTTCCCTTAAATTCAAACCCCGTTAACGCAGCCGCAAAATCTATCCCTAGTAATCTCGCCGCGTACACTGATTCTGGTTCTAGGATATGAATACCACCTTTTGGGATCATGGAGGGTACATATATATCTATATTCCCGAATGAATTTTTGGGTACGCGACCATTTACTATAGGGGGAGGGATGAAAAGCTCTGTTTGCGATTGGGTATAAAGATTTGTGCCCGGTCTTTCTCTGATCTCCTCTTCGTCCGCGTATTCGTTGTTTTTTCTTGTGTTTCTAGAGGGTACGATCTTAGCGGGTTGTTCGCCCATTTTAATTTCTCGTCCAAGTCGATACCATGCGTCTGTGCTCTTGCAAACATGGACGTCTTTCCTTCGATATACGTTCTCCAGCTTTTTGCTTCCACCACTTGCACCAGCATTCCCGGTCGCGACTTTTCCACTCTCCCTTTCCGCAATAATAACTTCGTTCCTACGTAAATGACGCTCAAGTGCATAAACAGGATGATCCTTAAAATCCTGCACATTTTTCGGCATTGGTTCTCGTCCTTCTAGCGCCGCCAATTCCCCATCTTCAATCTGTTCCACATCTGTCTTCCAACCAAGTGAGTAATGAGAAAGGACTTTACCCCACCATTTTTGTCCACCAGGAACAGATTCAACGCGTTGCTTGCGTGTTTTAGAATTGGGAGCTTTGGCGTAACGACGGGTTACGTCGCGAGCGGAGGAATCGGCGTAGAATGCAAGGACGTAGGAAAGAGCATTTTCTTTGTCTGTTAGGGGTGGCTCAAACGAGCGGGGTTTGGAGATGGTTTCTGTGATGAGGGGGTCGATAGGAATCCATTTTTGGTGAGCGGAGTCGAGGACTTCGAGCCAGAAAATTGGGAAAGGGGATTCACGGATGGGTTTTGCTTTTGGGGTTGGTGGAGGTAAGGGTGCAGGCGGTATTTGGGGTAGATGGTAAGAGGAAGCCCCTGGATGTCCGAGGCGGCTGCGTGGATTAGAAAGGAGGGTTGAGGTGCTGGGACCCGGTGATGGAATCGGTGGCGGTGGGATGATCGGTTTTGTTTTAAGTTTAGGTGGTTTGGGCATGGATGGACCACCGATGGTGAAAGATAGGGGCTGTAGTGAACAGACCAGGCGGGTTTCAACATCTGCACTTCGTAATAATGCACAGAATAGTTGTGCTCCTACATCTCTAGAGCCTTTTAGCTCTGTTGCCGCTTTCCTAAAATCTGCCTTTTCATACGAAGAATCGGCATCATCAGGTAATTTATACTATTCGTCTTCCGGTTAGGACTGGCATCGTTTATGAACTTGAGACCTACATTTTTAATATCATCTTCATCATCCGCCCATAAAGCTCTTCTCATACCCCTCTTCGTAATTTGGAACTTAGTTCTCCATAGTACAGCCACCATCTCCAAACCCCTCTTCAACGAATCCGCTTGACTAAATTGCGATAAATCTCTCCTGGGTCTCAGGAATGATAATGTCTTCCTATTCAAAAGTGGTCTCAGAGAATCCTGAACTACAGGATCATTACACCATTCATTTCTCATATGAACATGTGATAACAAACATAAAAGATATAATTTATGAATCTCCAACCGAAGGGCTTTATCCCCTTGAGTGAGAGCTTTACGTCTAAGAGTAGTGGGTTGACGTTGAGGTGCTGGTCTAGTGAGGGTTAATTCTAAATCTCCCGATAGTTCATCGTCTTTCGTATTGAAATTAATGTTTTCCCAATCAATTTCAATATCTGTATCGCTTTCGTCGGTCTCTTCATCTGAGTCCCTATATGCAGTTTGTTGAGGTATGCTAGTATTATCATTTTCATCTTCACCGTTCAAACTCTTTGATGCCATGATAACATCCTCAAATTCCACATCTTCATCTTCTTCATCTTCTTCATCTTCCGCTTTGTCATGTGACCTCGCCACAGAAGCTTTCGATGGTCCTGATTCTGATGCCGGAGCTGCGGCACCTCGTGATCCAACTCTTCTTTTTTTCAGAGGTCTTTCAGGGACTTCTAATTGAGCCGGTATGGCTTCTACCAACATATCTCGATATACATCTGGAACGTTCTGACTTGTTGCCTTTCCTTTCCCCTTTGGTCTTCCCCTGGTTTTCGGAGGCATTTTCCTTCCTCTCCTATCGTGATCTGGGTATAAGGTGCTGGGATTTTCTTCTATATATGGTATGTCCCACTATTTCATAGTCTGAGAAAGAACTACCCTAGAAGGGGATGATGATACCTGGATCTGATTTCGTCGTGATACCCCAATAATACTGTTGATTGAACGATTGATTGTAGGAAGTGCAGTTCGGACGGGCGAACTTCACGGAAAGAAGAGCCGTTAGCTATAGATTCGCCATCCAATATATCCAAACATGAATTTTAAGAACTTAACTGCTTTCTAACAAAAGTCTTTGAATTTTGACGTTCCTTCACGCCAGTGAATCATATACTTGTGGAACTTCGATATTAATTAATAAGCAAGCACAAAGTAAGTTGCAGGTGCGCACATATCAAAAACAAGGATCAAGTTTAATAAAATCGACGTCAATATTTGAGAGACTAGGTATTCTTATTAGAAAATCAATTATAAAAACTCATCAATAGTTTTTATATAAGATTTATTATATTATTATTTATGATTTTTATTAAATAAGATATAGAGTTATTTATATTAATGTTTTATTTTATATTAATATTTTATTAAATATTAATAATTTATTTTATAATTTAAATAAACTATAATCTTAAAAATGATTCCTTTATAGTTTAGTGATTAGTAATTTACTGATCACCGAGTAATAGATTACTGATATGATACTTTTATAGAGTTGATAACTTATGTTGAAAGACAAGTATTGATGACTAATACTTTAATATTAGCATATCCTAGTGCCTGGGCGCTCTAATATAAACCTCCACAGCACCATAGATTCCAAGCATCAATAATAATGAGAAACAACAACTTCAGGAACGACTTCATTTTGCGAAGGATAACCAAATACTATTGAAATGCAAAGTTTCCATTATCTATCTCTAAAATGACGCTACTGTTAAATCTTCCTCTTGAGCTCTTCCAAGAGGTTCTGCTCCAGGCTGTACTCGTCCGCTCACCAATAAGAGCTTTACGACTCAGGCTAGTATGCAGTGAGTTTGGGTTCTACTTCTTTTCAATCCTTATAATCTATCAACCACTAACAAGCACTAGAGAAATTTTCTCAGCAAGTTCAATTTGTGCTTTTCCAACGGCAGCTATTGGACGACTGCTTTTTTAGATATATGATGCGACTAGAATGGAATCACTGTGAGCCAGCCACATTCTGGCATTCATACTTTTCCCAGCGGACTTTGAACACCGAAAACCCTCCGCATGTCAACTTTCATGTGATAGGCGGTAGGCACTATCATGTGATAAACCATACGCGCATGATTGCGGAACGTATCTGTGAGGAGACTGACATCGACCTCAAAACGGCAATTGAAGCTCTTTGTTGGCTAGCGATGTACCAGGCATACCACTTCTCCGATGACACTAGACAATCTGGACTAACATCAGACAACCTCGAGGCGGATCTCTTCAGCGCTGCAGCGTACCTTAATCTTGTTCCTATGACGAGAAGGCTACTTCAAGCTGATGATTGCCTCGAAGAAGGGGTTGAAACCTTCTTTCCTTCACCTATAATCTTGCCACGGTAAGGGTACGTTTCAACCTCAGACTCAACTATGTACATTTCCAATTCGGCGCCTTCTTATCAACAGTTTCTCTCCTCATTCATAAAATGCCTTTGATTTAAGTAGTTACTAAATCTTTGATATTTAGGTGGCAGGAAATACAAATATACTTGAACTTTTCCGAGATTATATTCATCAACACTTCCCTGAATCGAAAGGAGCCGACAATATTACAACCCGAGAATTTAGAATCGAAAAATGGGAGACAAAATTGAACAAAAATTTATCGAAGGTGCCGCAATGCTAGACGATACAAAATTGTTCCGTTCAACTATATATCCGACCAATGGAAGTCGCATAATTGGGCCCATGGGCCGGAGCACATTCGAGGGGATCCTTTGTGGTAAATATCGTGCACATAACGTTGAAGTATACGAATATCTTGGAGACCTACTTGGAAAGGAGGCCAGTGTCCGTTCGAGTGCTTCGATGCTGGGGAAACACGCTCGATTAGGCAACATTAAAATGGTTCGATTTCTCCTCGATTCAGGCATTGACATTCATGGTAGTACATTATGCGTACCACTGGTTGAAGCTTGCCGTGGAGGACAAGAAAAAATCGTAGATCTCTTACTAGAGCGAGGCGCCGAACCAGATTTTCCTCTCAACATCACACTCCCCGAACTTGATTCCTGGGAAGATAGGCTCGGTCATGCGACTTTCAGCTATTATAGGGAGAGCTTTCATACTGCAATGGTATGGCAGCTAAGGCGGGGAGTCTATCCATTATTCAAAAGCTGATCAATTACGGTGCTCATTTAAATCATCCGATGACCGGGGATGTTGCATTAGGCTATGAGGTCACATACGAATATACGGAAATAGTGAGATTTCTTCTCGGATCTGGTGCTATATTCTTATTCGCTAAACGACGCAATTTAAAAGATACAACCAAAAAAGGACTTGAGTCTATGGTGGAGCTGTTGAAACATGATATTGCAGATTTTGAGGCTAAGAGAGCAGTCAAGGGCTCCAAGACATCTTGAGTACTTTTAAGAGTACACATCTTCTTTCTGATCAGAAGCTATTTGAACCTTCCGACATTCGAGAAGCTGTCTTTCTCTGACAATAGTTTAGTTACCTCCTTGTATTTACCAAGTTACACAAACTCAGTATTTAAATGACATCATATCTTCAAGAAATTCAATGATTTGGCCTACGTCAATATATAATTACTAGCTGTCCGAACTCAGTCTAGGCGTTGATTGAAACACATTTGTCGACCGAATAATTTTATATTATAGCTTTATAAGATTAAATTACAATGTTCTTAAATGAGATTTTTGTAAGATTATTTACATTTAAATATCTAAGTGAATATAAGTTTCAAATAACTAAAAATAATTCGATTTCTATTTTCTTTCTTTTTAGAAAAAAAAAAAAGAGAAAATCTTTATTTCAGATCAAAAAACATTTTAAGACAATTTAATCTTGTATATATAGTTTATTTTTATACATGATTTAATTTCTATATAATTCATTCATTCTATTACTCAACTGATAATATATCTCATACTCTGTTATACAGGGACCTTGAATTTAAAGTTATTGTGATAAAATACCTGTGAAGATCATTGAGATATTCAATATTTGATTAAACTCAGTGTATTTACAGATTTCATACATCAAATCATTTCAATGTTCCAAGCAAACTCAAAACATAAGAACCCCTCGGTATTGTACCTAAGAATGGAAAAGAGACGGATCAATCCCAATCCTTTCACATATTTCCACCCTCGCCCTTTTATCAGCCACAAGATTGTCTATTTCTCCTCTCTCATTCGCCTATGGAACTCTGCAGCCTCTAGAATTTTTCGAAACTCTATCTCGTCATCCTGAATGATAATCTTAATCTCCCTTTCCATTATCTCGTATTTATCCTCATATTACCTCACCAAATACTTAAAGACCATCATATCCGTGTTCTTCCACTCGGGGTTTTCTGGCTCTGGGACCCTCGCATAATCTTCTGCCTCATATAGCTTCTGTTCTTTCAGCAATTCAAGACCTAAGATTCTTTTACGAAAACGATAGATGCAGGCGCTGTCGAGATGTCTCTGGGAGAGCCCTTGCTCCGTTTTCTCCTTCCTGGCCGCTATATCTTCTCTCTGAACTTGTTCCTCCGCAGGTTTTTTTCCTTTCTCGGCTTGTACCTCCACAAACTCTTTTCCTTTCTCAGCTTTTTCCTCCGCATGCTTTTTTTCTTTCTCGGCTATATCGTCGGGGTATCGGCCGGTACGGAGGAACACTATCCATGGATTGTTTTCATTCTCTGCGGAAACGCTATTGATAATAATGAGCCTGATGATATGAAATAGCACTATGATTCCAAGAGCTATTACAGCTTTCTACCAAAAAGCCGAGATGGGTTTAGTTTTGGTGATGTTTGATGTGGTTGATGTGGTTGTATTTGATGAATTCCTTGTGAGCGATGTGCAAGGAAAACATGTGGATTCTGTGGCGTTGGCTGGGGAGCTCCATGTTACATCGGCGGTATTTGTGGTGGAATTGGGGCTGATGCCGGTGCTTAATGTGGTTGGTAAGATATCGTAAAAGGTTTTGATGACTGTGACAGTTGTGGTTGTGGCTGTGAAAGTGGATGAAAATGACATTTTAGGTGTTTTTTTGGTTCCAAAAATGGAAATAAATGAGTAAGTGATATAATAGGGTTGACAACGATGCTTTTATACAAAAGGCGAAATCGATCGAAGTACAGATTACATAAATTCGGTCTAGACTTCGCTAACAAACTTAGTCGCTTGCTAACTGGGTTCGTGATATAACTATTTAGATTTTGAGATCATGAGTAGACTCCTTGGGCTTGGCCGACCACTATCGCCTCTTTTCCATCCCTAGCTTACCACTACCATCATACACTTTTCAACTTGTGACATAACTAGCATACTAATTACCTTTCTAAAGGAGTAGAATAGGTTGAATAACTCAGAGTACCAAACTAGCACACAATTATTAAGACAAAGGGGGAGAGGGAAAATGCTCCACACAATCCATCCGGCTCTACAAAGAATGACCATCCGCGGAGATGTGACGAGTATCAATTTATTAGGGGTTAAAGACGAGCATCTGTTTAACCAGGTGGACAAAACACATGATGATAACTTAAGCGAAACTCAATAAATAAGCCTCATTCAATACAGAGAGATGCCTTGCATTCCTTTCTCTTTGGTCTTAACTAATTTCGGAATTTTACGTACTAGAAGTAGTGTGGAGTTTCAACTATTCAATATATGTGACGATCTCCCAATTTAGTAGCTCCAGAATTTGAAATCATCCCAAACAATGAATGGACCCAAGGTACTACACGGCCGTAAGACACCAACGTACGCTAATTCGGTCATAGACATACGATGGCATTGTTCTCTTCCCAGCTATAGCTTGAGTTACAAGTTAATCTGATGTTGCCCTGCAAGAATTATAAATGCCGATTCTTAATTCAAAGGAATCCTTCATGTGCAATGGAAATCCTACGATTGGGACTTCCCGGAGTTAAGATAATGATGTGCAAAATGTAACAAATAAGTCTTATCATCAGACGATCTTTATTTCATCAGGGCAGACTCGGCAGAGGAATCCGTCTATTAATATAGAGTTCTCCTCCCTTAAAATCTCTATTATCAATATTTTGCGCTCGCACAGCCATTGGATACCTCAACTCGATTACGTCAATCTCAATGTTTTTCAGATATGGAACAATTCCCTCAACCTCGAATTTTGCTCGTGATGGCGACACTGAATATAATGATGAGGCAGCTTCTGTTGCATGTCTGAAGATGTCATCCAAGTATTCGAGGAGAATCCTTCCGGTGAGGAATTTGTTGAGCACAGGTCGATGTGTTAGGTAAGGTGCATGCGTTGTTGGATTCCACGGACTTGCAATTGATGCATGGTTGTCTGAAAGTGAATCCATGGGCCAGCAATGAATGGGACTCCAACGCTACCTAAGATCTGATAAGATTTTCGAAGGCAAGATCTTACCAATGGACTAACGAGCGCAAAGCTTGGACCTTTTTTGCTCTCTTTTGCTGCCCTTTGCGTTCTTCCAGAGCCAACCATCCTTATGGTCAATTTTCAGATATGCAACCAAAGAATTTAAGGTTTTGATCTGGCCCGATTCCACAACGCCACTTGAGATCTGGTCAGATTTCAAAGGCTAAGATTTGGCCAATGGACTAACGAGCGCAAAGCTTGGGTCTCTTTTGCTCTCATTTACGCTCTTCCAGAGCCAACCATCCTTATGCTGAAATTTCAGATATGCAACAAAAGAAAAATTAAGGTTGTAAGGCTGCGATGGTGGCTTGAAACTGCTAAGTGAATAACTTTTGAGGGTATGATGTTGCATGTCTGAACAATCGATCCCTGCTTAGTGTTTGGAATAGAAGGGAGATTGCTAGAAAGGATTGGTCCTGGATGGCAGCCAGCTTCAGCTGCTCCTGATTTTGCGATCAGCTTCTGACTGGTCGGATTCTGAGTACTCGTCCGAACAAGCAAAATCTCCCTTAGAAGTGATGGTATTAGGTGTACTAGCCACAGCGGCACATGATGTCCATTACTATTGCCAATGGTCTCGTGCGGGAACTAGAGGCACAGAAAATTAATATACAAAGATGAGGGAAGGTGAATATACAAACTGTTCAGTCAGAAGCTGATCGCAGAACTGAAACCAGTTTTGGTCTAAAAACGGTCACGCGATCGGCCATATACTCAAAGAAAATCGATGAATGCCAGCGTCTTGAATTCAGTGAGCTCAATGAATCGGATTGAGGATAGAGCGAACTCTTCGAGCACTTCGAGCACTACGAATCCTCCGGTAGGTTCAGACAGTGATATATTTCAGCAATGATGCTTTGTCTACCTTACCACTAGATATTCATCAAAGATTCATCAATTTTAATTCTTTGGAAGGCATGTCGTTGAATTTGAGGTCTGAACTAGTGATGTTGATTACATAAATGCTGACTATTCACACTTTAAGCCCACCCCACTCCACATGATCGAGAATGACGGTTGAAGCTAGAATTATACAACAATGTCAATCGATGTTCTTTTTTATCCCCAATGATCGGCCACCGGATTTCAGAATTTAAGAAGGAAAATATGTTTAGGTAGGTATTCCTTTGATCTTATGGTTTGGTATTACCTATCTTGTAAAATTTGTTATCTTTGTTTGGTCACATAAATCAACGTATACGCACAATTCTTTAAGGACTTCTTACTTATTCAATAAAAGAAAAAGGGTCAATTCGCTGAAACCAACCGTCGTCGCCTTACGCGAACTTTTATTTCTCTTTGCAGTGAACATAGTAAAAGAAATACGGACCAATAAGATCAATCATAACATTCAACACCATCATTCAACGCGCTCTTTCAACCAGCACCCAAAGTAAGTGAACTTTCCGGATTTAGCATCCGAGCTGATCCACAAGGTTTACTTGTAGCCATCTTCACTCGCCGAGTTGAAAGTCGTTAAGACTCAAGCTTTTGTGCAGAAGTTTGGTCTCATGTTAGCCATCACAGGTTCATTTCACTGACATTTGCATACAGAGCTATTTCCCCGAGATGTTCGCTTTGCACTTTTTGACTCGCAGATATAGAATTCTTATCCTCCTTCCCATCTTTTTTCCAGCTGGTACATCTATAAAGATCAACGAGCGAGCAATTTTTGGGACTCTTACCTTGTATACGGGGTGCAGTGTCTCTTTGACTTTTTGCAAATTTCGCCCTAGCCAGCTTCGTCAGGTTGATGAAACCTTCTATGCGGGAACAGGTGATGACTTGAATGCTACGAGAGAAACTCTTTGTTGGCCGGAATTAGAGATAGGAGCATGTTGCAGTGAATTCAAGTCTCCGTCCATATCGCGGGGTGATTTCTAATTGGATATTTTATGTGCTGTAGTGTACCTCGATGTCATTCCTGTAGTAAAATGTTTAATTGACAGGGATTATTCACCACTAAGCCGTAGACCTTTTATTGGCCCAGTTATGCGGCTGGCTGCCTGGGCAGGAAATACACACATACTAGAATATTTGCAGCCGAAGAAGGTTGAGCTAGAAGGCCTTGAATCAAGGAGGGCACTTTTGAACGGCTATTATTACACAGTCGCTGGGACTCCGAGTAGTGGAGATTTAAACATGGTCAGAATTGCTGTATTTTTACTATCGTGGGCAACTCGAGAAAGTATGGACCTCATGCGCAAGTTATTTGGTAATTTGGAGCGTGCCTCAAAGGATGGATGTTCAAAGAATGGATATGCTTTTTTAATTGCACTAGTTAATGCGAAATATTAAGTACACAAGCACCTCGAAGGATTCTATGATAAAGCTATCGGGGATCTCCGCAGAGATCTGGAGAAGCATACTCATCTCGGAAATCTAGAAATAGTGAGGTATATCCTTAATAGAGGAATCAAAGGTTCGCGACTGGTTCCGCGGGCCATCACTAGAAGCAGCTTGCAGGGAAAACCATGAAGATGTCGTTGATCTTCTTGCTTGAGCGTGGTGCCAACTCAAACTTCTATTACGAGAGGAAAGAAATTAGGATAGCTAGGAAATGAAATACTATCCGCAGGAGCCGAAGCAAGGGATTTGCTAATTTTCCGCAAGTTCCTTAATCGCAGAGCTACTTTATTCCATATACAGACCAATGACTCGGGGCTAAGATGGGCGGTGTCGGGAGGATACGGATATTTTGAAGATTTTGCTGGCTTTAGAGGCTGATCTAGCGACCTGGGGAGTAAGTATGCTAAATATAGCTGCGCAATGTGGTGCTGATTCGAGAGTTGACTTACTGGAAACGGAGCTTTTCAATCTGAAGGTTACCATCCTTATGGACTTGCACAATTGAGGAGGTCGAATTTTTCTTGATAAATAAGAAAGTTGGAAAGCAATTGAAACTTGAGGAATTTGAGGTTAAACTTATAAATTATGGCTGACTTGAAACGAAGGAAGACACGAAACTATATGAACAAGACGAGATGACTTCAAATGGACAAATTAGATTCATACAGCTGAAGCATTCCAAAAAGTTCAAATACAAATAAATGTCGACAAATCCATCCCAGAACACAAAATCGTGCCATAGACTATGCTCAACCCACCTCGAAGTACGCATTCAAGTATGTACTATGGTGATAGTATGTTACCAATTTTATTTGTCCTTAGCTCAAGTATATAGTGGCTGGCAATCTCTCAGTAGCAAGCCATTATCTTTATCGTGTCCTGCCTTGATCATGAACAAATGCTGACATTACTGTATTCTTAGATAATTTGTGCCATTTCAAAAATTTCAACCAGTAATCATCAATTTCCTAATCATCGATAATTCCAATTTACCACCCTTCTTTTCAAACATTTGATCCACATCCGACTCTTTGCTTCTCCAGTGTTTTCTCATAGTCTCGGTTAACAATTTTCTGGGCATAATCGCTCTTCCTCCGTAATTCAGATATGTATTCGGATCTGCTCCATAATCCAGCATAACTTTGACGATTTCCAAATGATTGCCCACAGAAGATTTCTCCTCATTTGAATATTGTTGCGAGAAATCATTTCTATCATCCAGCCGTGGAAGAATTGCACAAACGTTGCGAATGGCTATTTCAAATGCTGTCCATTCGCAGATTGCTGAGAAGTCTTTCATTTTTCTGTTAGGTTGAGCTCTATATACCAAGAGCAGTTGTACTATGCGAGGGCTTGGAGGAATGCGATCTCGAAGATATTCTGAATTCTCCCTTTGTTCCATGCCTTGAATATAATACTCGTCTGTTGCTGCAAGGGCATACGGCAAGAGAATGTAGACGATGGAGGCTCTTATTTTTGGAGCGAGACGATTCAAACTCAGCTTGATGTATGCACAAAGGTCCCAGTTTACCGCAATGTGCAGGAAAGAAGAGAACTTCTTCGGTGTCCAGGTTGTGCTTTCGAGCCTTGAAGTGTGTGTTAATGTTGCAAATGTTTCCAAAGGCTCGATATAAGTGTCCGAACCTGCAGTGTCAGCCTCATGAGCGTAATGAAGGACTGTCGCCATAAAGAGTGAAAGCGTGGAACGGCCATTTAATATCTTTTTCCGAGCTTCGGAAAATTCAAGCTCTCTTACATATGAGCACATAAGCGGAGTGTATGGCTCAAAGTCCATTTCTGAAACATGTTTGAAGAGCTTTGAGCATATTTCTGGGCGTTCAAGATATTCTCGGACGCTACGATGCAAGTACACGACCCGATAGCCAAGATATTCAAAACCAGGTGAGTACCCCGGCCCAATCTCGAGCAAGCCTGCACACCTTACTTTTAAGTGGTCTCGAATTTTGATGTTTCTCATTTGCAGCTCCTGCAAGTTGAATGTGGTATCCTCGGCTCGAGAAGTCCAATAATCGAGAGCAAAGGAAAGAGTAAAGGTATCCAATGTCCTGACGCTTCTCACACGTATATGTGCGGCTCGTACAATGAGAAATATCAATGCAGACTTCTTAATATAGAACGGATCAATGTTGTCAAGCATTGAGGAAAACAATTCTTCAAGGTCCAGTGGAATTATTTCGATACGTTCCTGTAGATCTTGCAGAGTATCTCTATTGGCGAGGCCTCTTTCGATCTCTTGTAAGACAAGCTTAACCCACAAGAAAACTCCGCCTGCTCGCGATATGATCTTTCCAATGAGACTTGACGCTTGGACTGGCTGCTTCACGCATAAATGTTGGTAGTTGACATTATTTTGGAGAGTTGACTTGACAAAATGATCAATATCGGTTCGCGTCAAGTCCTGCAGTCTCAATGACGGTCTAGATCCGAAAGAATCATCAAACTCAAGTAGCGGACGACTAGAAAGACATATCTTCAACCATGGTACTTGGGCGAGCATAATGAAATATTTGGCAATAGTTGAAGGTTGTCCCTCGTATTCGTCAAGACCATCAACAAACAGACAAAGTTTGAAGCTCTGCATGTCTTGGCTAATGAGGATGCGCATTGCAGCCTCTAATTCGTTTATGCCCCAATGATCCATCTCCGTTGGTTGATTATTGTAACTTGCTTCAGCAAAAGGCTTTACTAAGTCATTGTAGATCCTAGCCCACCTTGTAGGGAAACAGACAGGAAGAAGATCAGGTAAATGTCCAAGAATCTCTGCAAGAAGTGCTCGAAGTAGACCATGCTGCGACCTTTGCTCAATAGTACCACTGTTCCAGAAGTAAAACTTTGCCATGACTAGAGGCAGCGGAGCGGACCATTGTTGCAGAAGCTCCTTTGTTGTATTGTGACTACATATAAACCTCATCAATGTTGATTTACCCGAAGCTGCTTTCCCATTGATCCAGTATATACCGGATGAATGTTGCAGCCATTGCACAAAACTAGTCCATGGCCTAGAGCCATTTGTTTCATCAAATAGCCACCGGAAGGTCCCTCGATACACATCTGATATAGTTTCTTCTCGTTCTTTCAATGTTGGAAACTTCAGGCTTTGAATCAAACATTGAGCAAATTGTAAGCGGATTGTCTTTTCTTGCCATCTAAAGTTGTGTAGCATCTGCTCTTGAGATATGTGTTTTCCTGTGGTCATCAAGCCTTGGTTTCTATGACGTTTGTGAGTAATTAAATGACTAACAAACGCTTCAGGTTAAAAAAGAAGAGGCTCGGAGGCACTGTTGAAAGAGTGAATGAAAATGCAGGAGATGGAGGATCGATCTGTAGCTTCACAAAAAATTTCCATTAGTCCAAACTGTTGGACTAGGTATGAGCGCTCAGAAGCTTCGAAAGACGTAGTCTAAGAAGACCTGGCATTCAGAATACTTTCAATATTCCACAAAAATAGAATGTCCCAATAGATATATCGTTGAAATTTGTGTGTTTTCTGGTATCAAGCTCTTGAAGAGTGACTGGCTGATGAAAGGACTAACTACGCTTACTGGCTATCTTCAATAATATCGAGCTGAGGCACAACAATCGTAGAAAAAGTGTGCTTGTCAGCTAGTAGCTCCATTCTCCCAAGTAATTGAGTGATAGCCGTGGTTTGGGCTTGAACACTTTTATTAACTTCACCGTGATGCTTGAGAAGTGCAGTAACAATAGTTTGCGTATTAAAATCGAGGTTATCGAAGCGACTTGTCTGACTGGATGATATGAGAGAAAGCTGATCTCTTCTAATCGTTATTTTCTGTGGCACAAGGACTTCTTGAATTGACTTACCGAAGATCTACAACGATATGCATCTGTATAGAATCCCTCAACAACTCCAAGCGATGTTTTAAGTCAATTAATTCCTTTTCAGACCAAACTGACTTCAGTGCTTGTTTGAGGGTTTGCCATTTCTTTCGTTTGCCAGTGGCTGTAACTTTCAAACTGCTCAGTTTACCATTGAGCTCTGTGGACAATTCTATTGCATTTTGGCAGATGCAAATGAACGAATTATCCGCCGGCGCAGGTTTAACTTCATTTCCACACAGGCCTGAATAAGAATCCGAGAGCTTCTTGGACAATTTAGAGAGATCATCCACCGCAAGTCCCAATTGTTGATGGACATTTAGCGATTCAGCTCCGGATTTGTAGAGTTCATTAGTGCCAGCGATCACTTTCGAGCTGAAATCCACGAACTGAATGATTGTCCCTGCCAGTGACAATGCATCTAAGGGTTCATCATCGTGACGACCGATAGTAGACAGGAAAACGGGACTTTGCGACTGCATCAAGCTGCGGCTCAGCCGAAGGCCCACCTTAAGAGCGATGTTACACTATTATAAGCTTAAGGATGGCTGAAGGATTTGACCTATGGCATATTACCTGAACGATATTGGCTAAAAGACAGCCAATCAATCACAAAACATGTCAAAATGCACATCAGAAATGACAAGAAAGTCATGTATTGATTCTGGTGGCATATCTTCTTCTTAAATAAGGATGAATGTAATTTTTCATATATTTGCGAGTGTACGTTGAGTTCTGCTTAGATGTGACATTAAGCGCTAGAACGAATACAGCCAAAGCCGACTGTCCGCTAGCGTCCGCTTAGAATTCATCCCACTCCAGCTTCGAATTCCAGCACTTTGAAAACCAGCCATTTTGATATAGACTACAAACGTTGAAGAGAAATAATAAATGAACCCTCTCACTCGTAAGTACTAAGTCTCACAGCATGCACAGCAAATACTGATTAACAGGACAGAAGTTTGAGAGCACTAGATACAATCATGGCACCGGTATACAAAATCGCATTGATCCAGATTTGTCCGAAGGTTTGTTGACATTTTTTCTTGTTTACCTCAATCAATATTTCTACCTTGCCGACGGCTTTTATGATATGTTGAGGGAGAACTGTATCAAGCACACATATTTGTGTTTTTTCCAGCAGATGGCTGTGATCCCCATGTGAACCCATGTTCCCCAAACTGAACAAGAATTCGAGCTCATACTATTTACTAGCCTCTAGCTACTGACTACAACTATGAAAAAGCAGTAGCATTCATCAGAGCTGCCGCTTCTCAGGGATGTGATCTTGCCGTTCTTCCAGAATATCACCTTACTTCATGGGTCCCGGATGAACCTGAATTTCTTTCACTGTGTCACCACGATGTCACATCCAAATACGTCTCCGGCTACCAATCCCTCGCCTCTGAACTCAAAATATCCATCGTCCCAGGCACAATTTGTACCTTGCACCCCGAAACATCTCTCCTCCATAACACAGCACATTTCATATCCCCAGAAGGCAAAATTCTCTCTTCCTACACCAAGAAGAATCTCTGGCACCCGGAACGTCCACACCTAACATCATCCACCCATGACCCACACACCACTTTCGAGTCCCCGCTCGGTAAGATTGGAATGCTTATTTGCTGGGACGCCGCATTCCCCGAAGCTTTCCGGGAGCTCATCTCCCAAGGCGCAAAACTCATCATCATTCCCACATTCTGGACTCTTAGCGACTGTACACCCGCAGGCTTGGCGCGTAACCCGCTTTCCGAAGAATTATTTGTTCAATCTACGTTGATCTCTAGAGCATTCGAAAATACGTGCGGAATTGTGTTCTGTAATGCTGGAGCACCGATAGGAAAGGGTAAAGAAAGTGCAGGGTTTTTGGGTATTAGCCAGGTTACCGTACCATTTCAAGGAGCTATAGGGAGAATGGGACGAGAGGAGGGGATGAATGTGGTAGAGCTGGATATGCAGATTTTGGATGAGGCGGAAGAAGCATATAAGGTGCGTATGGATATGGAAGGGAAGGATTGGCATTATGCGCATACTTTAAAAGGAAGAATTAGCAATGAAGAAAGCAAGTTGTGAGGAGCGGTGTTCCGTTCAGTTGTGTCTTGACACAAATCTTCGATTGATATGTTAACCTTTTGCGATGCACCAAACCAATTCAAGTCACATATAGTCTCTTTTCAATTTCGATTTTCGCCCTTCATGTGCAAGATACTTTGCTGTTTGAAGATGATTCAATAAATGTGTGTATCTCATTAAATCTCTTCAAGGCGCTACGGCTAAAGAGCCATTTTGAAAACATTTGAATTCTTCTAATACAAAGGATTAAGTGGAAGGACCGACTAAGATAGATTGATACGAAACGCTGTTAGGCTCAATATGGAAAGTACGATGATGATTATGGGTCTATATAATCAGGAATCGCAGCTCTAATAATAAGATAACCCTCTTCACACCTACAACTAGTGTCCTCTCAACGCGTCAAATCGCTGTTAAATATCGAATCTTGGGACGGTGACTTTAAGAAATACGCCTTATGTAACACAAAAAGAATCATTCTCAACATCTTTTTCTCTTCTATAACAAGCAAAACGTCGGGTACGTGACGATGCAGTACTATCACTTGTCGTGCTATTTGATTAGTTCCCTATACTGACAATTGATTTTTAGGTATTACATCCCAAGCGGTCCACCGCAGACAACAAAGAGGGTAAGTACTTCTATGCTCTTCGATCCAATAGATAGGTATTTAAGCTAATGAACCTGTATCAACAGAGCACAAGCATCTGACCACCAGGTCTCAATCGAGTAGGCTCCCAACGCTTAACATAATTCTGTTGGCCGATGAGCTTAGTTAGATGATAATAGGGAATATGTTGTCCAAGCGGAGATAGAAAGGGAACAGTAAGTATACCCAACAGTATTTGGAGTTCCAAATTTCAATATTGACTTATATCCAGTGAGGCAACCATAAATGAAGTGTAAGGCTCAAGTCAGCTTTCTACTAGTCAATCATGAATTTACTAAAAACGAATTAGTAAAGGAAGCTTTGAAGTAAAAGAGTTCGTATTCGTGTCTATACTATTTGCTTTGAATCCGGATAATATTGATTTGCAATTCAGAGTCGATTGCAGACTCGTTGAAAACGAATTGTGAGTACTTGAGCCATCTATGTTAGTAGTATCAGAATCTTGAGACTAATCCTCGATTTCAGCGACATTAAGATTCATCGACTGTAAGTTTCATTCATTTATATTGTGTATAATCTTCAATGTTGACCCGACGTAAGAAACAACGAAGTACATGATCTGTAGATCTTCCCAATCTAGGTCCATTAGAAGCTTGTTTGCTGACTTATCTCTAGTCATTCTAGACTCGACAAGATGTAAGTGCCTTGAGCATCAGCAAATGTAGTAACATCCAAATCCTAACACTGGCTCTCTGTTTTAGTCGAGTCTAAAATGAAAACATGCAAGTGTTAACATATTTACTTTGTGTGCGATCTTTAAAAATTAATATTGATAAATGTCAGTTCCGAAAAATACGACCGTGTGTAAATTTCTCGACCATGAGTACCTACCTATTATAGCTTATATAAGTATTAAATATTGACTTATCTTTAGTCAATACAAACTTGACTCAAGCTAAGTGCTTCAAGCACCATTACCACAACCTCCGTTGTTGTTAGATGGGCGCAGGAAGATAGAGTTTTGTAAGTAAATTTCGTATATTTCAACATTCATTCTTGACTAATTAAAAACAATATAACTTTAAGATAAAACTGAGATGAGGTTGGGCGTTTGGTAGTTACGCTTTTCGAGCTATTATATTGTATTGGGCGTATAATTGATATGTAAGTCTATTTCTATTCAGGATTCAACTTCATTATCATATAAAGCTAATGAGAATTTAGTCCAATATCCTTCATTTCATTTGTTCTTGCATATATTCAGAGGAGAGGACTAGAAAATCTACTTGAGTTTTAATACACTAATAGTTAGCTGATTATGAGGGCCTTTTTAATCAAATCCCAATCATTTCAATCTTTGAAAAAATTCGTTACGGATTCTTGCTTGTGAATATTTTGATGTTGAGTAGTGTTCATTCTGTTCATTCACCTCATTCACCTCATTCTATGCATTGATCTCCTCTCCCATCATCCTAAAAGAAAGACATTATTAATTCCATCAAATTATATATTTACAGGATATTGATCTACAAACCCCATATCAAATACCTAGGCTAGGTATTATTCCATATCTCCAACTCTATATTACATACATAATCCAAGCATTAATACTTCCCAGTCCAGCTTCGATATAAAAAAGTTCCATTCAGACGCCTCGAGCTATGCCGCAAAGTTCAAGTTGATGGTCTAATCCCTTCTATATGCATCAGTTATTCATAGCGTCGTAATATTATTTACTTGCTGTTTTCTTTTCCACGCCTTTCCGAATCCGTTTCGTATACATATACTCTCTCCGATATTTCCCAACTACTCCGTTGAATCCCAGTCCGGCGATATCTAATAGTACTCAGGTAAATCGCTGAAGCTCGGAATTGCCGTTGAACAGTTAAAGTCAGGTTCGTATGCTAGTTTTGGAAGAATTCCTGCTGCCAATGCTCTCTGATAACCTATTAATTTGGTATATTAGTATCCAAATTCATATATTCACCACACGCCTTCATCCCATTCTCTCTTCCATCCCGCTTCCCACCAACCAGTCCATCACCATAAAGAAGGGAAAACATAAGGCAAAAGAAAACGAGGGAACTCACTCCACTGTGTCCCACCGCCCTCACTAGTCTCCGTAGCCCAAGTCCAATAAAACCAACCCCAACCCAACTCAAAACTATGCATCTGCGCTTCTGCAAACATCTTCAAAAAGCTCTTATACGTATCACTATAAGTACTTGGATCTGCATTTGCATTCGTACAACTACATGTACTATCCTGTGTGGGACAATCTGGCGTCAATCGTTCTGTTGATGGATCTCCAGAATTATATGTACCCTCCCATCGATTCCCTTGATTCACATTTGTGAGATAGGTTGCGCAATCCGTATCGGCTTGGGACCATTCAGCAACCATCGTGGGCCCAAATCCAGTACTTTTGTTCATGGATAATTCGGTTTGCTGGGTCCAGCCAGTACAGGCATAATTAACTTTTTCCGTATGGTTATAAAGAATTTGACCAGCGTTAAAGATGACATACTGATGAACATCTAAAATTAGATTGTCAAAACTAGTCAAATCACCGTGCCAATTTTCAAGCCCTCGAAACCCATCTCCAATTACGACCTGCGCTGTGATGCCATTTTTCACCACCAAATCTGTCACGACGGATGTCCAGTTCAGAACAGAATTAGGATCGATTGCCGTCATTCTAGGTTCGTTGGCCAGGCCATAAAAAGTAAGAATATTTTTATATCGATCTTGAGCAAAGAACTTGGAGAGTCGATCGTGAATTTCAATACTGCGTTGAGCATTTAGGTCGCCATTGGTTCCATTTAACCAACCAACAAGTCCTTGGCGACCGGAGTGATTCCAACCATTTTGGGATCCAGGAAGTCCGTGAAGATCAAGGTTAATACGAAGACCATGCTTGCGAGCCCATTCTATACCACGGAGAAGGTAGCGCCATGAGGTGCGAAAAACATAGGGATCATCGTCGTAAGTTATCACTGCCCAATATGAGTAAGGTATTCGAACATGATCTAAACCAGCAGCGGCGATATCGGCAAATGTTTGTTCAGAGACGAAGGTTGCATAATGTTTTTCGAGGGTAGATGCAGCTGCTTTGGCACCCAATTTAGTGGTCAATGTCCACTCATCGATAATACCATCTGCTGATGAGTAAGAATTGAAGAGAGATGGCGTAATGAAAGGTTCGATAGAAAGCCAACCCCCTAAATTAACACCTCTGGCTGGCCTTGAAGTGTAGGGTCCCCAGTCTGCAGATATTTTAGGTGCATTGGAATTCGGTGCTACGTTATCGCTGTAAGAAATATTCAACCCCATTACTGGAAGATCTCCAACAGTCTCGTTCGTATAAGTAACATTAAAATCTAACGTGTCGTACCATGTAAAAGGATCCAAATATGTCCCTTGAGCTGCAACTGGAATATCACTTTCTGACATGCCACCAAGATTTGAATTTGGAGGACTTCCATTCCCTGATGCGGGGGCTGTAGGCGAAGGGGAACTCGATGTGTGCTTTTTGCTAGCGCTCACAGCAACTGCTATTATAATTATCAAGATTACTACTCCAATTCCAATTCCAATCCCTAAATACATTATCAGCGCTAAACATAACTTTTGCGACCCAGAGTTTGAACACCCACATATGCGTTTCCGCCTTTTTTTAAACTCCTCATCACTTTCGATATACTTATCATAGCTTGATTCCGTAGGCGCGTATCCTCCTCGCAACCCTTTCAGATTCCTTAAATCATTTTTCAGTCCTGCACCGCTGAATATTCTTCGTTGCTTCAGCTCTCCTTCACCCTCTTCCAAAAGTGCTCCACTAACAACTCTCCGCTTCTTTGTTTTAGGTTCTTTCCGAGGCTTCTCATATACTGCTTCATCATCTGTAAATTTATTTGGCATCTTCAAATTCCGTTGCTCTTTACGCGGAGCATTTTGTTTTGGTTCCGGGATTCCATTTTGCTTTCTTCTTTGTTTTTGAATACGTAGAGCTGTTTCTGCCGCTGTCTCGTAGTCCGAATATTCGCGCTCCCTTTTCTTTTTATCTCCACTGGGGTATCCAGATTCATCATCGGTGTATCCATGGTCTCTCCTCCTTCTTTCTCTCCTTGGTGAACCTGGAATCTCATCGTAATCGCGTTCCCTCCTCCTTCTATTTTTGCTCGGGGAGCTAGAATCCTCCGTCGCATAACCGCTCTGCTCTCGTCTTCTATCTTTGCTAGGCGACACTCTTTCCCTCGATCGTCCATTGCCCTCATTCACTGGCGGTCTCGACCTTGACTTCCTCCTCTCCTCTCTCCTCTTCTCTCGTTCAAGGGAATCATTTATTCTTGCTAGGGAATTGACTGATAAGGTTTGCGATTCAGTTGGATCAGAAGGTGCTTCAGATTCTGCGATAATGGCCCTTGATCTTCGTTCCGCTCGCCGTTTCTCGTGTAATGTACTTTTTCTATGTGGTCGATCAGATGCGTCCCCTGCCATTCTCTATCCTCCTCCAGCTCTCGTAGATTATTAATGCGAAAAAGTGTGCCAATATAAATGAAACTATCAAATTGACATGGTTTATATGTACAATGAATTGTAATCGTGCTGACCTTGCATCAAAAAATTCTAAATGTTCGACAGACGTATGCAGACGGATTGTTCAGGGCTATTTTCTCGTTCCTATAGCAACATCCTCATCCGCATAAATTTGGAGGCTGGTCCATAAAAGCTTGGCCCACCTCAGCACTCACTCCCGTTGCTAAAAAAAAATACATCATCGGTTTATCAAATCATCCGCTTAGAAACGGCTTATATTCCCCAGATTTCTCCGCATTTTTTGTAACTCTACATCGATACTGTAACTTTTATATTATCATGACATTTTCTAGTACATAGAACCATTGCATTCAACGTCGTAGAACGTTGTACTTGTATTCATCAATTCTCTCATCATGCGAATAACCTCAAGATTATCGACTTCCTTGGTCAACTCGATCAAACCTTTGAAACCTTTGGGAAATATCCGCAATTCGAAACTCCCAAGAGCATATTCGACTTATCCTCCACAAGCAAAACTTAACAAGGCAATTGATTATGGATCAACGACAATGTTATGCCATAGCACATCAAGTGCATTACAAAATCCCGAGCTTCCACCAGAAATACGAAATGGTACCACAAAACGAATGAACCTATTTCAATCCATTAACGATGCATTGTCCCTAGCACTATCTAGCGATGAAACAACTATGGTTTTTGGAGAAGATGTAGGATTTGGAGGGGTTTTCCGTTGCAGTACTGGACTTGCAGAACAATACGGATCGGAAAGGGTATTCAATACTCCATTATGTGAACAAGGAATTATAGGATTTGCGATTGGGGCAGCTGCAGAGGGTATGAAAGCTGTTGCTGAAATTCAGTTTGCTGATTATGTATACCCAGCCTTTGATCAATTGGTCAATGAGGCAGCGAAGTGGAGATATCGAGATGGAGATTATGGAAGAGGGTTGGGTGGACTCACTGTTAGAATGCCGTGCGGAGCAGTAGGACATGGTGCTTTGTTCGTTTTGAATTCCATGAACCGTGTTGAAGAAGCTCAAACTAATGATGAATTATAACAGATATCATTCCCAGTCTCCGGAATCTCTATTTACACATATTCCTGGCCTTCGAGTCATAATGCCACGATCACCAATTCAAGCAAAGGGTCTACTTCTTTCTGCTATACAAAGTCCAGATCCATGTATCTTTATGGAACCTAAAGCATTGTACCGTGCAGCTGTTGAACAAGTCCCAATAGACGCCTATACATTGCCTCTTTCCGTCGCAGAGATTGTCAAGCCCGGAAAAGATTTAACTTTGATCTCCTACGGTCACCCTATGTATACATGTTCCGCTGCATTAGAAGCAGCAGAACGAGAACTCGGAATCAGTGTCGAGTTAATTGATCTGCGGACTGTATATCCATGGGACAAAGAAACAGTGTTGAAGAGTGTAAGAAAGACTGGAAGGTGTGTAGTAGTACATGAAAGTATGGTAAATGCTGGGATTGGTGCGGAAGTCGCTGCAAGTATACAAGAAGATAAGGAGACATTTTTGAGAATGGAGGCACCAGTTGCTAGAGTCGCTGGCTGGGGAATACATATGCCATTAATGTTTGAGAAGTTCAACGTACCAGACGTTACTAGTAAGTCAACAGAGTTTTGGATTCTGTTTTAATGGCTAACAATCATATAGGGGTTTATGACGCTATTAAAAAGTCTATTCAGTACTAGATTGGGTTTGGTATTAGACGTATGTGTCTAGATTACGAATATGATAATGACTTTGATGGTGACTCAATTAGGCGTTATAGAAATGAGCTACTCGTTTTGCATACTATTATAGCAGAAACATTACCGGCCAGCAGCATGAAAAGTATGATTCGTCTAAAGTTGTAGGTGTTTTCCACTGATTTGATGACCGATATCCAGTAGTTGAATCTTGTGAGATTACAAATTTAATCACACATCGTTTTTCAAATTATCTAGTAAAGTCACATAGTCTAATCTTCAAGTGAAAATATATCTGGAGAATGTCATTTCCTTAATTTTATATCCCACTATTCAAACATTAAAATTACCACCTATTATTTCTGATATACACAAACCACGAATTCCATACCATCTAGTGAGCACTTCTAGACCTATCCATCTCATCTCTCTATCTTTCAACTTGAAATTGTCTCTATATTGCCCGCGGAGCCACCTCAATTTTCCACCAGCGACTCATTCTCAGGAATGATACATTGTGGATTCGTTTCGAACATCGAATATCGAATCGATACCAAAGAGCTAAAGCTTATAAACTTTCCCATTCATCAGCCGAGTATTATTTCCTCAGCCCTCGCTTACTTTCTTTCATCTCCAATTCGATTTCTCACTTCAGCCTCCACATTCTCAATCATCCTCCACACTCACCCCACATCATCTATCTCTCCATACAATCTATCCTCCTCCTCCTCACTTCCCTCGCCCCCATCATCCTCCCCTCCCAACACACCACTCCCCAGCATATTCCATCCCCTCACTCTCCCCACATGTAATCTTACAATCATCCCGATCCCGACTCCACCCAAGCAAATCAAACCTCACCACCCACACAAAACGCAGCTGCTACAAAACCAATATAATTAAAATCAACAATATAATTAAAACATCTCCAATCGATCATTAGGATATGGATACGTATCCCCGAAAACTCTAGCATGATTATCTAATGTCGACGGAGGTGCACTAATCTCAAGAGCGAGAGATGCACTAGATGTACTGGATGCACTGGATGTATACCAATCTTCCGTCATGATATCTACCTTTGATGATGAAGTTTCGCTATCGCTTGCTGGGATTGGGGCCGGGATTGAGATTGGAGCTATAAACCATGGTACCGGTACGTGTGAGTGTGAGCGTGATTGTGAGTGTGAGTGTGTATGTTTAGCGTTTTCTTGCTGGAGAAACATATCCCATAGCTCATCTGTAACTTTAAAAGCTCCTGTAACTGGCAGGTCGGAGGGGAATCCAATTATGATTTCGGGGTTCGAGTCTAGTATTTTGTATAATTGCTTCATTGTGGATTTTTGAATTTGAATTTGGCTTTTGATTGATGAGGATTTTGATGAGGTGAATTTGGATGTGTTGCATGAAGGAGGTAGAGGTTATGATATAGATGCAAAATTTAGAGAAATGATTTAAATATCGTGTGGGAGGTTACTACTACTTAGTACTTACTCTCTAGTCTTCGCTTATACTCTTTAGCTATTTTGCTAAGTTTATTCAGAGCATTCAAATCTATCGAGTCATTTAGCTCATAATTAAGATCTCAATTCCGATCTTAAGAACTAAACTGAACTAAACTCTCTTCGAGGTTTCCTTAATCATACCTAGGATAGACTAAGAGTCTTAACCTTAGTTCTAGTTCTAGTTCTAGTCTTAATATCATTCAGTTCAGTTCAATATAATACAATACAAAACTAAATAAATATAAATAACATCACAGAATACTTAGATTACAATAGCCCCGCACAAAAAAGAACATAAATAAAGCGGATGTTGTTTTATATTCTGTATTCTCTATTTCTTGTTTCTTATTTCTTATCCCTCAAACTCTAATCTCCAACATTGATGTCAATATCTAATACAATGAATGAACATTTGTTCATATTGCAAATATATAAATGTATGTACGTCTGCTAATGCCATGCCATGCAGCGGGATATATCTTATACCCATTTCTCGCGCGTTAAAATGTGCGTATAATTACAATGAAATGAATAAAAATTACGATCACGAAATCAATTCGCACCAGTACTTTTTCCCTGAGATTTTCCTCTTCCCCTTCCACCACCACCCCTAAGAGATTCCCCACCACCTCTTCCCCTTCCACCTCTCCCTCTCGATCCACCCTTTCCTCTACCGCCGCCAGACTTACCACCACCTCTACTAACTCCATCGGTAGAAGCCTTTGCCCTCAAAGCTTCTTCCTCTTGGGCCCTTTTACTTTCTTGATCCCACCATTCTTGGAATGCTTGTTCTTCTTGAATTTCTTGGAGACTTCGCTTTGCAACTGCTTCTTTAATCACTTCTTGCTCCCTTTGTTGCATTCCTATGATATCAGCCATGGATAACTGGAGTGACGGTTCCGCTTTCGCTGCTGGTGCTGTATATGATTTTGAATGAGGAATAAGTGGAGTAGATTTGCTTGGTGTTAACATTCTTGGCCTTGATGGGCCAGGTGAAGGTCTTTGTGCTTTCGTGATGCTGTTATTATCATTCCTTTTTTGACCAGCAAATCGAGTATCTGGCGCCGTGACTCGCCGCGTAGTTGAAGTAGTACTTGCAGGTGAGATCACTGGTGAGATTGTTGAGTTTGGTGCTAAGGATGATGGTGAAGATTTGTTATCCTTATCAAGAATATCCTTGAGGTTCGTTTTTGAACCCACACCCGCGATTTGCCAAGGAGAAGATGCCTTGTCTTTACCCTTGTCTGTCGGAGTTTGTGCAATTGCTTGTTGAAGTGCTGCCTGTTGCTTCTTACGTTCCTTCTGTGAAAGTTTTGGAGTAGATGATTTGGCATTTGCTTCATCCTTGGCCTTTTGAGCCGAGAGATTCATTGATAAATTGGAAGTACGGTTCGTTGATGCCTGGGCCATAATATCTTTCATGTCCAACTTTACTAAAAGATTAGGAGAAGACCATGTTTTATTTCCAGATTGAGGGGTATCTGGATTGTGATTGATTCCTAGTCCGACAGAATGTCGAAAATCCGTGGGAGATCCTGACTCGAAAACCTTAGGCGCCGAACTAGTTGTAGGGAACCTCGGAGTTACTGGACCACCAGGAGAAGCAGAAGTCAGATCGTTAGTCAAGTTCAGTTCAGGTGGACTTCCAGGCTCTTCATCGTCATCCATATCGAACATAAGATCAGCCGCTGCATCCTTAGGACGTATACTGGGGCTGAATGGTTCATTCTTGACCACCCTTGATTTCCTCCTAGCTTTATCATTACTGGGAGAGTGTAAATTATCATCAAGACTCCCCATACGTGCCTTAAACGATGAAGATATTCGACTATCATCATCTCTTAGATGCGCACGGAAGATCATATCTCCTAGTCTGCGACGTCTTTCCTCATCAATGTCCTCCACCAATTCAGGATATTTCTCGTGCAAATCTAGATCAGCTCGTCCACTTTTAGCGAACGGGAGACAATTCAGTTGATTGTCGCGCACGACTTCATCTAATTCAAGGAGAAGGTCCTCATCAAGATCATCAAGTAAACTACTTTATATTAGCAAAGTGTACTACTGGATACTATGATGATCCGAACCATCAAAGTTTGGAGAATAGACTTACTGATTCTCAAGCATAGCCTCCAGCTGCAGGCACATATACTCAAGGCCAGCATCTTTAAGTTCGGTGATTGAACAAGGTGCCACAGCATTGATAATATTGCATACGTTTCGAGTGTTGACTTCATGATGTCAGTATAACTTCTAACAGAATCTGTGAAACACTTTGCGGGAAGAACATACCGAAACGACCCAACACCTGTTGACAGATCTGAGACAATCTATCAATCATCAACTCATTCGCAACACTCATGACTTCCATAACAATTTCCGAGAACTCATCAATATCAGTGGAGACGATATCATCAAAAAGCTCAGGTCCAACATCTGCATATATATAACGCAATACCATTTCGAAGGTTTCAGGCGAAATATGCTTCAAATCGATTCTAATCGGATCTGTGTTTTTTGCACGTCTACCAGCAAGCCATTGACCCCCTGATCTACCATTAAATAGACCATCGAAGAAAGGACACCGTTGACATGCAAGCACACTGTGAATGGGCATTTCTCCTCCATCCAACTCAACTATAGCATCACAATTATCGAAGAATTTCTCGTCTGTAATAGCGTTGTCCATGTCAGAGTTCAATTTGTCTGACGGGCGCCTGACAAGTCCAGGTTGAGTTAGGTAGGGAATATTTAAATGAGAACCAAGCTTCATGATTTCAATCCTGACCTGCCTTAGTCTGAAAGCCATGTTTGGGAAGTAGTTTGCGAAGGCCCAAACATCAGCAATTTTGTCAATGTAGAGGAAGATAGCAAAATTGACAAGCGTGATAAAATCTAGGCCGTTGAAGGTAATTCTCTTCTTACCACCTGTACCATTTTCAATGTTGAGGATATCAGACAGTGATGTGGTTCCATTGGCATGAGATTCGGCTAAAAGTGATCTCAAGACAGATGATCTAGCTGCTAGCATGAAGCCATGGACAGGTATTGCGATATCAGATGTACTGGAACATATATCAACATCATAACCACCAGTCTCAGAATCCAAACCCATGAGCAAGCCCTGAACATCTCCCTCAATGTCCGGAGACATGATCAGTGCTGCGAGGACAGGGCCATATTCAATGTCCAAGTTTGCCAGACGAGGGTTTAGTAGACTTTCAACTGGATGCTCTGAAGCCACAAGATCTCGAATACTTAGCAAAGGTGCAATATCATCCCACAATGTCTTATCTTCAACTGCAACTTGAGTCCTAGTCACATCGCAGTCCTTGCGGATGGCGGCAAATACACCAAAAGGATTGCTTCTGACAGCAGCTACTTTAGTAAGTCCGGGGACCCGCTGAAATTTGAAATCCTTCCGGTCGTAACCACTGATCCCGGTGAAAGCATCCTTATTCTTAGCTCTTTTGATGCGTCGCCAAACCGCTCCAGCCTGAGTACAAACTATCACGGACCCATTCTCGGCGACACCAACAGATTTGATTCCATCCCAATTACCCTTGCGGAGTGACCAGACTCGCTGCGGTTGTGATAAAGCATCTTTGATTTTCGAAGGATTCGTTGTAGAAGCGGCCGCAGCTTTTGTATCAATTTTCCTTACGTTGAAGGTAAACAAGTCTCCTCTACCAGATATAGCCGCAATTGTATCTCCGCCAGACTCGATAGTAGTGATGTTATTTGACCCCGAGTCATATCGAGTCATGAGCGAAGTACTTTGTAAATGATAGTTTGTGAAGCCCTCATATAACGGAAACTTGACCATATTGTAGCCATAATTCGTGAAAACACAGACTGTATGGTTTGCCAAGAGGCATATAGTTGCACCACTAATGGCTGAAACTTTTACAATTGATGACTTGAATAAAGACGCCGCAACTCTGCGAGGTATTGGTTGAGCTTCCAAAGATCGTGAGTCAGAATCCATAAGACCCAGTTGTCCCTCATTTTTGCCCCAGCAAAATAGCGAGGTAGATGTGTGGGCCACTGAATGAATAGCAGATGCAGCTATGCCAACAATGATTTCTCTTTTCAGAGGTCCGAATATCTGGCGCGGGGTTGTACAAAGTGGTTCTTCATCCTTCAGCGCAGGTCGAGGTAGATTGTAGCCTAATTGACCCCAAGTATTTGTACCCCAACTGAAAATTTCTCCTTCCGGTGAGACGGCAAGGGTGTGATTTTGGCCTAGGGCAACAGTGACGACCTTCTTTCCTGCCAAACCGCCTTGGTCTATTGGCACATAATTGAAACGAGTGGTTTCATCTCCCATGCCTAATCTACCTCCAGGACCGAAACCACACATGTAAAGATTTGATTCTGGATCTGTGGTCAATACAGCGCTACTAAGTTTGGACAAAGCAACATCTTGTATGATGATAGGTTTATTTTGAATCATGGAAGGGAGTTCAGATACTGTCTTGGGCATTTTCGGGTTTCCAATAGGGTTATGATCATGAACAAAGTCCAGGTATTCCTGATAAAATCGAAAAAGTAAATGGTCAGGACGTTTAAGCGTTATCTTCTCCGGATACTGACGATCATCCTGATCACCGAAACCCAATGAAAAGTTCTTGTTACTACCAAATGCATAAAGTTCGTCACCATCGATACTTTTGAACTTTGACGATTCGCTCGACGGCGAATCGAGTAACTCCTCATCAGAATCATCATCTGAACGGTGAGGTACTCCCTGCTCTCCTCGGTCTAGCAGAGATCGCCTTGCAATAGTCGCATTGTATACATCAAACGGGGTGTTTCCCTCCCTATCCTTGACCTTGATAACTGAAGAGTCCGGCTTAGCTCCTGTATTTCCAGCGGCGCGATCCTTTGAGTCTCGTTCAATAATTGCTCGAGCAATTGTGACGTTGCCGAAATATAAAGCCCTATGCAATGCTGTCCACCCACTTTCTGTATCTTGTATATAGAGGTCGATGGAATGATGTTCGAGAAGAGAGGTTGCAAAGATTATTGCATTCGCAGATGTCGAAGATGCAGCTCGGTGCAAGACTGTTAACCCAGCATAATCTCTGCTATTCAACTCTGCCCTGCTGATCGCATTTCCCTGACCTTTATTCCCATTTGTGTTTCCAGCTAGACCAAGTGCTTTGCGGTTCTTGCCGAAAGTCTTTGGTGATGTTCCAAATCCGCCTGAACTCCCTATTTTATTTCCAAAGCTGCTGGAGAATGCCGGCCCTCCTCCACCATGACTTTTCAGTGTATGCTGCGATGAATAGGCAGTATTTGCCAGTAGGCGTCGAAATTTATCGACGTCATCTTCGAGATAATATTTCCAAAGGAGATTACTCATGTGTGAATAGAAGTGGCAAGAAGGATACCTTCCGGTCACTTCAATGAACACCTAGCTGTGACCTCAAAGGGACACGGCGTTTTTAAAGGCGTATGAAGCGGAGGAAGACTCCTGAAAGATGAGAAAAGTGAAGAAAGTCCGGTCTTGGTCTGCCAGACGTGTTGATGGATAATTGTCGCAAGGTGATTTGGGTGAATCTGGAGCGGGGCTTTGTGCGTGCGATTGAGAGAAGGGTGTAAGTTTACGAAGTCCGATTCCGTAACGTATTGGTTTTTCCTGATGGATGTTGTATTTTGGACTGATTGACTTGGTGTTGAAGTATGAAACCTCCTTGTTTATATAAAATCGAAATGGTTGAGTCACTAATATTAGTATAGAGATTGGGAATGTATCGCACAATGGGAAGGCCGTTTGCGATGTGTGCAACGCGATGAAAGCTCCTAGCCAATCGGAATCGCGACTTTAGCAGCATGCTTACTAGAATTGTGAACGTGGGGCAAGCATTTGACGAGATACCATGGTGCTCTTTTACCTGTCGTCATAATTCTTACTGCACATACAGTGCTATGAAATCGAAACTTGTAAGCTTCCACCTCTCCAGAATAATAACGTAACATAACAAGTTTCGTTTGAAACTTTGGACGAAAGACAATCAATATAAGGCACAAAGCTTTCCTTATATATTCCCGTATTCTGACATCTCTGAAAGCCATTTTCTCAGGCGGTGAAGGGAGACCCACATGTTCATGCAGATTGTAGATGTTCTCGATATAAATCCCGAAAGAAAAATGAAGCATCCTATATCATGCAAAGATTATCCTTACCCCTGATTTGTCTCAACGCTACACAATATGAGTAGGTAATAAATTCTATATTCTTGTGCTGAAGACTTCCAAGTCCTCTGTTTTCATCCTGCGCGATGAGCTTCAGAATTCATCGAATGCTGTGGCTTTACTTGTCAGGTCCAGACCTGAGTGTTCATCTGAACAAACGTTTTTTTTTTATCCAGCAGCCTGTGCTCGTTATAGTTGTGATAAGTCTCCTTGAAGCTGCTGCATCCTTGAGATCCTCATTGCTTCGTCAGTGGTGAGATTCGGACCACCCATTTTTCTACATGTATACTATTTGCAACCCCAAGTAGCTTCACATGTGATCCCCAAATTCCTTGTTGACCTCGTCAGCAAAGGCTGAATGATTCAATCAGAATAGAAGAGGCAGGTACTAATCTAATTCCGTAAATTGACCTTTTTGCTTTCCTCGGTAGTGTGATAGATCGGCTTCGGTGACTTCAAAAATTCGTTAACAGAATCGTTCGACTGTTCGAGATCACTAGAATTGATTATCCTCTTCCACTCCCTCTTCCTCCCAAACCATCTCATTCACAGCTCTCCTCCCTCCTCCTCCCTTTCCTCGCACCCCAAAACCCTCCCATAACTAACCAAAATCTCCTTCCTTCCCTTCCACTTCCCGCCCCTTCCCTTGCAGCCCAGCCCTTTCCCCAACACCCAAACCCCATACCTCTCTCACCTCTCCCGCATCCCAAATCTCCTGAACTCCGCATTAACTCTCGCTCTCTCCCCGCCAATACTAACCCCCCTAAAATCATTAATAAACCTCGCCTCATTCCCTTTCCCCTGTGCATCAACGCCAATCCCCCTGTCTCTATCCAAACTCAAATCATAATCGCTCTTCTCATGCACTTCCACCATTTTCCTAATCTTCTCGTCCGTTGACTCATTTGGCGCATGAACTTCGCCAATATATTGCAAGATAAATGTTCCAGGTTTCAAGTCCCTAGTGGCGAATAATCCACATTGTCCACGAGCAGGATGGGATGGATCGTTAATTGGTGTAATTTTGACGAGAGGAGAGGGGCCTTTTGGATGTGAGGGTGGGATGGGTAGAGCGTCCCGAGTTGGAGTGCGGAGTATTTTTAGGTGTGAGGGGTCAAGTGTTGCGCAATAGGTCGAGGCCGTGAGGTATGGGACGTGAGGAGGCCAGTTTCTAGGAAGCTGTTGGGATGGTGCCATTTCCTTAGATGATCACATCCAACCACGTGAAACTGCGCGGACCTCGATATCGATTATCGTAATCAAACACAAATTCGCTGCAACAGGCACCTATATTCCCCTTCACTTTAACTATCAAACCAGAGACCCAACCAATACACTATATCCACACTACCCTCCTGTCTTTGCAAACTCATAAAAAGATATAAAGGTACCTAGGTACTGTGTCCTTAAACAAACCCCCCTCCCCGCCCCCAAAATTCTTCCCATTCCCAAACGCCAAGCTTTAGCACCCGTTAGCGCCCGCCCCCATAAGAACCTCTCAAACCTTGTACCAATGACAAGCATATAGCCCTGCGAGAATCACTTCCCTCCAACAATCACAATCACCAACATCCATATCCGATCCTTGATTTTACTTGATATCGATGCTTGGATGGGATTTCGTTAGCGGGGATGTATGCTTTCGAATCTACTAGTGCATGATGCGATGTTGGGGATAGAACAGGATATAGCACTACAAGTGGCGTGGTAAGGTATAGTAAGGAATGTGGAAATTACTAGATATGATATGATATGTAAGTTTGGGCGGTAAGTCAACTCACTTGGGTAGCCTATAAACAGGTTTTCCATATGACGCATCTACTTGCAATAAACAATGCGAGAGGAATCGTTACGGAGGAAAAGTGCAAGTATATACCTTTTTACCTACCTAAATACATTTTGTTTGTTCTGGGCAATGAGGTCATCTTTCCTAACTCACTTTACGAATTGACGACATAATGATAAATGAGATGAAATAAGAGAGTATATATTAATATAATCCACCGCCACATTTTTGATTTCTAGGTCTTTGATTTATTTATATACATAAATACATATAAACATACATACGATTACAATACGCCGCGGTCAAAGTTTCATATCATATCAGAACATATCATATCGAACGCAATTCGTAGATTCAATCAGATATAATCAACCCGTCAAACGGCCTAGAACTACCAATCATGCCTTCAGTTATCGAATCCATCAATAACCTCATTGCCTCCATCCTCAACACCATCATGGCAACCTTCAATTCTATCATGGCTGTTTTCCAATCAATCTTCAATATGATCCTCAGTATCATTAATGCATTTTTCGGTGCGCTCAGTTCGGCTGTTACTACTATTGTGCAGACTTTCGAGGGATTGGTTAGCTTTTTCTTGAGTAAGTTTTATAAACTTTCATTTTGTTCGCTTGTCGATCCTTCTGGAATGTGTTGAAGTTGAAGAAATGATTGTGAAGTGAGAGAAAAGTAAAATAATAGAATCTTTACTAATCTTCCTCTGCAAATAGACAATATAGTTGTAATCGGTGCGCTCGCCGCCGCATTCTTCGCATACACAGTTTATCAACAACGTCAAGGACGAGCTGTGGCTCCGGCACCAAGCAGCAACAAGAAGACTTCTTGAGCTCTCTCGCTCTCTCTCTCAAACTTTTATCGTGGGAATGTGGCGTGAGAGAAATAAATTGCGAGGAAACATATGCTAGGAACTTCCAAACAGGAAATAGGACGATTGATGGATGGAGATGAATGATATTATAGTAAAGGAAGGAAAGGATAAAAACGGATAAGGAATGAAAAAGGACGGTTCATTTGCAGGATATGTTTATGATACCTCAGTTTATAGTACTTGGCAATAAAATTGCTGAAACAAGTATCTGCAACGATGATCAATATCTTATAGTGGGAGTGATTAAACGGCACAAATAGTACACATCGCACAATGATACAATGGTACAATGGTAATGGCACAAATAGCAAAATACACATCCTGTGATACATTTCCCGCCAGTAACACAAAAATGAACGCAGACCTCAAACCACAGCAGACGCCATCGGAGACAGGACTCCGAATCTCCTCAAACCGTGTAACCTCTAACGGTGCAACCAAGCGAATAACAGCAATCAGGTCAGATCAGATCAATCAGTCAATAAGCGAATGAAATTCGTGGGGGCTCAAGTAAAAAAACACACGTTGTACAAGACTACAAGTAGGTGGTGTTCGGTTACACAAAAAAGGGACCTCCTATATCTATCTAGGTCAATGCAACCCATTTTTATCTTTAACTTTGGATCTAGCTGTTTTTTCATGTAGATCATAATGATATTTTCATTAATATCATTAAGGAGTTGATGGTTAGGGTACCTACCTGTCTACCTAGACTGCACTGAGCTTCCGCTAGAGATGTATTTGATGAATTCTACGCAAGCCACTTGGGTGGATGGATCTTCATGACTTGGATGATTCATTCACACGTGTTTCTGATAATAAGTTCCTAGTAGATGTCTCAAGTGCGGATGAGAAAGAAGGAAATGAGTGAAGAATGAAGAGAGATACGGTAGTAAGATGGTGGGTGAGAAGATTATATCAGTACATACATCATTCTATCAAATGAATTACCATCCGGTACCAACTCCCACCACTCACCACTCCCAGCACCCTCACCTCGGCAGGTCGAACCTCGGAACCCGGGACTGACCCATCGTCGTCAGCTAATTATTCCCTACACGCACACACACCAAAAAGATCAACATACACACGGAGAACGCAGATAGATTAGCACCACCCGAAGCCAACCGAACCAAGCCAAAACACTCCAAAGCCTATTCCCTAGCAACGACAATCAAGTAAATGAATGAATGATCATCGTCGACCTATGTTATGTTCCAGTAATTAAAACCCAACCGCCACGGCAACAAAGTAGATAGATAGACAGGTTCTTGGCTGTCTTAGCGGCACGTGGGATCCTCAATTGAATATCCCTGAGTTTGCGCATGCATGCATGCATGCTTGATGGACAGGTTAATGTTAATTACAGTACTTACATTATTGTACAAGTAAATAGTAAAAATACACCATGACACTACTGAGTCCTGACAGATATCCAGGACCCTTCTTTCTAACTTTATATTTATATTAAATAAAAGGAATGCATAAATGCTACCTCCGAGGAATAGCAGGACGAATAAAGGATTGCATATATGCAGTCAGTTCACGTGATACAAATGAGGTATTTATTCTATTGGTTCGGTTGGAATTATACATTTTCATTCATCCCATCTTCATAACATACTCCGTACGGAGTACATACATATGGAAAAGGACATTTAGCTACCAAGCATTTTCCGGACGGCTAGAACCTTAGCTACTTTGCTTGCTTTTTTGCTGCGTGCCTTGCTTGCCTGTTTTTGCCCTGTGGAGACCGGAGGGGAGTACAAATTGAGTTTAAGGTTTTCGATTGAGCTTGTGAGTTCGATGTTAGGTTGTGGACGTGGGGTTGAAAAAGTCTTGGTGCTTACTAGGTGTAACTAAGTTTGCTCTTGCATTAGTTGATATTTGTGGGAAATGCACGCAGTGCAAGAACGATTGAAGATTATTTCGAGCGGATATCGCGAGTAAATGTGTTTTGTTTTGTATTGTCTTGTCTTGTTTTTTTTCCTTTTACAGAAGCTGCAGTTGGAGATGAAGATGGAGAAATGTGGATAATACCAAGTACCTAAGTTGCTGAAGAAAACCTACGCAGATAGGTAGATACCCACGTAGTATTTCGCCATCTAGTTTTATTCTCGGGTCCATCCCTCAAATTAATTCTAGACAATTCGCTTGCGGGAGCATCCGTTCAATTGATCCAAGTAAATTATCATGTCCCATGTATACAGTATGTAATGCATATATAACAAGCTCAATTGATCTCTGCATGAGAATATCGGTGGCTACAACATCTTTATCATCTCTAATCCAAAGTAAACAAACAAGAATTGTCCGTCTCGGTCCGTGTGATTGTCCAGAGTGAAAATAAGTGCAGGTGAGCAGATGATCATATTACACCTAAGAATCGACTCACAACACCAAAGAGAAATCGTGGCATCGGAATATTGTACTATACACCAATGAAAATGAAAATAAAGATCAATCATATTATGACGAAGAGAAGGCGCAGCATGCATATCAAATTCGATCGTTCCTCTTGGTTTTTGGTTCCTTCGTGGGGTTCATGGACGTTCGATGTGATATGTACAAGGAGCCAGGCGAGTTCATCCCTTACGAAAATTCTCATGCAGTCGTCTCTGAACGCGGCAACTGTAATATGTCTGTGTTACACGAGATTTTTCGAGTGCCCTATAACTTTGACGTTGGATTCCCAGCATTCTGGCAGGCTCATTGACCATGCATTGCACTACAGCGCTATGTAAATGGCCTTTGCGTGCGATACCGATGGTGTGTTCTTTGACCTCGAGATGGGAAGGTAGTGAAATCTCTGGACTCGATGTCTTGACTACGGACTGCCGCAGAACTAGTGATAAGATCATCAAATAGGTACCTAGATAAAGTTTTCGGGAGATGAGCATCGATTGGATTATTATGGATAGATACCATCTGCGTGTGCTCCGTTCAACCGTGGTGCGTGCGTGCATCGTAAGGTAAGATAGGAGGATATTTGTTCCCGTTCCGCAGAATTTCCGAATGTTCTTCCTTAGCATGATTTGCTTGGAGATACTTTCAAGCCAGCTGGAATATGATACATGAAAGATTGAGTGTAACAGTGAAAATTCTAGGGTGACTGATAATCCGGGTTCGTAAAAGAAACGTTAATTATACGGGGTGGATATCAGTTTTGGGGCTGAGTCGTTGTCGATGCTGATATGTAGGTGATGAGTGGATGGCTTGCATATCTTCCCTGGAATGAGTGTACATTACCCATGAAAGGCATTGATTATACCACATGTGTGTTATCTTTCAAGGTTTGGAAGGCGCCGATTCGACGTGAATGGTGGGCCGGCCTCACTGACTTCTTCATTCAAGAGCCCGTTCAGATAGATCCCTTGATAGAACTCCTTGGTTGAAGACAATTGTTAGCTATGGTGAAGCAATAGATCGGATAGGTAAATTTATTGGATGAATCGGGTATCAAAAACCCAAATATCATCTGTTATCTGTTCGTATAAATGCTCATTTAGCTGGATGGGCTCAAAGCAAGCAAGCTATAATGAACATTATATGATGAATTAAACTTTTTCAGTTGTGGATTCCCGTTTTCTTTCGGCACCGAATTGATATTGTCTCTCTTTTACCCTGATCTTGACAGTCTGGATTATCCATATACGGATTCCTCCAAGGCGCCATTACAAGACAGTTTGATGGTTCAAGCTTTGTACAGGGACGTAGACACCTAGTGGTGTAACCCTACTTTAACATCAAGATTATCGCAGCCACCATGAGAGATTGATGACTGAAGCTTCGTACATGCAAAATAAAATTGGTGCTGAGTAAGTACGGTACGTTGTTGTAGAATCTTGTAAGATATCTAATCTGCATGGCATATGAGTAGACAGTAGTCTGATAGGTAGTGTAGTGTTGGCAATGTAGTAGCGGCAGCTAAAGTAAGAAATAAAGGAAAATCCTTTCCAAGTATTATTACTTTAGAAGATCATTAACCAGAGAAGCGATGATTGATTTTCCTCTATTTCGCTGGCAAAGGGGCAAAACGTGAGTAGAGGACTGGTGCAGGTATGGCTGACTTGAGTCGAGTCAAATCAATCCGATCAAATCAATCCATCAATCAATCCATCAATCAATCCATCAAATCAATCAATCCACCAGATGAAAAGCTGGAGAAGTTAAAGGTATACTCCGTAATGAACGATGAACTTGGTGATGAAATTGATGTGTTTCGCTTCGATGAAACTAATCAAACACTTGGAATGAACCAATGAAAGAAGGATAGATTTGATTTTATAAACCCTACGCAGGACATACCGAGGATCCACCTTTTCATCACTTCCCACCAAGCAAATCAAGAAAATCAAGCAAATCAAGCAGATCAAGCAGACAGCAGACTAAGCAAACCAAGCAGAACCAAGCAGAACCAAGCAAATTCCTATAACCCAGCCCACTTTCCCTCCACGCTCCTTCTCTCTTGCTCCGTACACACATACCTACCACATCCGCCCGTACAGACCACACATCACATCACATACCCTACACCCTACATACTACATGCTACATACTACATACTACATACTACATACTACATACTACATACTACATACTCCATACTATATACCACATACCACATACCACATACCACATACACTGGCCACACATTTGACCACACGATAAACCAACAGAACTGCGTCTTTGGTTTTTATTTCAGTACAGCCCCAAATTTAACTACAGTCGATTTAAGGTCACCGTATTCCTCATATAATTCGAAATCATCGCCCAGTTTTCTCATAATCTATTCAACCTTTCAACCTGTCCCCCAAACAAAGGAACATAACCATATAATTTGGTAAAGCCCAAAACCGGCCTCGGTGTCCCGCTGTTCTAAGCCGGCGCCAGACGGTGCAAGGCTCTGCCATTGTAAAAATTTAAAAAAAAAAAATCCCCCCCCAAAGAAAAATCTCCCCTCAATCTTCTTGTTTTTTCTATTCTCGGATATCGCATCATACAGGCGTTGGAATAAATATTCAAATTTGGAGTCAAAAGGGCATATACATATACCACGGCAGCGGCTTTTTACTTTTATTATATCCTGAGCAATTTCAATTATTTCGGATTTCAGATTCAGATTTCAGATTTCAGATTTCGGCTCTCAAACTTTTATTTCTTCGACTCGATACCCTCGACTCAGCAATCTGACTGGATTGCATACAATTCAAGAACTCTATTCATCTTGAGGAGTGGTTCTTTTCCCTTCGTGTTTGTTAGTGACGACTCATTGACCGTCGTCCAACTTTACTCTTCCTCTTACTCAAACCAATATCTCTTAAGCTCGACCCATCTCTCTTCAAGATGATTATCGACGGAGAAAAGTGGGCTTGTGATGCTTGCGTCAGAGGTCATCGTGTTAGCAATTGTCATCATTCAGAAAGACCTCTGCAACACATCAATAAAAAGGTATACCAATTGTACTTTGTTGTGCCAATCTTGCTAATGAGAACTGGTGTAGGGTCGTCCCGTCTCACAATGTGCCCACTGTCGAACAATGCGCAAATCGAGAGCAGCACACGTTCGATGCGAATGCGGTTCAGAAAAAGCACATTCAAAAGGATCCTGTCCGGAAAATGGAGATACGCAGGGTGAGCTTTTACGGGAGGCCTCTGGCACGGCGATCCCATTTTCTGACATAATTGTAGCAGATACCTGTTGTTGCAGCCATGGTGCCCGATGCACATGCGCTTTAAAAAGTGATCACCTCGCTCCTGTACCCGAGTCCGACTCTGATGAAACCCCTTCGATGTCTATACCAGTATCCAAACCAAGACGGCCCCGTGCGCACACTGCCCAATCGGAAAACAATTTAACAATATTTACGAATGGTCACCACAAGCCTGTACATAAGAATAACAATATGGCTCATAAATGCGGCCTACCATACACTGTTCCTCGAGCACATTCTATTCATGGCCAATCGTCATCGAGTCTCGCCAATAGGTCTGTCGATAACCTACCACACACGAACACCGTCGATGCTCTACATAGTGAATCCCATATCAAAGACTCTATAGTGAGTGCTCAACAGGAGCAGCGAATGGTCAAGTCCGAACATGCATCGCCACTCGTTAGTCCTATGTCGAATTTTCAGCAGATGAATGGTCAGCTGCCGCCTCTGGACTTGACAAATATGCCCCCGGAATACAATAACTTATATCAATTTGATGCATATGGAGGGGCGATTTCGGATGTCGAACAACCTATCTTCTCTGCCGGAATCAGTTCCGCTTCCATCGATTGGTCTCATTATGATGGATTAGATTTCAACAATAACAATGACAATTTCGCAGCCTCTTCCTACAGTCAAGCAGCATCATTCAACGGGTTTGACTTTTCTAGTATTGATCAACCAGCCTTAACCAGTACATCGACCTCCGGCGAACAATCCGAAGTGGAGGATTTTATTGGTGTTTCGGATACTTCTAGGCCAGCATTGATGAACAATCAATACGGATCTGATCTCGATACATCGGAATTTGGCGGAGAAATTGATAGATACAGATTAAGTACGGCATCATCTTATATCGACATTTCACAGATGCAGATGCTTGCGAGCAATGATGTCGAAACTCTTGGACTCGAGGAATTCATGAAAGGAAGCCCTAGTGGATATTTACCTATATCACCTTCAAATCACGGCCTACCTATGACAACATATTCAACTGAGATTAAGAATAATCAACCATTACCGTTCGATGAAAATAGTTCTTTCATGCCTATTACAGCAGAAGAAACGGAAGCTTTTTGGATGCCCGATTTTACGGCCACAAATAACATCGCCATCAACAATGAGAATGGGAGAAATGAGGAGAATCTCTGGGGACAATAACACCAGTGGAAAGGCAAATGGCCTCTGTGCGAATCTTTGATCTCTGGATATCGATACGGATGACTTACGATGATCCCTTCCCCTAAAGTTCAAATACAGACTGGCGGCAAGAGCGTTTGGCACAAGAAGTGCAGCATTTCCAGGTGGCATTATATTTTATAGACTTCTCTTGTGAATAGCGACAAATGACTTACATGAACCAAAATATCATTGTGCATCTTGTGTATGCACTTGATATAGTGTAGCTGACTGTAGTGACATGGCGTTGATATGTTTTTCCATTCATAAATTAATGATTCAGATGTCACACCCACATGTTACATAAAACATGTGTAGTCAAAAACAGTTGCGCCGAAGTAATGATATGACAAATGCCGTATCTTGCGTCATTCGTCCCGAATATGCTTCAGACAATGTCATCATAAACAGGTCAATTGATCTGCTGATAGATTAGATCTTGGGATTACTGTGTGTGACTCCACCGCATCGAATTCGTATTCTCAAAGCACGAGGAGGGTGGTGAAGAAGACATTGACATTGACATTGCAGACGGTGGCATCCAAATCTCACATTCAATCGAACACGATCGAGATATCGAGAGGAGTTGTGACTACCGAGTTCGATATTGAAAGTTTATTAAAGATTGATCAAGTGGGTGATTAGATCCGAGGTGAGATTGGTGTGATTTGAGCAGTCACTCGCATGCTTGTCGGGGGTGCATGCGATTGCATGGGCGGTTCAAAGAATAGATAGGGCAGGCCCCTACTAGAGGCGGAGGAATGGGATAAATATCTTCCAGTCGTAGTAGAAGGTCTCGGTCTTCTAAAACATTTGACCGAGCCAGCGCAACTTCCCCCTCCTTTCTGCGCAGTAGGCGAAAGAGAAAATAAATGGAGAAGTGAGAAGAATTGAAAAAAAGGTCCTGCTTGCCAAGAAACACGTCCCTATTAATATTGAAGAGGTCACACCTTGGACCATAATAAAGTACTGCTACCCCGCCGGAACAGGCTGATGGTTGAATTGAACGTTACATCGGGGGAGAGAATATGAGCACAAGTTGCATTCACAGGATTTACGTCGCATGATGAGATTAGTAGGATATCAATGGTGCAGGCTCGAACGGAACAATAGCACTGCTTCTTCCGGCAACATCAGGCTTCTTCTGGGAGACAGAAGCTGGGAAGTGGTGGAATGGGAATATCTTCAGGAATGGATACGGTGGTTTGGGATGTTTAGGCTGCATAGGCGCATAAGGTCGCGATGCAAGTGATCAAATATGTGCCGATTTCATGGGTTGCTTTTTGTGGAGGTTGGAGGGTTTACCTTACCGTATGTATGCGTGCGCTCGTCTCCAGAAATGAATGAGGTGGAGTTGGCAGGGCAGTGGGTGAGAGATCCAATGGGCAGGAGAGGAGAGCAGTACGAGGTTATCATCCCCAACACTTCTGCAAGGGCTCCCGAAAGCTTACATGGAGGCTGGCAGAGGTGGCCGATGGTGGATTGATTTGTATTGTGAGAAGATCCATGAGTTCCCTTTCCTTTCACACTTTCACATAATCCTCCGAGGTGGTCTACCCGGCCGTGTTCCATGTCCTTGATCCTTAACCTTTTTTTCTTGCACCCTCCCTACCCTGCTTCCCCACATTTCCACATTTGTACGGGAGCTTCCCCTTCTCCACGGCTTGGGGGATCACCAGCCGAGGAAGCTTCTTTCAATCATGATTATGCTTATGAATATGAATATGAATATGAATATGAATATGATCATGACCATGGCCATTACCTTACATATACATAAATGACGAGAGAAAAGGATGAGAGAATTCCTTGATACAACCGCAACCACAAACACAAACACAAATCACCACATTGTCGAATCAAAAACTTGAAGGTTTCAAAGTCGGCTCAAGGCGGTGCGGTAGGTACATGGGATAAGACAGTTGATCGGATTAACAATAGTTGAAAAAGCTAATGAATGATAGGCCTTCTAATTCTCCGAAAGCTTTTTGGTGATGGATGTAGTACGAACAAGGAATTGTGAAACAAACATCTCGAATTGCATCTTTTCACGGAAGAGAGGGAAGAACGCGAGAGGAAATAGGGAAAAGACGAAGCAGTTTGAAGATTATTGACTGGCTGATACAATCTGATACTCGGATACTCGGATACTCGGATATCATTCTCGAACTCGAAATCATTCGATACTTTGAGAGTATTTTGCGAGCGAGAGAGAGAGAGAGAGAGAGAGAGAGAGAGAGAGACAGAGACCAATCAATCCTCGGGCTATAGGATCTATCCTATCTCTCCCATCCATCATTTGAAGCCGACTTCTTATTCTTCCTCCAAGGGGTTGTCCGAGACTTCCGATTCTTTGGATTCACTGGATTCATTGGGTTCAATCTTTGATTCGAGCTTTAATTCATTCAATATTGTTACTTCACCTACCTATCACAGATTGACTCTGGTGGCTTCGGGCTTTTCACTGTAAGGTTACCTTACCGTCAGCTACCTAACCAAGATTGGATATCGAGCATCGGAGGTTACTATCGCCGAGGTATGTCAGAGTTTCCACTTTAATGAATTCTTAGTGTCCTCCTCTTGTTTCATTTTATTGGATCCTTCCTATCCACAAAAGCTTTACTCATAACGGACCTGGGTAACGGACCTGGTTACCGTACCCCTTCAACCTACTTCTAACTTGGTACAGCTTCTCGGACAACAGTTCTTCCATACCGAAAATTTCCATATTCATCATACCATCAAAATCGACTTTCTACAACTTCCGGTTGTTGTACAGTGGGCATCTCATTGTTTACTGTACTGCAAACCAATTATTCCGAGTCGCATACATCCTCTTCCTCAGACACCCTTTCAAGTAGGTTCATTGGAGACATATTCATTGTTTGGGAATGTCGCAAATATAATCAATTTGCGACAGTTATTAGGATGGAAATGCTTCAGGTCGAGAACCTCAACTAACATTACCTTTCATTAGGGAAATTAAAACAGTTCTCCCTTCTTGTGCTGATGAAGATAAAGCGAAAAGATGAATCATAACGACGCACCCAATATGCAATCCTACCCATCTCCTAACGCGACTGCTGCTGACAGTGGTGGTGGACCTTTCTATGGACCAACTTCCTCAAATCAACATCAACACCAACATCAGCAACCTCTACCTACTCCCGATGAACTGCAACTTGCAGAACAATTATCCGCCGATGCTCAACTATCACGTAGCATGCAGCCAAATATGGGAGCAAATCGTGGAATGAGCGAAAATCCAGATCCTCGAGGTCAAGGAAATGTCAACTTGAACCATCAATATCAGCCAGATCATCAAATGCATGGAGGGCATACACCCATGAATCATGGACTTATGGATGTCGGACCTCAATTTGATGAAGACTCTATATCTCCAGCTGGAAGAAAGAGATCAAAGGTTTCAAGAGCTTGTGATGAATGTCGGAGGAAGAAGATCAGATGCAATGCCAATGAACCAGGAAATGAAGACATATGCTCAAATTGTAAAAGAGTAGGTGTTAATTGTCAATTCAGCAGACAACCTATGAAACGTGGACCAAGCAAGGGGTAAGAATATTAAAAGAAGCAATCATGATTAAGAAAACTCACTAACAAAGTGATAGCTACATCAAAGAGCTTGCTGATCGAATTAATACATTGGAGGGTCAAGTACAAGGAACTGAGATGCCTCAATATCCCCATCCACAAGAGATTTTACAAAGAAGACCTTCCGAAGAGTTTTCTCCGACTCCGAATCCTGATCAGATTCCCCGCAAGCGTGGTTATTCCTCAATTTCCGGGTCCGGCGAATTTGTTTCTCCGTATCAACAACAGAGTATGCCTCCCAATTGGATTCCTCAAGAACAATCGCGATCTTCTATTTCGAATTCATCATACACTACACGATTGCCTGGTTCTACTCAACTGCCTACTAGAGAGCAGAACTACTCGCCAAATTTGATGGTATCTCAGCAGAAGTGGATAAACGCACCCGATGTGGGTGGCTCTGGCGAAGCAGTCAATCACACTTCTCAATCTCATAATGAAGATGCTGTGGAATGGATTGACGACTCTCTTCTTGAGAGGTATGCAGTTTTCCAAAGCCATAATATGCACATTTACTAACAATTTCCAGTTATTACAAATTCATACACCCAACTTATCCAATGTTATCCCTTACCAAGGCTAGGTTAAATGCTAGACTTTCTGCTTGTCCTGCTCCAGTCAGATATGCTTTTTGGGAGGCTTTATATGCTGCAGTCAGATCATTTCCCACCGCCATTCCTCTTAAACCACAGGGTATTGCACACGCAGTCAGACTCATACACACTGCTTCATATGATTCCCAAACTACACGTTCTCTTTCTACGAATATCGTATATCTTCAAATTATGATGTTATTAGCAATCGAAGCTAACAATCAGCCACGCGAAATTCAAGACGGTGAAATAATTCAATCTCCTTCTGTTTGGTTGGGTACTGCTGTTGGTTACGCTTATTCTTTAAGATTACACGTACACAAACCAGTTGACAAATCAAACAATGATCCGGATTCTGATGATAAGCATGTGCGACGTGTTTGGTTTAGTTTGGTCATTATGGAGAGATGGAATGCTGCTGTTACAGCTTGTCCATTACAAATTCCTGATTCAGTAGCACAAATTTATCCTGATGATCGAGCCCTATTAGGTGAAGTTGCATACCATTTAGTTCGTAAGTTTAATTCTCTCATCATACACGCTCAATTCTTACTAATTATTTAGGTGTCGCCATTGTTATTGGAAATTACCTGGAAGTAAAACTTGCCTCGACTGATTTACCTCCACTCTCGGCTCATCGTGGACTTCACGCTAGACTTCTCAAAACCCAACTCGAATTATTACGTCATGATCTCAGTACTTCTGGTATCACACCTATCGACTCTCCTGTACTTCATATAGGTTACTGGTGTGCTTATCTTCTAATTGTACTCCTTCATACACCACAAGAAGATTTCGATGAACAAATGAGAGCCACTCACTACATCATCAGTCAACTTTCCTTCAATACCGATATGAGATCTCCCTTAGTACATCACTACAAGTGTTTCGCGGCCCTAGCACTTCCCAACCTCCTTCAGTTTGAAGCCACAAAGAAGGATGCAGAAAGTTCATTAAAACTTTTTCTTGAAGGACGTCTAGCTGCTTCTTCTTGGGATAACTCGATTAGAGAATTCTTAATCAATAGTGTAGGAACTCAAAGAAGATTATCAACTAGTCAGGTTCAAGGTCAAGGTCAAGGAACACAACAAACCACGGTTGTTGGTACAAATCCAAAAACAGATGATAATCAACATATGATCACGGCAGCAAATCAAGGTCTTCAACGTCTTGCGGATTTAGCAACAGCTTCTACGAAGGATAGAGTTGAAGTTGGTGTTTCAACGTCGGACTCTGGATTAAGGAATGATAAGGATGGAGCTTTTTCAGGTGCTGGCTTGACTAAAGCATAGGCGCATATTGATGGGAGTAGAAGCGTGGGTGCGGGGAGTATATAGCTCTAAATGATTGTGCTTGCAATGTGAAGATGGCGCTTTCTTGATATGGAATGGAGTCATTTGGATGGATGGATGGATGGCATTCATGGTATGTCATGGCAAGGTGGTGTTTTTGAATCGTTTTTGTTGTATTTTACAAAGTTTGGTTGTTTGATGTATACCCCCGTTTGATTATTATTTTTTTCGCGGATTTTGTGGAGTGGAAAAGAGAAGGGGGGAGAATTGGAGAGAAGGCTGGATGTGGTTGGTGATGGATGTGCCTATAAAGAGAGGAAAGAAAATAGGATAAACGCACGCATGTACGCATGTTTAGACGTTTCGTCGAGGTCTCACGGCTTGTGGTGTTGTGGAGTTGGTGGTATAGGTATAAGTCTGGGTTTAGGATCGGGATCGGGATCGAGTTTGAGTTTGAGTTTGGGTTTTTTGGTAGTATTGCATTGCATTCAAAGAGAGGAAGAGAAAGAGAGAGTGTGTGAGAAGGGGAGAGTGAGAGAAGGTGAAATGGAGAAGACGAAAAAGGAAAAATAGCATGGTTTTGAGAAATGTGGGGGTAAACGGACAGGGAGAGAAAGAGAGGCGCGGGCGGAGGGGTGGTGATATTTATAATAGATACGATATTAATATATTGACATCTACTTTATATAGATATCTAGTTGTAAGGTAATCAGATTTTGAATAGGTTGATTATATAAATATATGAATTTGTTAAATTAAGGTTTTGAGATAATGACGATGATGTTGATGTTGATGGTGATATATGTTGGGGTGATTGTAGATTGTAGATTGTAGATTGTAGATTGTAGATTGTAGATTGTAGATATGTATGTATATACTCGGGTAGTATATTTATTTGATTGATAGTGAATGTGAATGTGAATGTAAATATAATTAGAAAATCCAAAAAGGAATGATAAATTATATAAAATTTTATTTGCTGATGAAATAAATCTTTGGGGAAATTTGTATTCGAATTGAGTTGAGTTGAGTTGAGTTGAGGAAGGGAAAACGAAAACGAAAAAGGGAAAAGAATGAAAATCAATGAGATGGATGATGGGAATTGGAATTGGAATTGGAATTGGAATTGGGGTGGGGAGATTAGGAGGAGAGAGGAAAAGGAAAGGGAAAGGAAAGGGAAAGGGAAAGGGAAAGGAAAGGAAAGGGAAAGGGAAAGGGAAAGCGAGAGGGAAAGGAGGGGAGTTATATATAATAAATAATATTTAATAACTGGATCAAAAATGACTGATAACTAGGTTTTTTTATATATACTAAAGAAAAATAAACGAATGGATACATGAATGAGGCTTAATACAAGTAAACTTTTTATTCTCATATCAATCAGCTACACTACAACCATAGCATAGCATAGCCAATCATATCCCACTTGTACGCATCTATCTACATAGACCCATCAATCTTTAACCCTAAAGCCGAATCCTATACCCTAACCCCAACCCAATCCAATCCAATACTCTCTCTCCTCACCACAACACTCCTAACAACCCACCGCATCCCCCACCCCCAAATCCACAGCCGCAAGCAACAACTCCATATACCCCGCGCCAATCTCCTGCAAATTATAATTATGCTGCGTCTGCGTCGGATAAAACGGACAACTAGAAGCCGAATTCCCAAACCCAAATTCAATCGTATAACCATGAATAAGATTTTTAGAAGGATCTGCAAAATGTCTCGAATAAGAATAATCATCACTAGCTCCGCTAGTAGGATAAAGATTCGATGCTGGGAAAACGGAATAACTTCTTCCTGCTGCACCGCTCATTCCAGAACCGATTTTACTAGCTGCCGCTTTGTTGGCTGTGTTTTCAGATGTGGGCGTGTATTCCCCGTAGCCGCTTCCTGAACCCGGTGTATCGGATAAAATGCCCCGCACGGAGTTGTAGGTTGTGTTGAGGAAATTCATGCCAGGGTATGAGGCTTGGTTTGTATCGCTTCCCCAGGAGTAGAGGACGTCGCCGGCGTAGGAGTGGAGGTCGACGAACCAGCGGACTTTGCTGTAGGTGTCCATTACCCACTTTATGCTTTGGGTTTCGGGTTCGGAGAAGGCGGCGGTGCCTAGAGGGGGATTTAGTGGAAATGGTCATATGGTAAGAAAAAGTAGAGGATGTGGGTAATTGTACGTACCGTGGAATACCTCAGATGAAGGACTGCTTGATGCTACCTCAGATCGAACACTCGATGCCCATTTTGTCAAATCCCATACAAAGTCAAAATTTCGATTCAGATCCACACCAGTCGAAGATCCAGTTCCCGACTTTGGATTTCGGTTCTTGCGCCAGCAGCTATTGGTAGATTGATCATAAGCTACACCATCTGGATTACTGAGAGGAATAAAGACAATTCCAGTTGAGAGCGCTGTCTTCACCTGAGCATTGGTATAAGATTTCGAGCCATATTTCAATCCCAGACCATTTTTGTTCGCATACAAAAGATCTCCGATGAAGAACAACAATCCGTCTGAGGCACCTCGCTCTCTCGCATGAATGGCTGCATTCAAATACACGCGAACGGCATCATTACACGTTCCGTTACCACCAACCTTGGCACCAGTGATCGAAGCACCATTGTAAGTCTTATAAGGTGTATTGAAAGTGGTGATACCATAAACACTCGCGAGACCCTTAATACCACTTGCAATCTCATTGACATTTAAAAGCGTGGTGAATGTAGTTGTTTGGGAACCTACACCACGTGGTGCAATGGTACCAGCACTATATCGATCACCGGTTCCGATGGCAACTCCGTTACTAGTTTGTCGACGCACAATTCGTGGTTTGCCTTCTCGTTCTTCGGGGAGAAGACATGCTTGTGAAAAGATTGGGGCGATAATTCCAATATAATACAAAGTTGTGAATTTCATGGTGCCGGTTGATGAGTAGGAACTGATCAGAAGGTCTGGCGACTCATGATGTTCATATATATATGTGTGAACATATCGTGGCTTCCAGATTCACTATTCCCCTCACACCCTCACAGCGCTCCAGATACCGGCCTCCCACGCTTGTCACAAATAGATATGTAAATGAAAAGTTTTGCAGAGACAGTCTCCCATTTGGTCACAAATACCTACTTCAAGATTGCAAACCGCTTGGCAAGCTTGGCCACCTTGGCTTTATATATATGCACACTACCTTCTCCATCGAGAAGCTCAACCTGTACTTGAACATTCTATCTTTCATTGACAAAAATGGGGGAATTAGGAAGGTTGAGAATAGATGTACAGCTCAGCATCGCTAACAAAAGCCACTTGAGATTCCACGGACCAAATGCCGGAATACCAAGCCCGACATTTGGGAACGAACTTCTAGTAGGTTAATGATTCACTAGTAAAAGGAATTGATAGCAGATATGCAAGTGGAAGTATGGCGTACCAAGCCCGGTATCTAGGAAGTTGTGAATGCGATAACGTTGGGACCTGCCATATTTGGTTGGTGTGGTGGTGCGCCAATAATGGAGCCACAGGCGGGAATGAAGCGTGAGGTTCGAATTGTATTTTCCTTTTCAAGGGAGAATCGTGTTCATATTCGTTATATGCTTTGTATCTTTCTTTACCTTAGTTTTATATCTGTGATATATAGGATTAATTGATCTTAATTGTTTTTCATTTGAAGTTTGAACCGAGTGATAAGATGTGATTATTTCTACAATTGAAAAACAAATGTTTTTATTGGTTGGGGCACGTGCAACCTCCCTAAGCGACGGCCAAGTAGATCTAGAGTTCTTTGTTTTTTTTATACAAGATCTTATAAAATCTTTTTATCACTTGTATAAAATATTTATAAATGAAATTCAAAGAATTAAACTAATTCCAATTATAAATCATTATAGAATTACTAAATAATTATATTATATTTAAATAAAATATTGTGACGTATAAGAGTCTTATAAGAGCTGAATAAACAGGGTCAATTATATTCCTTAGAATCTACAACTGAAAAGCTACGGCTCGTAGGGAGCATCTATATATATATACAAAATACCTAAAAGGTAGCTGCACGGTTGTGCACATCAGTTATTAAGGTGACCATAATCCCATACTAAAAAGGGTAAATCGAAACGCAAGTGCACAGCCTACCAGCTCACCGATAAGGAATTGTCGAACAACTAGAATCACGTGATCGACCTTATACGAGATCCGTGGCAAATATTATTTATAAAATCTTTTTTAATTAATTAAAAATTAAAATTTTTATACCTATATATATATAGTTTTAATATTTCAAAACCCTCTTATAATTCAAACTTAATTTTAACTTTTTTCAAAATCATTAATATTATTTAAATCTCTTTTATTTTTATTTTTATTTTTTTTTTCTTTCATCTTCTTCTTTTCTTTCTTTTGATTATTAATATATCACATCATCATCTTTATATTACACTACTCACATCTCAAAAATACTATACTCTTAAACAATAATAATTATCATAATCACAAAATTATAAAACAAAACAAAATAAAATAAAATTCCTTATTAAATATTTACTTCTTTTTCTATCTCTCTTTTTCATTTATATCTATCATTATCGTTATTGTTATTTGATATTTGATATTTACTACTTACTATTTACTATTTAATATATTATATTATCTATTATACTACATACAACTATCAACACAAATACTCCTCCCATCTAAAAATTTCTTGTTGTATGATAATTCTAATTCTAACGCTAATGCTGATATCAATTCTGACATCGATGCTGACGCTACATTGATACTCAAACCAGAGATCTCATGTTATACCAACCCAATCTATCTCATCTAATCTATTCCCTCTCATCCCTTCCAAACCCCTGAAACGAATTACTCCTAATTCCGGCACTGAGTATCTTCTAGTTCTTTTCCCTATTCTCACCACAAGAATCCCCATGAATCCCCTGTCCCCCCACCGAAAACATCCTCTCTCCACCTCCACCCAGCCGAAAGTCTCGGACTAACACCATTAGCACCACCCGCCCATCCACAGCCAACACATTCTCCGCCCTCCACCTCCTCCTCCTCCTCCTCCAACGCCTTTCCCTTATTACACCCATTATGGCACGCCCAACCCCTGGATCCATTCCATCCATCCCATCTAATCTCTCCTCCACACTTTCCACCGACGAATTATAAGCTGCGAAATTATCTCCTACACTCAAATGTCCATGTCCATTTCCATTCCCATTTCTCTCCTTCATTCCTCTCTTCATTATCCTCTCCAATCTTCACCAATACATACGCTTCTATTTCATCATTATACTGGTATTCGTAGCCATCGGGTGCTCCGCTTCGGTCACTAAGTAGTGATTCTGTACTGGCGTTGGCGTCTCTCCCCACTTTCCCATTACGTGCGTTTCTCTCCCTGACACCACCTTTCATAAGGCCATCTACACCCTCACCACCCATGCGCATGGCAAAGGGAAAAGCTATACCTTGTGCCGTGGGTCTTCTCAATTCCTCTCCATTGCTACCATATCTCTCAACACCCTCATTATTATCCCTTCCAATTAGCGGACTATCTTTTATTATTTCTGGTATATTTGATTGCATTCCCCCTTCATTTATTTCGTGGGAAGATGATCCTAACGCGGAGGAATGATCGACATCTATAACCTTGGCATTTTTCTTCGCAATCAAATAATGCTCCTCATCCCTCATTTTCTTTTGCATAGCAGAATATTCCGCCATCGTATCCTCATCATTTTCCTCAACCGCCCTTTCTTTCCCATTACCCGTCCGCGTCCCACCCGGCTCACTAGCCCCAGTCTCGTTCTTAACATTCCCGAGTTGCGTATTCTCTTCAGTGCTAGTCGTCTCCGTGTCATGTAGATTCCTGGCTCCTGCACCATGTTCCGCACTGGCAGTCGTAGTCTCGACATTTCTACCCACTTTTTCCGCTTCTGCTTCGCGATCAATGGTAAGTTTATCATGCTTACTACCCCAGCCACTCCACATCGACATTCCCCAACTCTTCTTCGCCTTGCCACCCTTCTCTTCCTTCACATCAACACCAGCCAATCTACGCCCGACTAGTGCACTAGGAGGTGGCTCTTCACCTGACGGTCCATATTTTTTATATCCCCTTTCCCTTTCCTTTGCCCTCTTTACCTGCACCCTCCGCTTATCCTTGGCAAATTTTGTGTCCCAAGTAGTCTTCGTAGCCATCCATTTCTTTACCGGTCCAGGTTTGATAACACCAATTTCATCAGGTGACATATTACAAGCCGCGAGTTCGGATGCTGGGGCGAGGGGGAATATGTTGCCGTGGCGATCGACACGCTGACGTATCATGTGATCTTTAAAGGGAGGAAGAGGATCGCCCGCTTTCCCTATTTGTTCTTTGGGTTCAGTGGGAGTTTGCTAAGTTTCATTAGCCCGACTGGTTTACCATGAACAGACTCATATCCAAAAATACCTTTTGAGCATCCTCACCCGACTCTGAAGATCTTGAGATAACCGAAACATCATCATCATCTAAAATTTCAATTTCAGTCTGCTGAGCCTTAGCTAAAGCCCAAGCTCCAAATTGTGCTATGGAGCGATACATATATTTAGCTGGACGAGTGAAACTTAATGTTGGTGGAACGTGACATAGATCATCCCAAACTTGTAATTGTACGTCTGTTGGTTTCCATGCCTCGACTTCGGCCCGAGGATCTTCACGTACAGCATATGAATCGAGAAACACATTTCCAGGAGGGTACTGAGTTGGATTTGCAGCTTTGTGTGCGACGTATATCTGTTCATCTCGTAGCATCTCGCCGCCGCCTGTGAGGACTAGAAGTGGTGGAAGACCACCAAGTGACGGCTGGAGGGCAGGAGAAACCACAGGATGAGATATTAATTGGTTTGTCGCATACATTTGGATTTGATCCTTTATCACAACTAGCTCTCCATCAATCATAATTGAAAGGTCACCACCAAATCCAGGCACTGTATTTGCTTGTGGCCCTGAATCATTATCAGATGAAGGTCCAGCAGCAGATGTGTTATTATGTGTCCCTGGTGGTGGATGTTTATCCACTCTCAATCCTTGAGCAGCATCTACTTCAGACTGCGTCATGTCGCTTTTATTCCCAGTCAAATCATTTTTCCCCCGCTCTATAGCCAGCAAATCATCAGAATTTGGAGGTGGCCAGGCAGTAGATGGTCGGTGATGAAATCCATGTGGTGGGATATAATCCAAAGGATTGTCTCCAGCGACACTCGGAAAAGAATGAGTTAAATCAACCCAGGGTGAAATGAGAATTGCACCAGCAGGTAGGGGTTTCTTTAAATCGCGCAGAATCACGAGCATGCTCAAAATCATTCCACCACCAGCCGAATCTCCTGCGAAAACAATACTTGTGGGGTCATGATCTTCAAGGAGAAAGAGATATGCCGCTATGCAATCGAGCAGGCCGCATGGAAATGGGAATTGGGGCGCCAAACGATACCGAGGCGCAAAAACTCTTGCCTTCAATTTCCTTGCATGTCTTTGCATTTGATACCTATGCTCATCTGTACTCCCAAAAAAGTATGCTCCTCCATGAACATATAACATAATTCTTTTACTTTCTCCTCCATTTTTAATCCTCTCCTGGTGATCCACCCTCATCTCTATCCATTCAGCCTTAAGTTCACTCCCTGGCTGTCTCCATGCCCACCAATCTTTTCCTCCTACTCTTTGAATCCCTCCATAATTGGAGAAGTGTAACGTCAAAAGTGTGCGCGCTTCTGTTAAATTTTGGTCGGAAATGAGAACTTCGTCCACCTTCACGAAAGGGGGATGAGGTACCCATTGGGAGGTAAATCGTTGAATATCTTCGACTGTATGATTAGAGGCATAGATAAGGAATTTGCGAATTAAGTGAAGACCTTCATCGTAGGAGATATGAGCAGTAGGTTTCTCTTTGCGAGGTCCACGTTTGAAGAACTGCGAGACAATTAGTCAGAAGATTGGCAAGTATGAAAGACGAGGTGGGATAAATACATGAGTGATGAATGTTTGAAAAGCCACTGGAGCAACTGCTGCCCCGACTGAAGCTGTAGTCAGCCCCATATTTGGGGAAATTTTCCCGTTTGAGGTTTGGCGCTGTTGTCTATGATATATTGTCGAGTCAAATCAAATCGAACTTCCTTTGGAAACCTTTGCTGTCTCCAAATGCCTCAAACACAGGCGCAATTCAGACCCCAGCTTCTCACTCTCGAAACCAACCGCACACAATGAATCTCCCAAAAATGAATGTTTCTCCCAATGAGTCGTGTACATTTATAAAAGAGTAAGAAGTAAAGTCAAGTCTCCCCGACAACAACAATAAACATGAACAAAGATAATAATGCTCTCTTCGAAATGTGCCCCTTTCTTTCACTTCTCACGCTTAAACATCATATGCAATGTAATGAATAGTAATGAACGGTGATATCTTCAAAAAAGGAGAGATAATTAATCCAAAAATACTAATACGAAGTACGAAAAGCCAATAATATAAAAGTAAATCTGCCACCAAGTGAACCTACCTCAGACAGGTGGACTCGGCCGTTGTTATCACAAGCTCGCTCCTTCTTATGCAAAGTCTCACAGATTAACGTCATAGGCGTTTTTTCTTCAATGAGACTTCTGGCTGATGGATGGACACCAGGACCGGTACCGGTAGTACTTCGTAAGTGATTTTAAGTGGATGAAAAGGTGGGTGATCTTATCCCTGATGCATAAATTTAAGGTTTAGCGTACTAAGATTTATGATTTATGATTTATGATTTATGATTTAGGATTTAGGATTTATGCTGTGGATAAAACATTGCGAGCAGATTTATTTTGCGATTGAGGCACCCCGCCATCAAATTATATCTTGTCGCATAACCTCAAGAGTAAATTCGAGAAAGAGCTAGAGATAGGGAGCGCAAAGGATAGAATATAATAGGAAAAAAGAAAGAAAACGATATGGCTTCTTCACAATCAAATGTAGGAAATGGAGTATACTCACCTGGTAAGCTGTCCCATCCACCCTCATTCAATTCATACTCCTCTGTTCAAAATACCCAGTCTTGACTTTCGCATATGCTCTTCCCTCACCCATTCAATTCATAATACTAATTTCGTCCCTTCAGAACTCCGCCTCCGCCACTTCCAACGTAGCATAAACCTCTCCATCTTCCTCTGGCCTTCCCTAACCCTCGCCGTAACCTCTTCCTGGGGCGGCCCCGAATCCACCTCCAAACGCGAATGGCTAGCCGCAACCCTCATCGATCTTCTCTCCGACCCTGAAAACCACGACGTAGACGCTGGCTGGGTTGAAGAATTCCTTTTAAACGTAATGGAAGATGAATTTGAGGTAGTAGTTGATGATGGAAGCGCGTTGGAAGTAGCAAATGGTATAATTAAATGTAGAGGGGAATGTGAGAGGGGAGTCTGGGGAGAAGAGACCAGTTTATGTGCGAGATTAGAAAAAAAGTGGGAGGAGAAAGGAGGGAAGAGTGAGGAGTTGGCAAATTTTAAGAAGGGAGCCGATCAGGAGGATACGGATGGGGATGATGAGAGTGGAGATGAGGAGGATGAAGAAGGAGATGTGGAAATGGATGAGGCGCCGCAGTTGGTGAGGGTTAAGGAGCCGGTTGTACCGGAGGTGGATGAGGATGGATTTACGAAGGTTGTTAAGAAGAGGAGATGAGAGGTACATGGGCTACAGCAAGCTGAGAGGAGCTGCGAGGATTCGAACAGAGAGGATATAATAAATGGCGAAGAAGATTTGGCAAAAGAAATGGATAAGATCGCAAGTTTGGCATGGCAGGTGTTAAAAGAGCCAACCGTACGACATGTGTGTACGATTACGAGAATGGAGGATTTCAGGGAAATCATCTCGGAGGTCATGTCAATTCTATATACATGACCTGACGTCTCCGATGGAGATTGAGCACGAATCTCAACACCAAATGAGGAGATTTTGACGGCAAAATCACTGGGAAAATAATACACTACCAAACCCATCTATTTGGTATCTATAAAGATTTCCAGGAGACGATAGGTTCCTTGTATAGATGTCACTACTAAAAGCGCCTAACATAATAAAAATACATAGAAAGAAACCCCTCTAAAAATATATTATACATATATAAGAAAAAGAAGATACAAAAGAATATGATCCCATTGTAATATAGTAGATTAACTCCCTATCATCCATCCATCCAATCCTACAAAAGCCAAAATCTCAGTATTTATCTATCTCAAAGACCTAGATAATTCTCTCATTTATAAACTCCCTCCCTCCCTCCCCCTCTCTTTAATCTTCTGATCAGTTATAAACCTTTAATAATTATTTAATCTATTTATATACAAAAGAGTTTATATATATATCCCCTTATTAAACTCTTCTTCTTTTCTCTTTATTAAAATTATAATATATTATAACATATTATATTAAGGATGAACATATAAATTATATTAATATTAATACCAGATCATTATATTTAGATAAATAAATAGATTAAATATATAAACACATATCATTATCATGATCACCATCGCCATCGCCATTAAAGGAAAAGAACATATTATACACAGAACGAAACAAGTTGCTATACACAAAGGAAGATATATGATTTATTGCCTAAAGCCTAAAGCCCAGAGACTAAACCTAAACATAAACCTACTCGGCTATCAGGGGAGTGTAGAATAGGTACGATAGAATAGAAAAGTATATTGGAATGCGATATTCCAAGTTCCAGAAAACAGGACAGGCCAGGCCAAGCCGTTTGCAAAAAATGAAAAGGGGAAAGTCCAATCCCAAACTCCTGAAATCAAATTTGTCCCGTAACGCCCGTTTCATCATAAAATATATTTAATCCCCACATACACAAACAATTATTCCCAATCTTCCTCCTCACTGTCATCATCGTCACCCTCCTCATTCTTCTTTGCATCTGCTTTTGCAGCCTTCTCTTTTGGACTATTAGGAGCCCGACTAGCGACACCCGAAGCTGCACCCACTACATCATAACTACCATCACTATCCGCTTGAGATTTTTCATCGTTAGATTTTCTAGGTTCTGTGGGTTTGGGAGTTGTAGTTTCAGTTGCCTTTGCCTTTTCTTGTGTTGCAGCATGTAAAGTTGTAGAGGATCCGGCGGAACCTGGTCTATCGGAAGTTGTCTTTACTTTTGCAGTTTTTCCATCTTCTTCAGATTCTTCATCATCGTCGGAATCTTCTGAGTCTTCTTCGGAATCGGATGCCCATTTTACTTCTTCTTCTTGTTCGGTTGCTACGGCGCCTGTTTGCTTTGTTATTAGAAATATTTCAAAGATAGTTATTGGAAGGAATAGCAAACATACCTTTCAGTAAATCTCTCCTTTTAGCTTCGGCAGTTTCAATACTGTGACGAAGGAAGTAGTAACGTTTGAAGAAATCCTCATATTTGACTTGATCCGGTACCAACTTCTCCATTGAGCTTCTCAATTCTTCATATTTTTCCAAATCTTTACTGATATCATCTGTCTTTTTCTCAACATTGAAATTTTTAGCCCAGGGTCCAAATTCCTCGCTGATTGGGTCTGTGGTAAAGCTATCAAGTGTAGAATGGATGACATGAAGTTGAGCATCAAATCGTGTAGTATGAATGACTCTTTTCCCTTGAGAGTCTTTACTCTCGAATAAAACTGCATTGGCTTGTCCATTTGCATCCGACGTAGGTGGTGCAATGCTAACAGCATCTTTCAAGAAGTTTCGAATGTTGGTTCCAAACTTAAGAAGCGCCTCATCTGCAGCATCTTCTGCCTTCTGAATCTCCACCAATCTCTTAGCAGCCTCTGATTTTAATCTTGCCAAAACCCCTTCTGATTCTTTCAATGCTTCATCTGTTGTTATATCTTTCGCAGACGATTCCCCTTCATTACTCGTAGACCCCGCGGCGGCTTTCGCATCTACCTGAGCTTGTGTAATGGTAACTCCTCGAGTGCGACTAATAATTGAAGATCTCAGATCCGTAAACCCTTTGGTAGCTTCCTCACTGACAGTGTTAAACTCCTGTTGAGCCTCCTTATAAACATTCCCGCCCTGTAGATCAAACAGGATTACTCAGTTAAATTCCTCATGTGTCTACCAACCCTCCATCTCTTACCTGTTTAACTACACTTCCGAAAAATCCACCTAATTTCGCGCCCCAAGGACTAGAAGATATAGCTTTGTATGCTTCTTGGAAATCGGCATTGAGAGTTGGAGCGGGTTGTGACGTTTTATCCTTGTTTTGATCAGGTTGGAGAGCTTCCTCTTGGATATGATCATATGCGAGATCCATCTTTGCGAGAGAGGGAAAGTCTTGAAAAAATTAAAGATTCATAGGGCGTTTATCAAATATCAAACTGTCTTACGAGTGGGATAATACTCCGTATAGTGGAGCAATGGCCTGTTGCCTGTTGTGATTGATACGCAAGGACTGAGTAGATTGCAAGCAGAGCCGAATCTCGCATGATCATCCGACAAGAATATCCCGCTTTCAAGCCTCCATGTATGTAGTGGCTGAAACAGGACACTAGCCACAAAAGCATGTGACACTTACCCCGTGCTTAGAGTGAGTTTATGGTTACACAGAAATCGAGAGCTTACCTATATTATCTAAGTCGGAGCTGAAGAATTAAAGAAAGGATGGGATGATTACCCCAAACACGGCGAACGGACATGGGGATTTGCGTTTCGCGGTTCATTCGGAAAGCACTATGCAGTACAGTGCAGTAAGGACAGCTTGGCCTCGGTAGGCACGTATGCCAGCTTGTAACATGATTCTCGCATTGGTTTCGTGCATGTGACCAGTTAGATAGGAGTAAGGACATGACATATGGAGAACCAGGATAGAAACTTCGAGCATTCACTGATTCCCTCGTAAAGCCACTATCGACCTGCATACCTATCTAATTAGCTACAGTCTTACGTATACGTGCGCCATTTGTGATGTTAACGGCGTTGACTCATACCTTTCTATTGCCTACCTTTGAGTACCGTACCTAGGTAGCAGACACCTACGCTACGATATGGTACTGCTGCATGAAAAAAGGACTTTCTGAATGGCATGGCTGTCAAGATGGCCTTTAATTTGAAATGCTTATTTTTATCATGTCTAGAATGTCGCAGCACGATTAGCGATCAGCGATCAACCATGTTACCGGTATGTACGTATATGTGAAGATGGATGTTTGGTCAACAGCCTTTTCAAGCCTCGAAATAAGGCAATGAATGCCAAAAGGAGGAGAAATAGAGTAGGTAGGTGACCTTTGTGCTATCACTGTACCGGCACCTACCTACTTGTTCACCGACTGACAGATAAAAGATGGCTCTTGTGAAGTTACGTGTTGCGGATCTACCTGATAAGTGAGTGATAAAGTGCCGACTTGGTAATATATGGAGATTCATTATTTATCATTATTATTTATTTGTTTATTATTCCCCTCTTGGGACCATCGCATAAAATTTCACTAATTCATGTACGGATTTAGCGGACTTTCCAAAGTTCGAATGCTGAGAAATCAAAAAACCCCCCCAGAATTCACTGCCTTTCTTGGAGGTGGAATCCTGAAGAATCATTCGATGAGATGGAAATGGGGCGGTTTCATTGGGTAGCTGCAAAAATCATGAATCAGTTGAGAGAAACTTCTTGGGAGAACTCTTCCCGAAGGCCGTTGCGCCCTCCTTTCAATAATCTAAGAATCAAACTTCGACCATTTCATTCGAGGGAAAAGAGGAACAAGAGGAAAAAGACATATTTATATTTATATTTATATTATTACATACACACATACCTACACATACATATCCATCTGGAGAAGTCTAACACCAATTGAAAGCCACGAATTCAAGGCTTCAAAATCCAACTGGTCGTAACCCTCCACTTTTTCGCCTCTCATCTCTCCTTCTCCAAGAGATCCGGCCCCTCTCTTCATCCGCTACGGTGGAATTGATTGACCTGCATAAGCTTACGGTAGAAGAGTCTACCTCTGAGGGTTATTGAACTTTTTACTGTGACCACCTTGGACTAAATCTCATTCCAAGCCCTCAACAACAACAACCACCACCACCACCACCACCACCACAACAACAATAACAACAACAACTACAACATCATCATCATCATCACACCGATCAGATTTAACTTTGTTTTGCCGACTCCCCCATTCTACGCCGCACTCTTGGTGGTCGGGAATATCTAGGGAATGTAAAGATCGCTCTTCTTGAAAGAACATCTATCTCGTTTCTTCCACAAAGAAATCGCACCACGCCTTCTCTACGTCAGAGTCACAAATCAATCAGCAGCACAACAAGATTTAAATGGCTGCCACCAGTGCCAATCGCCATAATCCAATAAATTCGGATTTTACCCTATCTCCTCGACAAGAAGAATTACTTTTCGCTGCTCTCAATTCAAATAAATCTTCAACCAAACCTTCAAACAACATGGATAAATCACTTCCACCATCAACAAATGCCGTTTCAAACACTTCTACGTCCACATTCAATGAATCTCCAATTCAAGCTCCCGGTTCAGGTACACTGAGTGGATTTGAAGAAAGCCCTTTTATCGACTACGATTATGAATTTGAAGGTGATGATAGTTTCAATTTCGACTTTGGTAATGATTCACAGGGTCAAATGATTGGAAATCTACCTGGATCGTCGTCAGATGGTGATGCTGATAATCATGAGAAGCGAAGTCATCCTGATGATGATGAGGAGGAGGAAGGTGGTGGCAAACGAAGAGAAGGTGATGATAAATCATCCAAGAAGCCTGGCAGAAAACCTCTTACATCAGAGCCCACTTCTGTGAGTATTTGTGGGGTTGCACCTATTTCTGAATAGCTTCTAATTTCTTAATTAGAAACGCAAGGCTCAAAATCGTGCCGCCCAACGCGCTTTTCGCGAACGAAAGGAGAAGCATCTGAAAGATCTCGAGACCAAGGTCGATGACTTGCAAAAGGCTTCCGAATCTGCCAATCATGAGAACAGTATTCTACGAGCGCAAATTGAACGAATGACGATGGAATTGAGGGAATACAAAAAGAGACTATCACTTAATGGTGGTATCAACCGTAGCCCAAATGGGAACCCGCCGGCTTATTTCGCAGCAAAAGGGCTTTCAAATGCATCTGCCACTCCAAATGATGTCAACTTCCAATTCGAGTTTCCAAGATTTGGTCGTCTTCCAGGTCCTCCTATCACCAACGGAAGTTCATCCATGGCACCATCCATCTCCCCAACTACACCAACTCAGAATGCTCAGAGTCCTACCGATAAGATTCAAACTAGCTCTCGCAATCATTCCAATGCTAGTAATACTTTTGGCGTCGGTGCAACCCAAACTCCAGCTCAAAATGGTGATATGACATCCTTCTCCGGTCTATTCAGCCCGGAAGTCCTGGATAGTGCATTCAAGAGTTCACCATTTGATTCCTTCGGCAGCCTCACCCACGGATCAATATCCAGTACGGGCTCTCCTCATCAATCTACCAATGGCCAAAATACTTCATATAGTTCACCATCGGCTTCTTCACAGTCCAACCATGGAACCAGCTCATCCTGTGGTACCTCTCCAGAACCTACGAACATGCAATCACCATACAATAAAGCGACTGACAGTACTTTAACAACAATTGGAGAAGAGAACTCATGTGGGAACAGCAATGCAGCACCAGGTGAGATGTCCTTTTGCGAGAAGCTCAACATGGCTTGCGGCAATCCTAACAATCCTATTCCCCGTGCATTGTCTGAATCTGGTATCAATCCAGGAAACGTAGAACCCCTCGTTTTCGATGTCAACGGAATCGATTGGTTCGCTCAACAAAACAACAATCAATTCGATCCTCAACTCTTCGGTGATTACCGCGAACCACAGAATAACATTCTCTCAAATGACCCTTATGCTCTTGATGATGCTGGCTTCTTTACAGATGCATTTGATATGCCAGATTTCAATAGTCCATTCAACGTTCCGACTCCAACAACTACAGCAAAGGATCTTGTGCAACAAATTGATGAAAAGCAAAATGAGGATAATGAGGTAGTTCCAGGAGAAGATAGGTCAACCATGCTCAATTGCAACACCATCTGGTTTGTCTCCTTATTTGTAATAAATGAAACTTATGCTAATGGTAACGATTTAGGGATCGTCTACAAAATTGTCCCAAGGTCAGAGAGGGCGAGTTTGATCTTGATAGCCTTTGCAAGGATCTTCAAAAGAAAGCCAAATGTTCCGAGACAGGTGCTGTTGTCAATGAAGCTGATTTTCAAAAAATCATGAATAGTTACGCCCCTAAAGGTTGCGATACTATGTTCCCTACAACAGCCAAGAAGGCATAAATGATCGATCGGATATACATTTGGGATGATACTTGTACTGGAACGGAATGGCGTTGCAAACACATTAAAATGACCAGAAGGTCGGATCATGGTTAAGGATATAACATTTTGCTAGGACAAAGCAATCTTTTGGCGCCTAATGATCATGATATATCTCATTGATCAGGATTGGTTTTGATTTTAATTTTCTTTCACTTGGGGAAATTCGGAATCGGAATTTGACTACTTGCTCTTTTTTAGTTCTTTTCGCTTGGTTGTTGATGGTTGGTTGGAGTGGTTTGCCTGTGCTTGATGATGAATGAATTCTATGGCTGGGTGAATGATTTTGCGTTAGCACTGAAAATGGATGAGTTTACAGTGTTTTTTTCACTTGTTCATGTTTTGGACGAAGTGAATGATCGATCTCTACTCTGCTTTAGTATTATGGGAATGGAGGCGATAGGCATGGAGGGAATTGGAATTGAACAAGAATGATGATGAAGCAATCGTCTGGCATAGTCTAGTCTGATTAATATATTATAAGAAATCATTAAATTAAGTTGAAGTAAATTATAGTGATTAATTCAAATTTGTTTATGTGATTGGTTAAATCTAATTTTCTTTTTTTAGATCATTTTTAACTTGAGTTATTTTTTATATCAAAAAATTATTATTTTTATTTATTAAATATAATAATTTATTTATATTTAATTATTTTTAATTTTATATTAAATATATCATTTTTATTTAAGTATTTTCAAATAAAATATTTTTAATAATTAAATTTTTAAATTTTTTGGTTTTAGTATAAAAGATTTTATAAATTAAAATTAATTTTTAGTTTTTTAAGTTTTTATAATTTTATTTTTTAAAATTTAAAAGATTTCGATATTGAAATTTTTAATAGATTTTATTTATTATTATATTGAAAATTATTTATTTTTAATTGTATTTTGTTTAATAAGTTTTAAAAGAATGTTTATATATAAGTATTATAGATAGTATAATTATAAAGTATAAAAACAATCTTCAAATAGATAATATATAAAAGATTATAGAGTAGTATTGAAGTGAATAGACTTGTTCTTGATTTTATTAATCAAGGGCTTTATATATATATAAGATCTAATAAACTATCTAACTGATGATAGTTTTGATAAGGAAATTGACTAGATAAATAGAGTTTTGTAAAGAGCAGTGAGATCAATATAATCATATGATATCGATCAGATATAAGGAAAAAACGAGCGAATGAGTACTATGATATTAGAGAACATTTGAGATCATATGAGAGCATGTGATTTCCGTGACAATAATTCTAGTACCCTACTTTCAGGCCACCTCTAATTTGGGCCATCCTTTTACACCAAAAATGGAGATTTCCATCTATTAATAACTTTACAACCAATAAATAGAATTTGATGAAATTTGAATCGTGGATTCATTATATAGCTATAACCCAATTCTGAAAATTTTAAGTTTTTTGGAATTAATTCCATTAAGATCTATAACCTTAGATTTTGTGATTTTGGATTTGTATAAGATTTATATACAAATTTACAAAATCTTTAAATTTTTGAATAACTTTTCATCAAAAATAAATATAAATAAATAATAAATTTTTTTCGAATATTATATCATAATCGATCAAATAGATTAATTTATTTTAAAAAATATTTTACAGAAATCCTTTTAATCAAAATATTGTGATTTTTAATCTCAGTAAAATCTAAAAATATCAATAAAGATTTCATTTATATTATTTAAAATGCAAAATATTGATTTATTATATAATATTTAATCTAAAAATTTTAAATAAATTTATAGTTTATTTTTAACAATTTTTTTTGAAGAGTTATTTAATATTTTCAAGATTTTCAATTTTGTATGTAAATTCAGTACAAATTGAAAACTGTAATTTCAACTTTCAATTTCTCAATCAATAAAATTATTAAAAACCTGAAAATTTCGGAATCTATTAATAATTATATAATAAATTTATATTTAAAATTTTAATTGATTTCGTTCATTCATTATTGAAATATTAATATCAAAAAATGATGATTTTTGGTGTAAAAAGGTGGCCCAAATTATGGGTGGCCCGAAAGTAGGGTATTAGACTTATGAGTATAAAAAGATGTGAGAATGTATATAAGATATAGATTTATTATATAGAGTTTGTTTAGAATTTTTGTATATGAGTGTCTTCTATCGAAGTTCTGAGCAGGTTGGAGATGGAAAGAGTTTGTTGAGAGGTTTTAGAGGGTATTATTATAGTTCAAACTATTAGTGCTTTTTGACCTGTTCGTTAATTTTATCTTCTTATGTATGAATACGTGTTGTGCGACATTCCCAATAATATCGTACGTCTCTGTAGCATACTGGTTCATGTGACTATGAATCTCGGAACAGTTTTGATACTGTTTGACAAATAGACTTAGCTTGTTCGCTATATTAGCTAGAAGACCGTGTCAGATATCTTTATAATATGAAATATCCTCTTAAGAAAAACGCATCCAAAAATTCCAGCTGTCTGGTAGTCAAATCTTAAAATGTTCATCTTTGTGCGTGGAAACCCTTGGAAGTCTCGAGTCACGCCATAATCGTAGAAATTTAAAATAATGTAATGGGGAAAGGCTTAAACCAGTGAGAAAGTATATTACTGGGCTTACAGTATTTTTCTTGTATTTCTAGCGGGAAGAAAACAGCATTTGAAAAGTATTTGTTTCTTACACATTCAGAAGGGCGTAAGGAAAATGGTCCGAAAATGCCATCTTCCACTCAAGCTCTTACAATCTCAAAAAGTTTTTGTTTGGTATTTTCGTGGGACTTGTCTAGAGATACACGTTTGCCTTGCCAATATAAGTAGATTATTTGAAGTTTGTGTTATTCCCTCATAAATCTGGTCAATATAACTTGACAATTGCTAAATTAGTTTTTAGAGGGCGTGATTCAAATTTTCCCTTTAAGCGAGATTCCCCTCTCCGATATGAAAGGATAAAAATCTATAAGCAGAAGATTAGATGGTATCTAATTACTTACTCGTGTAGCTCCTTCTCGGATAATTCTTCTTCCTTCTTTTAATGGACTTTCCGGAGTGGACCAATATCAAAATGAGGTATTCCTTTTAATTTGGTCACATATCTGATGGTAGGAACCAGGGGCGTCCTGAACATTCTTGAATAGGCAGGGTAAGACGGGGAAGGGGCGCATGAGGTGAGCTGCTAAAAAAGGCGTTTATTTTAACAGATCGGTTAGCGCATATTATTTTCTTATCAGATTTGAAATAGGAAGAACTGGGAAGTGTTGTATTTCTTATGAGGATTTCTAACTATGGATTCTGTGGGGTACACTAATTATGATCATCTATCTCCTTCTTTGGACATGAGAGTAGTATTAAAGAATAGCTTTTACTGCGGGAATAGATACGGAGTTTTCATGGGTAATAGAAATATAATGTAGCTAGGTTGCGATGGAAAATAATTTCACAGTTGCAGGAACGACAATGAACAAGCCATCCGCAATTATTCTCATAATGACTTCTTCGAAATGCTTTTGGTTAAATCTTACATATTATAACTATTATGTTGCCTGTAGTGGTTAAAACTAGAGCGTGCCATCTACTTCTTTATTCTTCTGTGAGTAGAAATTCTAGATTTTTTTTAGATAGAAAAATAACATACTAATTCCTCCTGTGCTATGGTTTCTGTGATCGACTTATCGTATTATTCGACACTTTTTGAAATCTTCCGAAGTAACCGTGACAGCACTCACCTTCCTCTTCAGCCAAGTCGTTAGAGTAAAGTGTGTTTGGGATTCAAAGATGTACTATTAGCGTATCAACTGATCAACATGAGCTCAGATTGATCGTCTAATAGTCAAGATCGCAGTGCAACAATCAGAGATTTTCGAATAACAAAATCATTTCAAACTCTGAATCATTCATATATTGAAATTGGCTGGATCGTGATTTATCGGAATTATCAGAACATTCTCGAGGAATTGAAACTTAAAAAGTCTCAAGTAGACTGCACTTATGACTATTCAACACCAAGACACTAGATACCCCCAAAGATTTGCAAACTAGTTGAAAGACTATAGTATAAATGGCTGACTAAAATATGAGTCAAGATCTCTTCTGATATTTTCATTTGAACTATACTAACCCTTACTAATTCTTAGTCGGGACAACGGCTTCAAGCTGTGTAGTATAAAGGAGGAGACATTTCCCTGTTGAAGGATTTCAATTTCTTCTTCATTTACTCGACAACCTTCTACTTTGACCTTCGACAATTCGACCTTCAATTCCTTCTCCTTCATTTACTCGACAACAAACTTATACTTTAATTTTCAACAATTCGACAACTCCCATACGCTTTATCGGCAGTCCGACCTCCTTGGAGTGTGACTATAAATAATGGGAGCCCACTACCTGGCTTTCGCCGCCAGGGAACCAGGCAGATATCTCAACAACTTCAGCAGCCTCGACAACTTCGACATCACCCCAGTACTTTATCGCCAGTACTTTCCATCAGAAAATTTTCGACATTTATCCGGCCATACCATTTTATATAAGTATCCCCACTCCACTAATCACTAATTCGTCTATAGGTAGGCTAGCCTTGATCACACGTCCACGTCGTGCTAGCTTGGAACCCTCAAATGAGGAGCTAAGTGATCTATCTCTGAACTAAGTAAGTCCACCCCAATATGCATCCACCTCACCTTCCTTACGGGAGATCACTTCAAGAATTAGACTTTTGGGTGTGATTCTTGGTGTAATTGGGAGAAGTTAACAAAAGCCCAACCTGGGAAACCAGATCACTCAAAGCATCTTGCAAGTGCAAGTTTGATCTTTGGGTAATACCGGAGAAGCGGAAGAAAGCCAGTAAAAAGCTACCCTTTGGTTTGTTTTGATAGAGATTAGTTCCTAAAAAAATCACATTAATTCCCCATGCCCCGCTGACCTGTTATCTTACTCTTTAATACGCTATCTGATTTTAGACTCAGCTCTAAGATCGAGTCGCTCCTGCCAAGTCGATGGAAGTGAATGGAAACATGACCTCAGAGTTAAAATGCTTTCCTTGGTTGATGTAGTTGTTATCAACCCTTAAGCCGTAGCTCATTATAGTAGTTAAATTAAGCTAGTTTACAATACAAACACAATTTCTGCCATGCACTTATTATTTTCTGATTGTATTTGCCGCGTACCACGACGTCTACTTTAGTCTTCTCAACTCCGCCTTTCAGCAGCTCTACCTACTTCTCGCCTGTACCGCCCCTGGAGTACACCTTGACCGTTTTTCGCTATTTGTCTTCGATAAGTGATCTACAATTCCATGATCAGTTTTGTGGAGTCGGGGCTCGATCCCAGGCTTGTCTCTAGTACTTTGCTTGGGAATATTTGGATTAGATTGGAATTCTTTGCTTTAGGCGTTGAGTATGAGAATACAGAAGGGCGGAACTTTCAATTGAAGGATTGTTTAGCAACTCACATAGAGTCCAGAAATTTAGGTTAGATTGTGAGGTAAAAATAACTTCAGCTGAAAAATTCAGATTGCTCAATGCACAGCTCAATGCAGACGTAATTCTTCGGTTGCATGCTTACTTTCGTCCCGGGTTTATTAGTGGGAGTAGCATATTGCAACTGCTATGAAGTCTCTCTGTGAAATTTTCGATCTTCTCATTCATTTGAAGGTTTCTAAAAGATGATTTTGGGAGGATAAAGTCAAATTAGTTCGTCTTATATGGTAGGAGTCGGACTCGCATGAAGAAAGCCACGAAATGTACTTGGCCTTCGTTGTTGTTTGTCTATACTTAAAATTAAGTATTCAATACAATACACACAAAGAATCTTTTCTAATACCGTCGTTGCCTTCCTATCTTCTTAACGGACCTTCCCACATCCAGATTTCGTAATGCGGTAGTGAACATCGAGGTAGTCACGTGATATTATACTCCCTCGTTCCTCCCCTATAAATGTCTTCCGCGTTCCATTACCTAGTTCCACCACCATAATGTATGGAGACCTTCGGACCATCCTCGTACTATCTTTCTAATTGTTTCGTCCAACTTAACTCTATCTTGGCAGACAAGTTTCTATTTAGACATGTCTCTATCTATCTCCCATGTTCCGGCTTGTCACTCTGGCTAATTGGCAACCTGACTCTGGTCTAGTTATATCCGGTTTATTCTCTGGTGTCAAAATTACATGCTCTCTACTTTTACTGTAGCTATGGCTTCAGTGCAATACTTTAATTCAATCAAATTAATAAAGGGTCTAATAAATAGCGTCTTTTCAGTTTTGAAGATTCCAATTCTCGGCTCGGAAAAGGGGGTTCCAAGACCTAGTTTATCACGTGTTCTACTTGGAGATGGGGAGCGGGGAAAGGTGTCAACATGGATCTAGGTCTAAATATAGTGAATTTATTGAGGTTCCATTCGGAATTTGAAGCGTAGAATAGGAAGGAAGCTCATAAGTATGCCGGGAAGGAACCAAGGTACAAGGGGGAGGGGTTAAAGATGACGGTGTCAACACGGGCCACATTCATCACGAAAGTCAAGAAGGTACACTAAGTATCGTGATATGTTACCGACTTGGGTGAAAAGTACAATTTCTTGATTCCATCCGATATCGGCTTTTCGAATTCATGAGCCTAGTTTTACTTAAAATTTTGATCACAAACCATTATCAGGGGCTAAAGGCAAATAGCCGAGATTTGAAAACATCATGAATTGAGACATGTCTATACTGGAATGGTAAGAGCATTGTCTGCCGTGATTAACTAGTCATGACCAATAGCCAGAGCTTGCACTTTTGAGCTGTGAAACCAAATTTGTTGAGCACATGATGTATAGAAAATTTAGATGATTTCGGAACTAGGACACCAATAGTCTAAGATGATCTAAAGCGTAATGGGAAAGCGGGACTGCATGCTAATTCTACCGAAATGATTTTACGACAAGTTTTCCCAATCCATATCTATTCCATGACAGATGAATTTTAACTATTCCTGTCTAGATAACTAACAGGAAACTATGTTCATAGATGAGTATACATGGGAGAGCTGTGATCATTTGTCAGCTCTAGCTATTTGAAAAATTTATTGCCTGACTGCAACCCCACGCCAGACACCCGTAGGGCAAAGCTTAGTTTTCCTCCATGTTAAAGTTCCAACAAGTCACGGTTATGCATCTCCAATCCTGCAGTAACACCACGGAAGCCATTGTACTTTTGGATTCCAGGGACTAGCCTGGTCGAAAGTGAAAAACTTGTATGTATGAAAATATACTTAAATTAATACAAGTTGGCAATGACCATTCCAAAGCTAGCAGGTAGCATGTGCTTAGTTAGTGTATCGACATTAGATTGCGAACGACAAAACCAAAGCTACCTACTGACAGTCTAATGCAAAAATTTGATCCCTAATTTAGCCAGGTTTCCGCAAGAAACTTTAAAAATTCAACCCTCCGGAAGAAGGAGTCACCGGATGTTTCATTTGACTCATTCAACTTATGATAACGCGAGATATTTCACACTATGGATTTTTAGTATGAGTGATTTACCTTAACATTTAGAGTTCTTCTAATCATACTCCACTGATTTTTCCCGTGTTTTATGCAGGGACTTCTTTATTCCATCAAATAATAATAGTAAGAGGCTTGGATCATTTAGAGCTTCGTTATTTACTGGTATTGGCTTGCAGTCGGTGTGACTATTTTAGTATTTCTTCTTACTATGGACCATTCAAATACTAACTGCACTAAGCGTTGATATGAGTAGTTTAAAGTAACTTGATAACATTGCCACTCTGCACGAAATCTTTAAAAGCTATGGTTTTCCCCTGGAATTTCAATTTCTTTTCTTCCTCATCAGCTTCAAGTTTCATAATTAAATTTTCACATTTAACAGTGTCTTATCTATTAGTATCTGAAAATACTTACTTAATATATATTTTGAACCTTATTTACCCTTTTACCATTTATTATGGCCCCCTCACGACGTCGCCTCGACCGTTCTTCGGTTTTCGAGGATAATATTAACACGACCTCTAACTCAACCTCCTCCTCCTATTATACGCGGAGTCTTACGGCAGACGACGTTACCTTAGGTAGTATCGCCACCCTTGCCAGAATTCCTGTCGATCAGGCAACCCCTAAAGTACGTTGTCTAAAGACAAACAAATTAATGAACTCTGGCGCGTTCAATCATCCAGTTGTTATTCTCTGTATATCTCAAGATGGCGACAAAGAGGTTTCCGCTCTTTGTTGCCAGATATCTGGGAATAGCAATCCTTTTGCGTCAGAGGCATCAAGCTTTCTACCGATTTCGACTGTTAGTTTAGGTGGTCAATACTCGCGTGTACCAGTCGTCAGGAACGAGGCGGTACTTGAGGATAAAGCGATGTTCAAAAGATGTTACATCTTGACCGGACATGGTAAGCCCATCTTTGTAATTTTTACTTGTATCCTGTTCCATTATCTTCAATCACTGGCAATGCCGTGCTCGCAAGCCTTTTGAATTGACTGATATATGTACAATCCACTAACTAGCTCTGTACGACCCAATCTAGGCTCTTCGCCTCCGTGTACTCAGCTTTTTATTCAACATATAATGAAACTCAATTTCACATTGTACGTTGATAGGATTTGCAAAAACATGTGGACCAATCCTCAATCTCACACACCTAGAAATATGCTAATACCATCTCCAGTTTACAACATTCCGCTCTCCCTCCTTTCGAAATGGGGACCTCAGAAATCAAGCTTCTCAACACGTCTGTGCTCCACCTCTTTCAATATCTTATTGAAGTCGCTAGGGCTTCATAAGTGGGAGTATAGACAGAAGTTTATTTCCACCCCATCTCTTTTTGCTGGCGAACGAACTGAGATTTTGAAGGTAGACATTACTAGATGTTTATCTAAGAAATTCTCACCGTGGGCATAAAGAGTAGTTTGGTCGCGAGAAGGTGTAACGAACTCGCATTTATTCTTCTCCGCTTTCCGGATATTACCAGCCGTGATCTTATATTTGACCCAGTGGCTCTGGGCACCGTCCTTTTGTGGTCATACAGAAGTGATATCGTAGGGAATTTAGACTTGTGCTTTATCTCTAAGAGGTTATGCATTTTTTCTCTCCTCTTCTTATATCTCTGCTTTTTTAAGTGCTTTTTGTTTGAGTTGGACACCTGTCCGACCCATTCAATTTAAACTTGAACTTTCGGAGGTTTATCACTATCACCTTCGTATTTATATCACCATATCGGACAACTACATCGTCACAAAGCCTTCGTCATACATAGTCACAAACATCATCAACACACACATCAGACAACCTTCACATAAACCTTATATCCATAGTCACCTGAACGCAGATCCTCAAATAATCTGGACTACAACCCAACAAGGAAAGATTCTCATTCCTGGACCTAATTGGACATTCAAAAATTTGAATAATCAAATCAATATCAAATCTTGATTGTTTCAAACATTGAAAGTTCATATATAATCTATGATTTTGGGTCATTGAAGGTTGCAACAACCCTCACAACATTTAGGCACACATTATCCACCTGTTCAACCACAGATTCTCGGTACCAAAAGGATTTTTATCCTTGAAGTATCATCATACTTTGATGAAAAATTTCTTACTACCAAATAGCAACTTTTCATCGCCGATGGAGGAGGGATATGAAGTCAATCACTATCACTATTATATCACCATCTACACTGTCACAGAAACTCGACTTTATACGTACACATTCAAATCCACATCAACATGGTCTCTCATCAGCTTCACCATACAAATTCAGCCACATCATATTCATCACCCATGTCACCATATCGTCTACCATCGTCATCTTCTCTTAATTACAACATCAGCTCCATCATAAGATCACCATAAACTCTTACAACATCATCTACATCTACATCCACATCGTTATACCACAGCTATTCAACTTTTGTTCATCACATCCATCACAATATACCATCGCCTAAACAATAACGAAGAAGTTAAGATATCCAAGCTCGTATCCAAACTCCACGAGATAACAATATCACAATATCACGATCCCACGATAACAAAAAGCTGAAGAGTAATAACATCCCGCAAGATGTATGAGGAACTGAGAAGAGGAAGTAATTTCTCTTGGTATTATTCACTCAAACTTTGATTCATACAGACAACCTATCACAATAGTTTACTCTTGGATTAATAGTCGTTTAGATCTAAATGGGTAGATCTTAAGTGTACGGATTTCGGAGTATTAGCTGGATTAACTATATATATATTTGATCATTGTTTGTGGGAGGATTTTCTTTTTTCTTATGAAGGTTTGGATGGATGGTTATTGGTGATTTTCGGGAAAGGAGATTTGTGGGGGGATTGGATTGAAGGATAAGAGGAGGAAAAGAGGAAAAGAGGAGGAAAGGAGGAAAGGAGGAAACAATCCAAGCGCGAGCATTTCCCACCTTTTGTTTTATTTTATATTATTTGTTTTTCGATACCCTTTTTATAATACTCATTTATGTATTAGTACTCTAGTCTGTTTCATTTTTATATAAGTCTAGTATTTTACTTTTGGATCATCTTTTAATTCAGATCATTCTTTTATATCAAAAATCATTATATTCACTCATTAATAATTTTATAATAAATAAATAAAATCATTTTAAATTTGAATCATACATTCTTTATACCAGGGGCCTGCGCCCCCCGGACCCCTGGCTTTTCGAGAAAGTCTAATGAAAATTTAAGTTTTAAAAAATTTATAAAAAATTTAAATATTGAATATATATCAGGGTGCAGGCAGAATATCGGCTTGTTTTGATAATTGAAAATTAATTTTCTTTTAAAAATAATAATTATAATAATTGTAATAATAATAATAATGTTTTATATTATTTATAATTATAATAATTATAATATTTATAATATTTTTAATAATAATATTTATTATATTTATTATATTTATTATTTTTGTCACGGACCTTGTATAAAGGACGATCACGTGATTTCAATTGATCGACAATTCCTATCGGTGAGTTGGTGGGCTGTGCACTTGAGTTTCGATTTACCCTTTGTAGTATGGGATTATAGTCACCTTAACAACCGATGTGCACAACCATGCAGCTACCATATAGGTATTTTGTATATATATATATAGATGCTCTCTACAAGTTATAGTTCTTCAATTGGAGATTCTAAGGAATATAATTGACTCTGTTTATTCAGCTCTTATAAGACTTTTGTATATTACAATTTTTATATTATTATTATTATTATTATTATTATTATTATTATTATTATTATTATTATTATTATTATTATTATTATTATTATTATTATTATTATTATTATTATTATTATTATTATTATTATTATTATTATTATTATTATTATTACAAGTTGAATGAGATGAATTGAATAAATAAAGTTAAATTGAATAAATAAAATTAAATGATTTCAATAGATTTAAAAAAAGTTCCAAGTCAGATTTGTCTGAGATTGTAAGGTTTATATTAAGCTTTTTGTTAGATTTATTTACCGGGTTATTTTAGACCAATCAGATTTTCAGGACCGCGACTCACTTAAACAAGTTTCTTGTTTTCCATCACTCATCGAATAAACCTTACATACAACAAGATTATAATATCGACAAGCTGACAATAATTTTATAAATCGAGATATAAATAATTGAAACTTTGACTTTCAATTTATATAAAATTTATATATAAATTTGAAAATTATTAAAACTGAAAATAAATTTTCAATAGAAATTATTGAAAATAAATTATAAATATAATTTTGTTTCCTTTCGAAATCTCTACATTAAATAAATATATAATAAATTAAGATTTCAAATTTTAAATTATAAAAAAAACTTTGATTTATATTTTTAGATTTTACAAGAATGAAAAATTATAATATTTTAATTAAAAGAATTTTTATAATATAAATATTTCAAAAAGACTTATAATTTATTTTTAATTTTTTATTATTAAAAAGTTATTTAAGATTTTGAAGATTTTTCAAATTTATAAATAGATCTTATACAAATTAAAAATCAATTATAAAAAATCTAAAATTTTCAAAGTTTATTTATAATTATATTGTAATATATCATTTATAGAGAAAACGGGGTTCACAATGGTTTTGAGGTTGATATTATATAGGTTCAAATGTATATATATAAAAGGTTGAAAATTATAGAAAGAAAAGACAAAAAGTTCTTCTTTTATATCTAATTACAAGAGGTCATGTGATTGACTAGTTAAAAACCTCTATGTATTTGGTCTATAATTCCAACTTTCTCACAATAAAAGATCAATAGAATCATTAATTATTAATTCTGTTCAAGCATTGATTAGGGAATAGATCTAATGCCTGGTATTTGTTTGCCCTATTGACACTTCCCATTAATACATATAGTAGTCAGCCAGTTACTCCAGCGAGTCAAAGCCGCGATACTCTTTCCCTGACTTAATAAGTATGAATAAAGATTTTTCTAATGACGCTGTAGATATCTTTACTCAAACCTGAAGATGGTATAACAACACTTTATAATTCTATCCAATCGTAAAAGTATGTATTAAAATGATCTGATTTTTAGTGAACCATGAACAACTCCTTCATCCTTATTACTGATCACGTGACAAGTCACGCTTCATTCTCGCTCCCAAATCTCCTCGATGGGGGGAAAGAAAACGTGGAAAGGGATTGATTGGTCTTAGGGAAAACTAAAGATGGCGAATGATCAATCTCACGCACGATGAAAGTACTGCGATCAAATGGTGGCTGTGTTTTCAAGCGAATCATTATCAAAAGAAAAAGGAAAAGGATCCTACAGGAGAACTTGCGAACGCCTCTTTTGCTTCTAGAACATTAGGAACCCTTTCCCCACTTTCTTGAATCAGCCAACAGGAACTCATTCTGATGCAGCCTCAAATTTTTGAAATGGTAAATTCGGGCGTGATATGAAGCAAAAGAAAGAGAAATACGAGGTTGTATTTGATAAAGTAAATCATATCATACAACATGGAAGGAATAAATGAAGGAATATCGTCATAGCAGGTAAGATTTTTAACGATGCCATAGAATCATATGGCCGGACTTTCATTGTCGGCTTCGTCTGTTGTAAGAGGGAAGAAGATGGTCTACTTGTCAGCAGAAGATGCCGAGATTCGCGGCAAAAAGGTCCGAGAAGGGTACTCTCAAGCATATGAAATGTGATGGTAGAACCTGTTTGCCTGATATTTCTTTCTTGTGCTTTCCGTGTTTCTTGCATTAGCAGACTTGAGACAGGAATACCAAAGTGGTGTTTCTGGAAATAAATATGGGGCAGCTCGTGAAGGGGTTGGCTTGAGGTTGGTAATACGGAGTAGAAAGGAGCCAGAGAAGGTTGGAGAGATGTGCAATGATATCATATGCTTTCATGGAGACCGGGAGAAGAAAGATGAGGGAGGGTACTTTCTGATCTGATAAGCCGATTTGGATTAAATATCTACGTACGGAGTAGATAATCGTTGCTTCATACAAATGAATTGGTAAGAAATGGAGATGTTGGAGATATGGGGTGCGTAAAAATGAAATTGTGTTGCGTGGGTGGAAAAGCTTGATGGGAATTGACCAATTAAAGAAAAGGAGCGACGGGGGAGTTTACACTGGTACATACGGAGCACAACGCGTACATATAATGAATTTTGTGTCTCGTTGGATGTAACTATGATGGAAATTCCCTTTGGATTTCTTATTTCCCACAGGACTCTGCACTCCGTGGATGCGTACCGTCTTGTGTAATAAGCATTTGAATTGAAACATGAAGCTGGAGATAAAAGATAAAAGAATGAAAGAAGACCTTGTACCAGGGATAGGCCGCGTTGATGCTTGGCCGTCGAAACACCCAAGAGGCAAAATGACCGGGTGGTTTATCAAGATTTATTATGTGGAGAGTCAGGCAGTTAAGTTCTGTCTGGAGATGAAGAGCAGGGCGGATAAATGATTTTAGTAGCCGGGGATCTTTTATGAAGGTACAAGGAAGAAGGAAGAAGAGATGGATGTAAGAACTTCGCTTTCTATCTTTTGCATTGATGGTACTGTAGTTCCACGATGCATTGCTGACGTGCAAAATAAAACAGACGATGGATGTGTATATTCACCGATCGTCAGCTAGACCACTGAGGATGATATTGAAGATATGATATTGAAGATATGATATTGAAGATATGATATTGAAGATATGATATTGAAGATATGATATCGAAGTGGTGCCGTGAGAATGCAAGACTCTTTCTTACCGTGGCTCTTCCCTCTTGGTCCAACAAACCCCAGCCTCCAACTAAACCTAATTGATGTGCTTACCGATGCTAGAGGATTTAAAAGTCCCAAAATTGAACCATATCTTCCCTAAATGGCTGGAGATACTGTTCAGCGTCTTGAAGGAGGCAAGTTGACGGGAGGGAGTTTCTTATTTGAAAAGTATCATGGTTACGATAGGAAGGCTGTGAATGTGAAGCTAAGTCGTAGCAAGTCCTACATTCTACGGCTTGTCTCGGTTGACACTTTTATCTCACGACGAAGAGTAAGTAAGGAGTAAGGACCAAGGACCTAATAATAAATAAGAACCTTTTCATGGTGGAGTGTGAGATACCCAAATATATCAAATACGAACATTGCCTCGTTCCATGTAAGTGATTACTCTCACAATTAAATCATCAAAAATATCCACAAAGCGATCCGTATGAAAATAAACACAAATCTCTATCTATCTAACCAGAAAGTGACTTTCTATAACCAAGCTAATCTACCTCGTACATCTTAGCCGCGCCGCTCTCCAGAACTCAATCACTCCGACTCACTCAGCATACAAAAGATTGGAAATCCAATCTGGGCACGGTCCATCCTAGCGGACGACAACCACCGATTCATTCTTCCTGAACCTACCTGGTATCTACTCTACTACACATTATCTCCTGTTTTGGAGTTTCCCATCCTCAATTCTATAATCCTTCATTCAACATCGACATTATACGTTCGAGTTGCAGCTCTTCTTAAAGCTGTGAATCTCGACATCAATGACGCAGTTATTTCACTCTTCATCCCCGAATTCTCTTCCTTCCAATAACGAGAAGCGGAATTTGTCCGGTTCCTCGATGTCGTCGAATAAGCATTCCAATGGCCATAGTCCATTTCCTCAGAAGTTGAAGAACTTCTTTCGAATAAACAGTTCAGCAAATCATAGTGAGAAGAATGATCCATCAATAAAATCAGAGAGCAAATCATCCTTTCGACAATCCAAATTCTTCCCTGGTGGTGGCCGAAATCGATCAACTACTATAGCAAGTGAAGGCAATCCATTAGATGACACCCTCAGTCCAACTGCACATGCGAATCCGTACTTTGCCCATCAAGGTCCTCCTGCACTTCGACATCATGATGATGGGTCGATACCCCCAAGCCCTCCCGATACCCCAAGTTTCAAAGTCGATACTGTTCAAGGTGTGAATGATCAAGCGACCGCAGCTGGCAAGGAAGAATTGGCACGAAAATTAAGAAGAGTCGCCAGTGCTCCTAATGCACAAGGCTTGTTTTCAAACAAAGGTGATGCTGATCGTCCAGCTACTGCCGAGCTTGGAAAGGAACCTCTAGTACATAATGCCAGCACTACGATGTTGAGTATGGTTGATGGTCAGGATGGAGAAGATGCTCTTGGCCCAGCCGTCGAAGACGACTTGGCACCCTTACAACCGCCGAGTCTGCGAAACAATCCAGCCTTTAGGAGGACGTACAGCTCAAATTCCATAAAAGTACGCGATGTTGAAGTTGGACCGGGGAGTTTTGACAAGATTAAGTTGATTGGAAAGGGAGATGTTGGCAAGGTATACTTGGTGAGAGAGAAGAAGAGCAGCAGGCTGTATGCGATGAAAGGTACGCAATATCACGATAACGCATTGTGTACTGGCTAATTTGTGTTTAGTGTTGAGCAAACAAGAGATGATCAAGCGAAACAAGATCAAGAGAGCATTAGCGGAACAGGAAATCTTGGCTACGAGCAATCATCCATTTATTGTCACTTTATATCACTCCTTTCAATCCGAGGACCATCTATATCTATGCATGGAATATTGCAGTGGTGGAGAATTCTTTAGAGCTTTACAAACCCGACCAGGCAAATGTATACCAGAAGATGACGCCAGATTCTATGCAGCAGAGGTTACTGCCGCATTGGAGTATTTACATTTGATGGGATTCATCTATCGAGATTTGAAACCTGAAAGTAAGTTGTTTCTTTTCAAATATCAGGCGTGCAGTGTTAACGAGTCTAGATATCTTACTTCATCAATCCGGTCATATCATGTTGTCGGACTTTGATCTTTCGAAACAATCCGCCCCTGGTGGAAAACCAACAATGATTCTTGGCCGAAACGGCACGAACGTAAACTCACTACCAACGATCGATACAAAGTCATGTATCGCAAATTTTCGAACAAATTCTTTCGTTGGAACTGAAGAGTACATTGCGCCAGAAGTCATCAAGGGATGTGGACATACAAGTGCAGTTGATTGGTGGACGTTAGGAATCTTGATTTATGAGATGTTGTTTGGTACAACACCTTTCAAAGGAAAGAATCGTAATGCTACATTTGCGAATATTCTAAGGGATGATGTTCCTTTCCCAGAACATTCAGGGTCTCCTCAAGTTTCAAAGTCGGTTACACTAACATGATGATTTTTCTAAATGCTGACATCTTCTAGCCTTTGTAAGTCGGTAATCAGAAAACTTCTAATCAAAGACGAAAATCGACGATTGGGGGCTCGAGCAGGAGCTTCTGACGTCAAAACTCATCCCTTCTTCCGCACAACCCAATGGGCGCTCATTAGACATATGAAACCCCCGATGATTCCCCACCAAGGTCGCGGTATTGACACGGTCAATTTCAGAAATGTCAAAGAAAGCGAAAGTGTTGATATTAGTGGAGCAAGACCTTTGACATCAGCTAAAGGAGTGCCACTTGATTCTGGCCTGTCAACACCTGGTGCAGCTGAACTCGAGGTCGATCCATTTGAAGAATTTAATAGCGTCACACTGCATCATGATGGTGATGACCATCATCAACACGAAGATCAACATAATGGAAGATATGATGGAAGGTGATTATTGGATCTGGAGTTTGCCATGCCGGAGGAAAATGTTGATCGTCTATACTATATGATGGATTTTTAGAGCAGTCGCTTGGATGATTGATAGCACCAAAAACCTCTCGCGAGCATATTTTAATAAGCTATTTCTTTGAATGGGAGAACCGGATAATGCCAATACATGGCATGCGTTTTGATATTCGGTGGGAAGACGAGTGTTTTCAAGAAAAGACACTATACGAGATTAACACTACACAAATTTTACCTGTTTCTCTTTGTAAATACTGAATTTGGGAGATGGGAGCCGAAAGAACAGGGATAAGGAATTGGAATTTGGAACTTCCGAGGCAAAGGGAAAAAGAATTTAGGAATTTGTGTTTTCTTTTCATTTTTTTTTCTTCTGAATTTTCGGTCCGTTGTTTGGACTGTGTTTATTAGCAAAGATTGGGATTCATTGTGGGATATGGTGCGTACGGGGCAAGAGATTGGCGTACTGCTATTGTTTTTATTTTGATGGCTACTACTATGATTGGGAGATGAAGATGGTGATGGTTGATGGGTGATGGGTACGGGGGAGAAGGTAGAGGGTAGTGTGTGAGGTAGGCATTCGGCGAGGAGGATGGATTGGATTGGATTGGATTGGGTTGGGTGATGAATTGATTGATAGGTTGATAGAAATTCTACATCTTGTGCTATGAAGGGGCTGGTTCGTTAGGCAAACGTGCATCTGATAAGTGAGAGAGCTAGGTCCCAAAAATTGTGACGCTAAGCCTTGTCGCATTTCATCACGTGTTTGGCATTTCAACACTCGAAGAGGAAGGTGCGAGTTCGTTCCCTATCCCGTTCGTCGCTGAGTGGACAAGCAATCGCGTCACGGATTCTCTTTCGCGTATTCACATGGAGTTTGAAAATTTACACGACTTCTTATTTGTTTCTACTTTGTTCATTGTCAAGCTGGAATATTTAGCTGGCGGTGGGTGAATAAAGTCACGATTGGTTTGTTTAGGTTTGGTTATATTCGGGGGGTTTGGTTTGGTTTGGTTTGGTTTGGAGTGATGGAGACCTTTCGATACGTTTCCCAATACCTCATCCAGCCAACCGCATAAACTAATTCTTCAGCTCACCATCCAGTGGCATCCAATATCCATTCAAATCAAAGAAAACAAAACGATTGGACATTACCGTCGAGAGGTCCCCGCACCCCGACCCCCAACTCCACCACATCACATCACATTTTTCAGTCCCAACTGAACCCAGTCCTCTCTACAGATCCAAATCCACCAAAATTCAAAACTACTCGAACCACTTGTCACATTTCAAGTTGGGGAGCTTGTGAAGACTTACTAGATCACTTCACCAGGAGTCTTGTTAGGTTTATCTTTTTTTTTTCCTTTACCTCAAGTTTCATCTTGGAGCAACAATTTTAATCCCCTACTTTTGTTGTTTGCTAAGTGTCTATCATTGCACTCAGGTGAATCGGTAGTTAGTTATTATGTCTATCGTCGAGCGATTCAAACGAGTTATCTGCTCAATCAATGCTTGCTTTTGTGCTCATTCTGATCCCCTCGATACATCGAGCCCTAGACTTGTATCTATCGAGAAAAATAGCGGATTTTTGAAACGGAGCGATAATGAAGCAGCTGGCAAAAGTGCACCAAAATCTGGGCACGATGATCTGGCTTCTTCAATAACAGAGCCTTCAACTACCATCTCAGAACAATCCCACGTCTCACGGAAAAGTGACTTCTGGCTACAAGCTTCAGAAAAGCTGCGGACTAAGGATCCGAAACTGGTAAGCAATGACATTGTCCTCGTCCGAATCTACTTCGTTTCGAATATCACTTTCGTCCAACTAACTTCGCTACATTTAGTTTGAACGCTACTCACTTATAATATGCCGTGAAGAGGCCAAGAGCGACGATATTGACTTGAACAAGGCTCCGAAAATCTTAGCGGACACGGCGACGCTTCTAGAAGTCTGCAAGACCAGTCTAGAATCCATGAATTCCACAAGTAGCAGGGCGGGCAGGGTTCTTGGGGAGACAGTCAGGATCGTGGGATTAGCTAAAGATTTCGTGGGATCTGCCGTCAGTACAGAACCACATGCGGCCATTGCTTGGGCAGGTGTTTGTCTTTTCCTTCCGGTATGTTGTGTCATAATCCACGCCTGATTTTCAGATTCTTTTGTTCTCCCTTTCATAATCTTCAAAGCTTATATAGAGTCTGCTAACAAGAATTGAGCTCCTTCTCAATCCTTCCCAGCAAGACAATGCTCGTCGTAAAGGTCTCGAAGAATTACCTTTCCTCATACAAAAGTATAGCCTCGTCGAGAGAATTTGCACAAGTAAAATTTCAAATCCGAAGTTGGCGAGCACACAACATACATTATCAAACGCAATCGTTGAACTTTATACCCAAATACTCATTTTCCAGGCTGAAGCTATTTGTCAATCAGATATGTCGAAGGTCAAAGGTTATTTCCGGAAAGTTTTCCAAGTAGATGATTGGGAAAATATGCACCGCGATATCTTAAGAATAGAAGGCCGATGCTGGGGTTTAGCTCAAGCTATCGACGGCGATTGTTGTAGTAAGCTATTAGAGGACTTCGATATCAAATTGGCAGAGTTATACAACACGGGGTGAGTTTTTGTAGCCACCGTCAGAGAATTTGGATGCGCTGACGGATATTTAGTTACGAGTTCCTTAAAGTCTCAAAGCAAACCTATGAGGCTATTGCCAATCTTGCACAAGAATCGGAACAACGCGAAAGAACCATAGAAGAAATGGAATGTTTGCAAGCCTTTCGTTCGGGAAAACCTATATGAGGAACAAAAGAATATTAATCCTGATCGAGTACTTGGCACATGCAATTGGCTATTGAAAGATTCAACTTTCATTGATTGGCAACAAGGGCGAGGACCGGGTTTACTCTGGATTTCTGCAGATCCAGGATGCGGAAAATCAGTCTTGTCCAAAGCCTTTGTTAATGATAGACTGGTGGCAGTGACCCAGAGTACTGTTATTTGTTATTTTTTCTTCAAGGATGTCTCTGTATATCAACGGAGTCCGACCAAGGCCATTGCAGCATTACTCCATCAAATATTTTCATCTAAGACCACCGAGCATCTCTTAAAGCATGCTATGGAGGTCTGGAAAAATAACGGCAGAGAGCTCTGCAATATAGCTGACAGCATGTGGGCTATTCTTGGAGCTATTGCTGCCGATCCAACTGCGGGAGATATTGTTTGTGTCATCGATGCTCTGGACGAATGCGACGATGTACTTCGGAATTACTTCGTTAGAAAATTGACTAGACTAGTGTCTGGGAAGACGCAGTGCCATGTTAGATTTGTAGTTACGAGTCGGCCCTACCACGAAATACAAGATATATTTGGGGAGCTTCAAATTGACTCCAAGTCATCTTTCCTCCGAATTTTAGGCGAAGAAGAATCTGAGGCTATATCAAATGATATAGAGATGGTCATAGAACACAAAGTTTTTAGACTATCCAAATTGAATGATAGTGCTAAGCAATCTCTTATCAGCCGGCTACGAAAAATGGAGAATAAAACCTATTTGTGGCTCTACCTAATTTGGGGAACCATCGCAACTGAAGCAAGTATCACTGGTCGTCAGGAAAATCTCTTTAAAGTTCTTGACAAACTACCTGACAGTGTGGGAGACGCGTAAGTTTCATACACGGCCTCACGTTGTAGATATCATGGTAGCTAATCTCATCCTAGATATGAGGCGATACTGAATAAAAGTCCTGATAGGTCAAGGACCGAGAAACTACTCCATATCGTTGTCGGAGCAGAGCGCCCTCTAACTACCGAGGAAATAAATGTCGTGATGCACATCAACGTGGATTATACTGGAACACAAGCATTTAGGCATATTCCGCTGGAGGACGCTGATGCGTACCCTGCAATTCTCCGTAGTCTTTGCGGACTCTTCATACGCATCGAGGGGGGAAAAGTGTATCTCATACATCAGACAGCCAAAGAATTTCTGGTCGAAACACAGTCCGAAAAGAGAAAAGAAAATTTTTGGAAGCACTGTCTGCAACCAGGTACATCTCACAGAATTCTAGCTGAAGCATGCATTTCCTATCTATTTCTTGACGATTTCGACAATGATGTTAATAAGAGCTATTGGTTTATGATATGTCTGGAGTCAATTAGAGCCAACAGATTAGGCTGTTTTTTAGATTATTCTGCATCTTTATGGACTGTGCACTACCAATGTGCAGCGCCTTTCGTCGTTCCTGCCGCCGTTGTCGACTTTTGTTCACCCTCGAACCGCCGCAGTTTTTGGCTCCACATGAATACGATTCAGCCAGACATTGATGATACTGCCAATACCTTGAAATTACTCTTATCGAAAATGGAGACGCTACCTTGTGAGTTTGTAAAAACCCACTTAGCCGAATACGCGAGTCTTTCGTCCGATAAGGTTGAGATTGTGGGGCTAATATTGAATCATCCTCGTCACCCTGGGCCCATACTTGATGGAAAGCAGTCGCCAGTAGTATTCGCAGCATTAAATGCCAACATGAAATGCATGGAACTTTTAATGAATGAGCCTCATGACATTAACAAGTGCAAGGCAGTAGTCACTAACTGGGATAAAATTGATAAGGCGAGGAGGTTTGCGGTAGAACAGAGGAGGCTTGCGGTAAAACAGGAGACGTTTACGCTAAGGAATGGGATGCTGAGCGTTGATAGGTTGCGGGCTGAAGACTCAAACTCAGATTCAGATTCAGATTTAAACGAAAACGAAAACGAGTTCTCACACCTCATAGACGTTGAAATAGATGCATTGTCTGGAGGAATAATTTCCGCAAATGAAAAGATTGTTGAACGTTTGATTATCGACGGAGCCGATATCAATATGATTACAGAGCTTGGAACGCCTCTGTTCGTTGCAGCGGCGCTCTCTAGCAAAACAGTGGTTCAACAACTAATTGATAAAGGAGCTCAAATTACCTCATTTGATGATGAAGGGATAGAGCAGCCCTCGCCTCTGGTTATTGCTGCTGCCAGGGGAGATATTGAAATCGTGAAAGTGTTGTTGAAGGCCGGTGCAAGGATCGATGAGGGGTTCGCAATTGCCCATTCTATCATTGCTTGCAAAGGGGTTATTAAGCCGGGGTTTTATCCTTCTGCTATTGAAGCTGCGAAGATGGGGCGCCATCGGAGAATGGTCAGATTTCTGCAGGAATATAAAGCTAAGAATGGCACCGCAGAGATGGAGGGGGTTGGCAATGTCATGAAGCCGGGCAAAATTTAAAGAGTTGGTAGATGATTGATTGTGTGTATTAAGTATATTTGTAACGATCTGGTCGAGGCAGCGGCTGCCTGAGGTTCGTATAATTGGTAGTTGTAGGTTAAGGCTATTAATCACTAGTTATTCACTTGAAAGTGAATTCGTTATTAGATCAAGTAGAATATAGATAAACTAATTGATAACTAAATTGAATATGAAACTCTTAAACTATAAAACTATTCTGATTATATACTAATGAATAGAAAGAAGCTTTGTAAAACTCAAGAACTCCAAAAAACTCTTAAAACCCTAAAAGCTTTTCAAACTTCTAAAGCTTCTTATTATATAATTGATCCTAAAACCTTTTCTTTCCTGGAACACTTATCCCAAAAGTTTTTCTCTAAAAACTATTACCCTAGAATACAATATCCTTTAAAATGATTGTATTATTATATAAGTATAACTTATTCGTTTCTAAAATTTAAGTTTATATATATATATAATCAAATTTTTTTAAATTTATATAAATTTTAAATTCTTTTGAATTTATATATATATATATCTTTACAAATTACTAGGGGCCTGCGCCCCCCGGACCTCTGGCTTTTCGAGAAAGTTTAATGAAAATTTAAGTTTTAAAAAATTTATAATAAATTTAAATATTGAATATTATCACAGATAGTATGATCACAAAGTATATAAAGCAGTCTTGATAAAAATGATACATAAGAGTATATAAAGTTTTATTGAAATGAATAAATTTGCTTTTGATTCTATTAATCAAGAGTTATATATATATATAATCTAACTTATTGTCACGATTTACGATTAAGATAAGGATATGTTGAGGGGCAGTAATCAACGTGTTCATATAAGCTTAGGCCTTATTGAAAAGCAAGGCGATTCGTATACAAATTTGTATAGTAATCGTCTTATATAGTCTCCCTATCTTTAGCAAGTTCGGATATATAATCTGATTCTAATTATATAATAAGGAATTCTAGAAACTTCGAAAACTTCTAAAACTTTAGAAGCTTTTTAAAGTTTTAAAACTTTATAAAACTCCTTTATATTCATTAGTATATAATCAAAATAGTTTTATAATTTAAAAGTTTTATATTTAATTTAATTATCAATTAATTTATTTATATTCCAATTGATTTAATAATATATTTATCTTCGAATAGATAATCAATGATTATTAGTCTTAATCTACAACTATCAATCAAACGAATCCTGAGGTAGCTATTGTCTTAACTAGATTGTTATATTTTGAGTATCGTTACAATTAAACTATATATAGTATAATAACTTCCAATCAATAATTTATCGAATCATCTTTATTCAATTCAATCAAGACCCTTATTCAAGCTATTGTTATTATGAAATATAGATAAACGATTTAGATATCCACTTTTGATTTATTCTATAAAGATTATAATAAGTATCAAGTTTTTATTATATAAACTGATCTCTATTATATTTTTAACAAACAATTTTTTTTGATTTTTATACAAAAGATTTTATAATTGATCTTTTTTTTCCAAGGAATTATATTCAATTAGATTGAACTATTTTTTAATAATCTAATAATCAAAACTATCGATAATTAATTAAACAAAAATATGAAATCTGAGATTCATTATTTATTCCTCAATTATAAATCGTTCAGATAGAGATTCGATAAGGTATTTGGGGAAATAAACTTTGATTATATAATTGAAAAAGTATTACGATAATTCAGATAGATTAAATCAATTATAATCTATATTATTAAGTTTCAATAATACATTAGATATATTATTTGAGATAATGATTATTTAAAATCATAATTTTATAAAGAATTGAAAGATATCATTAAAGATGAATTAATAAGAGCTCCAAAACTATCTAATTTTTTCGAATTAATCAAAACCTTTATTTTCATTGATAATCGATTCTATAAACAATGAATAAAAAAGAAAGGAATTATTCAGAAAAACAAAAAATTCCAAAAACCTTATTATCAAAATAGATATTATAATATTGATGATTTAATAAAATTAGATGATATCAAATGATATTATATAAAATCAAACAATTTAAATATTAATAAAAAGAAGAGATATAAAGAAAATAATTTATATTTTATTTATAGAAAAAATAAATATATATTTCGAAATTGTTTTTAAAAAAAGAAACTATTTATCGCAAAAAATAAGAAATAAATGAAATTTAAAAACAAAAGATAAAGTTTTCGAAAAACAAAAATCTTAAAAAGAAACTCAAGGAAAATAAGATTATTAGAAAAAGATCTATTTTAATCCAATCTCAAATAGCTAAAAGAATTAAATATCAATAATCAAAATTCTAGAATTAGTATTAAGAATAGTATAGATTATGAGGGAGAATCCTTAGAAGATCTCGAATCAAAAGACGAGGAATCAATTGAGAAACTCGAGGAGGATTAATAATTAATTGAGTCCTGTTATTTGCTTTAAGAAAATAAGTTATAATATTTAATTAACTATCTAGATGAGAAATAGATATAGTATTATTATAGGGAGGAGAAACCTGATTTCATCGAGAAATATAAAATTTATGATTATTCCATTTTATTAGTATTCTATATAGTAATATATAATAATATTTATTGTATAATATTTAAAGAAAATATTGAGGCAAGTGATGTTAGAAGGTATATTATGGATATAGGTTCTTTATCCTTCGATGAAGTATAGGAATATAATAAGTGTGATTTAAAAATTGAAGAGATATAAGAAATCCTATTATAAATTAGGATTCATTGTATCTGATAAAGGATCGATAGAGATAATAAAGAAATATCAAACCAGGATTATTATCAAGATTTTCAAATAGGATTAATAGAATTATTATTCATTATATTTTATTGATTATTGAGTATAAATAAATATTAACAAAAATAATTGAATCTCTTTATTAAAGAATAAATCATCGAACTATTATCATTAGAATTCAATAATATTATAAAAATCGAATAATTGATTATAAAAATCAAATTAAAGAATTAATAAACAAATATTTTGATTAATTCCAAAGCTATAAATATATTCATAGATTTCAATTTCGTTAAAGAAAATAGAATTCCTATAAAATTAAAACAGAACCTTTATTAACTAATACTATTAAAAAGAAAGAAAACTGAAATTGATAATTGAATATATAAAGAAACCAATACTATCAAGATGATTATACTAGATAAACATACCAAACAGATCAAAATGAACTTAATATTATTAAACAAATATACAATTATCCTTGATACTTTATAGATTAAGAAATATAATTTAAATATCAATTGAATAAAAGATATTTTAATATTCAATTGTTACAATTGCAATAACGAATAATTATATAGTTTGAAGGAATAGACTTCTGAAGAGACTAAATATTGTATTATAATAATAACAAATCTTCTATTAATCGATAAAACTGATAAAAAAGAAATTCCAATGTAATACAGAAGATTCGTTAAGCTCTTCAAAGATCTATAGGATTTAAGGGCCTTATCAGAATATAAACCTTAAAATTATAAAATCAATTTTAAAAAGGGATTTATATCCTTTATTAAAAAGTTGAGATTATATAATTTTAATATTATATAAATATAAAAAGAATACAAAACTAAAGTTGAAAAGAAAGAATAGATTAAGAAATCCAAATCCCTTTATATATTCAATATATTATTGGTATTCAAGAAAGGCAATTCAAATAATCAGCTTTGTAAAGATTATTATCAAATTAATAATAAAACAATCAGAAATATATATTCAATACCGAAAATCTAAAAGCTTAAAAATAAATTGAATAGAACAATAATCTATACGAAATTAAATTAAAGAAATACTTTCAATTTGATACAAATAAAAAAGAGTCATAAATAAAAAATAATTTTTATATTATTATTAAGTTTATAGAAATATATAATTATACTATTCAATTTAATCAATATATCAATTATATATTAATAGCAAAATAACAAAATACTCAAGAAGTTCAATTTATTTATAATCTATTATTTAAATAATATTTTAATCTTTTTTTAGAAAAAGAAAGAATATAAAGGATATATATTAAAAGTACTCGAAATATTTAAAAGAATAAATTCAAGATTCAAATTATCGAAATACAAGTTTGGAGTATAAAAAGTAATATTCCTAGGATATATTATTCAACCAAAATAAATAAATATAAATCCTAAGAAAACAAAGAAAATAAGGAATTGGGAAAGATTTAGGAATATTAAAGATATATAATTTATATTAGGATTCGTTAATTTCTATCGAATATTTATAAAAAACTTTTCGAAAATGATAGAATTTTTTATCGAAATGATCAAAAAAGGAATAATTTTTATATAAAATAAAAAAACGAAATAAGTTTTTTAAAAAATCAAAGATAGATTTATAAGGGAATTTATTCTTTATAATTATTATAATAATTAAGAAAATATTATCAAAACAAATATCTTTGATATATATATAATAGAAATCCATTTACAAAAAGATAATAATAAAAAACTATATTTTATTATTTATTATTCAAACAAAATAGATAAAACAAAACAAAATTATAATATTTATAAAAAGGAATTCATAATTATTATAAAAACATTAAAATATTAAAGGATCTATTTTCAAAAAACTAAATTCTTAATAATCATTTATATTAATTATATAAATCTTCGAATCTTTATTATTATTAAAGTTTTGAATAATCGTAGATTAATTAAATAGATTAAAAAATTAACAAAGTTTGATTTAATAATTAAATATATCAAAAAAAAGAATAATACAAAAACAAATATTTTAAATAAATCATTAAATTACAAAAACAATAAAACTTATTAAAAGATAACAATCTTGAAATCTTTATTAAATAAAGATTTTATCTTTAATCTAATAGAAATCGTTATTATAGAAAATAAATTAATAAAGATTTAAAAAGATAAATTTATAAAAATATAATAAAATAAGAAAGATATCAAATAATCGGAATTATTAATAATTATTAATAAATTACTTTAAATAAAAAATAAAATTTGATTATTAAGTAATATCATTTTTGAATATATTATAAAACAATATATATTACCAATTCACAAATATCAAGAAATATAAAGAATATATTTAAGAATCAAAAGGTAATATTGAAGTTTAAAACTCTATAATATAATCAA